CTGTGAACATTCTTTTCGTAGGTCTGGAATCTTGAGCGTTTTGATTTGTTAGAAAAAGCTGCAATTCTTTGAGGAAGTTGAGGATTATCGGCGAACATCCTAGAGCTCTCCAAAAATGCAACGAGCTACTCTGCTCGTGGTCATTGTGTTGTGCGTATCAGGTGAGTAACTACAGTAAATCTATTTTTTCTTTGAGTTAGGAAGGACATTTTGAGGAATTGGTTTTACACATAGGAAAATCGATTAGCTACGTATGTAAAATGTCCATGGTTCGATAAGGAACTGGAATAACGGTCGGCGCGGCGCTTTTTAAAAATTTATCATCGGAATAATTTCATTTAAACTATTGCGTTATCAAGCTACTTCAACATCAATACCAATTTAACTGAAATCAGTATCAATTTAAATAACGCCGAAAATATTGCCAAGAATTCGAAAGTATTATAGAGACAAGTTAAGACAGGAAAAAACAGATCGTTCGCTTAACCGGTTAATCTTGAAACGCGACAAGCTTTCTTCGGTTCAAAGATAGTTGAAAACTTTTCCGTGCATGGTACGAGCTTACACAGGTTTCAAGTATACTGTCGGATGTTCCTTTGAATTTGTCGTGCTCAAATTTATCGGCCTATAATCCTACCGCCTTTACCCGTTTTGTTTATAGGTGAACATAGCGAAAATTTTCTTTCTTTTTCAATGAAGGCTTCGACAAAGACACAAATTGGTAATCAAATTACGCGAGCACATTGCTACTTTTCCCCTAAGGTCAAACAGCCCACAGAGTCTGACACAATGTCGGCAAACGGAAAACAAACAATACTGCTTATTTGGGTGAAATTAATCGCAACGAGATTATTTTTAAGTAAATGTATCTCGTTTATGTAAACTGTTTCTTTAATAGCGGCTCCAAAAGGCTTTCTTTGCGAGCGAGTAACTTACGAATGGTATACATAAAGGGTCCCTAACAAAATAAGTAATTGGAATTGTTCGAAAGGTTATCTGTATATGCTTTTATCTCACTAAGAAGAAGGGATTATCAAGTTTCTTTTAGTTTTTTCCTAGTTTCTGAGTTGTGTTTGAAAAACAAACTCTAACACGCCCAAACTATAGAAGTCAGCTTGAGAATGTGCTCTACTGGGGGAGGGTAGGGAGTTTTGTTAAACAGCTGTACAGATCGCAAATCGAGTTTCACTTTGATCCAAAATGTATTCAGGGAGTAATAAATATCTTCAGTAGGACGGTAAGCTTAATAGTTAGAAGGTCTTGTGTGACACAGTCAAGTGGAACTAGCTTTGTTATTTCCATTTAGCTTCATTGCTGATCTAAAGCGGATGAAAACTCTATTTTGATTAGGAGTTAAACCAATCGTTCCTGTTCAGTAATTTCTGGTTACTTTGATCGGGTTCTGGCTCTAGATAAGTGTTGAAAATCGCTTTAGGATAACGCAGAGTTCTTGGGTTGGATTACCTGCATGTTTTTTTTTGTGTGTGGCTTTTCGTCCAATTGGAAAGATACAAATCGAACTGAAAGTAAGAGTCAGTTACCGTGACAAGAATTCATTGGCTGTGTAACGCTGGTGTGCGTGCGGTTTTTGTTATCTCCAGAACGCACTCGTTGTTTATTTGTGAATGAGCTACATTTTCCTAACGAGCCAAGTCCCTCTTCATTAACGTGCTGCTTACACATAAAGAATGCGTTCCTCAAGAATTGGTGAAACAAGACGCGGGTTAATGCCTGAAATACATATGCGTTACTGATCAAGCGTGAGGTCAAGGTGGCTTGATACTGGCGGAATTTATTTTGGCGTTTTTATGGACCGAGACGAAGTCAAGGTCCAAAAACCGTAGAAAAAGAATGAGGCTGCTATCTAGCCATCTTGACCGAACAAGCTTTTTCAATAAAGGATTTACTATACACCAAATAAATTCGCTCTAATACGAATCAAGAATGGCTGGTCGATTTCCAGAGCTAGGAAACAAAGCCTACTGTGTTTGCAGCACAATAAACCCTCAGAAAGTCGTTTATTTTTTCTTTATCTTGACTGTCTTCTGCCGCTTTTTGCGACTGCATCGCCGACATTGACCAAAAGTTTTGGACTTTGTAAGTCCGCTCCAAGCATTTTCTTACTTGCGTAGTTAATGCGAACATTAGTTTTGCTTCATCTTGCCCACGGGCGCTGGCACCAATTTAATAAACGTGCTTAATTTATATGTAACCGCAAGTGTTGACATTGTTTCTAAGATATGCATGTTCAAAACATTTTGAATTAATTTATCTGTAGGTCATGATTTGACTTGAAATAACTTAAGAAAAATTCAGAAAAAGCTCATTAGTCTTTCTGGAGTGAACTTGCTTCCTTGTCTCAAAATGAGTTTCTCAGCTCATATTATGAATTTTCTTCCAAAGAAGCATTAGGGCAAAACTCCTTTGCTAGGTTTTTGTAACATCTCTTCAAATCAACTACTAGCAACCAAATATTGCTATCTGGTGAAACAAAGCCAGGCATTATGGCTTGCGTGTTATCCAAATGCTAGGTTATTTGTTTGTAAACACAAAATAATGAAAAGATCAATTACAAAAAAAGTTGGAACAATGGAGATGTTTCAGGTTAGGAAAGAGAGATGACAATGTGATTACTCTTGAGTGAGGACCAGCCTACCTATCATGCCAACCTATGCAAAGGAAGAAACCTATATGTCAGCTAGCCTTTAATCATTGTGCAAAAATTGTGCCTAATGTCTAGTTTATTGATTTTGATCACCATTATCAGACATGCAAATAAAGTTCTTTGCTCATTCAGAACACCTTTAAAAATGGTTTCCTTTTTTCTTCTTCCTTAAAGGAACCTCTGCACAAAATTGTGACTTTGAGTCCAGTGTTTGCAATTATAAACAGGATAAGACTGATAACTTTGATTGGAGGTGGTATCATGGTGCTACAGATACCAAAAGCACAGGACCTGCCAAAGATCATACACCAAAATCCAATAAAGGTGAGTACTGAGTCAGTTTCAGCACAACTGTACTTTGTTAGTTGGTAATAAACCTATAAACTGATTTCTTTTAAACCTTATTTTCCTATGTTAATGGTTGTGTTTATAGTCAGTAAGAATGGTTTTAACAGCAGGTGGGCAGTGGGAAGATGTATCAGCTTGTAAGGAGGTGTAGCTTAACTTCAAATAACAATTTCTCAAATGTCATTTTATTACTTGCATGCCTAAAATTCTCCTGAGAAAAGGCCAAAGTGTTTAAAAATATTTGATGAGAACAACTTCAATGCTACATAAAGCTCAAAAAATGTGCAAATGCAAGAATCTAGAACTTCCAATAGTCTTGTTGGAGACTGGGGCTGGGTTGTATGAGAGACAGTGGCAAAACAGTTAGTGCACTGGATGCCAGGAGAGAGGTCTGTGTTCTTGACCTGAGGGGGGTGGGGCATTTTGTATCTTGTTGGAGGCAGAATCTCCCATGGAACAAATGGGAAAAGAGGGAGTATGGATACAGATCTGGGGAGTTAATGAAGTAATACTTTCAAACTACTTAAAATTTTTTCCCTATCTCAATATTTATTGTGCTCTACTTCTAGGTATCAAGCATTGTACAACAGAAAAATCAAAACACAGACTTCCAATATAGATATATATGTATTTATAAATAATTATATACATGTCTAAATAATGTTTCTTTCTCTATTTTTTCAGTAAAAACTATTGGTGGTAACTCCAATGGTGCAGATTGTGTGTTTCCATTCAGATATCTTACCAGAAATTATAGCCAATGTACAGCCGTAGCTCACACTCTCCTTTGGTGTGCTACCACAAGTGATTATAGCAAAGATGGTAAATGGGGAAATTGTGTCCCAGATGGTGAGTGACCATGACTTGAAACTCTCTTAGAAAAAGATGTTCAAGACTGATGCTAAATGTCTGTTTCAGAAAGGTGTCTGTACCTCACCTTTATGTGAGGCAGCTGAGTAATTAGAAAGAGAAATATTTTGAAAGGGTGTCAGGCTAAATTCCCTAGAAAGGAATTTAACAAGAATTTGATATGACAGGTTTTAATTTTTCCATTTCTTCTTTCAGGTGTTTATTCATTGGGCTGCTATCTAACATACAATGGAAACCATATCTTTAGAGTAACCCTACCTGGTACAGTCAGGGGAACAAATGTTATCCAACAGTGCATTACTGAAGCAAAGACATTTAAAAAAAATAATAAAAAAAACCTTCAAGGCATTGGTATCAGGAATTATGGTTCTTATTACCGTTGCTACGCAGATGAAGAGGCTGATCTGCGATACAATAAACATGGACCTTCTCTTAACTGTGGATCACAAGGTCTTGGTACTCAGAACACCAATACAACATCTGTGTTCTTGTTTACAGGTAAAATGTGCATCATTTAATTGTGGCTGGGTTGTATGAGAGACAGTGGCAAACAGTTAGTGCATTGGATGCCAGGAGAGAGGTCTGTGTTCTTGACCTGGGGGGGGGCATTTTATATTATAACTCACTTATCACACGGCACAAGATCATGGTACAATTATCTTACAATAACCTCCCACTATTTCCATTGAAAAAACAAACAAGTCAAAGCCAGGGGAAGAAGCCAACTCAAGAAGCCAGCTCAAGAGCTTCTCATTTTCATCTTTATTACTTAACATGGAAGAAAACCAAAATGAACTCATTTTGTAGAGTTCAGTGTTAGTGACATTGAAAAGCTGATATCAAATACTGTTCCAGAAAAAAATCAACAAAATTCTGCTGTCAAGGCATAGCATGAAAATTATTGGGAGGGTTATAAAATGAATAAACCCCCTCCTGGCTCGCTTGTTTGTTGGCTGATAACATCCTTGGCTGAGAGATTGTCCTAAAAATTTCACATTTGCCCCTGAGGCTTTGCTTCTCAGCCAAACATTCACTTTTCACCAAACATATTAGCAGCCTCGAAAGGTTAATTGACTAATTACATTTGCCTTCTTGTATGTTTCTTGCAGGTCGATATATGTATGTTGAGGTGAATGGGAAGCAGAATGGAGATATTGCCCGCATCTCAAGCCCATTGGTTTCTGTGTCCCAAAAAACCACTAAGTGCTTGAAGTTTTGGTATCACATGTATGGGCCTCACATAGCATCACTTAATGTGTATGCTAACACAACATCTTTGGGATTTCCTATCTGGTCAAAGAATGGTACACAAGGAAACAAGTGGAAGCTGGCCAAAGTTGATGTTGTAATGAGCCAGTCTTATTCTGTAAGTTTTTTCCTATTGGCTTTCATAACATTGGCTTTCATAACATTGACCTTTTTTTCATGCTTGAGCATGGAAAAAAAAAGGAATTCCTTTTTCCAGGAATTTTAAAAGGCAAGGATTGGAAGTTTTAAGGCAAGGATAGATGTGCACAATAACTTGCCAACAGTTTTTAAAACAAACATCTTTGATTTCATTTATAGGCTAATGAATTAGGTATCAATAAGTCTTTATCGTATAATTTTGTACAAACTATAGAAAGTTAATTTATTGAGAAATTAAAGTTTTGCTGGTCATATATTGTGAATCTGTTTTTTAGCCAGATAATAAGGGTATGGCAATTTTCTGGTCATATTTGTAAAAAAAGATAGAACATAATAATATTGTCTTTATTTTCATGTGGCTGAGTGTAATTTGATCAATGTTTTTTCTTGCCTTTTCTAGCTGGTTTTTGAAGGAACAGCAGAAGGGAATGATAAAGGAGACATTGCTTTGGATGACATTCAGTTGGCAACTGGATCATGTGATTACTCTGGTGAGTGTTATTTGTAGACAAAATGTGTACACTTCCTGGAAAAAAAACGACTTGTAGAAAATCTTAGATGCTTGTTCTTAGTAGTATAGAACATGGCTATGAGTCTTTTCACTCCTTCAGATAAGATAATAGCTTACAGGGCTGTTATGGGACACTATTTGATGTACTGTCTTTTTCCTGATAATATTGTGTCTTCCAACTTGCTTTCTCAAGAATTAAGTCTTGTGGTCTAATGTGCCTCTCTGAATGTGTTCATGGTAGTTGGGATGCCAACATGTTGGTCCATTCAAATACCAGGGATGTGGTGGTATCATGCTGTTCTTGCATTCGATTAATATAACATTTTTTAGGGGTTATTTCATAAGTTTTGGTGGCCAAAAAACAAGAGGTAGAGAAGTGAGCTTGGGGCACCACAGTGCTTGAACCAGATCCCTGAGGTAGAAGTTGAGGAGGTCCTGCAAGAGAGAGAGATTATTCACTGTTTTAAGAGGCATGCAGTCATTAAATATTATGTGAAGTCAATTTTTGTTCATGTTAAAGCATTCAGGCCTTATGTACCATGTGCAAGTGGCTGCAAAAGTGCAGGTAGAGATGTAGACCACTACTTTTGTTTCTTTTTTTATTCCTAGGTGACCCATGTAACTTTCAAGATGATGACTGTAGCTTTACACAGGACAACACAGATAACTTTGACTGGATACGAACTAAGGGTTCCACACCCACTCCAGGAACAGGACCAACTGTTGACCACTCATATGGATCTAGATTGGGTAAGGTTTTATTTTTTTATGATTTAATTGATTGCTAATAAGATAAACTGCTGTTGATATTGATGATTTCTTGGTAATTTTGATTATCACCTGGGCTTATTCTTGGTAAGTCCCCAAAATATTCTGTTCAGTGAAACCTTATGATAACTAGATTTTTCGAACCTGCATGGGAGAATCAGTTGATTGCTCAATCACCTTGGTGAGGGTTTTCCTGTCATTTACTACTGTTTATTGGTGTCGTGTCATTCCTTGTGTGTTGGTTCACATTAAGAAGGTTGATGAGACTTCAAATAAGCTACCTGCTGGAGACAACTTTTAGAATTTAGTTACCAACAGTGAAGTGACTCAGTCACATTGTTGAGCAGCTGGTTGCAATTTTCAGATTCTGTTCCAGTGTGGAGATGGCTTCTGTACGAGTATGTTGCCCAATAGCCTTAAAAGTGTGATTCAGCCCGGGCTTGGTTGCAAACAATATGGCAGCATCTTTTCTAATGCTGTCAACGTGGTAAGTGTAAAATGCTTACTTGGTAACTTTTCTTTTGTTTCTCTGCAGGTTATTATATGTTACTTGAAGCTTCAGGCCAGAGCAATGGTGATAAGGCCAGGATAATGAGAACATACAAGAAGGCTACAGTCACAGAAAGTTGCTTTCAGTTTTGGTACATGATGTATGGTTCAAGCCTTGGTACACTCAATGTCTATCAGAAAGTTGGAAATAATCTTGGAAATGCAATTTGGACTGTCTCAGGTGACCAGGGTGTTCAGAGGACTTGGCTAAAAGGACGTGTCACACTCAACAGTACAGCCCAATTTACTGTAAGTTTGGTTATCTTAGCTCTCAACAGTGTTTGAAACTTTAGAACCACAGATTGTAGTGTTGTCAGGTCACCAGCTGTTTCCATGAATTAAAATGTATTGTTATCATTAACCTTTCAACTCCCAAGATCTGATGGTTTATTCTCCCCTGTAGCTGCTACACATTCCCTTGTAAATTTGTTATGAGAACTTGGTGCTAGATCAAGATAGCAGCTTCTACCGGATAAGTTTGAATATTCTCATTACTTGTTTGCTGAAGAAAGTATGGATATTGTAGGGAGAAGTTTAAATTTATGTCCATCACTTCTGGGAGTGAAAGGGTTAATGGTACTTGCCTCTAAACTTACTTTGCCAAGACAAACTAAGGTACTTTTTCTTTTTACTCCAATCATCTGCAAATAATTGTGGATGCCTGAAATACTTTGGGAACAAGCTGTCATGATTAGCACTGACAACAATTATTGTTTCATTCTGATGAATTACATTTGAGATAATTTTTTTTTACTAAGAGCAAACCACAAAACCACAAACTAGATGTAATTATGAAAAACTTATGATATTTGCTACTTGCTATGTTAAATATGTGATTTACTTCTCCGCTCCCAAAAACTGTGGGAAAATTGCAACTAAGTTATGAGTTTGTCATTAACCTTACTTTTGAGTTACTGACAGAAGTTCTTTTCTTATTAAATATTGGTTTCGCATTCATTTGACTATCATTGCTTACATTTTTTTCACTGTTAAAAAACTTGCCTCTTAACCCTTTCAGTGGCAGATAAGACAATTTTAAGCATGTTGATAATTTTTTTTGGTATTACAGGTTGTTTTTGAAGGAGTAAGAGGAAGTGGTGCCAAAAGTGACATTGCTATTGACGATATTTCCATGTCTTCAGGCCACTGTCCAAATCCTGGTTAGTGTACCTCTTTTTTCCTGTATCATGGCTTATGGCATACTTAAAAGATGGATTGGTCTATGATTAGGAATTGCTCAGTACAGAAACCTGCAATTTTTCTGACAGAAGGTTAACTGCCTTAATTACCACTCATAGACAAGAGGCAAAAAACAAAGGCAAAACTTTAAATTAGTTCTTCATATGTCATAAAACAAGGGTTGTAACATTAAAACATGCTACAACTTCATACAATTAACCTTGGATTCATACATAGCAAAGAATAAAGTCCTGAGTTACTTTGATCTTCACTGTAGGGGACTGCAATTTCCAGAATGACTTCTGTACTTGGAGTAACATGGCTGGTGATGATTTTAATTGGATCAGGGGATCAGGACAAACACCAAGTTTCTTTACAGGTCCTGATACAGATCGCCTGGGTTCTTCTCAAGGTACAAGGCTATAGTTACTGTAGAAAGTAGATACAAGTGTGTCATAGTCCTTTAAACCTTTCCCATTTATTCCCACCTATCTGGTGAGAACAAAAGTAAAATTATGCAAGGAAACAACTCTTTTTCTTCTTTGCTTTTTCTTCTTTCTCGTCATTAGGTGCCTACGCCTTCATTGAGACATCAAGTCCTAGAAAACAAGGTGACAAAGCAAGATTAGTCAGTACACAATTTAATGGAACGGCCTCCAAGAACTGCTTTACTTTCTGGTATCACATGTATGGTTCAAGCATTGGCACGCTCAATCTTTACCAAGTAGTTGGTAATACTGAAACACTCATCTGGACCCTCTCAGGAAATAAAGGAAGACAATGGTTTAATGGACAAGTGCCAGTTGGAAATCAAGCTAAATATAAGGTAGCCAAACATTGTCAGCCCCCTTTTACTAGCAGCCTGCAATAATGTTATAATTACCAGCCTTGGGAAGCAAAAGATTCTGCTAGAAGGCAGTTTCAACCAATATGTCAGTCATGTAAATGTTTTTGTCTAGAAGATTCTCTTTTTCTCTTATTTTATTTTTTTTCCTTCTGAGGTTTGATTTGGTAATGTATGATAACAACTTTCGAATAGACTGACAAAAACACAATTTAAAACAAGGAATACAGAAGATTTGGTAAATTTTCTATAAACAAACAGAACAATGGTTAGGGCTTTACTGAGTGTCACTTGTCTAATGAGAATGTGTTATTGCTTGTAATAAGTGGCTGTACATGTATTTGTTACTGCTAAGGGTTATAGTGCATGTTGTTTGCCAGTCAAAGCTCCCTTGGTTTAATTATAAGAGACCTGAAGGGGCTCTTTTGTTTGAAATCTGGGGTGAGGTGAATACAGCTGTAGCTCTCAATTTTGTACTAGTGTCAACTATTGGGTGATGTGAATAAACCAGCAAATCAGCCAGAGGGAGTTGTCTTATTTGTTCACTAAATTCTCTAGTTTGATTGAGAAAGAATCAGGTAATGTAATAAGAAAAATAAAGCATTTATCAGTTCCTAGTAGTTTTTAGAATTGGAAGCTTTCATGAAGGTTAAGTTTAGCAAGTTACCCAAAGACAAGAGCCACTTTCTTGTGACATTCAGGCTTTGATAGATTAGCACATCCCTGCCAGTACTGATGAGCTTTAATTTTTTTTTGATACACACAACAGATCATTGCTGAAGGTATCAGGGGAACTAGTTATCAAGGAGATATAGCCATTGATGACTTTAGGTTCCTTCCAGGAATCAATTGTCAACTGAGTCCGACAGCGGCTGCTCCGAACTATGTTACCACTGCAGCTCCAACAACTTCATCAGCCACAACAACGCCTATTCGTAAGTTACCTTCTTGTGTACTTTCTTAAGTGCCTTTTTTGTGGAGTAACATCCTATCATGCAATAAAACTCAAAATCAAATAATGCAAATAGAAGAGTCTTGTAATGCTTGTAAGTTTGGCAACCTTTGGAAGTTAATGGTAATTTGCCTGAGGTTGGGTCTTGGAGGCTGTAGGAATCTCTTTGCAGTATCATGTTCAAATATGCAACAATTTTGCATTATGCTGATCTGACTACAAGAGCTGCAAGAAACTCTTTTTGCTCACAGCTGTAAACTTGATGTAAACAATGAACTTTTTATTATCTTAGGTTGTCAATGTAGATGTATTTCTTTCCTTCCCACACAATATGTGTTTGTTTTTTGGTTGTAGAGTTGAAACTATGTCCCTGTCTGCTATTCTGTATAATTATATTGTGCCTGGTAGGCTATTTAGTGACCAAACTCATATAGCATATCGAACTCAAATCATGTTATCAGTTTTTTCTGAGGTTTCTTACTTATGTGCATGAAATGTTCTCTGCAGCAAATGGTGGCATAAACTGTGACTTTGAATCAGACATTTGTACCTGGACACAAGACAAAACAGACCAGTTTGACTGGACAAGGAGAGCGGGCTCTACCGCATCATCATCAACAGGCCCCTCTGCTGACCATACAAAAGGAAATGGTTAGTAATGTGATAACAGTGATGTTACTTTTAAACAATAAAATAATGAAATGTTTCACCGCCACCAGGTACTTGTTACTTAGAATTTACTTTGACATTGGCAAGACATCTACCCTGGTGTCTACTTGTTGGTGAGAGATAGCGATTGCTTATTGTGTCTTTCCTTAGTTATGTTGACATTCTTTTGGTGAACTGGTTTGCAGGTAATGGCTGGTACGTGTACATTGAAACATCTTGGCCAAGAAAGATGAATGATACAGCAAGGCTTATTAGTAGTTCTATTCCAGGAACTACTGCTAGCAAAGGAAAGTGCTTGTCATTTTGGTATCACATGTATGGAGCAGACATCAATACCCTTAGTGTTTATGTCAGGACAGGTGCCCATGATTCAATGTTGTGGTCTAAGACAGGAACACGGGGAGACAAATGGATTCAAGGCCGAGCAACTGTGACCAGTAGAGATCATTTTAAGGTAAAATTGAAGTGAAATATTCATTTTAAAACTGTGCAATTCTTTGGGGCATTTTGTGAGATCTGTTATTTCTAGTAATGAAAGGAGCCTATGTATTGGAATGGAATGGAACAAAATGATGGTATTGTAGATAACAGTTTTAGTGAACGACACAAAAAAACATAAAAGTGGTATGAAACACTAACTGTGGGTGATAAGTAAGCAGAAAGGAAAAAGTAAAAACCTTAAGCTATTTTCTGTAACCCTGCATTTCTTTACAGATTGTAATGTCTGCTTCAGTTGGCAATAGTTACCAAGGAGACATTGCTTTGGATGATATTTCTATGACAGATGGACCTTGCAACCATGACTCAAGTATGTATTGTACAACATGTAAAATTAATTAACACCTGGTTCATCCTTAATAAATGCCTGAGATGTTCATGGGCTTCTGGTTTTTCCAATGTCCTAAGACACTAAACTATTCAATGTATGGCTGCACAGGATATCTCACAACCTAGCCATGAGCCTTGCACAGAATTGCCTAGGAATCTTCATGCTGTCATATTTGTGAGAAACTGAAGGGGTTGGAAAGGGGTTGGAAAGGCAAAGGAAGGAACTTTGAATGGAGAGACTAATATTTACTTTGCCATGACAAAATAAGTGCTCAGAGCAGGCTCAAAAATACAGCATAACTGACTGCCACATTTATACTATTTGCTGTTTGAGGTTTATTGCTACTTAATAAGCTCAGTGATGAAACAGCCCTAATATATATTTACCTTTTGACCAAGGACAAAATAAGTGCTCAGAGTAGGCTCAAAAATACAGCATAACTGACTGCCACATTTACACTATTTGTTGTTTGAGGTTTATTGCTTCTTAATAAGCTCAATAATGAAACAGCCCTGAAACCGAATTAAAACCTTAAAACTCTAAGGGTGTCAAGCACCTAATTTCCCCTTGTAGTCAAAGATCATGAAAATAGAGGAATTGATCACCAACTTAAGAAGTCTCGCTTGTTTAAGCAATTGTCCTTGTTAGTACCAAAGGAAATGTTTAGAGAAGAATATGAAGAGTATGGATACTGATGTTAGGGTGTAAAAAGTTAACAGTAGGAAAAATTATGATTGAACCTCTCTTACCTCTATGAAATTACTGTGGCTCCACATTTTTCCTTCTGTCCACCTCTATTTACTTTTACCCTTAACTTCCAGAGATGATTAACATGTAACTTCTCCCTATAAGAATACTCAAACTTATTTGATAGAAGGTGTTATCTTAATCTACCACCAAATTCTTGTAACTAATTAGCAAGGAAACATGTAGCAGCTAAGGAGAGAATTAACAATCAGAGCTTGGAAGTTAAAGAATGAGAAGTCGCATATTGGCTGTGAATGAACTCGTCAACGTGTGGGGAATTGTAATATTATGGAAGTCAGTGAAATTTTATGTAAGAAAAGTTTTGTTTTCATGTCTGGCTAAATTTCGATTGACTGTTCGAATTGTTTTAATTGGACATTGCAGCAACCTGCACATTTGAAGAAAGTCACATGTGTGGTTACCAACAGGATACAACGGATGATTTTGATTGGGCTCGTGGCAGTGGAGCAACAGTTACCCCCAACACTGGGCCTGCTGCTGATCACACATTAGGATCAGCTTCAGGTATGTCTGTGGTGACACTTAGCATTTCTAAGGGAAAGGGTGAAGATGCTTTCTCTTCATTGCCTATCAATATTATTATATATGCAAATAATGCTATTGAGCATCAGAAGGTATTCTATGGACTAGCAGAGAAAATGTTACCAGTAGTCCTATCTCTGCTGTTGAAAACTGACACTAATAATTTTGAGACTGGAAGGCTATTCACAATTACAAGAAAAAATGTTAATAACAGTTGTATATTTTTGTAAGGAACTTTGACTTTACTCTCCTCTACAGCAATATTATTTAAAAAACACAAGATACTTAAACAACTGGTGATAGAAAATTGGATAATTTTGGTTTTGTCAACTGAGTTAATGATGTAAATTAGCCACTGCAGAGAGTTTCAAAGCTGACAATTCGAGCAGAGTGGATGACTAAGGGCTAACACTTAAAACATCAGCTTTGAGACTCAATCTTTATGGTAGCCAATTTACATCATCATCTCAGTTGATAAAGCCACAATTATCTTGTTATGCTCCCCTACTGATGCAGCACCACAGATTCTTTAGAAACTTACCCCCTTTAAACTTCGATCAAGATCTCACACCCAGCCTGTCACCATTTGCCCATGTTGGGCTTTATGTATATTTATACTCACAAGCTTAAAATTTTGTCTGAATACATCTAGGGTTTTACATGTATATCGACAGTTCAATTGCTCAAAGTGGGAAAAAGGCCAGATTACTGACTCCTCAGATGCCCAAAGTTAGTGCCAAATGTCTGAAGTTCTGGTATCACATGTATGGATCAACGGTAGGGACTCTGGCAGTGTATAAGAAAACAGGTTCTTTAGTGGGTATTCGCATCTGGAGACGCTCTGGGGATCAAGGTGATGAGTGGCTTGTTGCACAAGTTAGTGTGTGGAGTCCTGTAAAACCATTTTGGCTTTCATTTGAAGGTCAGGTGGCTGGCAGCACAGGAGATATTGCCATTGATGATGTTGAAATATTTGCGGGCAAGTGCCCAACACCTGGTGAGTACAGGCTTGGTACTGCACTCTTTAAATTCTTAGGTTCAAAGCCAAACATGCGCTTTTGTTTCAGGCTTTTTCCCGTACAGTTAGCAAACAGTCAAAATCTGACCCATAAATGACAAATTGGAGGGTCTCAGTGTGCATATTCGTGATGTCACTTACCCCATTACAGGTTATATAATTGTCAGTCTTAATACACCACTTGAGAATTTTATAACAATAATATGTAGATGTTTACAACAATCATTCCTCAATCCATAGTTTCCAAGTTCCTAAAGGATGTACATTTTTTTGGAACCATCCATCACTTTCTGTTATATTGTTGACCACTTTTGTCCTACATCTATTGTCTTATCCTCTTCCCTCTCAAAGTTGACCAAACAGGAGTTTCTCCCTTCTATGTGTTTCCATTTCAAGGGTGATGAGAAGAAAGAAAGATTGAACACCAAAACTTCTTCCAGTTGAAAAATGAAGAAAGAATTAGGACGAGCAGAGAATTCATATTTAAATCATATGGAAGTGATGTGAACATTTTTTTTCCCTTTGTAGGAAATTGTGACTTTGAGAAGGGAACATGCACCTGGAGAAACACCCGTAAGGGAGATGACTTTGATTGGTTACAAGGCAAAGGTAATACACTGTCATCTACCACTGGGCCATCTAATGACCACACCACTAACTCTGCCAACGGAACCTACATGTTTATTGAAGCTTCATCACCAAGAAAAACTGGCGACAAGGCAAGATTTTTCAGCGAGACATTAAGTGCTGTTCCTGCCAAAGGAATGTGCCTTCAGTTTTGGTACCACATGTATGGTCTTGATATTGGAACTCTTAATGTGGTGCAAAAGACAACATCTGGAAGCAAGTCTGAAAACATTCTGTGGACTTTGCAAGGTCAGCAGGGTAATAAGTGGTTAAATGGAAAAGTGTCCCTCAGCAAGGTTCCAAGCTCTGACTTCTGGATCATCTTCGAAGGAATACGTGGTACTGGTTACCGTGGAGATATTGCCATTGATGATATTCTCATAACAAGTGGAGATTGTACCACATTCCCAGCTAATGCAGATCCTAACCCTGTAACAACTTCAATGCCCACAGCTACCACCCAGTTCACCCTGCCACCCACCATTGCGCCTTCATTGTACAACTGCGACTTTGAAAGTGGCTTTTGTAACTACACCCAAGAGCACATAACAGACATCTTTAACTGGACACGACATCAAGGTGGCACATATTCTGGAGGGACTGGCCCAACGGCAGATCACACCAAACAACAAGGAGTAGTAGGACCCAATGGTCCAGGGTCTCTTCAACACAAGTTATCTGCAAAGTGTATACATGTCTACTTGGGTGGGTTTAGTAAACCAAACCCAGGTACTGTTATAGTGACTTATGACGGATGTGGAGAGAGTCGCTTGGAGTTTCAGCTAACATCTGATGGTTATATTAAATATACCAAGTACAATATGTGTCTGCGACGAAGAGGGGGATCTGGTGTCAATGCTGATGATGTTATGTTAGATGACAAGTGCAATGAAAAGTGGAAATTCACCTCCAAAGGTTCGATACAGCATCTACCAACAAGCAAATGTTGGACTCCATATGGTGGTAAGGCAGTAAATGATGGCAAACTTCTCCTCAATACAACTTGTGATAACAAGGATCAGCAGTTCAGGTGGCAACCAAGTAAGTCAAAACAGAGATTATCTGATTCACTATCAGAAAATACTATATACTTGAAAAAAGAGAAGTTTCCCTTGTTTTGAGCACATATTTCACCTTATCTTCAAAAATAAATTTCACTTTATTGCAAAGGTTTTTGGTTGCAATCAGTCTGCTATTACCAGAAAGTGTTTTAACTGAGTTGTAATAGGAGAGTTGGATGAAAAAAGGTGATTTCAGAGACGTATGAGTTAAGAATCTCAGTGTGGGAGCCCATGATAATTTATTTATATGCAGATCAGTAGCTATCTTCCAGAAGCACAAAGTCTATAACCACACACTTTGCATTGCTTTCTTTCTTGATCTAGCTCTCTTCATCCTTCTTCTTCCAACTAACCCTAAGCAAAGAATCAGGAAAAAGGCACAGATTGAATTAGTTTTGAAATTGAAGTGTAATAATTGTCTTTGTTTAATATTTACAAAAATACAACAGCAATCAAGAGATAATATGAACAGCATTCATATCATCTCCAGGGCTCTTGAAAGCCAATGATTCTAAATAAGATGAGAAAGAAATAATTAAGATATGAGACTGTAACCATGCATTTTGTTTATCTTTTCAGCACGTGGATGGTATGTTTACATAGAGGGATCATTCCCGAGGAAGCCTAGTGACACTGCAAGAATTCATTCTCCTTATGTCAATACTAACCCTTCGCAGCCCAAGTGTCTTTCCTTTTGGTATCATATGTATGGACCTCACATAGGGCAACTTAACATCTACCGCTATGCTGGTGGCCAGCTTAACTCCCCTGTCTGGTCCAAATCTGGCTCCCATGGCAACAAATGGTTGAATGGTCAGGTAGAGCTAACAAATAACAATCCTTACAAAATTGTGTTTGAGGGTGTGCGTGGTTCAAGTTACCAAAGTGATATTGCTCTGGATGACATTCAGCTCAGCAATGGCCAGTGTACTGCAACTATGGACTGTGACTTTGAAAGTCCAGTATCCAAGCTGAGATTGTGTGGTTGGAACCAATATCCTGGGGCTAATATCAACTGGCGTCTTGGTCAAGGCAACACATCATCAATCAACACAGGACCAGCAAGTGATCACACCCTTAGGGATGGCAGAGGTAACAAGGAAATATCTTTAAATATCAATAGAATAACTTATAAACCTTCTAAAGGAACTGGCATTGATGTACATGTATGGTGGAAAGGGGTGAACTAAGCACCTAAATCAAGGTTAATGTCTTATTAATATGTAATTGTCTTTCATATTATGTGGGTGGAAATGTATATAATAAGGCCTTTTGTTGTTGTAGGAAATTTTCAATAACAATAACTTGCATCATTTTATTAATCTACCATCACCGAATGCCTGTAATTTTAAGTGAGAGAAAAGCTTCTCTGTGTGCTAGGTGCAAATAATAAAACTAAATTTTAATGTATTTGTTGCTTTGTATTTACAGGACATTACCTTTTCATTGAGACATCATTTGTTGCCCCTAACTCTAAAGCCTGGTTGATAGGTCCAAAGATTAACCCACAGAGTGGAAAGTGTTTTCAGTTCTGGTACCATATGTATGGGAGCAGTATTGGTCAACTTAATGTTTACCTCATGACAACCAAAACAGTTCCATCTATTCCTGCTTGGTCACGACAGAGAGATCAAGGGAACTTGTGGTATATTGCTCAAGTATCCATCACAATCCCTAACTATGTTAATGTAAGTTTGACTGGTTGTCTTGAAGACTCACTTGTGATAGCTATGTTAACTACAACATTGTGCTAAATGTGTGAAATGTAGCTGGATAAATTTCAAATGCTGTAATTTTCATAAACTCTGGTAAAATTCAATATGAAAAAATTATGTAAAAAATTTATTTTGACACAATGTATTTCAGTTGTTTGAAATAGTTAGGAGACTTGGTTCAATTGTATCTCAACTACATTATAGTGCTTTTGGAAAGTATACAGTTCAAAAGTTATACTTCTAGATACAGACATTCAACCATCTAATATCCTATGTTTTGGCATAGTGAGGATGGTAATATTTTGGTAGGATTGCAAGCACAACTTTTAGACACCCTATCTAAACTTTTTGATTGCTTCCCAGAAGAGTATCCTTTTAGGGGTTCTGGAGACTGGAACAAGTGCTCTCTTCCACTATTTAATTCTAGTAAACATTATTGTCAATTGTGTGATTTAAATCTGTTTGGCAGGTGTTATTTGAGGGTGTACGTGGCACAAGCTACACTGGAGACATAGCAATTGATGACTTTAAGCTCATGGATGGACCTTGTAATCAGGCAGGGTATTGTGACTTTGAGAAAGATGACTGGTGTACATGGACAAATGACAAGAGAGAGGACAACTTTGATTGGTTAGTTGGTAGTGGCAGCACACCATCAGCCTTTACTGGGCCTGCTGTTGATCATACGACAGGTTTGTTCCATTAATTATTATTATTATTATTATTATTATTAATGCACTTTAACTTTAAGCCCTTTTCCTTGAAGTACATTTTTAGGTAAGTTTGTTTGAGATATCTCTCTCTCTCTCTCTCTCTCTCTCTCTCTCTCTCAGGTCATCTCAAACTCCTTGGAATCTCAAAATATTTTCGTTCCCCTAGTAGGTTCCAATGTGATTGCAGTATGGTATCTTTGTAAAACTTCCCATCATAAGGATTTAATGTTTCACTCAATTTTGAATTACAGTATGTTTGATGTACGCAATTTTAGTGCACATTGTCTGATGACTAAGATGGTGTAGTTGTTTACAACAGGGAAGAAATACGTACACACATTTGCAACTGAAAAGGCTGTCTACTAGCCAGGTTGTATCAGCATAAACAGTACATTTTATGATTCCTCCTCTAATTTTTATTCTGAACAGGATAAATATTGAAGATTTATGATTGTTTTGCAGGACATGGTATTGGAAAATACATGTTTATGGAGGCATCTGCACCAACCAGACCAGGAGATAAGGCCAGACTGTACAGTGAACGCTTCCAACCAACAGGTGGCTCTTGCATTAAGTTTTGGTATCACATGTATGGTCCTTCAGTAGGTACCCTAAATGTTTTAGTCAAGACTGGTGCAGGCAATCGGTCTGAGGATATTGTGTGGACACTTTCTGGCAACCAATTAGATCAATGGAAATTTGGGCAGGCCCCTGTTGTGAGTGCGCAAAGTGGATATCAGGTAGGAATTTGGAATGGCTTGTATTCAGGCACTTCCTTGATTAACATCCACCATGGTTTCTGATTGGAAATGAAAACAGTGTTCTTCCTGTTTCTAGGATTCAGGACTTTCTCTTATCTTGGGCTGATGTTTCTTTTAAGAGTAGCATATTCTCTCCCAGAAGAACAAAATTTTTCATCCAGAATATTTCAATTTACAATAAAAGACTTTGAAAAATTGTCATCGTTGTTGAAACCTTGGCTGCTTTCTGACTGATTATGCTGGAGATCATGAGTAAGGAAGGAAACAATACAAAGAGTCCTTTGTAGAGATGAGCAGCTTTAGGCAGATCAGCCTAAACTGCAGTACTTTATCTTACAGCTAAGAAACTTTTTGGCTCATATGTGGACTCTCTCATACTACCTTTTTAAGGTGTGTGAGGTTTGAGTCATGCACCAGTGATAGGTTCACATTGTTAGTGCCAATTTTCTTTTCTTACAGGTTGTATTTGAGGCCATCAGAGGAAGTGACTATCGAGGGGATATAGCAATTGATGACATCGCATTTACAGTTGGAGCCTGTACTGTTTTGCCACACAATGCTAAACCGACACCTCCACCAACTCCGCCAGCTACAACTGGGCCTACAACAATTCCACCCAAGGGGAAATTTGACTGTGACTTTGAAGGTGGCTTTTGTCTTTGGACACAAGATTCAACTGACAGTTTCAACTGGACCAGGCATCGCGGACGAACATCATCAACAGACACTGGGCCAACCACTGATCACACTCTTAAAACAGGTACAGTCTACAGGCAGGAATTGATACTCTTCATGTGGGATACACAGTGGCTAAAGTGCTTAAGTTGCTGAATCATGCTGTACCAGTTCCTAACTCAGGATTGTAAATGGTTTCAGTTGACCTGTTAGCAAAAACTCAACAAAATGTCTGGAGTTATTTATCCATAGCACTAGTATGCCACTCCAAGGGTAAAGAAATACCCCTAGTGAGCTCATGCTGGTAATACTGGGTAAGCTCTTGTAGTTTGTGGAGTTACATCATCTCTTTAATTACTTAGAAATGAACTAAATTTTGATGCTCCGGCTCATTTAAAGATGGAGTCCAATGCAGTAAATTGGTACAATAAGATCCATGCCTAATTTGTGGCCAGTGAATTATAATTTTACTCTATATGATGCAATGATTTGTTTTTGTAAATTGGTCAGCTATATGTGACTACTAGTATAGTGTATAAATATGGTTATTTGTTGTGTATTTTCAGGAAATGGTACCTATGCCTATGCTGAAGCCTCATATCCCAGGCAACTGAATGACACAGCTCGACTGATCAGTCCCACACTTCAAAGTAACACAAGACCTGGAACATGCATCTCTTTCTGGTATCACATGTACGGTGCTGACATTAACTCCCTGAATGTGTACACAAAGGTTGGAGGATCTCTTGGCACAGCGATTTGGCAAAAGAAAGGAAATCAAGCAAATGCATGGAAATATGGCCAAGTCTTTGTCAGGCAGCCTCTAAACTACCAGGTTAGTGAATGGAATTCTATGTTTTCTTTTTATATCCAAGTTGTTCTAACAAGTGATATGATCCTATCATATGCAAAAGGGTTACACCATGAATTTTTTAAATCTTCTTTCCAGCAAAACAGTTGTATAAACATTTACATTATTACATCACCAGGCATATTTGAATTACACTGTTCTCTATACATTCCCTGTGGTACTAACAATGAGAATGCAATTTAAGTAGGAAATGAGCTGTTTTTAAGTTGGTGCATAATCATTGCTTTCATTCTCAGGACTTAATGTTAGATCCAGTGGTGATACTCTGAGGAGAAATTGGATCCTAGTTACACTGAAGGGTTTCGGAGATAATGGTTCTCTTGCTCTTTTAAGACTAAAGTAAAAAAATGATATTTCCCATTTGTCAACAAAGAGTAGCCCCCTTCATTAAAATTAAGCCAGAAAATTCTAAGTAGTTGGCTGAGAATTCTATAACATTCAGTTCTTAATGAACACTCAAACAGTGCAAATTGCATTTATTGGTTGTGCTGATAAACAAAGCTGCTGGGAAATCACTTGAAATGATGGTCTTGTCATTGAGAAATCTTGATTGGTCTTAACAGGTTGTTTTTGAAGCAGTGCGAGGAAAGAATTACTTGGGTGACATTTCATTGGATGATATTGCTGTCAAAGATGGCTTCTGTCCACCTCTGAAAGAATGTGCATTTGAAGAAACTGGCTTATGTGGATGGTCAGATGAAAAGAGGTACTTTTGTCAGACTGTAGTGAGTTTGTTAATTACTAGTGGCCCTATCATTGCAATCACTTTTCTGTGTTGTTGAGGTGTTTTGTACACATTGAAATATTAAGTCAAAAGTATTGGGGTGTAGTTGCTGTAAAAGCTGTTATAAAGTAGGCTAAAAAGATCTGTGCCGGTAAAGAAGTACCACGGTAAAAATGATATATCTTACCTTCTAACAAAAGAATCTCATTTTTTCATTATTCCTTTTTGGTGCATATGATTGTAGTGTTGATAACTTTGACTGGACAAGGCAGAGTGGTTCCACATCCAGCTCTGGAACAGGTCCAACTTTTGACCACACTTTGGGGACAGCAAAGGGATTCTACATGTTTATTGAAACCTCCTCTCCAAGAAAAACAGGGGACAAGGCACAGCTGTTAAGCCCCAGATACGGTGCGACAAACGGAAAATGCTTGCAGTTTTGGTACCATATGTATGGACGTAGCATTGGAACATTAAATGTCCGTATTAGACGTTTGGTTCAAGGTAAACCCACCTACTTTCTACAGTGGTCCAGATCAGGTGACCATGGAAACCGCTGGAGGGTTGCGCAGGTAAAGCTATCATAATTCAATTCATTTTATTTTTTTACAATTTTCAATTCTGTTAAAACCAGTACAAAAGTGTGTTAATAGTTTCTGGAGGATATCTTTATGCAAATATCACCAGCTTTCCTTTTCTATATTTGGGGGCTGAAGAGTTTTTTTTTTGTTCCTTCTATTATCTGTGCTGCAAAGGCTCTCATTTTTTGATAATTATTGTTAATTATGGAATCTGAGAAACTCTAGTTTGTAAAGGGGAAAAAAGTCCACTGTCATGAATTTGTTTTTCTTTTCAGGTAACTGTATCATCTGTAAGTGATTACCAAATAGTATTTGAAGGAGTAGCAGGAAGCAGTTATCAGGGTGACATTGCCATTGATGATGTAGTTTTACTGGACAATGCTTGCCCACTCCCTGGTGATTGTAATTTTGAGACTGGCATGTGTACCTGGGTTAATGTGGCACAAAAGGATGATTTTGATTGGGTGCGGTATAATGGTGATACAAGGACCTTGGGCACTGGTCCTTCTACTGATCACACAACAAAGACAAAAGGAGGTGAGTAAATAGCTGAAAAGTAAGATCATACATGTAGCAATAAGTAAACATTTTTGGGTAAGGAGGTGAAGAAAGACAATTGTATTCCTTGAAGGATTGTTAAGGTGTGAGTGCTGGCTTGGCACATAACATTTCTGATGCTGCATTGGTTAGAAAAACCCTCTCTCCTCTGGAAGTTACAGCATTTCATGTGCAGAAAGAGAGAAAGAAGCTCTGTTTGGTATATTGTATTTTGGCATCTGTAAGAAAAAGGAAAAGGCTATGCCTATATGGAAATTGACTTTAAATTGCGGATTTGTCATTGTGAAAATGTTTTGTTTGCTTTATTTTTGTATTGAAAAGCACATGGTTGCCTTGAAAGAGCTTAAAACATTGCATTTAGTGTATGTTTTTCAATGGTTAAGTTCATCATTATTTTGTGATCTTTGTTGAAGGAAGAATTGTGGAGGGGTTTATGAGCTTTGGCTGTTTTTGCTTTTTGTTAATGTTGCTTGTTTATCCTGAATATGAAATGAACAGGTAGGTGCCATTTTATAGCTGCATCCTACGAACAGAAATGCTGATGCAGCTTGTTAAGTTTAGCTGATGCAGCTTGTTTATTTTAGCTGCATGCTATGAACAGAAATGTTGATGCGGCTTGTTTATTTTAGCTGCATCCTACAAACAGAAATGCTGTTTATTTCATTTTTTATTGTTTATTTCATCCTGGTAGGGTACTATATGTATATCGAAACATCAAGTCCACGTCTGCTCAATCACAAGGCCAGGATGGAGTCTGAAGAATTCCAACCAACAGGTGCATCAGGACGTTGCTTGAAGTTCTGGTATCATATGTATGGGGCTTCTATTGGATCACTTAATGTCTGGATCAGCAGCAATGGTTCATCTGGTCAGATATGGACTCTTACTGGTAATAAAGGCAACAAGTGGCAATTTGCTCAAGCTCCTGTCAGCAGTAAAAGTGTCTATCAGGTCTGAACTTAAGTTTTTTTGCATTCTGGAAAGAGTTTTTATAAAGTCACTTTTCAGGCCTAGAAAGTTATTTTAGGTTTAATCATAGAAATTTATGAGGAAATAATTGTGATCTTGAATGAGCAAGTTGTTCTTTTTGAAGCTGATTTCTCAGTCTTTCTCTAAGGACATTCAAGAGATCTAGCTATTCATTTACCTTCTTAATAGCTACACGTAATCACTTGGCTTCCTAGGAAACTAGTTAAAGGAATTTAGCACCAAGTCAAGAAAACACCCTATAGCTGATCACAGTATGTTTGCCAATCCTCATCACCTGTTAACCTGATCATTTACTAATATTATAACAAGAACTTAAGAGTTCCTTGCTTCAAAGAGAAATTGGGTTGAATACAGATTTCCTCACGTAGTCAAAATGCTGAAAAAAAATTATTTTATAACTAGACACCTTTTCCTTGCAGAGTTTTAATTGGGATGAATTAACAAATACCAGTACCAACTAGTTAAAATGTCTTCTGTATGTGGGCTTTAGTTACTCTCTGTTGACAAAGAAAATATAGAATACTTGTGTTCTTTCTTTGGTTTCCAGGTTATCTTTGAAGGTGTCAGGGGCCAAGGTCATCAAGGTGACATTGCTATCGATGATGTTCAGTTTACAGTTGGCTGGTGTGTTGTCCTGCCTCCTGGTGCAAGGCCATTAAACCCCTGGACAACCCCAGCAGTGACCACCTCACCACCTATCACAGCCCCAACATCAGGTAAACAATGATTTTATTTCCCTTGGAAGAATAATGATTACAGTCTTTGCAAAACAACCTGAAATCCCAGAGAAGTGTAATTCCTCAGGATATTTAGCTACCTACAAATGCATATATAAATAGAGATTTTTTTAAAGAGCAGAATCGAGTGAAGGGGCAAAATGGAGAACTGTTTGTTTCGGTAAATGTCTTTTCTGTAGGCATCATGTTATGCTTATATTGAGCTGGTCGAGAGTCAGCTACAATTCTTAGTAAAATGTTTTTCTTGACAGCACCTTCCATCTATGACTGCACATTTGAGAACAACACATGCACATGGACTCAAGCATTGGATGACACTTTCAATTGGACAAGGCATCAAGGGAGTACACTATCTCGGTTCACTGGACCATCTACAGATCACACCACAGGAGGTGCTACTGGATTTTACATGTACATCGAGACTTCATATCCACGAAAGCCCAATGACACAGCACGCTTTGAGAGTGCAATGGTCCCTGCCACACAACAAAAGTGCTTGCAGTTCTGGTATCACATGTATGGCCCTCATGTTGACACTCTTAATGTGTATACAAAAGTAAACCAGCAACTCGGGTCACCCGTGTGGACAAGAAGTGGCACCCAGGGAAACAAATGGAAACATGCTACTCTTTCTTTGACTGTGTCATCTAAATTTAAGGTAAACAAAAATGATGTTACTTTTGAACATCTCCATGGTATACTTGCAAGAATTTGTTTCATACAGCATTTAGTGAGGGAATGTAGAGTGCAGAGAACTTTATGTCCCATAAGCTAAGCTTTTATTATGTTTGTGGCTCAAGCTGAGTTATCTAAAAAGTGACATGCAGTTGTTTTGATATTTCTCCCTTAAGGTTGTTTTTGAGGGTCGCAGAGGTTCCAGCTGGGCTGGTGACATCGCTCTAGATGACATATCCATGCAAGATGGACAGTGTCCACCGCAGACTCAGTGTTCCTTTGAAGATCAAAAGCTCTGTGGATGGAAGAATATTAATGGTGACAACTTTGACTGGACACGAGCCAATGGCCTCACAGCCAGTTTAGGAACGGGTCCATCACTTGACCACACCACAGGAACAGCTAATGGTGGGTGTCAGTCTGTCTTGAGGGCTCAGGCAAACCATTTTATGAGTTCAGAGGTCTTTCAATAGTATGGTTAAGTCATGTAGAGAATAGCAAGTTGTTTTCTTGAAAGGTTATTACTTTTTTCTGACCATGAGGGTCAGATGCACACTCAGAATGCCCTTAAGGGTTTTGTTTTCATTTGCAAGGTGGCTGGAACTCTGACTGGGGACTAAGAGTGCTTTAACAATCTTATTACTGAAACGGAGTAAAAATATTTTGTTTCACTATGACGTAGATTCCATTTATGACTTGAATGCTTTATAACTAATTCAAATCTACACCATGGCATTTATGAGGAGAGGGAGATAAACCAAGTGGTTAAAATGCCAGTTCCTAATTCCTCTGAGAGCGAATGACTCCAATAGTCCAGTTTTCTTTAGATTATAAATAGTGGAGTCCTGAGTAGCATTGATATTCTTCTTACAATTCCACAAGTGTGATTTTCACTACTGAACACATATCAGGTTGCTATACACTTGCATTTGCATTACCAAGGGAACCAGAAACCATGGACTTGAAACACTTCAACTGTAAGTTCTATACTTAAAACATTCACAGGTTACTATTTGTACATCGAGACCTCTTCACCTCGCTCAAAGGGGCATAAGGCTTGGCTTGTGAGTCCACAGTTTAAATCAACCAATGGAAGATGTCTCCAGTTCTGGTACCACATGTATGGCTCAACCATTGGAACCCTAAATGTTCTTCTACTACAAAACAAAACCCGCTCTTCTCCAATCTGGAGCCTGTCTTCAAACCAAGGTGACATCTGGAGAGTTGCCCAAGTCACACTCAACAGTGCTGTTGACTTTAGTGTAAGTGCTTCAACTTGTTGTAATAGGAGGTAGGAAAAGACTTTAGAATGTTGTTTGTCCCATATGCTGTTCTTATCCACCTTAAATCTTTAAGAAGTTGAGAGGAATAATTTGTTTACACTAAATGTAACATTTATCGACTGTTTCTTAAAATTGAATATTTAGCATTTGCACTAAGTATATTATGTTTTCCCAAAGACAAATGTGTTATTTTACCTTCACCCAGTATTGGCCAACGTAAGTAGTTAAGCCTACATTCCTCATGAATATAATTATGGAAAAACTGAGGAAAGTGTTAAAAGCTGTTTGGATGAGAGATACAAGTTTGTGGGTCCTTGGCAGTTTTGGCTTACTTGCTCTTTTGAAATGAGGAAAGGGAAGAAAACATGAGTGTGGTATTCTCTCTGTTTGCTACCAGCTATAGCACTAAGATAACATGTATCGTTGTATATTTAGGTAATATTTGAAGGCATCACAGGCACAAGCTATACTGGTGACATTGCTATTGATGATGTGGAGATCACGGATGGTGCCTGTCCCTTACCTGGTGGGTGGATAGTTTTGAAAGTGATTCAGAAATTTGACTTGTGACTGATCAGTTAACTTAAAGTAAAACCTGTATTAATTGAACTCTTACCAGTGAGTGGGTGTTAATTGATAGCTGTTTCGCATGGTGTCCTCTTGATACTGTTTTTATAGTAATTTGAATAAAAAGTATGACCTTGTAAGTGGAAGAATGATGGAGAGGGCTATGAGTCCAATTCTTGTGTAGAAGTGTTGACCAAAGTCAAATAAGAAGAATAAGAGAAAACATTATGCGAAACTGATGACTACTCAAAATTGAAAATGCAAACTGCTTGTATACTAGGAAGATGCAAGGGACCATAACTAGTTTGCATGGTTTTAGTTTAATGTTCTTTTGGCTGAGTGAGAGAGTGTGACTTGTTTTCTCTCTAAAGACACACACAGAATGCGAAACTTGTACTGTTTTTGTCCAGTTACTCAAGGTTACCTGTAGCACCATATCTGTATGGTAATAACTTTTTTGATGAAAGTTCAATACATTTGGAAACCCATTTGATTGACTTTTCCTTGTTAAATTGTAATTTTTCACAAAGGTGACTGTGACTTCGAGAAAGGTATGTGCACATGGGTTAACTCACCAAATGTCTTAGAGGATGAATTTGATTGGACGCGAGGAAGTGGTGGAACACCAAGTCAATTTACAGGACCAAAGATTGATCACACAACAGGCTCAGCAAAAGGTCAGTATCTCTTATCTTTTTTCTGCTTTTGCATCTTTGCTGTTTATCTTTCCTTGCAAAGTGAGTGTTAACAACCTTTAATGCAGGTCTGTGGGTGCACGGTTTTTGATATCTCATGGAATTGAGCCTGATTTTCAAAGTTTTGCACAAGTAAACTTTAATAATCTCCTCATACTTATCTTTGTTCCCTTTTGGTTAGTTCTCGTCATGTTGTGTCTAAGTAACCTAACAAATGGTTAGTTGTTGCTTAAGGTTAAAATTGATTCTCACTGATGCAAAGTTTACTCCACAAACCTTGGGCAAATAATAATTAAAACTCACTTAAACTGTCAGTAGAATTTACTACAATATTTGTAGACTTCCAACCTGTTCAATTGCTATAATTACATTTGTACTTAATGTTCTCGTCAAAAAAAGATTTATAATGGAATAGTGGACAAAGAGTTTATTTGAACCCTGCAAATATTAACATATTATTTTACTTTCTTGTGAAAGGAAACTACCTGTTCATAGAGACCTCACTCCCCAGGAGACGTGGAGATCGTGCAAGGCTGGAAAGTGAAGTTTTCCCTGCAACCCCTAGCAATGGCAGATGCATGCAGTTTTGGTATCATATGAATGGAAGCCATATTGGCACCTTGAATGTGTACATGAGAGTGTATGGGCAGTCAGAGACAAAGTTATGGTCACTCTCTGGTGATCAAGGGACTGCGTGGAAAGCTGCTCGACTGCAGATTCTAAGTGGTGGTCGCCATTATCAGGTAACTCATAATTTGAGGCTTTCTCTTTAACTAGTCATGGCATTTTTTGCGTTATGGTAAACAACTGACATAGAGAATCCCAGATCTCAGATCTTTTGAACCCATTCGCAAAATGTACATGGTTTTGGCAGAAAATTACATAGTTATGCTTTGCATCCTTTTTTCCATCTCTGCATTTTGAAGCTTATCCTTTTAGGGCCAAGGAACATTCTGTCTTCCTGGTCACACAGCAAATGTGTCTGCGTGGATGGTAGTAGCTGTCTATTAGAATGTGAATTTTGTCAGCAGTGTTTGTATTTGATTGCGCATTAACTCTATTACCCCTAAGAGTGGCTAGCATCTAATTTGTTTACAATATCACCCCTTATTCCACATTCAGATCATGAGAGTAAAGGAAATGATCACCAACTAAAGAGGCTCTTGATTGCAAAACATAATTATCCTACTTAGAAATGAGAGATCAATATGGAGAATATGCATACTGATGTTAGGGTGTAAAGGGTTAAATCACCCTTAAATGTAGCTCTTGTCTTGAAAAAGATGCTGATGTCAATGATAATTCTTGTAGATCATCTTTGAAGGCATTCGTGGAGTTGATTATCAAGGTGATATAGCTATCGATGACATAACATTTACTACAACTGTTGGTAAATGTATAACAAGTCCGGTCAGTGCAGTTCCATTTGATTGTAACTTTGAAAATGGAATATGCTCTTGGAGCCAGTCTATCACAGATCGCTTCGATTGGACAAGACATAGGGGTTCAACAGGCAGTGTTCTGACAGGGCCCAGCATCGACCATACAACAGGCACAAGTAAGGATTAAATTACTGTTTAGAGACTCTGAATGTCATAACAAACCCCCATGGCTCACGTTAATTGACAATTTTTTGGAAGTGTTGTACAGATCTAATGAATACTGTGAGCAGTTTTCGTTTTGCTTTTAGCAGCTGTCCTTTGGTGAGCCTTTTGGTCTCTTTTACATCACATATCACACCTGCACTTATCGACCTTCATTGGCTCCCAGTAACGTTCAGAGTTCAGTTTAAATTGCTCCTCTTTGTTTACAAGTCATTGCGCAATCAAAGTCCTCCCTACATTAAAGATCTTTTGTCCCTGAAACCAGCTACTAACTATGCTTTTCGCTCGTCTGCTCAATCTCTTCTGTTCGTTTCAAAAGCCAACTGCTCTTCACTTGGGGATCGGGCCTTTGCACATGCTGCATCTGTTTTATGGAACTCGCTGCCACTAACTAAAAGAACAAGTAGTAGCCTCGCCATTTTTAAAAAGCAACTTAATACATTTCTATTGAGGAAAGCTTTCAGTTTGTTTATTGCCTTTGAACATTTTAATTTTAACTAGCAGAGAACTCTAACTTATGTAAAGCGCTTCTGAATATTGTTTACAGTTTTAGCGCTATATAAATTCCTTATCATTATCATTATCATTATCGTTTTATTCGTTTTCTTTTAGGAAAGTAATTTAAGGTGTTAACTTGAGGTATCTGAGGCTGACACTGTTTTGGAATGTCTACAGGTCAGGGCTGGTACGTCTACATTGAAACATCTTTTCCGAGGCAAGTCAATGATACTGCTCGCATCCTTAGTCCAACAATTAAAGCAGATGGGTCCCAAAAATCAATTCACTGTGTGTCCTTCTGGTATCATATGTATGGACCTCATGTGGACACGTTACGACTGTACCAGAAGGTTGGTTCTACCCTGGGGAAACCCAAGTGGGTAAGGCAAGGAGATCAAGGAAATCAGTGGATACAGGGAGAGTACACAGTAGAACACACCAAAGATGTACAAGTAAGTTTTAGTTATGCGTTGTGCCATTCACAATCTTCTTCAACAGTTTGGGCACCCTTTCTTGTTTTAAGAGAGCAACAATTTTGTGCAAAAATTTTCATTACGAATGAATTTCTATTTGAGTGGTATAGATAGACATCAGTTTTTGGTAGACTTACACAAATTTGGTTAAACTTCTGCATAATTGATCAAGATGAATGGCGTATATTACATCTGCATTGCTCTCCTTGTGAATGACTACAGATGGGTTTGCAGAATATGTTGTTATTTGTATGACTTATGAGCGTAGTAGTCGCTGATGCTGTCTTCTCCTTTTCTCTTACCCTTAAAATTTTTGCATCTTGTAGATTGTTTTCGAAGCAGTTCGAGGAGTAAGTTATCGTGGAGATATTGCACTTGATGATATTTCACTGAAAGATGGCAGCTGTCCCTCATCAGGTAAACGAGAAAACCTCTTTGAGATTTGCTCGGTCTGATTGCTCAAGCACTTAGTCATTTACTTTGACATAGACTAGTTTAAAATTCATTAAATATTTTTGCTAGCGTTTATTTTGTTTAAATACATTACGTGACAGAATATACTCCAACTTAAAACTTTTGAATATATAGCAGATTTGCCCGTGATGATATTTCCTTATTTTCTTGCTTTAAATGATAACTTGACCTACAAGTGCCATACATCAGTCAACATGTTACTAAACTTTATCATATTTCTTATTTAGGAATGTGTAGTTTTGAAGCAGCTGACATCTGCGGGTATCAAAACAGCTATGACACCACGGACAAATTTAACTGGCTCCGAAGCAATGGTCCAACTACTAGTATTGGCACTGGGCCAGTGGCAGATCACACCTATGGGACTGTGTATGGTAAGATTTACTTCCACAACCTTGTCAGAACCAGAAGTATACATCTAAAATTTTTTGTTTATGATTTTAAGAATCACAATAGACTAACTGTACTCCAAGCCAGGACTGGCAAGAAGAAAACTATTGGACTTTAACTTTGCTTTAAAATTAGTCAGTTTTGCGACCTGTGCTCAAGACACAAACTTGCAAACTATTTTATAGGCTTTGAAATGGTATAACATTTAGTTATTTTTTTGGCAAATGGTTATATTGAAAAATGTCTGAGTTGAAGTTAGAGCCATTTAAATAATAATACAGAATACAAGAAGAGAGGAGAAGTAAAATCAAGTTTCTGATGGTTGTATTGTTGCTTTTCAGGCCATTACATGTACACTGAGGTTTCTCCCTTAAACCTAAATGCGGGTGACACAGCTCACCTGCGAAGCCCAAGATATCCAGCCACACAGGGTTCATGCCTTCAGTTCTGGTATCACATGTATGGCCGCACCATTGGAACCTTGAATGTATATGTCGAGACCTTCTCTATATTCAAGTCTAAAGTATGGAGCAAAACAGGCAATGACAGTAATATCTGGAATGTAGCACAAGTAAACATCAAGAGTCGCAGTGGATATCAGGTATGGGGTTTTGTAAGAACGGTTATTTTAATCCATTTTGGTGAAATACAGTAACAATGAAGTATTATCATTCGTCTCACTACCTGATCACTTATGAAGATCCCAACATTTTGACTTCATATTGCGTGTCTTTGTCTTCCACTTAAACCACTCTTTAACTCACAGTAAACTTATTTTTCAAAAGATTGTTTTTGAAGGAGTAAAGGGAGCAAGCTATACTGGAGATATAGCCATTGATGATGTCAAAATAATGAATGGCAGCTGTCCATCACCTGGAGATTGCTCGTTTGACGATGGTATGTGCACTTGGACTAACGCCCGAACTGGGGATACATTTGACTGGATTGTAGGAGGTGGAAGAACACCAAGCTTTCTGACAGGACCTTCCAAAGACCACACAACAGGCTCTGGTAGGTTTTTTTATTTTATTTGCTTTTTCGTAATTGGCACAGTTCACCCTTTTTCCTACCTTAAAAATTAATGCCGACGGACCAGCCTGTCGTTGGTAGTAAATATGTTTTTTTCTGCAAGCTGTTTCAAATTTGATTCCAAAAAAATGGATTGTTGTGCAATTTTCAATGTTTTTCGAATTCTAGGCCAGTATATGTTTATTGAGACCTCATCCCCGAGAGTGCCTGGTGACAAGGCATATCTCCTCAGTGAACCTTTTGACCCGACCTCCAGTAGTGGTAGATGTTTACAGTTTTGGCATCACATGAAAGGAGCCTCAATTGGCACCTTGAATGTCTACATATACACCGGCAACTTCTCAACAATGTCTCTGCTGTGGCAGAGAATAGGAAATAAGGGCGATAACTGGTTGCTTGGACAAACGCCCATAAGAAGCAGCGTCAAGTATCAGGTGAGATGTCAGAGTGCATGTATACTTAATTTGGGAATATTCCAGATCTGCCACTTGCCACAATCTTTCCCTTTGAGCTTCCGTTACAAAATTGTACCTCGCGGATTATGCTATAAAGTGACAGGAGAACAATTTTCACGTCTAAATTAAAAAGAGTGCTGGACATGAAAATTATTATGGAGAGATCTGCTTGATGAACACCCTGACTTTTACAGGATGCAGAACATAGAACCAGCCTTGATTTTTTAAAACATGAATGGTCTATATTTCTTTCCTGTAGGTTCTGTTTGAAGGTATCCGTGGAAATAGTTATACCGGTGACATAGCACTGGATGACGTAAGCTTCACGGTTGGCGCGGCCAACTGCAGGTTGCAGCCTTATGATGCACTGCCTGTTAACATGACAACTGCAGCTCCTCCTGTCACCACATCTCCGTCTATTACACCAACCACAATAGGTAGGTCCATCCATACCCTTGAATAGATAATGCACTGTATTAAAGGAAATCATTGAATTACTCTTGCTTTTTCTTTACCCTCTGATTGGTCAAGAAAGTATGTACCATCCTTTTACACCGTAAGATGCAAAATAATCGAATAGTAACTTCGTCGCATTTTTTTAAGCCTGAGTACAGGCCCTCTACTTTAACGCTTCAGCACTAGCGTGCGTCGTACCTCATAATTAGTGCCAGACTCCCCCAGTCGTCTCATATCTTCTCGCGGGTGGGGAAACGCGCATCCTGCTGCGCGAATAAGATGACCTGTTTGCATGCTATTTTTGGCATAATATTTCGAGTTCTTACAGAATCCTCGTAATTTTTCATGGCCATTGTGGTTGTGGCCATAACTTTCATCACATATAACTGAAAGGGCTACATTCTTGTGCTTTGATTGAAACTTTCCTTCTTGCAGGATGTTTAGGCGAATATATATATTCACTGGTGACTTAACTCTCGTACAACAGTTAAGAAATATAAGGGATGTAGGTTGATGCATTCTGGAAAGTGAAATGAGGTGTCAAGCCTAATATACCATACTGTTTTTGTCTTGGTAGGAAATCAAGGAAATGACTGCAATTTCGAAGTTGGGATATGCTCTTGGACTTTTGACTCCAATGGAAAATTTAACTGGACCCGTCACCAGGGCTCCACAGCATCTTCTGGTACTGGACCCAAATATGATCACACTTTAGGAAATACAGGTGAGCGATCTGGTCCATTTAAAATTATTGAATAGATTTATTTTTGCACATCATGGAAGAGTTGAGAATTACTCAGTTTCTTGATGCATGAAAGGCTAAAAAAACATTTCCGTGGTATTTCGCTTCGATCACTTCGCGTAAAATAGTTCGTCTCAAATATTTTGCTACCTTGTAACGCTTTCTAGGACAAGGCTACTACATGTACATCGAGACATCATCTCCTCGCCAACCGAACGACACGGCTGGATTGGTTAGTCCAATTATTCCGACGTCAGGACCAACTGCTTGTGTGCTGTTCTGGTACCATATGTTTGGGCCTCACATTGCTTCTCTTAACGTCTATGTGAAGGTAGTGTTCATATGCTCATACTGTTTTAAATTTTAAAACAATTTTTCCTTTGTTTTCAAGAGATTACGGTGTTTTGCTAATACGAGACTTGGAATGAAAATCCTTTGTTCTACCAGTGTCCTCATATTTCAAGCTATTCACGGTGGTATTTTCGTGTTATCAGACTCCTCTCTTGGCATAAGAGTAACTTTTTAGTGTAAGCTATGATAAGGGCTTCGAGGGAAGACAGATCAAGAGGACAAGCCAAACCAACATAGGCTGCTGTACCAAAGTTGATTTAGGTGATGCCTTTTTTTACCATTTATGGTCTGCGCAAGAAATTAAGAGCATGAAAAGAGCAAAGCATTGCAATGCTAGCCTACTGTCAACAAATTGTTGTATTCTCAACTGATGGTTTAAATTCTTCAGATTTAGTAACTAGTGGTTCATTTTCAGGATGGAAACAATCCAAAAACTCTCACGTGGCAAAAAGTTGGCTCTCAGGCTGATGAATGGAAACAAGGACTTGTGCAATTCAACACAACTCAACGTTCCTACCAGGTATGACTCATACATTGCAGTATAATATATTCACCATGTAAATTAAATTATCCTCAAGATTTCCTTATCTATAAGCCAATGTTCATGAAAAGTCAGAAACGAACTATAGCTGGGAACAAAACCCGTCGAAAAAAAATACTTTGCAGAGCATTCCAAGTACGGTATTTTCCATAACAGCTAATTTAGAGTTGAATTCTGATTCCTAATATTTTGTACTTAAATCTCAATAAGGTTACTTTTGAGGGAGTACGTGGCTCTAGTTACCAAGGGGACATCTCGTTGGATGACATTTCTTTCCAAAACAACAATTGTCCAGCAGCAAGTAAGGACTTATCATGTGTTTTTTGTCTATAAGGAGCTGCGATATATTTTTGGGACTGTGCTAATTTCCGCGATTCCCTTGTTTAGGTTGATATGTTAACAAACAGTTTCAGCTAAGGTTTACTTTCACTAACAGAACGGACTTAGGTTTTGTCATGTTACAATCTGCCTTTTTTTATGTTATTTCCTGGCACAACAAAGTTATTCAGTCTAATGTACAGCAGTGCACGGAAAAGCCACTACGCCCATGAGTTAAAAAGGTTTCTTTTTTGTTCTTAAAACTCCACATGATTTGAACCAAAGCTGTCATCCCTTCGTTATAAAGAAAAAGACATTTTACCTCCATCCCACGCTATTTTTCAAACCTTTCGATAACTTGAACCAATTTCGTTTTCAAAAGGGGTTAGGAAAGTTGGATTCCATTATAGCTTTTGAATTCATAGTTATGACAACATGTCTTGATCCTCCACGGTTGTTTAATTAACTCATGTGTGTTTTACTTTCAGGTGAGTGTACCTTTGAGGCCTTTGTGGGATCATTATCACATACTTGCGGCTGGACGCAAGATACCACTGATGACTTTCAATGGACTCGTGCAAGTGGTTCCACTGCTAGTTACCAGACCGGGCCAGCATTTGACCACACCTATGGAACCAGCCAGGGTAAGAAATGCTAAATAATGATTTTTTGGTAAGTTTTTATGACAAGCACCCCTTTGATTTTGACTCTCCAAAAGTTATAACCTCTCCTATTCTAGTAAGTACCCCTATTCTCTCACAGTTACAGGCCCATCAGCGATTATTGAGAGTAATAGTGGTAATAATTTCTCACATAATTGGTTTTTTTTTGGTCACATATAAAAAAAAAAATTCAGAACAAAGTAGATAGTAGCAAGGGCTTGGTTGAATGTTTCAGCCGCACGCCGTTTCGATGGTAAGTACCCTTCCATGCGTTCCCAAAACACACGTAACAACTTCACAACAGGCTCGAAATCAAATGTTGAAATGGTCATCACGTTCTTGAAAGAGACATTACTTTTTCGTACAACCTTTTATATATGTTTGGGAAGTTTCTTTTAGAAACTTCTATTCAGGGAACATTTTGTCTAGTCCTTAGGATGAACCCACCTCGCATGTAATCGTGGTTTCATGTTATCACCTTGATATATTTTTCCTTTTTTTTCTGTTTTGCTTGTAGGGTATTACATGTACATCGAGACGTCTTATCCAAGGAAACAGGGTGACAAAGCAAGGCTTATTAGCCCCACTTACCCTGCTGTTAAGGGAGGCCAGTGCTTCCAATTCTGGTACCACATGTATGGCCAAGACATTGGCACACTTAATGTGTACGTGAAGTCACCATCGGGTAAACCTGGCGTGCCAGTGTGGCTTAGGTCGGGTGATCGTGGAAATATCTGGAAGATTGCTCAGGTTGCAGTCACTTCAAGCTCTAATTTCCAGGTAGGTGCATTTTTTGCAGAAACAATTATGAATCATTTACTATTATTCAAACAGTGATTATTGTTTGTATATAACATCAAATTATTAGAATTAGGAAACAGAGAAATTTATGGACATCAAATGGGAGAAGTGAGTGTCAGATCTCTGGACTCGGCGCTAAAAGCGAATCAGGCATAGAAATCGAGAGTAAATAATGTACCGTTGTTGAATAATGATTCAAATAGGTCCCGCCACACTGTTTCCTGCTCACTTTCTGTCACAAAATAAATTAAAGTAGCAAAGCCAATCAGATTGCAATATTTGTGATAAAACGCTAGCATACTTACAACAATTAATGATACTAATGGCTAATTTATAATAAGCAGGGGTAAAAATTTTATCAAGTATTTAAAGAGTTTCTGAATACCGAAAGAACAAATCATCTCTCCTAAAATTTCTTCATTATCTTTTGAACCCTTGTGGCAGATTGTGGTAGAGGGTGTAGCAGGCAAGAGCTACCAGGGGGATATTGCTGTTGACGATATGAAGTTAATCAAGAGCCCTTGTCCATTACCAGGTAAATCAGTAACATCTAAAACGATGGAAAGAGTGTTTGATTTAGAAATGGGTGAGCCAATAACTGAATTTAAAACACATAACTATTTGCCTTTTTAAGGTGACTGTGATTTTGAAAGTGGAATGTGCACCTATACTAATACCCCGACTGAAGATCAGTTTGACTGGCTGAGAAATGCAGGAGCAACTCCAAGCTGGAGGACGGGCCCAAAGGTGGATCATACTCTGGGGACTGGTCTAGGTGAAGTATTCTGTGTTGTGAGACTGCTGCAGCTGAAGTGTATTGTATTTTCTGGATTAAATGCCTCATTTTTATGAGTGGCACTTGTTCGACGGCGGTGCCCATCAATTTTTTGCTCTCTTGTCGGCGTTAACTCAGGGTGGCGCTTAATTGCCTAACTACGGTATAATAGAAGGAAGATATATTGTTACTTATAGTTGGCCTTGTTATTTACTTGGAGATGCAATGGCTTTTTGGTCCCAATCTCCCCACGACCTCAGAGCTTTATTCAGTCTGCAACGAGGCCGTTCTGTTCTGTGCTTAGGCGAGGCACATGATCCTCGCAGTAATCCTCTCCATTCAGGAATGTAAATATATTCTGGCTAACTGTTGGGAAACCTGATGTATAGGGTAATCTGCGATGGACTAGCATCACATCCAGGTAGTGGCAATACTCGTACATGGTAGTCGCTTGATACTATAGAAACCAGGATTAGCCTTTGACAGTATAGACCACTCGACTCTTGTGAGGCTGAACGAGTCTCTTGTTTTGCAGGTCATTACATGTACATAGAAACATCATCACCTCGTAGGCAAGGCGACAAGGCTCGTCTTGTCAGTGAGGACTTCTCACCAGTCACAATCCATGGAAGATGTGTGAAGTTCTGGTATCATATGTATGGTGCTTCAATTGGCGCGCTTAGAATTCTGGAGAAAACTGGTCCAGGAAACAAATCAGAAAGTGTCATTTGGGAGCTCAGTGGAAACTTTGGTGACCAGTGGTACAGTGGACAGGCCCCTATTACAAGTGGCTCGCCTTACCAGGTAATATTCGTTAAAAAAAAAGAAAGCACATGTAGTATTCAGTGACTGCTACAAGTGACTGAATGAAGTGACTGCTGTGACTCCATCAAGGCTGCAGTTTGACGGGAGTCAGGTCAGAATAACCAAATCAGTAGAAAAATTCATGTATGACTGAGGCTGATTATAATTTTCTGGCGAGAATCTGTAATTTTTCGCTGGAATGTTATATGTTGGAAATGTTCGATTTAAAATAATAATAATCAATGCAAAGAACATTTTATATTATACCTATTCTCAAAGTTTTATTGTAACGATAAAGTTCAATTTTTCCACATTTTCTTACAGGTGGTCTTTGAGGCTGTGAGAGGAAGTAGCGTCAGTGGTGACATCGCAATCGATGACATCACATTCTCTACATCAAAATGCTCTGTTGTGCCTTCCTTGGCGATGCCCCCCACTCCACCACCCACTAAACCCCCTCCCATCATCAACAACTGTACTTTTGAAGGAGGGTTCTGCTCCTGGAAAAACCTGAATGGAGATGATTTCGATTGGACAAGGAGCAGGGGATCAACGGCTTCGTGGAGCACAGGACCGACTGTTGATCACACGAAAGGAACTTCTCAAGGTATCCTGAATTAGTTTTCGAGAACACATTTTAAGTGTTTTCCGTATGTTACACCAACGAAACCTAGCGTGATGGAAAAAAATATGAGAAGGAGCCATTGAGAGCTCAAATTGCTTCTGATTGATGGAGTATTATGGACCAATGATACAGCGAAGCAAAACAAACGCAATTTCTAATTACTTTCGATACTCAGTTAAAAATTGCTCCAACGGCAAAAATTGAGTTAAACGATTAAGATTTCCTTGGATATCGTATGCTTAGTCTACAGCTATCTAAAACTCCACGAGCCTGGCTACTTATGTAATATTCGTGAGATGTGCTAAAATACAGTAGAATCTCCACGCGTTTTAACACCTCCCCTAGGCAAGTACAAATTCATAGTCGAAGCACCATACTCCCTCAAATAAGTGCATTTGGTAAATCAATTTTTGCTGAGTTTATATTAATATAACCCAATTGCTATGTCAGAAATGGGATCAGAGAGCCATACGATTTTTTTTAACATTTGCTAGGTTACTATGTTTACATCGAGACATCCTCTCCGCGTCGTCAGAACGACAAGGCACAGCTCCAAAGTGGCTTGATACAGCCAACCACGGTCACCTCAGGACGATGCCTGAAGTTTTGGTTCCATATGTGGGGTAAACACGTGGACACCCTTAATGTCTACCGTAAAGATAGCTCTTCACAAGTCAGGTGAGCTTCTCGTGTAGGAACTCAGTGCCTTTTGGTTTTTTTGTTGTTGCCAAACCAGAGTTCAAGCAATCAACATGGCCAATCAGGGAAACGGAAAATCTTATCCGTAGCCAACGAGTATTCTGATTAATGACAGGGAAATTGATGCGCATGAAAACCCTAAAGCTTGGTTTGCGTCCGATTGGTCGAGGGGATGAGACGAGTTTCTGGAGCTAGTGGAGTAAACCAAAAACAAAGCAACTGCAGTGTGCTTTGGACACTCAATTTAAATTTGCTCCATGAATTATTGCAATATGGATGATAAGCTATCATCTGCTTGTGTCATTTATCTCATTATGCTATGGGAAATATTATAGGGGCAAAACCAGAAAAACTCTTTGTTCAGTTTGCTAGGAGCCGATATAAATGCTTGCTCTCAACTGACAACTTAATGTCATTATATTGCGTAGAACGAGGATGCGAAGAGTTGGAAAAGACTGCGGTTAAATCAGATAATAATTTCTTCTTTGACTTCCTGGGAGCCTTCAACTGACAGCTAAATGTCGTTTTATTGTGTAGAATTTGGACTCGAAGAGGAACACAAGGTAACAAGTGGAGATATGCCCAAGTGAACCTGATAAGCAACCAGCCGTTCTATGTCATTTTCGAAGGGGTTCGTGGTAGTAGTTACATGGGAGACATCGCCCTCGATGATTTGGATGTTGCAGATGGGCCTTGTCCACCTCCAAAGGCTTGTGACTTTGAAACTGACATGTGCTTGTGGAAAAATACAGTGGGCGATGATTTTAATTGGCAGCGTGACAGTGGGGGGACACCGTCCTTGGGGACAGGACCTTCGTCCGATCATACCACTGGAACGAGCAATGGTGGGTTTGGATCGTTCTTGTGTTTATTCTGGTATTTATCAGATTAATTCCAGTCCAGATTAAGAAACGATCGGTAGGAAGTGAATTACAAGCAGTTTTGTTAACCTTTTAAAATGTTCACTCTCCAGGTTACTACATGTACATCGAGACATCCTCCCCTCGCCAACAAGGCGACGTTGCATTTCTTATCAGTCCCAAGTACACAGGAGCACAGAATGGCAAATGCTTGAATTTCTGGTACCATATGGCTGGGCCTCATATTGGCCAACTGAATGTGTATGTCAAAACATTTGGCTCCCCGTCGAAGGGTTCAAAGGTTTGGAATGAGACTGGTGACCAGGGTAATTTCTGGCTGTATGCCAGAGCACCTGTTAAGATCAGTGGAGATTTCCAGGTACCCCATGTCATAATTTTATGAAGTATATCTACTTTTTAACCTCGCCTGCGATAAGGGTTATGCTTAGGCTAACATGGAAAAGGACCCTTAGCAAACTGCGACAGAGACGGCAACGGTGGCGGCGACGAGGACATGGCGACACAAAGCATTTAATGAGCATAGTAGCTCAGCACGTGCGTTCTAAAGTTTTATTCATATTCCAGACGTCCTCTGTAAAACAAAAACGAAAAATCACTAAAACTTGCGTAGTCTTAGTTCGAAAACCTTGACGTTCAATAAATTATCTTTGTATTTCGAATTTAATGTTGCACTCATATTTTATGATGAAGCTGAGTAAAAGTGCCCCTCGATACGGTAAACCATCCACCCTTTCGCAAGATTCTTTAGAGAATTATGAATTCATTTCAAAAATAGACGATCACGCATATGTAGCAATGACATTTATTTATTTTCAAACCATGATGGTGGAAGAAAACTTCATTTACGACAAGTATGATGCTGATAAGTTTTACTGTTTTCTTCCAAGATTTTGTTTGAAGGAATCAGAGGCCAGAGTTATAAGGGCGATATTGCAATTGATGACTTAAGCATTGATGACAGCCCCTGTCCACCAGAAGGTTGTTCTTCGTATTTAATTATCCTGTGTTTACTTAGGGTTTTATGAATTAATTTTTTAATTCGTATTTCAAAATATGGCTTTGCCTTATCTCCTATGCAAATGATGTTCTCCTTTCGATGACCTTCAAAGCTCTCTGAGGGCAAGTCTTGACTGGAAACAAGCCAAAAAGAGCTTGATTTCAATTACACTGAAAGTTTCGTGAAAAATAAACCTCTGGGTCTTAAAGGCACAATGTTACAGTATGTCATTTACCGTCTTGGTTTGTTCTCTTGAATGTGAGTCATTAACTTCAAATTGACAAGCAGTACTGGCGAAATTACAAATTCACAGCGCAGAACATTGATTCTCGAGCTTCATAACTAGCGTACATTTCAGTCATTTTAACCAAGAACCTTTCAAGTTTTGAAAGCCACCCTCTTTTATTGATTCATACCTCATAACTAACGAACATTTCAGTCGTTTTAACCAAGAACCTTCCAACCTTCGATAGCCATCCTCTTTTATTTATTCATACCTTCTGTCCGCTTTCCTTTTTGGATATGTATGTTTTGAGTTGCTGCATAGCTTTGGAATATATATTAAATAGTTAGGAAATTATACTGGTTGATTAATAATTTCTTAAAACTGAGATATTGAATGACCATGCTAAATTCACAAACAATTTTTTTTTTAACGAAAAGCGTGTTTCCTTATTACACCTGACAGTACTGAACTTGTTTTTGAATGATTTGCTTTTTGAACACAGGAAATTGTGACTTTGAGAAAAAGAGTTTCTGTACATGGCTCAATGTACCTAATGGTAATAGGTCTTCGGGTCTGGATGATTTTGATTGGACTCTGGGAAGTGGCAGCACACCGAGTTGGCAAACGGGACCGTCGAGTGATCACACGACTGGATCCGCCGTCGGTAGGTTTAAAGTGGCTTTGTAAAAGGAGTTGTGGGTTTCGTGTGTTGAACCACTTACTGCTGTTTCACCACCGTTACAATGCCCAAGACGTATAATTACTAATATAATTTTTGATGCCTTTGATGCACTGCACTCGAAAATTTGTTTTTCTTCAGGAATTTTTATTTAATCGTTTTTATATTTGGGCTATTTGACGTATTTGTTTTTGGTTCTTTAAAGGAACTTACGCTTTTATTGAAACATCAAGTCCTCGAAAGTCAGGTGAAATAGCCAGATTGAGAAGTAAAATGTTCGCTTTCACTACTGGAAAGTGCATGTCATGGTGGTTCCACATGTATGGTGCAACCGTTGCCAACCTTAATATCTACATGAAACAAGTTGGCAAGCCAGAGAGTTTGGTTTGGAACCTCAACGGCTCACAGGTATACACATTTTCACCAACATGCTCTCTGTAACCTTGCCTACATTACACTCATCCTGCGTTAATTAGTCTTTCTTTTATTACCATTTTTTTCTGCTCTGCAGGGCAATGTCTGGCGCAAAGCAGAGGTGACAGTAACCAGCAGGACAAGCTATCAGATAATTTTTGAAGGTGTAAGGGGAAAAGACTACCAAAGCGACATCGCCTTAGACGACATTTTGTTCAACGATGGCTACTGTATAGGACTGTGTTCTTCTGTCAATTCTCAGCAGCGAGTAGACTGTGGCTATGTTGGTATCACCAAGGCAACCTGTGTGGGTCTGCGAAGATGTTGTTGGGACGATTCTGTTCCGAACGTTCCGTACTGCTTTTATCATCCTAGTGCATGCAAGAGTGTCAAGCCGGCGATGAGGTACGGTATATTGTGCAAAAGTAGCGATACCTATCCCCTATGATAAAGACGATTTTGAATGTAATTATGTGTAGCAACTGTGGCAAAATCTGCTTACGAAATGGTTCAAAAGCATCATCACTCAACGGCTCTTGCGTAATTCAAAATATGGGGCCGCTTGTTGGCGGCAAGCGGTATGATTGGATTCCGGTTTTCAATTCTCTTTATTATTCCCAAATTAACGTGGAAGAAATATGGCAAAACATCTTGTATTCTCAGTAAATTCAACGTAAATGTCGTGCATGACCTCTCTGGTGCTGAAGCGCTGTCGCTCCTAAATGTTTCTCCCAGTTGCTAGCCAGGATAAGGTTCAAACATTTATGAAATTCAATTTAAATTTTTCCAGGCAAGACTGTGGCTACGCTGGAATCTCGTCAACTCAGTGCCAGTCTCGCGGTTGCTGCTGGGATAGCTCTGTTCCAAACGTTCCCTGGTGCTTCCACGGACCCAGCAGGCCAACACCTTTCCCCACCACCCCAGCCCCACCCACAACGCTGCCACCATCCAAATGGGACTGCAATTTCGAGCAAGACTTCTGTAACTGGAACAACTCTAAGGAGGACGACTTCAACTGGTTGAGACAGTTCGGTGGTTCACCTTCTATTGGAACCGGTCCAACAGCGGATCACACAACCGGAAGTCAAAAAGGTCAGTACTCAGATTCAGTTTATTTTGGACAAATTGATGCTTTAGCCCTTTTGCTTTGAGGAAAGGAGTTACGTAATATTCCGAGTTAACCGATCTCGGATCAGTGCAGTTCTGCCACAGGAAAAAAAAAAACGGGGAAATTTTTGTTTGATCTCATTGTTTGTGAATGGTTTCGTAGTGAATTGCATCAGTTCGGGTCTAGAAAACCACACGTGGGTATAAAATTGGCTATTTTCCGCTAAAATTCCTTTAGACTCACAGAGGAAAACTGGTGGTGTTCTGGTTTAAAAATTATACAGTAAGTATTTTCACTTTATTTCATTCTCTTTATAATTCGAAATCGAGTATCTTCTTAGCTGATTCATGAGTATTTTGCTTTCTCTTTGCAGGTTACTATGTGTATATAGAAACATCGTGGCAAAGGCAGAACGACACAGCTATTCTCGAGAGTGCAGTGGTTCCTGCAACAATCGGCAAACCTAACAACATGGTTTGCTTACAGTTTTGGTATCATATGCATGGGCAGCATGTAGATACATTGAACTTGTATCTAAAACGAGGACAACAGATTCCTGCTCAACCAGTGTGGACCAAAAATGGCACCCAGGGGAACAGTTGGAAACTGGGCCAAGTTGCTGTGAGGAGCAGTACACCATTCCAGGTGAGGTTTAATTGGGGATGTTTGTCCGTAAGGCAGATTCAAGAGTTAGGAAATGGCAATTGCAGAAAAGAAGCTTGAAGATAATTCGAGCTTCGACGGGATTCGAACCTGTGTCTTCCAAATACTGGTTGGGCGCTGCTACTTACTGAGCTACGAAGCCACACGTCGGGAGTGGGGGACATTGTAGAGGGTTCTTCTTTTCCTCGGAGGAATCTGATTCAATTTGTAATGAAGTAAATTTCATCTCACCGGCGTATTGAAAATCAAATATCGCCATGGTCCTCGCAGGCGAGCAACAGTTTGGAAATTGCGTCCATCACTGTTTTTACGGTTTCCCTTGCAACCACAAAAACCTAAGATGTATAGTCGTTCTAGGAACACATAACTGATACTAACGGAATGGATTTTTTTTCAGTTTGCTTTTGAAGGGAAACGTGGTGAAAGCTACCAAGGCGATATAGCTTTGGATGATCTTCGTGTTTTGGACGGTTCTTGCCCTCTCCTGCGTAAGCTAAAATTCTTAGATTGTTATTTTTCTCTATTTAGAGTACTTAATGCATGAATCACAAACGGTTCTCTAAGTTGTGTACGCACACAAAGCAAATTCTGTAACAAAACTGATTTCATTTATGTATCTATTATCTGACTTGCGTGATAAAGATACATTTCGTTTCTCTTGCAAGATGTGATAACATGATGACGGCGTTGCAGTGGCGCCAAAACATAGTCTTGATATCCAAAATCTACAACAAAAATTTTGATACAACGTCATTGAGATCGCAATACTTTGGAATAGTTTACCGATTCTTTCCCCTTTTCGGCTCTTTCTTGGTGTAGAAGACACAGTATACGTCACACTATTGTTTTCACTGTTTTTTTATTCCCAGTTGCGATGAAATTCTTTTGTGACGTATACTGTGTCTTCTACACAAAGTAAGAGTCCCCTTTTCTATTACATTGACGCCCTGCTCAGGGAAATGAAGAGTATTGTGTCAAGAGGTCGTCAATTAAAGAGATATTTATGAAAATTTGATTTGAATTTTTGTTGGAAATTGGTGTTTTGTTCTGTATCTACGGTTTTCTTCTAGTTTTTGGAGATTATAAATTGCTTGAAATTAGGAGAAGTATCTTCTAAGGCACAGTAGTTACAGTGTTGGAGGTATAGAAATTTTCAGGTGGATACGCACGACTTGTTCCTTCCATCGTGCTATTCTCATTCATCTATCTTTTTCTTGTTTCAGCCTTATGTGACTTTGAGGATCCTAAGATCTGTGGCTTCACCCAAGACCAAGGAGACATCTTTGATTGGACGAAAGGAAGTGGTAACACGACCTCAGTCAGAACCGGGCCATCATTTGATCATACTTCCGGCACTGCATTCGGTGAGTCAAATATACAGCTTAGTGCTCGCAATTGGTGGCCATTTAGAGGAGATACATGAGATTTCCATGACTAATTGAAAAAACATGTTTCGCAGTATTTGAACATATGAATTATTCGCATATTTATGTTTCATTTAATACGAGCATTTACCATCTTACCATATTTTAGATACTTTTTCGGTCGGAGAATATTAAATAAAAAATTGACTTTTTAAACAGTTAAAAGCTGTCATGTTTATATTTACTCCAGGTAGCTACATGTACATCGAGACGTCATCACCTCGCAAACCTGGAGACTACGCCCGCCTGGAATCTCCTACTTATAGCGTAACAGATGGTAATGGAAAGTGTTTGGTATTCTGGTACCATATGTATGGAAGTGGAATTGGTAGACTTAATGTGTACATCAAACGTGGCAACTCCCTTGGGTCGAGAGTTTGGACGGCATCTGGCAATCATGGGAATAGATGGCTAAGAGGAATGATAACAGTACAAAGTCCAAACACTCAGTGGAAGGTAAGCAACTAAGTTTGAAGGACTCTATTTAAGTTTGCAGTGCAGAGGTCTTAATAAGGAAAAGGAGTTAACGCTTGAAATTGTTGGCTCATTTTTCAAGGTGCACATCCATATATTTATTCCTTAACCTTCCGAGATCAGTATGCATATTCTCCACAACATTCTTATACACTTCCCAAGGTATTGGAGAGGACATTGAACGTTTGTGTAACAATAGAGAGCTTGATTCTTTCTTGTACTCTCATGGCTCTAACATTTGATTTACGAGTGATACAGTAAGGAGAAATGCGATGCATATCAGCCCCTAGGGTTTTTGAGGGTTATACTGTATTTGATCCACTCTTAAGAAAGCGCTAGTTTGCCTCTGTTATTGACTCTATAGACTTTCTTTATTCACTCATGGCACTATTTTTGATGAATAGAAATTTCTCCGTAATGAGGTTCATAAGTTCGCTCTTAAAATTAGCATTAAAAGGAAAGTGTTTCCGTCAAGTTATTTATATTTTCTTTGTTTTCTTAGGCTGTGTTCGAAGGCATCAGAGGGCGGGGTTATCGAGGAGACATTGCTATTGACGACACCAATGTCAAAAGTGGCCCCTGCCCACCACCCGGTTCGTGTGATTTCGAAAAAGGTTTATGCGCGTATCAGAATGACTTGGTGGATGACGTTTTTGATTGGGAGAGAAACTCCGGCCACACTGGAAGCATTGGAACTGGACCATCTGTTGATCACACAACTAATTCTGTTAATGGTAATTTAGTTGTTTTACAAATATGGGCGATAAAGTGTATGAAAGACGATAAGTTGTAAGCCCTCTTTTGATGCAATAAGTTTGAGACTGGTATAAGAAATCTTTAAGCCTTGTTTATTGTTTTTTGTGTGCTTTTTGATGTTCTTTGTTGTTGTCGTTGTCGTTGTTGGTGTTGTTTTTTTAAACCAGTCATGCAGCTGAGTTGTCATTTATGATTAAGAAAATAAGCAAATGACAATGCTGAAGTCCAATCTTACTAATAAGGCGTACTATCGTATCATTTTTTTTTTCCTTTTTGAAATTTTCCCTATCTATCAGGTCTTCTATCTTCTTGCGTTTCTCATTCGTCCCATAAGGTCCACTACGCGAATAGTCAGATGTCGCGCAACACTTGTTACATGGCATAAAAAACCCTGCAAAGTATTCTTAACTTGGTAGAAAAGGAAGAGCCTCATGAAAGAAAAAGTTCGATAAACGAATTACATTTTAATTTGGTCCGTACAAAGAGGTCGCTACATAGAGAAAGATGTTTTTCGTCTTGTCACGAGCGTGGGGCAAATATCAAAAAATATTCTGAGTCCCCACGAGGAATCGAACCTCAAACCTACGGATTCCGCGCCCAGATGCTCTGGAATCCTTCTGAATGGAATCCAAAGGTCTGAGGTTCGATTTCTCATAGGGACTCAGAATTTTTTCTTTGCCCCATGCTCGTAACAAGACGAAAAACATCATTTTTATTTATTTACCGAGCTCAAAACTTCACATCTCTCTTATTCTATTTAGGTCACTACATGTACATCGAAACATCTTCACCACGAGTGAAAGGAGAGACCGCCAGGCTCGTGTCAGATCGATTTAAAATCGCGGACGGCCATAACTGGTGCTTGAAGTTCTGGTACCACATGTATGGTAACAGTGTCGGGGCTCTTAAAGTGAAGCTGAAAATGTATCCATTTAACCCCAGTAAGCCCTACTACAACACTAAATGGGCTGATCAGTACAACCACGGGGATAGTTGGTTGTTTCAACAAATACAGCTTAACAGTGCCGATGACTTTGAGGTATGCTGAGACATTAATCTCTCTGAAAATTGGTTTAGGAACACTTTGTCTGAGGGGTCCATGCTAAAGGATGACAGCTCATTTTCTAAATTGCAATCCCCTCTTTTTATTACTTTAACGTAACGATAATTTGAAAGGAATTCTTAGCAATCTTTTTTTAAATCAGAGTTCGCTGTATTAACTTGTCTGGTTAGGGTAATGGCCCTGCATCAGGAATTCTAACGTTACTTATAAGTTGACCTTGATTAAGAAGTTTTTATGTGTTTGTTTGTTTGTTTTTGTGTAATTTGTGAAGTGCTGTAATATTTGGTAAAATGTTTTGTTCAGTTAAATCGTATTTTTGAATCCACGATGAGGTGACCCTCTGTTTCTTGCTCTTTTGCAGGTTGTATTTGAAGCTTCAGTTGGTGCCTCCTACGACGCTGATATTGCCATTGATGATATTGACGTGACAAAGGGGTACTGTCCAAGTAAGTATAAGTCTACAAGCCTATCAACCTAGTGCTTTCTTGGAGGTCTCCTCTCCATACTATACTGTTGAATTTATAAAAATATTACCTCTGAAGTGGCTGATAACTGATGACGATGAACTATTGGCATTACACAACGCCCTCTTGTTAGAACAGAAAGGAACGCTCATTTGTCATAGATTGTTGCTTTATCTAAGTGCCTCATTGCACAGTGATATTATATCAATATTCTGTTGCGATATTCGATTTATAAAACAACCATCTAAGTTGGGCAGGGGAATAAGAATGGTTCTATTCGTTTTAAGATATGTCTGGTTATGCACGTTGTGCTCAGGTCGTGGACTAGCGCACCGGACATTTTTTCTTTCTTTCTGTTGTAGGCATTGAAATAAAGAAGTAAGTTTGGCTTGAAAATGTATTCAAACAAATTAACTAAGGGAGCTTTCAATGGTTGAAGTATGATACAAAAGAGGTTTGCTTTTTGTTTACACTGAAAAGGAAATTGAAAAAGATTGTTTTCCTCTTGTGTTTTAAGGTCCAACTCCTACTCCCACACCCAACGCATGCGCTGTGAAGTGCAAGTCTGGCAAATGCGTCAGTTCAACCAATGTGTGCGACTTTATTAATGACTGTGGAGTGGGTGATAATACTGACGAGCAGAACTGTGGGGACTGTACATTTGAAACAGGCAAGAAATGTTTGATTTATTGGCTCCTTCCACTGTCTTAAGTGTCATTGTTGTAATAAAGCCCTTTCCCTTCATTTTTTGTTGTAAGCCTCTATCCTTTCCAAACAAAACTCAAAAATAAAACTCAAAGCAACATGATAATGATATATAGATGCTTTGCATACCGCAGCGTATTATTATTCTCTTGTGTTAGATAGTGTTTTAGTCATCGCATACGAGTACACTTGTAGTTGTTTGCGTTTTAAATATTGTATGTATCTCAACGAAAATTTAAACTGTAAGGGTAATAAGGCTGTTCGAGAACTCAGAAGAAAAACAGTGACTTGCAATGCGGCTCACAATGAGTTTTTCAAAAGCTCGCGAGGTTTATAAAAGCGTTGAAGTGTGAATTTGTGTACTATTGCTTCTGTTGTCCCTCAATTCACTAGTTCTTGTTTTAAAAATTAGGACAATGTGGCTGGAATGACACCAGTAAAGGCGCATTCGACTGGAAAAGAGATCAGGGCGGCACACCATCCAAAAACACTGGACCAAGTGTGGATCACACGATAGGTAGTCCAAAATCTCTTGCGTAACGAAACGTGTACTTTTATATGGACGTAAAGCAGAGGGAACTTGATCGCTGGATTGTGTTGCTTGTGTTGATTGTTCTTTTGATGGATGGTGCTGTCACCGTACAAAGTTCCAAACAAAATTGATAGCCTTCCATTAATGTTTGACAAAAATTCAAACCGCTAAACCTGTGGTGAAAATATTTGCTTCCTTGCTAATATAATGCGAGCGTATGCAACATGAATGACGGATTGATGTGGAAATGATTTGGGTTTCTTAGTCTCTGACTGGAAGAGAAAATGCAATGGTCTAAATCATCCTATTTTTCCTACCAAAATTAACTCTTTCACCCCCAAGATTTTATTAATCGCCTTTGTCTCGCATAAAATTCTTTTGATAGTTGTTGGGACAATCTGGTATTGGATCAACTAGTATTTCCCTAATTGATATTTTTTCTTTTTCTCATAACTTATCTGCTGGATTGATATTGATGTTGTAAGGAGAAATTATGAAAGAGTTAAAAACTATTAGTTATAACCCCGAAAACGGCGCGAAAATGGTCGCTTCCCAACCGTTGAATATGAGTCGAACAGAATGCTAGTCAAGGGAGGAATGTAAGCTTTTAACGAAGACTCGATCCTGAGACCTTATTATGTATTTCGTGGTCCCATGCTCTGCCCAAAATTCGGTAGTGAGCCGAACGCCTTATGATAGGTTCATACGTGAAAAGCATCCTGCCTGCTGCAGCCATCAAGAGGGTAAAAAATTCTGTGTGTGTGTTTGTGCGAAGAGATAACTGAAGAAAAATGGTAAGTTTCGAGCTGTCATTAAATAATTTTTTCTCTCCCTCCACTTCCCCAAGGCACTGCACTCGGTCACTATATGTATGTAGAGGCTTCGAAAGGTAATTCGTGGGATCTGGCGCGTTTTGAAAGCACTTGGTTGCAACAGTCTGCATCAACTTGCGTGGTTAGCTTTTGGTACCACATGTATGGCAATGGAATCGGTACACTGTATGGTTATATTAAAGTTGGACAGATTTACACGAGATTGTTTGAAGAATGGGGTAACAAAGGTATGGAATGTAAAACACGTTTTGCTCTGATTCATTTGTGTAGCATGCTGCCGCAAAATTGTACTGTTGAAAAGAAAGACTCTTTGAAGTGATGATTGTACTTTCTTACAATTTAACAAATAAGCAAGTGATTTCATGTCACAGGCCAGGAAATGGATGCTAGACTTCTGAATTTTGGTTGTTGACTATTACTTTACAAAATAATCTCATGAAGACAACATTTCTTTAAACAAAGTGTCATGGGAAGGTGGTGAACCTTACCTTCCGAAAGGGGAACCCGCAATGTGTCGCATCGAAAGATTTGTTGTTTGAGTAAAAACTGTCATAAGACCTCCAACATAAATTTCTGTTATAATTGCATCTTGTTTAAGTTCTTGTAAAGAAGAGAGGTTTATCGTAACTTTTGCGACAATTGTGCAAATGTTGGCTAACTAAGATTCTGTTCGGTCCCAAGGTAACAAGTGGATCCAAGGAAAACTGTACGTTGGCCGTCACTCAGGACCGTTCAAGGTCATTTTTGAGGCAGAGAGGAGCTACAGTGTTTTTGGTGATATAGCTATAGATGATGTTAGCTTCGAGAATTGTACCCTGCCTCCTGTTGTTAGCAATTGTAAGAGAGGTCAACATCGATGTGCCAGAGGTTCCTGCATTGATCCAGGGCGTCTCTGTGATTATACTGACGACTGTGGTGATAACTCAGATGAAGTCAACTGTTACAGTTACAACTATAGGTATGGTGTCGAGGTCACTTGTCAATTCGAAGCTAAACTTTCGGTGATTTGGTAAACAGATGGTACAATGATTTTGCATAATAGATGCGAACAGACCCTCGAGTCTCTAAATCAAAACTTCGACTAGTAGAAAATTGTAGATTGCTGAATATGAAAATTCGTTTTGCATCTATCAACTTTTTCCTCGTAATTTTATCATTGTTGGAAAAATAGATGCTTCTAAATTGCGTCTAAATTTGGCCAAAGAAACACCTCCTGAAGTTTTTCTTAGCCTAGTAATCGTCGAAAAGTGCCGCAAATTAAGGAACGTACTGAATTTTTCCCCCGTTCTTTTTATACTGTCCTCCTAAATTAAATTCTGGTCGATAGGCAAAGAGCGTCTGGAGGGTTGGTAGCGACATTAGACGGCAGAGGCAACTTGCCTTTTAGAATGTAGATTGCACTGAATTTCTCGCCATAAGCAATTAACATTTAAGCTTAGCTTTCTTAAACTTTCAAGGAGATTTTGAAAGTAGTTGCAGAACTAAATTGTGCTTTTTTTTTCTCCATAGGTGTACCTTTGAGCGATCTTTATGCCGGTGGAATCAACTGTCTGATGATGACTTTGACTGGACGAGAAACCAAGGGTCTACAGGTTCTTACGGAACGGGACCTATGTTCGACCACACTCTTGGCAGCTCAGCCGGTAATGTGGCTTCATCACAATGTTCAGATAGGAGATGGGGATGAGCTGCTCTCAAATATTGTTAATGGAGAAAGCTGCTGAAAGAAAAACTTGTGTTTCTCCCAATGCAATTTATTTTGTTAAGTCGTGAGATTGATTTAGTCTTGAGCAAAGTTATAAAGGTTCCTGTTGACCCGTTTACCAAATTAGAAGATTCCTCCACCATTTGCCACGCGTCCAAAGCTGATTAGGGTCTTTTAGAAAGTGTCTGTCTAAGTTATTGACTAAATTTTGTTCATTTCAAGCGTTGAAATGTAATACCCTAAGGTCTTAAACCTCCTTCGTAATAGATGCAAATTGTAACTACATCTTCAATCTTCAAAATGCCGTGCATACAAATTTGATATACGCGAGTTTACTTTTGAGTTTAGTGGGCCAATTTCTCCCTTCATTTCCTCTCAAATGTACGGCTTTTAAGTCATCCCAATTTAGCTTTATGTAGATTATCAACGACAAATGATGTCCAAGCATTGTCCTCGATAAGAATTAGAATTAACGCCGCTTCCTTTCACTTTGTTTTGTTGTCCAGGATCTTACCTTTACTCGGAAGCTTCTTGGCCACGTAAAAAAGGCGACAAAGCTCGTTTGGCAAGTGGTTTTATAAGCGCTTTGCCCCAAGGTGACACCTCTTGCAAGTTGAGGTTCTATTTCCACATGTTCGGACCCGCCATTGGTTCCCTGAATATCTACACCCGGCCGTGTAACGGTTGTGCAGAGACTCTTGTGTACACGAGATCAGGCAATGTGGGCAACTTCTGGGATCGCGCCGAGGTTTCCCTTCCGAGCACTGTCCCATTCCAAGTATGAAAATTGATTCTTTGTTGACTGATATTAGCATTAAAAGCTGAAAAAAATTTACGCAAGATTCTTTATAGACGGTAGGCTGTATTTTCTGCACGTTATTTTGGGTTAAACATGAAAAGCAGGCTATCTCTAATACACGTTGACCCGGCTTTGTTTGAGTCAAAGTGGAAAATTTGTTACTGCTTATTAAGAGCTTTAAACGTTCAATGGTACACTTGAAATTTGGGTCAAATGTCGTTTCTTTTCCCGCACACTTTTGTAAGTTCATTTAATTTTGCCGCTGTCACTGCCACAGTCTAATAGCCTTTGCCATTTTCCATTGGTATAAGTATTGTCTTGGCTATTTTATTACTAACTGTAAGAGCGTTTCCTATACATTTGTTTGTTTTGCACTGAATTAATTTAATTTTTTGGGAGGAAGGTAACTAAAATGCCCACGGAGCACTTAAGTGCAAGCATTAAAAACATGCTTGTTGCTTCCAGGTTGTTATTGAAAGTGTCCGCGGTACAGGCTATCAGGGTGACATTTCCATTGATGACCTGTCAATGACCCAGTTCTGTCGCTCCTATAATGGACCAATTCCAACAGCGCCTCCGCCAACCACAGCAGCCCCAACTGTCCCAGTATGCCCAGGCTTTAGATTCAAGTGTTCTAATGGACCTTGTATCGACTGGGGATATGTGTGTGACTATAGGGATGACTGCGGAGATGGCTCAGATGAAGTTAACTGTGGTATGTATTAAGTTCAATCAGCGCTTTCAAAACTGTTCCTCATTTTCGTGACTTAACCTTCCATAGTGGTTGTATTTGAAATTTGTCCTAAATACGTGTGCTAATGATCTGTTGCTTTTTTGAAGGTCCTTGTGATTTTGAATCTGGCTTGTGTAATTGGAAAGATACCAGTCTGGGGGCGTACCAGTGGAGCAGAAACAAAGGTTCAACCGTGGCAACGGGCACAGGACCCAGCATTGACCACACCTGCGGAAATGCTTCGTGTGAGTTACCTTTTACAGTTAACTACAGTTACTTCTTGAACCCATCTAAGCTAGCAATAAGTCTCTCAGGCATGCCTGTTATTTCATTTTTCCCTCCTCTCTTCTAAGGCATAACAGTATACAGGACGCATGTCGCTTATCTTACCTTAGAGTTCTTTCTAACTGGAAGGTAGAGCGCTGAAGGTCAGAGGCTTTGACCTTCGTGGGGCTCAGAATTTTTTCTTTGTCCCACGCTTGTGTCAAGACAAAAATGAAAACGTTTACTCGGAAGGAGAAACGAAGAAACGAGGATAATTCGAACAGGATCTCGATCTATGGGTATCGATTGGTTCTTTAGAGTCATGGAGACTCATCGTAGTAAGGATCTTGTGACAATCTTCTAGCATAATGCTACTGGAGAGTTGCAAAGGCATTAATTTGGCCTGCCAATCTCATAATTTGTTCACATTTTAGGTTACTACGCCTATGTCCACTCCGGTGCGGGGTCATTCTTCGATGATGCTATTCTTCAAAGTCCTAACATGACCAAGACAGGAGCAGGTTGTATAGTGAGGTTTTACTATCACATGTACCTCAAGAGCGGCAGTGCCTGGACTGGATCGCTGTACTTAAAGCTTAGCTACAAGGGATCCACCTCTAACATCTTTGAAGTATCCAGTAGCAAGGGTGACAAGTGGCAAATGGCAGAAGTTGGATTGGGTCATTTGGATAAAGGTCACTAGCGTTTCACCCTCGCACCATAGGCAGGGTTCTTGTCAAAGTTACCTAAGCAATTGTTCAAATATGAAAGCCTATTTCATTCGACATAACATCTTTCTTGTCTTCTGTGCAACCAATGTTGTGAAGATAAGCAACAGATGTTATTACTTTGAAAATATATCATAAGTGGAAGGGCTCTAGCTTGTTTTGACCTTTTTGTCCCACGAAGTAGCGTCTCGAAAACGAGGTCTGCCCTGTTTTTTTTCCATTCTGGAGGCTCAGTGATCTAGGGTTGACAAAATGGCGTACCAGGCGCCCCCCCCACAGCGAGTGATGGGGGGAGGAGGGAGGGTGGGGATAGTGGGAGCTGAGTGAGAAATTAATATCCTATGGAAAAAATGGAAGAAAAACTTCGCAGCTGTGCCTTTTGTCCTGACAATTTTATTTTTATACTTGTATCGTAGATTTCAGCCTCCAGTTTACAGCATCCAAGTTTGTACAGGCGGCTGACATGGCTGTTGATGACATCACATTCCCAGGCTGTGCCTTGGCACCTATTAGAGCTTGCATTTCTGGAGAATACCGCTGTACCAGAGGATCATGTGTCAAGCCTAATCAGGTGTTGTACTTCAATCTTTTCAAGGTGTTAGGCGGTGTAAACGTGTTTGGATTTTATTGAGAACAGTATTTTAAGTAGTCTAACTCTTGACTATTTAGAGACAGATTTTGACTATCTTCTTGTGGCAGCATAGACAATAGCAATAATATGAACAATTGACAAAGTATAAAAGTGAAGTTCTTGTCATTTTGTACTGGCCTATTCCGTCGGAAGATTGAGGTGTGTTGGATGGGACTCACACCTACGTGGGTGTAATGAAAAATCCTGAATAGAGTGGAGTTGAAAGATTTTGATCCCGCAATGTTAGATGAAGAAACCGGTTAAGATATCGAATTCTTTGTTTCTGTCATTATTAACAAGGCCAGTTAACATTGAATTTGCTCTTTAGCCGAAATATTCACCATGGGGGCAAAGAAATCCAGTTACTGAAATTGAAACCCGTAGTATGATCAGTGTTTCTGTGGGTGACAAAATCAGTATCTTTGGCCGCCTTTAAAAACTATCTCGTGCATGTCAACTGCCCATTAAGTGAAAGTGGAGTTACTAAGACCAATTTTTTATTTTAAAAGATCTGTGATTTCTCTGATGATTGTGGTGATGAGAGCGATGAACTACCCTCAACTTGCGCAACATACAAGGAAAGATGCAACTTTGAAAGAGACCTCTGTAGCTGGACCCAAGACACTGACGACATCTTTGACTGGACGAGACAAAGTGGTGGAACGACGTCATGGCTGACAGGCCCTGGCAGAGATCATACCACAGGTATGGCAACTTAGCTGTACTAAGCGTGCGTGATCCATCTTCTTTCTAATAGATTTCAGCTTTCTAACAACACTGTAAGTCAAAGAAAACTCAAAACTGTATTTAAGTTTGGTAGGGGTGGGTGGAGGAAGAGAAGTCCAATATAACCAAGTTGAAAAAGCAATGAAACCGCTATGACGCGTGCTACTTACTGGAGGTCCTTGTCGCAAACACGCTCTTAGCTGCAAGGGGTTAACGTTGATTTGATTTTTTTTTAACCTATTTCTGCGAATATCATTTAGGCACGACAAAGGGTTTCTATGTGTACATAGAGACATCATCCCCAAGGAAAGCTAATGAGACAGCTCGATTAAGCAGTGTGGTGTTCAGGCCCTCTGGGCCGAATGACAGTTGTTACCTGCGCTTCTGGTACCACATGTTTGGACAAGACGTGGATTCCCTTAACATCAATTTTAGAACATCGGTGACAGGACCGTTGAAGGGAATCTGGAACTTGACAGGTAAAGAGACGCTGGTTAGGATTTTTTTCTTGGTTCTCTGTAGGGGGCTCGACTTTGTAGTCGCAAATCGCATGCTTGAATCTAAATTTTTCACTTGTAGGCTTCAAGAGCAAGTTAAAAAGCATGGGAAACTACTATGTGGAGGGAATATCATTTTTCACATGCTTTTCAAACGTGTCACATGCGAGACTGAGCCTAGAACTTTGCATTACGATCGCCTCTGCGTTAGTATTAAATATTCAACGACTGTTTCTTCGAGAAACAGTTCATTTGGTTTCCCGAGAACCTTAGTAACTCCCGAGCCGGAGCCCTGGGAAACATCGATTTGTTATATAGCACAATGAAGGCTATAAACACACTAGTGATTGAGGGTTTATAGAGTGTAGGTTTGCTCTTTAATTAGCTCAAAACTTCTTAACTCCCGTTCGTTCCCTTGTAGGTGAACAAGGTGACATCTGGAGGCGAGCCGAGATCCTTTTAGTAAGTGCAGTGAATTTCCAAGTGGTGATTGAAGGAACAAGCGGTCCAGGTTATCAAGGGGACATCGCTCTGGATGACATCTCATTCACGCCAAACTGTCGCCCAGATACCACCGCGACAATTTCACCAGACCCTCCCACTGGAACACCACCTACCGGCTGTGACGTTGGGCAATTCAGGTATGTGGAGGACTGAAGCTTTGAAAAATGAAGAAAAATGAATGAAAAATGAGTAAAATGAGAAAAATGAAGTGAAGTTTGAGAGTCATGCTCTAAAGGTGATGTTGCTTGTTTTTCTTTTTTTCTTTTTGGCTTCTAATTAAACTGCTGCCCCGCGTCAAAGCGAGATGGGTGCCTTAGCCATCCAAATTCTTACACAGTCGGACATTGTTGTTAAACTACTTTTTCTAGTCATTTTCACTACTAAACAATCCCCAAAATGTCAATTTTCCTTCAGATGCTCGAATGGACAATGCATAAGTAGCAGAAAAGTCTGTAATTTCCGCGCAGACTGTCGTGATAAGTCAGATGAAGTCAGCTGCCCAACGAAATGTGACTTCCAGAAAGACTTCTGTAAATGGACGAACGCTCAGGCTGGAGATCATTATGACTGGATTCGTAACAAGGGTCCAACGCCCTCTAAACTCACGGGACCCTCGGCGGATCACACTCTCAACACATCAGCAGGTCAGGTTTATTAATTGAATAGAGCGGAGCAAATTTTTTAAGTAAGGCGAAGTGCAACCGACGGGTGTGACTCCTTCCTTATGTCGCAATTTTCCGTCTCAGTATTTAGCTTTCATATGGTTTACTTGCTGTAAATTGTGCTTCAGGCTATTATATCTACACCGAAGTCACCAACCGCACAGGCTTCCGTGCTGATGCACATTTGGTCAGTCCGTTCTTTAGACAGGCTGGTAAAACTTGTAAGTTCAAGTTCTGGTATCATATGTTTGGTCCAAACATCGGATATCTGCAGGTCTATTATCGTAGGAATTCACGTGATCAACGGCTGTTTAATATCTATGGCAACCAGAACAATCAATGGAAGCAGGGTAGCGTGGATGTTCCAAGATGTGCAAATGACTTCCAGGTGAGTCTTAGTGTCTCGTCTTGCCAGATCGTGGTGCTGTGCTCTTGCACAAGTTAGTCATATATTGCCTCTCACCACCACCCACGAGTATGGAGTTCTCCTGGGTGGAGAGGATTGGCTTCCTTTCTATGTGGATACGTATCTTATAAGGATAAAATTTTCGCGGCGTGTTGAGTTGTAAGTTCCGTCTCTTGAGCCGGTGTAAAACGGTATCTTTTCATGGAACAACTGGCTACTTTTAACAAACTTTTCCATTTCCCTTTGCAGATGGTTTTTATGGCCAAACACTACTCAGGCGGTAGTCTTGGTGATATAGCCCTGGATGATATCAGTTTTGAGAACTGCGCTCAGCCCCTTCCACCCAGCAGCTGTAGAGGCAGCAATGCATTCCGGTGCGATAGTGGACACTGCATTGATCAGTCAGTCAAGTGCGATTTTGAACCGGACTGTTGCGATAGCTCTGAGGAGAAAAATTCGACCTGTGTGAACTACAACAGGTAAAGTGATGTTGTTGTTTTTAACCTGAGATTTATAGGGGAGAGGGCAACTTAGAACTCTGGACAAGTCATTGAAGACATACATTATCGTCAATTAGAGTTGTGAGCTTTAAGATCTTAAAATGACCTCCCTTTACGAGATCCATGGTCACGGACGTTTTGCATACTGCTAGGATATGGATGTCGATATGTGATGCTTCTGCGCGATGATTATGTAACTAAAAATTGTAACTTTTAAGCCTGGTTATTTAAGTGATAATTGTTGTTATTCGGTGAATGACAAAGACCTACTCGGAGGAAAAGTGTTCGGACCTGCGACCTTCCGATTAGTATTTCGAATGCTTTACTCTGAGCTGTAGGAGTCTCATGGAAGGCTAATTTTGACAGTTACAGCCCATATAAAAGTGTTTTTCTGATTCACTATTTTTTTTGTAAAACAGATGTAACTTTGAAGGAGGCCTCTGTGACTACATGCAGCTTGCAAACGATACGTTTAACTGGAGGAGGCAGTCGGGTCGAACAGGCTCGTACGGAACTGGGCCAACTTATGATCATACTACAAAGTCTCCTCTTGGTATGTCATATCACAACGGAAACGGTGCAAGAAAATGTGTAGTCTCCGAAGTAACTATAAGCATAATTCGCATAGTTGCTACCTGCACGGCAGCGTGTACCTGAAAATGTACCTCACATGGGCCGCATAAAAAAAATGACGTTGTGACATACAAAATGTGTCCCCTATAGTGAAAAGAAATTTCGCAGTTGTCTTGACTCTAGCGGTGTTATCTTTGGAACTAACTAGAAGATCGTAACTGTCTGAGGCCAGGGTCGGTTCCTATAAAAAGACTTCTGAGAAGCTTTACGTAAAAAAAATGGTGTTGATGCGGGTCATGTGATATGGTAACAAAACAAAATAGACAGCATTAAAGAACACCAGGGAACATAGGCAAAGACGAAAATGCTAGTAGGACAGAGACACTTTGTACAAATCTTAAACTTGATAAGGTGTTTGCCATGTTCACAAATTTAAAGTAAAACATAATATATCCTATGTTTTGGCAGGCTATTACATGTACATTGAAGCATCCTCGCCGCGCAAGAAGGGTGACAATGCCATGATCGGGAGCGCTGTATTTAAGCCAACATCAAGCGCATGCTTAGTAAGGTTCTTCTACCATATGTATGGCAGCCATATCGGAACACTTAACATTTATACAAGAACGAGTACCACTGGTGCAATGAATAGAGTCTGGACACTAAGTGGAGACCAAGGTGACCAGTGGATAAGAGGAAATGCTACCATAAATGTGAACCAAAACTTCCAGGTGAAGAATGTTTTGTAAATATTGCAGATACTGAGCTGCGTTGTTTGGGTCAATGTTGAAGAGCTGGGTTTGAGGTTGCCAGGCACGTCAGAAGTCTCTATAATGTTTTCCTTCACCAACACGCGTCACTTTGATTCTGTACAGTCAGGAGTCGACATAAGTAACACCAAACTTTCTGAAATGCCTTTGTAATATATGATAGGCTGACGTTCCATCCATTAAAAGTTTCTGTGCTTCTAATTCTTCCATGTTACGGAAAGTTACATTAACTTTGGCGATGTGGGATAGTCTCAACTTTTTCTCTAATTTTCTTTATTTTTATTTTTATTAAACTTGATGTAACATCATCACTTTTTTCAATATTCCTGCTTGCGATCGAATCGCCCCATTTTCTTAGTGTTTCTATTTAATTAATTCGGCAGACACGTAACCTTCTTACGGTTTTCAACAGGTTATATTTGAAGCTGTGGTTGGCACATCCTATAAAGGAGACATCGCCATAGACGACATAACATTCACACCTCAGTGCGTTGTCGGTGGCTCAATCCCAGGTGACTATTTACTCGTCCTGCAATTCTCTGTGGTATTTTTGTGTTTCGTAAACCCAGTATTATTATGGAGACTTCCAGCGTTTTCAACTTCACGCCCTTGATGAATTAATCTAAAACGAGACTGTGATGGAAAAAAAAAAAAAGGGAAAAATGCAGTATCTATATTCTCCATACCCTTCTGTATACATTTCCTTTGTTTCTGACAGGGAGAATTTGTTTAACAATCAACAGCTTCTTCAACTGGTGATCATTGTCGGTATTCTCGTGACGTTATTGTTTGATTCAGGGAGTGATATTGTTTGGAGAAATTAGATGCTAGTCACTCTTTAAGGTTAAAGGGTTAACCTGACTTAGACCATTAACGGATTTGGACGTTTTAGGTTTACCAACACCGTCACCTACTCCAACCTCGGCGCCAGTCTTCAAATGTGCCAAAGATCAGTACTGTGGCTCTCCTTGTGATTTCACAAAGGATATGTGCAACTGGAGTAACTCCAATTTGGACAACTTTGATTGGACGCGACATCGAGGTTGTACTGCAAGTATCAGTACTGGTCCATGTACTGACGCCGATAAGAATCCTTCTGGTCAGTTCAATAATTCTTATGATTCTTAGGCCAATGACACATGGTACATGATCTTTGCTCCTCACGAAAAACAAAAAACAAAAAACAAAAAAAAAAAAAAAAATATATATATATATATATATATATATAGGAAGTCTTTGTATTGATTTTTCCGTTTTACAGTGCTCGATACGTAGAAGTAGAGCGTGATATATGTTGCGATAGGGGAAAAAACAGAGAGACTATACTTTCATCCCTACAAGCCTGTTTCGCGATTGCTCACTCATCAGGGGATTTTCTATATATATATATATATATATTGTTTCCTTTTTTCTCCTCTATTTATTAACAGGTTACTACTTATACATTGAAACATCAACGGGTATAGTTGGATCGAAGGCTGTGCTTGTTAGTCCCCAGTACCAGCAGGCCTACAGTAACTGTAAACTGAAATTCTCGTACCACATGTATGGAAGCACTGTCGGTAGCCTGGCTGTATTCCTCAACGATGGCACCTCCAGGACAAGAATGATGATGCTCATTGGTTTGTACTCTAAATAACTTGTTTATGACAGTTATAGCCCTCTCCACCCTTGTACTGACGTATTTAGCGATTGCTTATCCCTTCACACCTTAAAATCAGAATGCATATTCTTCAAATGTTCTTCTAATTATTTCCTAATATGCCGACATGGAGAATTTGTGTAACAATCAAGAGCTTCTTTAGTCGGTGATCAGCTTATTCTCCTGACCTCAATGTTTGATTCAGGGATAATATGGTGCGGAGAAATTTGAAGAAGTTTTGAGAAGTTTGCCTGGTTTTTTACTCCAAATTCTCATTGGCTTATGTTGATGTAAATGTTTGTTTTGATTGGCTGTTGCAGTTACTATGGTTTGAAATTTTCAACAATCCTTTTAAAGGCAACTTATGTTTCTTCTCATCCCCTGGTTTCCGTAGTGCATATGATTGCGATAAAAGTTGTATTTTAACCACTTCTCGGAGTCAATAGATCGAATAAGTGATAGTATGGCGGGATCCGTTTGCAACTATTATTTTCCTACTAATGAATTTTATCATTTTTCGGTGCACTCAAAACTTCGTGTATTATTTCCCGGTAGGCAACCAAGGGAACCAGTGGTTTCAAACGGTCGTATCTATCGGACGTCGAAAGACCCCATTCACAATTGAATTCGAGGCAATGCGTGGAGTTTCTTGGAATGGGGACATTGCTATTGATTCCATTTCGTTGCTAAGCTGTGATAAGCCAACTCAATGTAAAGGTTCTCTTCCGTCAGATACTCAGAGGTGAGGTATAGTGATGAGATAGAATGATTTGTTTGTATCCGTCGTGATGGTTCCTTCGCTCATAGACGAAAAGTGTTCCAGCACTTTTTCAGAAATGTTAAATGATAGAGACCACACGAAATAATGACGGTTTTGTCGAGAGTAGCTAAATTTTTGTTTTTCTTAACATCTATACAGCTTTTAGGGTCAAAATGATTTTTGCCTCATTGCTAGGAAAAAAAATTTTTTCTTGACGTTTATGCAAAAACAGATAACGATTAAAAAATCCGCGAGATTGAAAGTTTACGAAGGTTTTAATGCTACATGATTCTTGATATAGAGAATGTGTTTGTACATTTAATCGCCTTTCACTGTTTACCAAAGGTGCACAAACGGTGCTTGTGTTAAGAAGAATCTCCTCTGTGACTTCTCCGACGATTGCGGGGACAATTCCGATGAAACTTCGTGCAGTAACTACTTGGCACGCTGCGACTTCGAAAAGGATACGTGTTCTTGGATACAACAATCTGATGATGACTTCGACTGGAGTAGGAGGAAAGGACCAACTCCATCTCTCTCTACTGGTCCCGCGCGAGATCATACTTTTGGAACTTTGGCAGGTTAGAGTGTAAACTGATCTTGGTCAAAACTGATTCCATCAGCCTTAATTCCATGCATTGCTTACAGAGAAATTAAAGTGGAAGAAACATCATCAAACTTAGTTGACCTGTGTGTAAAGGAAAAACTGACTGGAAAATGTTTAAAGAAAATTTAAAAGTTGTTTACCTTCTAAATAATAAGTTTGAAATTTTCTTTCAGGTTATTACATGTACATCGAGACTTCAGGAAAGAAATTTGGAGACCGCGCCAAACTTGGCAGCCCCAATTTGAAAGGGCAGTGTACTCTGCGCATGTGGTATCACATGTATGGTGTGCACGTCAACGATCTTGTAGTTTACATGCGCAATACGTCTGATGGACCACTCCAAAGAGTTGGTAATTTGTCTGGCAATTTAGGAGATAACTGGATAAGAACTGAGCTGAAAATGAGTAACGGCAATCAACCATATCAAATTGTCATTGAAGGTTGGTGCAGTTGAGTGATTTTGATTGTGTCATTTTGTTCTGTTTTGTGTTAGGGGGTATTAAACCATGAAGATTAGGCAATTCTCTCGAATTAGGCTCTTTCTCATGAATCAGGCGTTTCCCTAGAAAGCGAGAGTTTTCCCACGTTTTATTAAATATTCCGTCACAATAATGGAATATAGTCACTAATCAATTTTACAAGACAGTTCTCTTTTGTGACTTTTAGCTCTTCAACAATTGATTAGTCTAGCCGGCAAATTCTGATTGTAAGGGCCCGACTCTTGCTTTTAAGCTCATTTTGAAAGTGTATCCTCTTGGAACGCTTCAGTACCTCACCTGACGTCAAACTGCAGTCTCTAATTAGACGTGGATTAGTTCTGCTGTGGTTCATGTAGGAGAGCCCTCTAATTGACCATTATATTGTTTTTTTGTATTAAGCTGTGAGAGGGAATGGCTACAGGGGAGACATAGCCATTGATGATCTTAGCATTGCCATGAAGCCTAGCTGTCAGTTGTACGGCGGGTCACTGCCTGCTGTTGGTTCAACTGTGAGTCCAGTCACAACAGCATATCCTAACAACTGTCAGAGTAATCAGTTCGGCTGCGTCAGTGATGGCAAATGTCTTCAGCTTGGTCAGGTCTGCGACTTTAACAAGGATTGTGCTGATGGCTCCGATGAAAGAAATTGTCGTAAGTGATATAATATTTCCCCTTCTTCCCTATTTTTTAGCTATAGTAAAAACATGCGATGAAGTTTCCTCAGAGCTACAGCACATTTGAATTTGCACTCTTGGCAATCGTTAATCACACTTCGATGAAATACAATGTTAGCTGGTGATTTACCGTTCATTTTGAAAAGTCGCCGGGATCGGCTCAATTCTAATCCATAATACCGGGGGTATTTGTCCTTCTGTACAACAATAGTGACTCGTCCGTTTTCATATGAAGTCTGCTATTAGATTGACGACAAATAAACTTTGTACATCCAGATTCAAAGCGTGGTTGATGTTTACAGTTATCTTGAGGAAATGCTGCCTCTAATTTCCCTGCTGTCTTAGATTCTCAGATGGACTCGTAATACTCTTTTTTCGAATAATTCAAACTATTATTAAGTTGTATAATTAATATTAATCAGAGTCATTTCTTATTTTAAAGTCATTTTCTGTGGACGGACACTGTGGTTTTAAATGACATAAACTTTGGATCTATCATTTCTTACCTTGTTCTCTGGTTATGTAATGAATGGTTTTTGTAAAAAATAATATTGTTGGTTATTGCAGCGACCAAATGTACTTTTGAAAGCAACCAGTGTGGCTGGGTAAACACAGATAAAGACAACTTTGACTGGAAGCGCAAGCAAGGCCGAACTCCAAGCTATGGTACCGGTCCTTCCGTTGACCACACGACGGGAACAAATCAAGGATATTACATGTACATCGAGACTTCGTATGGTACCGTTCGTGACCGTGCAAGAATGCTCAGTCCTGTTTTCAAGAAGGTATGATATTGGGTCTCAAAACGAAGACCAATGAATATCGGCTAGTGGTAACTTGTAATTTCGTGTTCTGGCGACAAGAGAATATTTTAACCACTTTCAACTCTCAAGATCTAATTTGCAGCTTTACCATCTAGCCTACGCACATTTCCTTGTTATTAAGCCAAGTTTAGAAGAAGTGTGTCTTCAGAGATACCACCATGAGCTGATCAAATTGGCTTTCCTCATCATCTGTTAACCAGATATTGTATCGAAATTTCCAGTACATGTTACAATTTGATCGTGCGTTTACTTTCTATAGTATATCATACTGAAGATTTATGTTAAAGAGCGGCTCAGGAGTAGAATCATCCTAAAGTTCTTGTTTGTTTTCCTTACTAGGCTCACTCTAACTGTAAGATGACATTCTGGTACCACATGTATGGTTCGTCCATTGGCTCTTTGAATGTTTACCTCAATATCAGCAACAAATTAACTCTTTGGTGGAGGAAGTTTGGTAACAAAGGCAACCAATGGCTGCAGGGAACTATGGGAATTGGAAAGCAGATGCAGGCTTTCCAAATTCTCTTTGAAGGTGGGAGACGTAACCTTTCTTTAAAAAAGACGGGAAGTGGAGATAGAGGGTTTTTGTGTTCCAGTTGAGCGTTTCTCTACTTGTCAAGTAATTTTCTCTGAAGGGGAACGGCGTGTGTGTGTAGGGAAAACAGCATTTTGCTCCCCACAATACTAAATTAACCTTTACGCTCGTCATATGATCGTCTTACATGCAGGAGGCTAGTGACTGTCGAAAACGTTTAAAGTACACCGATTTATTTTTTCTTGTAATTTTAAAGGTATTGTCTTTCTTTCAACGAAACAGATGCATTTTAGCCAAGGCAATGCTCGTATCTATAATCTTTTTTGATGAAGTGAGGACAAGCACTAAAGAGGTTTTTAAACGATTATTGAAAAGGCTAAAAAACAACAAACAGGAACCTCCCATCCTTCCTAAACTGCAGCAACTTTATTACCACGCATTTTTTTTCGATTTGAGAATCAGTCATGTCGCCCTTGAAATTTACTAGCAATCCAACATGTGGTTAATTTTCCCATTCCTAGTTGTATCTCATAAGCGTCATAGTTTCATTTTGGCTATTTTTAGCGACCCGAGGCAGAACTTACTCGGGAGACATCGCTCTTGATGACATCCAGTTTGTTGACTGTGCACTTCCTCCGGTGACCAGCAGCTGTTCCGAATTCGCCTGTACACGGAAATCCTGTGTCAAGCAGGACTATGTCTGTGATTACAATGACGACTGTGGTGACAATTCAGACGAAAAAGCTTGTGGTAATGTCATGTTGTTCACGATACCCTTGTTTAGAACATCTACCACTGCTTTCTAATTGCAGTATTGCACATGAGCCTACACTTGAGAAATTAACCGCTGACCAGAAGTGCCTTCTTAGTTCGTAGCGTTTGGAATTTTCTTTATACTATTTTTTTCTTTCAATAGGTTACTTTGCAAGAAACTTAACATTGCCAGTTAGCCCGTCATCTTTTTTCTGTTGATTCTCGTATTTTCTTCAGTATATCTGGCCCTAACCTCAGTCTACTTTTGACAGGTACTTACACAACACGGTGCGACTTCAGTCAGGGACCTTGCGACTGGACCCAAAGTACTGAGGACGACTTTGATTGGTTACGAAGACGAGGTGAATAGCTGATGATTAATGTAGTAATGGTCTTATTAAGATGGGGTCAAACAAAATAACTCGTACAGGGCCTTTTTATGCGCGAACTTACGCAGGACATTCGCAACAGTTGCTTTTGGATCTCTTGATGTTTCACTTGTGCTTCTTCTTGATGTTTCGCGGAGGATCTTGTTTTGGTCTTTTCAGGAGGATGTGGGATAAGAAAATTTTGCATTTGAAATTTACCTTAAACTCACCACAAAGCATCAAGTAATCATGATCATCCACATATTTTAGTAAAGCGGGCAGTATTTTGATTGCATAACGAAGTAGTCGTTGTCTTCGACTGCGACTAACAACCACATTATTTTGATGTGACAGGTGCCACAGCTTCTTGGAATACTGGCCCACCTTCAGATCACACCACACAGACTGGCTATTACATGTACATCGAAACTTCTTGGCCTCGAAAGTATGGCGACAAGGCCTGGATGGTAAGCCGAAACTTCCAAGCACTCATTCCCGGCTCAAATCCCTGCAAGCTCCGGTTCTTCTACCATATGTACGGGGACTCGGCTGAGAAGTTTTCCTTGTACATCAGGACTACTCGAAATGGAACCAATATGCAGAAAATGTGGAGAAAAGTTGGTTCACAAGGAGCTGTGTGGAACAGAGCTGTCGTGACCCTGACTTCAGACAAGAACTTCCAAGTATGGCTTTACTCCACTCATCCATATTTATCTCTCCACTTCCAGGAGTGACCAAAATGAATTTTTCTTCGAAATCTTTTTTAGCAGTAAAATGACGATAAGAAAGGATAAAATTAACTGTGCGATATCGATCGTTCCCACACAAAATTCTCGGAGCTGAAATCATTAGATAATATATGGTAGACACTTAGGAGAATTTATTTTTAGATCTTTGGAGGGAAAAAAATTAAAATTTTTACTCCTTTTCAGTTCTTCTCTCAATATTGCTTTGAGATTTGAATTTCTCATGTTGGTAGTTTTTGCTTTTGACCTTTTTTTTCTATTTTTTTCCGGGTTATGGGTTATGATGGCGCTCGGTTTAAGCCGTGTGAAGCATGAATAGTCCCCGTGAATGATGCAATAGCCGACGGGTGAGCTAACCTCAAAGGCAGTCACTTGCGGTAGATGTGGTGGGTGATTGTTAGCGGGAAATCACGCGCAATCAAAATTTAGATTTTGTTACATATCATTTGTATTGCTTGCCTACAAACAAAAGTATCGACGTGTAGTTCTCCCAGTGGCCTCTTTGCTGGAAGTTTGGGCGGTGGGGAAAGGGCTTTTGTGATGTAGGCATAGTGGAACCCTCTCGTCAGATCTGGGTGGCTCAAAATCCGATTAAATATAATTCTGGGTCAGCTCTATACTAAAACTTTACGTCGTCATGAACCATGAGTAAAACGAACCTCTCAATCCACTGTGCCTGTTTAACAAGACTGCATTTATTTTTTTCAGGTGATATTTGAGGGTATGCGAGGCGATAGCTACACTGGTGACATTGGTTTGGATGATGTTTCCTTCACAACTGACTGCAAGCCATATGGTGGAGATCTTCCCGATGCCCCATCGCCCACACCAACTCCTTCAGGAGGACCCACTCAGTCACATCAGTGTAGCAGCGCAGAGTTCAATTGCGCGAAACAGGGGCCTGCTGCTTGCATCCGAAGCACGCAGGTAATTGTTGTTAAACATTGTGCCTCTACTTGACGCTATTTTAGGCTTTTCTTATAGGAGTAGGAAGGGAGGGGGGGGGGGGGGGATTGTGTTGATTACTTGCGTGATACATTATTGTTAATATTTAGACAGAGTTTTGAAGGTTTCAAAGCTGCAATCTTTAACACTCCTATCCCTATCTCCTACTCCTTCGCTCCTCTTTTGAGCAAAGGGGAGGCGAACAAAAAGTAATTTTTTTTCCTTATTTTGGACGAACGCTTGCTCCTCAGGTCTGCGACTTCCAAAATGACTGTCAGGATGGATCAGACGAAGGCAACTGTGCAAAGACTCGCTGTACTTTTGACAGTGGGGACTTATGTAATTGGTATGTGGATAACCCTACACGGAAACGGCGTGATGTGGCCTACACCTGGCTAGCTCAGCAGGGTGCTACAGGCACGGCCCTTACGGGACCCACAATAGACCACACGACAGGTAAGAAGCTTTTCAAGTCTTGATATCGTTAGTATCGGCTAGGCTTCCTGTGATCAAGCTGGTGCTGGTGTGTTCTTTTACTGGGTACTTAAGTTTCGGACATTCGCATATAATTTGACTGACATCTTTTACACTGATTATCGAAGTTATTTCGGGGCCGATGCTGTACCGTTTGAGCTGCAATACTCGTTTTATATGCGACGAACGTCCTGTATTCTGCGAAGGTCAGTGTTATTGGCACGTCTCGTTCGAGGACAAACTAAAAAGATAGATATTTTGTGGTCGAATAAGGGACACGTTCAAGAGAATGGTTTGTCACGAATGTGGAAGAAAGAACATCTTATGAATTCCCACGAGGTCTCAAACCTCAGACCTTAGGATTCCTCGCTCAGATACTCAGCCACTTAGACACAGACTACACGGTGAACTAGGCCATTACAAGATTCACATGTGACACTCTTCGTGCATACGTTAGGAAGAGCATTGTCAAAACTCTATGTATGTTAACAGAATAAGAAAGATGGTGAACTTTAAGCTCGCTAATGAAATAGGGAAGGATGTTTTTCCTTCTTGAAAAGATGTTAAAGATGTGTTTTCTTTGTTTCTAACAGGTACTACAGCAGGATGGTATATTTACGCAGAGAGCTCTGGAGGTTCTAATGGAGATAGGGCACTACTCTCCACAACCCGGATCGGTCAAACTGGACCGCAATGTGTTCTGTCGTTCTGGTACCACATGTATGGCCAATCGGTAGGAACTCTGTCAGTCAAGCTGTCCTTCTTAGATGGAACACAACCTGTTATCTGGACCAAGTCTGGTGACCAGGGCAACTCTTGGCTACAAAGCCGCTTGGTGATCGGATCAAGACAACTATTGAAGGTATCTGGTGGATGCGTAATGCATTTAAAGCACTTATTCCTGATGTTTCTTTTACATCCCCATATGATTCCATATTCTCGTAAGAGAGGCTCTTGTTTTGTTAAGGTTTCTGTGAAATCCCCAGGATCTCTCCTTTTCAATAACATTTCTTTCATATTTGTTAAAGGCCTTAATGCTTTAACCCTTTACACCCTAACATGAGTATGCATTTTCTCCTTACTGATCTCTATAGTATTCCTAAGGTGTTGAAAAGGAGAATTTTTTTAACCGTCAAGAGCTTTTTGTTGGTGATCATTTGCTTTATTCTTGTGTCTTAAATTTATAATTCAGGGGTGATATTGTAAGGAGAAATTGGATGCTAGTCACTCTTAGGTATGAAAGGTTCGAGTGCAAAAACCAAAGTAATCACTTCGAGGGAAGGAAAGTCTCTCAAAGAGTCCATGAAAATTCAAAATATAAACAAGCAAACTGCTTGACGCGCAGAAAAATGCAATTGATCAAGTTGCGGTTGGTTTCAGCATTGAATCTAATTGGTTGAGTGGCGCGAGCGTTTAGACCAATCAGAAATTAAAGTAGCGCAAAACCACCGTAATCTCAGATAATTTAGGACACTCAAAAGAAGCTCGCCCTGTTAAGACAATATTGGTTGATTCTTTTAAGACACATGACTTATATTTAATTTATTTCCTCTCGTGCAACTTCTCGCTTTCTACTTTAACAACAAAATCACTCTTCCATGGGACTAGCTTTAATTTCTGACCTTTTGTGGCTTTTAGGTCATCTTTGAAGCAAAGCGGGGTTCCGGTTACAAGGGAGATATCGCTTTGGATGATATAGAATTCATGAAATGTCAGCCGCTGGACACCACAAAGAAGTGTACCGTGGATGAATTCCAGTGAGTGTAAAATGCTCCGTAGCTTTTTAAATGACATCATTATTTGCACTCGCCTGCTTCCTAAATCTTTCAAAATTAAGAGTATTTGAATAGTTGTGAGATCCAGAATTAGTGATGTTCTGAACATATTAGATTATGTGTGAAGTAGCCAAGCTTCCCTGCCCTATCCCGGCCTATCCCTTAAATCCTGGTATCATTTTTACGACCGCATCACGTAGTTAACAGGGAACAAATGGACATATCATAAATTTATCTTGTGCGAGACCAGATTTTCCTTTTTTGAATTATCAGATGGAAAAGTAGCAATTAGATATGGGTATTTTTTAGATCAAAAGACAGCGTAGGAATTAGTTTTCCGTTTCTTAAGCAGAATTTTGCTTAATTGTGATGAAAGACAGGATTTAATCGAAACATCCAACATAATGTTGCAAGCGGATATTGAAAATTCAAAAGAAAGTTAATGCCATCTCTTTGTCTTCCCTTTTTAGGTGTGCACAAGGAGGCTGCATCCCGAAGACATCACTATGTGACTTCAGTGCCGACTGTATGGCTGGGGATGTATCAGATGAGGCCACCTGTTCTGCTTACAAGTCTGGACAATGTGATTTTGAACATGGTCTATGTCTGTACTCACAGAGTTCTGATGACAAATTTGACTGGACTACATCCACTGATGGTACATTCTCCTATGGTACCGGCCCTTCATCTGACCATACAACTCAGACAAACAAAGGTATGTGTTGGAGCTAAAAATAAAAAATCATATATATATATATATTAATCAACAAACGAGTTTATATTTAAAATTGGCCTCTAAAAGGGGTTTCTTAAGTCTAAGTTTCGAACGTTAGCCCTTCATCAGAGCGAATGTCGGAGCTACCTCGATGCGCCCCTTGTTTGGTCTCGTTTCGCTGCTCGCTCTTCAACAGACATATCAACAGTTCTTTAGAGATAAAGTGGGTTGCGTGACAGGGATAAAGTTGTGTGACAGGACTAAAAGACGTTTGCATTAGAGGCTTTTTCTGTAGCAAGAGTTATAACTTGTGTTTTTATAGATAGCAAGAAGTTGTTTACGGGAAAAAAAATAATTCAGTGTCGTGAAGCTGAAGATAAAATGATAACTTTCAATCAAGACACCAGAGAATAACTCAGAAAACTCTGAGCTCTTAAACTGCCTGACTGCTTAAAGCTAGAGAAAAGGAGAGTTTTAAAGCCGCGATTAGTTTTCAATGTGTTTCTGATCGGTTTAGAACTTTCCGATAATTTGCAGACTAACTAAGAGACTCTTAGCAAAAAACGTTCCTCAGCATGAGAAGAAGGAAACTTCCTTGTAGTCATGCACAACTGTGAACAAATGCACAGAATCTCAATTATGAATCATTTTGCTTGGTATCCATTTCAGGTCGGTACATGTACATCGAGACTTCATGGCCTCGCAGACCCGGAGACAATGCCCGTTTGAACTCACCCATCTTAAGGAGTACTTCATCCAACTGTTACCTCCGATTCTACTACCATATGAAGGGTAGTCATATTGGCAGCCTTCTCGTAAGAACACGCACAAGCTACTACGTAGGAGGTCTTTCCAATCCTATATTGAACATTACAGGACCACAGGGTGACTTCTGGTACCGCGGATTGGTTCAAGCACCTTACAGTCAGAATGATTACCAGTTCGTCATAGAAGGAGTGAGAGGCAATGGATACCAGGGTGATATTGCGATTGATGACGTTTCCCTCACGCCTGGTTGTCAGATATGCAAGGATTGCACCATGCCAGGTAAAATAGCAGGCATTTTACTCTTCGCTAGTCGGTTTATTTTTCCTTGTAGCCTTTTTTTCAGTGCTTTTTGGTTGCCTAAAAAACTGAAAGATTACTTTTGGCTACTATAAAGGTACCTTAGTGAAACCCGATTCTTAGACAGGGATGTAACGTGTCACCAGAATGGCAACTTTGCGTTTTCGCATACTGTCGTTTGTTTGTTTTAATTACGGTAAAAAGAAATAAAGGTTATCAGGTAGAAAGGAGGATGCGACAAAAAAAACAAAAAAATTTTGGAGTTTTCGCGCAGAAAGTAAGATCTAATGGTTTGGACGATTTACATTTTTGTTAACCATTTGTCGTCTTATTGATCATTGCAAGTAAGTTTCATCACATGGTAGTTTGCCGAACTGCTATGTTTGATTTGATTATGAGTTTAACTAGGTGCCCACATGGTTCAAGAATAAGTGTCGCTTCTAGGTTTCCTTTCCGAGCACTGCATGCTGTCTAACTAGATTTTCCGATGTCGTTATCGGCTCCCACAATACATGATTATTTCATCGAATGTTAGAGTGATCCAAGGCTTTTTACATAGTTTTCATTAATCATTTTCTTTTCTTTTTTTCTTCAGGTCAGCCAACACCGACTCCATTTGGTTTCCACTCGCGGCCCACTGGGACCTCTTGCGGTGCTCAGCAGTATGTCTGTAAGAACCTCAAATGTGTGGACAAGGCTCAGATATGTAACTTCAAAAATGACTGTGGAGACAACTCCGATGAAATCCCCTGCGGCTCGGATTGTACATTTGAGGATGATTGCTGGAGGGGCTGGAGACAATCTACCGGTACTGACAACTTTAACTGGAGGCGGAAGAATGGACAGACACCGAGTGTTGGAACGGGCCCTACCAATGACCACACTCTGGGAACGGCCCAGGTACATTAACGACAAGAGTTAAAATATTTTGGATTCTCTGCTGTGGTAGATGATTATTGAACGTGGTTGAGCAAAATATCATTATTTTTCGGTGGCAAGCAGATCAATGTTTGTTTCTCGGTGCGAAGGGAAAAGGAAGGTTAACACATAATGGGCTCCATTTGGCGTGATATTTGCTCCAATATCTGTTCGCGGACAAAATACAATCCAAGTGAATATTTTTTCGATAGAATGAAATTTTCTGAGATCGAATATTTGATTTTATTGCTCCTTATGGTGGCCATTGTGTCTATTATTCTTGACGTTTTTCTCGCAATACGCGACGGAAGCTTTTCGTCAAGAACATTGACAATTGAATGACATTCGATGGTATAACAGCGCGATAGTCGGCGAGCGTGGTAACAAAGCAACTGGTGTTTCCTTGTTATCCTGACCGCCAGCTATTGCGCTCAACCCAGAATGTTTTACAAGTAATTCTAGCGGCTGGTGTGTTTGTTTATTTGTTTGTCATTTTTTTTAAGTAGCAGGTGGATAATGACATCTAACAATTTTTATCTTTTCAGGGCTACTACATGTATATTGAAACATCACGCGGGAATCTCGGTGACAAAGCAGAGTTGACATCGTTCAGGTATTTTGCTTCAAGTCCCAACTGTAAGATGACAATATGGTATCACATGTATGGATCAGGCATTGGAGTGTTTGAGGTCAAGGTCAAGAAATCCGATGGAACGTATGATTACAAGTATACATTGAGAGGAAATCAGGTAAATCATTTTTTTTAAAAGTTATATCATGAAAAGTTTTCTTTTTAATGGCCTATAAGGTGAAAGCAGTACTAAGCAGACATTTAAGAGACTCTAGCTTGAGTCAGTTTTATACTTGAGTTTCCTCTCTATACAGCTTGTAACAATTGTCGAAAAGCGAATTTAGGAGCAATTTGTCCTTTAACAGGGCAAGAGATGTGCAAATAAGCTTCAGTGCTCTGATGCTATCGGTTCGTCTAGACCAATCTGGGTTCCTTCGAATCTGGCCGTTTCAAATTCAATATTCGTGTAGAATATTGAATTTCCCTACAGGAAAGAGAGAAAATACTGGTTCCAAACACGGAGTCCTAAGAGCCCTCATACATTTCGCACGGTACCGGTACCTCATTGTATATCAAAAGTGAGCCTTAACGCCCCCTAACTGCGCAAATATGCTTATAAATTTGGTACCATGTGGTAAATAAACTTTTTATGATCTCCACAGGGAAATGCTTGGAAAAAAGCGGACATAGATATTGGTGTATACAGGAACTTTGTGATCATTATTCAAGCCACCCGTGGATCAAGCTGGCAAGGTGATATTGCCATCGACGACATCTCTTTCAGCAATTGCTTCTCTGATGTCACAAGGAACTGCACTCAGAATGAAGTATGTTTGCTTTGGTTCTGTTATTTTATTTGAAAAGATGTCTTTAGTTTTCAAAATAATTAAGGGATTAATATTTCACAATGATTTCCTTGGGCTGAATTTTTATAATTAATTGCAAGTTATACCGTTTCACGTATCCTTTTTGATACAGGGACACCAGGTAGGTTCGCTTGTAGAGGCGTTGATATCGACTTAACATGAATTTTTACACAGCTACTTAATTTTTATCACCAGCTGTTTTTTTTCTCTTTATTTTTCCCTCTCTGCTTCGCTGCGTTTCTGTTTGATGATAAAAATTGTGTTCGGTTTACATGAACCGATAAAGACAACAGGATGTTGAAGCTGAGCTATAGGGAAAATTGATATAAGATAAACAGGCACCGTTGAGAACGCCCAATCTCCTTATTCCTTGCCCCCCCTCCCCGCCTCTAAAGTGTTCCTTTTTAGCCAACGGCAACATTGCATCTTTTCAGTCGTGTAACATGCCTCTGAAATTCCCTGAGGTAACTTACGTCGTAAATTTCTCATGTTTACTTCATCAAAGGTGAAATGCAAAGACAGTGGTCATTGTGTAACAGAACAAAGAGTTTGCGATCATGTCAAAGATTGTAAGGATGGTACTGATGAAAGTCAGTCATGTGTTCCAGTCGAAAAGCCAGTTGCGACTTTGAAATCAACTGGTGTAGCTGGTTCAACTACTGGAGTGACGACTTTAATTGGCTTCGTCAAAGTCAGATCGGAACGACTGGAACAGGTGTGATATTTGATTTCTTTCGTAATGCGTTAGCACTTCAATTTAATTCGTCTGGGCGTACGCTAGTTCATCTCCAGTGTTATAAAAACGTCGTTGCACTAGCTTTATGTGGTCTTTTGTCATTGGCATGCGTAGCACGCGTTCGGGTAGAACATAGTGAGAAGAAACGCGAGGGAAATAAGCTCCTCTATTGCTCTAATGCGCGTGACATGTCGCGCGTGTGACAAATTGTGTTGTGTGCAACGGCTTGGTAATAAGTTATTCTTCCTGTCGGTTCAATTCAACCTGTGATTACCTGGCGAGATATCTTGGCCTAGCATGACTGCTTCTTTGTGTGTTGATACTTGGCTAATTTGACGTTGTAACCTAATGGCTTTTTAGTTTGAAACGGCGCCATATTTTGCAGATCCAACTAAATTATCCCTGTACTTGGAGTTGCGTGAGAGCTAAAAGAGCTCAAAGCACTAAAACAGTAAAATAATTCTCTCGTCTAAATTCCGTTTAACATATTTTAACGATAGTCGAAATTTGAAGTATTAGGATGGAAATTATCCTAGCTCCAACCAGATGTGTCATAATCTTTCTTGTTCTTGTCTCCAAGGTCCAAAAGGAGACCACACCACTGGGAGTGGTTGGTTCATGCACATAGACTCGTCAAGTCCAAGGCAGCTTTTAGACAGAGCGAAACTTGCACATGGTAATTTGTTCCCGGCCGGCCGCGGAGTTTGTACTCTACGATTCTACTACAACATGTATGGATCACAGAACATGGGATATCTGAAGGTCCACTTGCTTACTAATGGGTACTCGAACTGGAGGGAAGTCTGGAAAACGAGAGGTAAGATGTGTGTAATGAACTTGAAATTAAGATGAAAACGAGACTTATAGGCTAGCTTCGTGGTAATTAGTCTTTCAATTAGAGTGCCATTGTATCTGTTTTTGTTTATCTAAACCTGTGGCCCACCGCCGGCGTCTTCCCCGCTCCTCCCTTTATAAAAAAATGATTTATTGAGAAACTTGTTCAGAGTCCGTACAGTTTTCAATTCTTGAAAAAAAAGTAGTATGGAAAATAACAAACTTAGTTTCAAGACCTGGATAGGTACCAGATTACTTTCCAAACTACAACGAGTATGTTTCATTATTGCAATCGCTGAAAAGTTTGACAAAAGGCCTGTAATTTGTACACAAGTTTACACAAACCATAAACCGTGGTCGTTTTTTTGCTCCTTAGGTGATCCTACCAATCAAAACTGGGTGCGTGCAGAGGTCAAGCTAGACTCCTACTCGTCGTTTAGGGTTGGTTTTGAAGGTATCGTTGGCGGAGATGACAAGACTGATATTGCATTGGATGATATAAGCTTTTCTGCCGGTTGCTACGTGGTATGTATTCTTCTACTGCGTAAAAAACGTACAACTGTAAAAGGGGAATAGGGTTGTAGTTAAAGACGTTTTTAAGGTATTAAATTATGGAAGAGCTTCTTCCTTCAAAGAAATGTTTAATGAAGAGCTTCTAATATCAATTTATTTGTTTGTTTGTTTGTTTGTTTGTTTTCTCTCAAATAATTCATCAGTTATACATGCAATCAGCAGTTTCAAGATATTGCGTTGGCTTTCGCTTTGTTTGATCTCGTAACTCCCAAGGTCTGATTATCAATTCTCCCCTATAGCTGCAACACATTATCTTTTTAATAAGTTACGAGAACTTAGTACTAGATCAAGAAAACGAGTTCTACGTGATAGGTTTGAGTAATCTCACTACCTGTTTGTTAGAGAATGTTTGGGTATTGTAGGGAGAGATTACATGTTTATCACTAATGGGAGTTACCAGATTTGTCAGGTTTAAGACCAAATTCGCCAAGTGATTTTATGGTAAAAATAAGTCCTTCTAGAAAATCTCAGTCGTGGATATATTCTGAAGGCTCCTTAACATGCTCAGATTCGTTAACTAAGCTCAAGAGTAAGCTTTATATAGCTCAGTCATAGAAGTCTGCGGTTTGATTCTTCTTGAAGGAAAAATGAATAAACATCTCTCTTCGACAGCTGAGCTTAACTTGACTGATCTTTTAAGCGCAGATACACCCGTTGAGTCTGTTTTGTGCTATTTTTTTTTCAGGGAGGCATTCCGCCTGCACCAACAGGTGCTGCACAATGCACCAGTAACCAGTTTTATTGCAGTGCAGACGACCTGTGCATCAATATTAACTGGAAGTGTGACGGAGAGCAGGACTGTACTGATGGCGAAGATGAACTCAAGTGTCCACCACCTTCACCGCAACCAACCCCTCCACCTGGATCATCTCATCCCGCAGACTGCAACTTCGATAAAGACTACTGTTTGTGGGAGTCTGCAAAGTTTGCTGATATGAGATGGCTACGAAACCAAGGCCAGACACCTAGCTGGAACACTGGCCCCAGTGCTGATAAAAGTGGCGCAGGTAACAAAATTGATACCACATATGTAACTTGGCTCAGTCAAGTGCAAATCCATAATTGTTGTTGCTTTCTGTAACGAAGGCATCTTTGTTTTTGCAAAAATTAAGTGCTTTGTCCAAACCTTTTTTAGTCATTTATTCTCCTTGAATGATTAATGTGATTTCAGTGTGTTCGTTTCTGCAAGTAAAACGTTGTTTGCCTTTGCCAAGAACGTGCTTTGAAGCTGCTAAAAGCGGAGCGAATAAACCAAGGTGTAATGTGTTTATTTCCTGAAGGAAAACTAGATTAAAAGCAAATGGACAAATGTGTCGCTGATTTCTGTTGTGTGTTATCACAGGTTACTACGTTTACGCTGAAGCCACAGGCTACTATTTGGGCCACTTTGGAGAGCTTTTGGGTCCAAATTTGTTACCATCTGCAACGTGCCAAGTTTTCTTCTGTTACAATATGAATGGAAAAGACATGGGAACCCTAAATGTTTACCAGCGCTTTACTAATGATGCCAAACCTGACATGACCCAAAAGAAAATCTGGTCGAAGAGTGGTGACCAGGGTAACAAATGGCGCTGCGATTATGCCAATATTCCGAGTAAAGTGCAATTTTCAGTTGTCTTTGAAGCTATACGGGGCGACGGCTATCAATCAGACATCGCCGTGGATAATATCCAGTTCGTCAAGTGCGGAAATCTTGGGCCGACTCCAGCTCCAACACCAAAACCCAAACCGTCCATCATGGATGACGATTTTGAGAAATGCGTCAGCTGTTGGTCTAATGAGCAGGATGGCCACGACCAGATGGACTGGATTGTTGGACGTGGGGAAACTGCTAGCCAGAATACAGGTCCTTCCTACGACCACACCAAAAAAAGCATTTTAGGGCGCTATCTTTACATTGATGCCTCCAGTGTCACGTCATCGGGCTGGTACCATGCCGATTTGGAAAGCAGGCTGCTTGTTGTTGACCGAAAGTGTTACATGTCTTTCTGGTATCATATGTATGGCTCTGGGGTGGGCTCGCTGTGGATTGTCGCCTATGCGTTTTCCGATCCTAACAATTTGATTGGTAAGTGACAAACTCTATGTGGCTGGGATTTTGTAGTTGATATGGAGCACTCTTATTTGTTAGGTCAGACTTTAAAACTCCTTTCATCCCGTTAAAACAAGGTAGGAGTATCGCTTCGTGAAAGTGGAAACGCTCGGACAAACTAAACGCCTGCGTAGTAGGAGTTTTGAGCTGGGGAGCCGCAAAAGGAATGGGGAAGAGTAATGCTTGTCTTTCTCTTGTCTCTTGTAAATAATTCTTATACACCCAGGTTTCATTAGCAATTCTCCTCACTGTCCTTCATACAATTCTTTTGACGCTAGTTCGGAGAATTTGGTATTGAGTCGACTTCTAATCCCCTAATTTACATTTTCTCTATTCGTATCACGTTACTTATCTGCTTGATATTGTTTTCCTATTGTTAAATCACTTATGAGAGTTGATGGGTTAATTTGAGATTTTGATTATCATTTTAAAAGATGCTCTACAACGTTAAATGGTGGTTTGAATCTCTTGAATGACAGAATAATTGGAAACATTTCTTCCCATAGATCACAAACAGGTCGACTTGTGGTATGAGTGGGGTAACCGTGGTAATAAGTGGCAACATGGCATGGTGAGTATCTACAATCCGGAGACGGCCAATAAGACAGTTAAAATTGTGATCAGTGGGGTCAGAGGATGGAACTACAATGGAGACATAGCAATAGATGACATAGAGTTCCACAACTGCAAGTTTAATGATGAGATATCACCATGCACAGAAACCTTTCCAAAGTGTAATGATAACCCGTTCACCCGTCCAACGCTCGGTAAGTATTTCACGAAGCCTCCTATTTCATTCTGAAGAAATTAAAACATTGAAGGGCAGATGGACAACCAGTGTTTCGTCTGTCTCAAGATTGCGGCGTTTTGTCCTATACAGAAAGGAGAAAAGGTTGGGGGAAAAAGTAGACTCATCCCTCTTTCCATTCCCATCTTTAAAATATGTAAAAATAACAAGGCGTATTACGTAAAGGCCAAGCTCGCATTTCAGGCTGAAGCCACATGTGATCCAAACCGATAGGAGGTTACAAAGAGGATATTACAAGGCCGCCCTTGGTGTTCACATAATAATATTATTTTATATATTTTCATACAGGTCCGCTATCCGGTGACTGTAATTTTGAGCACGGTACTTGCCACTGGAACAACACAGCCGTCAACGATATGCCGTGGTATCTTAGAGAGGGCAAAACTTCCAGTAAGAACACCGGTCCAGCGGTTGATCACACCACAGGAACATCAAGCGGTAGGGAGTTAATTGTTTACTTTTGTCCTTGACTCTAAACTGCTCTTATAATGAAGCACTGTGTACCCTCACTGTTATGTATTGTAAGGATGAAAGGCAAAGAAGAACATTTCTCTGAATCAGTGACGCGTTTTGTCTACTTGTAGGTTATTACATGCATATTGAGGCCAGTTGGTATGTCAAGGGCGCTGTTGCCATCTTGGAGGGTCCTTACATGATGCCTACCTCAAACTGCAAGATGACATTTTACTACCACATGTCCGGCCCTGACACAGGCTCACTTATAATCTTCGTGAACAGTGGAGATGAAGTGATTAAGATATTCAACAAGACTGGCCACCAGGCTGACAATTGGATCAAAGGTGAAGCAACGGTGAAGAGTGATTACGCCTTCCGAATTCACATCACTGCCACACGGGGAGATGGTTACCAAGGAGACATTGCCATAGACGACATTAAATTTCAGGTACAATCACGCTGTATTATTATTATTATTATGATAGCAATTATTATAGTACCGTGATAAGGTGCTCCTCATGGATTTGTACAATAAACCTACTACTACCCACCCTGGGATTGGACGTTGCTTATTTCTCAGAGTACAGACGCATGGCACATTATTATTATTATTGTTATTATTATTATTATTAGTAGTAGTATTATTGTTATTATAATTGTTGTTGTTGTTGTTATTGTTGTTATTATTATTATAGCTATTATTTTAATTATGATTATTATAACTATAATAAAAATAATTATTCTTATTATTCTTATTATAGTTATCATTGTTAGTTTTATTATTTTTCATTTATTAATGCTGTTGTTGTTATTATTATTATTACTATTATTATTATTATTATTATTATTATTATTATTCTTTCATTATTTCTGCTCTCCATGACGCATTGTTTTGGAAATCTTTGGGAGATTTTTATCGGTGGGCGACTTGAAAAAATACCTAGACTAGCGCAAAGCTTCGCCAGTTAAGCGCTCGGAGACCTTAAATACTTAAAAAAAAGTATTAAACTTACTCCTGCCTATACTGAAGTGAATGGAGAAATCGTCACGGAATCACTGTCTTACAAATTCCTTCTTTAAAGTAGTACCTGAAATTCTTTGCAGGGTCAATGTTCCTTCACAGACGACCAGGCCTTGAGATACGGCGACAAAGCCCTGAAAACGGGTTGTTCTGACGGTGGACGAGAAGGTTTCTTTCAGCATCCGACTGTGGCCGGCTGCAAAGGTTATTGGTGGGGACGTAAAAACCTCCGAGCCAAGCCTTCCTATGTTGGTGCCACGTGCGGAGATGACGTCGGGCGTTGGGGTCGTTGGTGTGGCCAACCTGCTGACCTGTGCGAAGATGGCTGGCATGTCTGTGGAACTTTTGGAGACGTTTTCGAAATTGTCAACCGAGTAAGACTTAAGTTGCTTCTTTCTAAACAGAAAAGCTACAAATGATTTTTCTGTCAAATCACAGCGTCAATGCATGTTAAAATACAGGATAATCACAACTATGAAACCGCATGAAAATTTCTCATCGCAAATTTAAAGGTACACGTGAGAATCCTGTCGGAATATGAGCCATTTCTTGGACGTTCTCTAACTAATGATTGTAACTCCACAGGGCATGCGTTTGATATAGAACCTGTTCTTAACTTGTCCTGGCTAGTATTAAGATGTAATCACAAGGGCAATCCTTTTGTAATAGTTTGTTTCAAAAGCGAACAACTAGTGTAGTTATATGCCCTTGATTAAGTCATTTGTTTTAGTTTCAAAGAGCAGTCGATGAAAGAGCTAGGAATTTCCTAATATATTTGAACCAGAAGTTTGCAGAAGTTTGTTTTACTAAAATCTGATCCCTTCATTGTGTAGACGAACGGTGTGGATTGCCAGAGAGCTGGTTATGGTCATTTCAGCGCCGGTATTAACCACTGTAAGACCAACAGTGGAGGAGGCGACGGCTGCAAGCGAGTAAAAACTGGATTAGATTATGGTTGTGGTCAATACCACGACTCGTGCTCAGAACCGCTTTGCTGCGGCTTTGGTTGCAAAGGTCCAGACTCCTGTGACTCAGGTAGGTCAAGCTTTATTGTGGGAGCTTATAGAGCTTTTGGTAGTGTGAAAAATCATCAAAGACGGGATGTCAGTCCATTTCAAACTAATGCTTGACTTAAAAATCTTGTTTTCATTTCCTTCATAAGGTGTTTTCAAACGCCAGACGATGTACACGCCCGCTGCTGGCAATCTAGAGGGTTGTTCGTTCATGTCAGTAAGTAATGCAGGCGGCATCATGTGCTGCAAAGACGACAGTACCACTCCTACCTACCCCCCGACGAATGCACCAACTAAAGGTTCATGTGACTTCGAAAGAGGCATGTGTGATTGGATTGTTGATTCAACTGCCCCTGCAAGTTTTACACGAAACCAGGGAGAGACACAAAACAGAAACACCGGTCCACGCTATGATCACACTAAACAGGATGCGACTGGTAAGATTACAGATTCCAGAATGCTTTTAATTAACAACCTTAAGTTAAAGCATATCGCTTAATTGTCTTTCGTTAAACCTATGATCGCCATCTTGAATTCGCTGAGCTGAGGAAAGCTGGCGAGAGCGGTAATCTTTTACTATGGGAGTGGTTGATATGCGGGAAGAACGAGAGGGCATGAAGAGGAGAATCCTTCGTGGTGGGTCATAAATAACAAGAGGATGATTCTGATTCATAGCCATTGCCGTTAGTCGTCTTTGGGCCTCCCCCAGCCGCCCCACCACCTCACCTCCCCAAAGTGGATGCTTGGCAAGCAATTTAGTTTTTGTTTACTCTCCATATATGACGGTGTTTGTTTAGCCCATTTGAGTTATTATTCAGCTATGGCAAGCTTAGTGTACTTCTATGGCTTCAATGAAGAGCTCGCTTATTTTGTTTGTACTCAGCGTATTATCTCTGTGGCTCAGTGATAGAGCGTCGAGGCACGGAATCCTAGGTTTGATTGATTTGTCATGGGGCCCCATCTAAGTTTCTATTTGTTGCTCCGTGTAGGGTATTATCTTTACATGGATTCATCTCAAGCGCAGCCCAAAGACACAGCCAGGGTCTCTTACACCTTCACAAGTGTATCAGAGTCTTACTGCCGGATGAGTTTCTTCTACCACATGTACGGCACTGGCATGGGTGTGTTGCGTGTGTTTGTTGAACCCAAAGATGGACAACGTACCGAGGTAATTCACAATTTTCTTTAGAGAACAGTATGGAGATTATACATACTAATATTAGTGTGTAGAAGGTTCATCACTTGCATCATTGCCCGTTTTAACTGCTTTTTGCCTTACGGCGAAAATAAAGTTAAACAGGGCAGCTCCTTTCCTAATGATGTTGTTGTTGTTGTTTTTGTTGTTGATAATGGTGTACAAACAAGCAAGTTATATTACTGACCATTTTAAACATTATCTTCCTATGATATCTCCTTTTAGGTTTGGAAAAAGGCTGGAAACCAGGGTGACGGCTGGTATAGAGGTGTGCACAACTTCACGGAACTGATTAAGAACAAGACAGCTTTCACCGTCAGTTTTGAGGCAGAGCGTGGTCCAACCACGGCTAGTGACATAGCGATTGATGACATCACCTTTTCATCCTGCACACATAGTGAGTGTGATTCAGTTATGACTATGGCTAAGTATCGTTTTAGCTCCGTCTACACTAATCCAAAGATGTTTTGCATGATTTATTCTAAAAACGCGGTTATGCAGGATTTCTTCAAATTAATTGACAACAAGCCATGTAGCCTGCTACTGTCTCACTTGTCATTCTCTTCGTTTTTTACTGACTATACTCAACAAGTACGTTAAAAAACGTTTTGGGGCACTTCTACCTTGTGCCCCTTTCTTGATGTAGGGCCTCTTACGTTGATGGGACCCACTGAGCGTCTTTGACTACTTTCTTAAATAAATCTTAAAAAGGATATCAATGATTTCTTTACATACAATCGCTTTCGTTGACTTCTCCTGCACATTTGAAACGCTACCTCATCAGTATCGTCATGACGATAGGCAGGGCATGCGCGTACTCTGCTACTTTTAGTCCTTTTCAATTGCTTGAAGTGGAACTGTGACAGAAATTTTGAAGCTGTTTGACGTAAATATTTGCGATATTTGCAATACCCTTTTCAAATTCATGTAGATAGGCAAAAACTGGGCTTCCAAGGGAAACTCTTTTCTTACCATAGCTACTTGAACCACAATTTCCATTTTAAATCTGGCTTAATATCTAGCAAACCTGAAATCTCACAACAAGACCGTCAACTGTTATTTACAAATACCGTTTGGCAAAATCTCACCGCTTTTATTCCATTATTTTCAGCGCCACCAGGTCAGTGTAAGCGTGACGAATTCCGATGTAAGAGTGGAGAATGTATCAAGTCGGCCTTCGTTTGTGACCAATACCCAGATTGTAAAGACCACTCAGACGAGGGAGCAGAAGCTAACTGTGGTAATATTTTGTTAAGTTTTAATTTCTGTGGTTGTTTTTTGGTTTGTTAAATTGTTTGTTTTTCTCTTGCTCACTTTGACCTTCTTTTGAACCAGGAAATATTTTGGCATATACCACACAGGTGAATAGTGCCTTTCGCGCGCGCTGATTCGCCTGTTTGGAAGTGATCAGAAAGTACTATTCACTTCCGAAACGTAGAGACAAAATCACACGTCAAGATTTTGATTTCCGACTTTTTCCTGTATATTGACAGAAATGAACTAATTTTTGGTTTCCGTACGGTGTATGCTAAAACAGTTATTCGCTTCAAATCGGCGAAAGTATTGTGTGTTTACCTCCACTTCGGTCAATAATTAGTAATAATTGAAGGAATGATGGCGTAATTCTTTGGTAGAATTTAGTTACGTTTTTATCACGATTTCTAAAGTCTGCTTTACTTGTTTTTGCAGCCAACCGTAATTGTGGTCATTTCCAGATTTATTGCCCAGCTGATGGAAAATGCCTAAACAAGACTCTGCAATGTAACGGCAAGCCTGATTGTACGGATGGAAGCGATGAATCACATTGTGGTAAGTTTGCTCGCTCAAAGTGATTTTAATTGTTGAAGATTATCATTTTGTAATCCTTCTAACTTTTGTTATATTCTGTTTTTTTCTTTTCTTTATTTCCTTTTTTCTTCCATTTTAATTATTTACTCCCCTTAAACATTTCGGTATTTATCTCTTTTATGTGAAACAATTTTCGTGATGGATTTCGTTAAAAGAAGTTTAGGGAAATAAGATCATTTTCTTCAGTAACTTCTTCGTAAAAGTTTTGTCTGATGTTGCGTTTATTTAATGTTTTTAAGAAGAGATTGCGTGTTATAGACAGGACTGCTCTTTGATGTCAAGGTCTGCAGATTACGAACTAAACCCGGAATTTTAGGATATTTTACAATGTGTTTTATATAGTTAATTAATACTTACAATGTTCAATTGCTTTGTTTTAAGAATGTACCGAAAGTTATTGTATCAATGGACAGTGTCAACTAGACAGCTTTCAGCGTCCGGATTGTGTGTAAGTATCTTCATTACGTAGTATGGTATGACAGCAATTCGGATAGAGTTAAATAAACTGTGTTTTTCCTCCAGTCACTCCTGCTAGTTTTCGCCCAACAATTCCTTTTCTTGTTTGTTTGTTTGTTCGTTTGGTTTTGTTTGTGTTTTTCGATGACCGAGGGTATGGCCAGATGAAGCACAGTGGTTGTAATGTTAGCTTCGGGCCCCATTGGTCGCTTTGATTCAATCTAGAGCTGGAGTTGCCATCCGAACCGTGGCCATCTTTATCACATGTGGTTGCATTGTGAGCCAATTGATAGTGCTCAATTACTCAACTTAATTTATTTCGAAAGTAATTGGTGTTCCTTCTTTGTGAAAGATGCGATGCCAATTACAACGGTGCAAGATGTCAGAACTGTACCAGTTGTGAGTGTCCTAAAGATCAAATCCAGTGCAAAATTGGCAAGTGGTTCTGCACGACCAAAGAAAAAATATGTTCTAGAAGCGTTCAGTGTGGCCTTAGTCCCGTTGAGTTTGTCAAGCTTTGCAAAGGTGAGGCTTAATACAGCGTAAAACTTGGGATCACATGTGGAACGGGGTTTATTTCCGTTTTCTGTTTTACTTGGTTTTATTTCTTTTTTATTTTATTTTACTGATTTTTTTTTTGGGGGGGGGGGGGGTTCTTCTGTAGTTGTCTCCGGTGCTTTCAAAAGACAGATACAAATGGAATCTTATTTTTACACGCAGTGCTGATGTATATATTTTTTTTTTTCAGCTTGCACATCACATTACTGTGTAAATGGAAATTGCAAGATGGTAGATGGAAATCCGACTTGCGAGTAAGGCTTGTGTTTTGTGTTTACATTAATGTAGTCATGATCAACGTTTAACGGTATTTTCAGTAAGTGATGAATCAGCCTCATCGGAAAACCCCATCTTCCTTTTTTCGGAAAGCTTGCCGAGAGTTTGCATCTTATTCAGTTTTTCTTGGGAAGTTATTTGAGAGACGCTGTCCCTTGGTGTTAGGTGTCGCTTAGTGTGAGTAGAAACACCACACGGATCACTGTGTTGCTTTCTTAGGAAAGACACTAACCTCTCACCATGCCCCTCTCCTCCCATCAAAGTAAATGGAAAATAGTTAGCAGAAAGTAAAACTAGAAAAATCTCGTTAAGAGGGTGGGGGGTGAGGAGAGTAGACAGACAGATGGTCGCTTCATGAAAATGAAATCGTTTTAAGCTCCGGCAGGATTGGTTTTGTGGGTTTAAGCAAACTCAGCCTCAGCGATAAGCGCTTGATATATATCCACTGTTACAATGAGATGCTAAATTTGTAAATTTTATTTCAGGTGCACCACTTCTGACTATGTCGGCCAACGATGTGACACTTGCAATCAAAAAAATGGCTTGGTGAATTGTGGAACAAATGGCAAATGTGTGAAGATAGCTCAGATCTGTGACCAGAGCATATCGTGTCCGAAAAATAAATTAGAGATCCGCAACTTATGTGGAAGTAGGTGTCCATAGTACATTAAAGCGGTAGTTTGATGGTAATTTTTTATTATTTGAAACAGGAAAGCCATCGTGCAATCGTGTCCTTTGAAAAACCGACCCCGACCCCTCCTCGACTAAAATGGGCGGCTCGCCGAAAGAAACAAACCTGTTTAGTAGTTTAGAAATCCTTTGATCTACCGTATGAAACCTTGAATATATTAAAGGATAGCAAGAAGATTCGTTTCGATGTGAATTTGGTGTACTAAATTACTTCTATTTTCCAGGTTATTGTAGCAATTAAAAGAAAAAAAAGAAACTGCGGCATTTCGCCATCAAAACTAACAATTTTTTCTGTTCCTTTTAAAGGCTGTGAAGACCAGAAGTCTTTCTGCCCTGAAGGAGCAGAATGTAAGGCGGACGATAAAGGGTTTATGTCCTGTGTGTAAGTATGCGGACCCGTATTGCATGGTCAAGTGTGCAGCAAGTCTTTTGTTTTGGTTTGTGAAGGAATGGTCATCAGTCAATTATGTTCTTGAGCTTTACGATATTCAGAAGTGGAAAGTGTGCATTCCTCCTCCCCCACCGATGAATTTCCTAAACTAATTTTGTGTGACTTTATAGTACAAATATACATACAAGCTATATATATCTTGTGGAGCAGAAGGCCCGTTAACTGTGTCTACTTCATGGCTTACATAAGCTTCCTCCTTGGCGTGGCCAACTTTTTTTGTCCCTACAGAAGGTCCTTACTTTCATTGACAGCAATTTAGCACTTGGTCGTTATGATTAATTAGCTTTAATTGAATACGATAAACTTAACGTGTTATTTTTTACTCGTTAACCCATGTTTCTTCTCGTGCTACAGATGTCCATTTGATAGGAACGGACGAAAATGTGAGAATCAGATTCCAAACAACTGTACAAATCAGATACCTTCACTTCAGCCTTGCCTTGGAAAATGCGTGGAGAAAGCAGTCATTTGTTCTCGCAACCAGACTTGTAACTACCCTGAAGATCAGATCAAATTCAACTGTAAAGGTAAGCAAGTGACGGCGATGAGAACGTAGAGAAGCAAACGGTTCAGTTCGCTCTATACGAGCTTTATAAAACTTTCTTCAATTCTTCACATTCCTATGCAAAACCGTTTGTAGAGGGTCTCAGCGGGGCTATGGCTTTACGGCTAACGGCTAATTCTTTTCTAGACTGTTAACTTTTTTTTTACGACGAATGATTAAAATTTGTCAATTTATACCCCAAACGGCTAATTTTTTTGGCCGTTTACGGCAAACAGTTAAACCCTTTGATACCCTTTGTGTAGGTGTTTTGTGTAAGCTTGCATATACATTGTAGCGTTGTATTTGAATTGAATATAAATTAATTATTTGTTTCGCAAGTCACCAAATTTTCCTCATTACTTTTAGCACCGCCCAAGACTGGAACAAGGACAGATAAACAAAAGGGCAATAAATCGTCAAGTAAGTAAATTGTTATCTAGTAAGAACAACGTTAATTCTTATGTGGGGTTACCTACGTATAAACTGGAATGATTTGAATTATAGTTTCTTACACAGAGAGGTATGGTTGTTTAGAAACTTCGCTGATGTTTTTAACAGCCACAGTGTCAATCCTCTCTTTAAATAAGTCTTCTCATGTGTTGGGATAGGCTCCAATAACCTGACCAAAAAATTGATCTTGAGACCGTCTCTGTCTTTTAGTTTACATTGGCGTCGGTGTCGCTGCTGGAATTGTGTTAATCCTTATCGTCCTCGTTGTGGCCTACTATATAATGAAGAGTAAAAAGTAAGTATTAATCTTTTTGTTGTTGTCTTTTTCGTGTTTCATGCCTTCTTTCAGACTTTCTCTCAGGAAACGGAAAACGAGAATAAAGCGTAGAAAGTGTCGCTGTTTTTTTTTTTCCGTCTTAGTTTGTTTACTTGTGTAGCTACTTGAGTTGAGACAGCTCACTTTCTCCTCTCACAACTGAGGTTGTTTGTAAGTTGCTACAGTTTTCTCTGGTTCAAATTGTTTGTTTTCAATTAATTTCGACCAATTTTTTTCTTTGATTAACAGGAAGAGACTTACCTTGTTCTCGGTGTTTTATGACCCCTCTAATAAGGAAGGCTCACAAATAAGGTACGTCATTTCAAGAGTAACTCCTTTTTCCCCTCGTTGTACTGCTTCAAGTCAGTCATGATCGCCCTACTGTTGCTAAATGAGTAGGCATGTCAAGAAAACTTGAAGAAAGATTTGTACAAAGGGTACCCTGCGATGAACTAGAAATTCCATCTCGGGGAAGTGATAAAACTCCTGGCCATTCCGTGGACTAGGCTTTGATAGATATAAGGCAGTTGGCTCTTAACTCCTAAACTTTTGCCAATTTGACGTATTTATAATGGCTGTCTCTGACAGGAAAGGCAAGAAGGAGAAAGGAGAAATCGAAATGGCTGAGGGTGTTGGAAACCCTGTGTATGATTCTTTCAATGAAGGACAACCCCTGGAAGACGTAAGTGACTCTTGTGACAGAAATGTTTTACTTAATGGAGACTTTTAAAGAGGATAAGTCCACGCACGTCTAGGTATCGGAAAATCCACTGGCTGGCTCCCTATGCGCTGATGTAATGTCTTATTGAAATCTGGATTTTTTTTTCTTTTTCGTTTTTTTGAGGGAGGAAAACTGTGTAACTCAAAAAAAGGCAAAACGAAATAAAAGAAAATGCAACCCACATTCGACACAAAGTCTAGGAATCGAAACTGAGCCACTAGGGTGGCAAGCAAGTGGTGTCACCTCGGTGCCTTCTTGGTCACATTTATTTTCACCAGGGTGGAGGTGTCTGATTTACCCTGCAGGCTTCCTTGAAACTTTTTGAGCTGGCAGCAGCATGATGTGAGGAGAGGGTTACAGGGTTTGTTTTTACTTCAGAGGGAAGATTCACTAAGTTCGTAAATCACGGCGATTATTTGCAATGTGTGCAACTGAAAAGTTTTCTTATCGGTCTTCTTTTGTGATCTTTATATCAGTTTCACATGAGTGACGTGGATACAAACATGTTTGCCTCAGATGACGCGTTTGGGATTGCGGTGAGTATTTTAGTTAAACATGTCTTCCACTCCTCAAGTATGGACTGACGGTACTGAAAAATGACATCTATGTTTTCAAAGTACCGGGTTTCCCTATTTAATTATCATTTGATCTAAAAGTAAAAACACATACAGGAATAGTTCAAAAGGATAGAAAAAGCTTATCCCCACACCCAACACTTATCGCTACGATTTAGCCTTCGAGTGAGACGTTTACAGTTCGATCTGTTTCGACCTACAGTGGAACATCCTTTCAGCAGACACCCTCTTTGAGTGGAGAAAGTGTCTTCTGAATAGAGATGTCCTTTTACTGATGGTGACAGGTTCACTGGTAATAGGACGCAATTTTTTTTTCACCCTCAGCTACAGCTTGTTCCCAGAAAAGAGGAGTTCCTTCATCTAAGCTAAGAATTTCAAAGATTAAAAAGGTTAAGAAAGCATCTTTTTCCGACTCGGAACTATAAAGGTTGCCCCCCCCCCTCCCTCCCCCTTGAAAACTATTAATGTGTCTCTCTCGTTCCTTTCTAGTCGGACAAGGAAGGAGCAACGTCCATGGCAAACCCATTGTATCAAGATCCTTACCTTGAAGAAGACCTAAACAAATATTGAACAAGGAACACAAACGTCAAAAATGCTGAAAACGAGACTAGAAGAACATTGCTGTCTTAGTTAGAAACCTTTTAAAAGTCTTGGAACATTTAGTCAGTACATACATATAAGATCTATTGATTACTATTTCTTAAATCACTGCTTCCTAGAAAATATTTTTATCACTGTGATGAGTTCAAATATTGGCAGATAGCTTGATATTATTGTTTTTACTTATTGTTCAGCGAGGCAAAATGTAGACGCATTTCTGACAAGATACATTCTTCTTTTTTACCGCTTACTAAGCCGCAATAAAAGAGCTATATTTTATGCTTTTCCTTGCTAGGTTTTGATATCATGAGTTTTTTTTTTAATGCTGCTTTTGAGAGGGAAGCTTTAGTTACCAATTATCTTGTGTGATAATCCGAATAATTCATTTGACAAGGTCTGCTTGGATCAAGATAATTTGTAGCGTAGCAGAAAAAAAATTTTCAACAGTACACTTTCTTAATAAACTTTCTAGATTTTCTAAGTGCGTCCGTCTTTATGTGTTTGTTTTATTTTAATTTTGTGTCCAAATGGTACATAAAGAGTGCTCTCCTGTCCAACAAAAATTATGATTTTTATTTTGACTTTCAACTTTTTCATGTTTTTTTGCTCAACAAAGTGAATTGAGAAACCACCGCGAAGCATTGAAGAATGTTCTGTCACGCGCCAAGTTTTCTCACCATGCAGAGGCATTTATTAGCAATTGATTGAACAGCTGGGAAAACTCGAAATCTAAGAGGCTACAAAAACGTGTTTATTGACATAAAGGTTAAACTACGGATCTAAAACAGGCCATAGACGCCTTCCTTGGTCCCTGCCTGTTTTTCAAACACTTCAGTCGCTTGTTGCTATCTCTGCAAACACGTGGTCCTAAAAAGCGCTATATTTACCAACCTTTCTGTCACCTCCAAAACAGACTGAGTTCACAAGGTATCTGTGACAATCGGAAAGGATGGTCTAATTCTCAGGGAAATATTCTCAGTGACTTTCTTCAGTTAATTCTCCAAACAAAGCCAAAGCTCCGAAGTCAAGTTGATTTCCTGTGAGACGAATCACCAGTGACCTTTAAATCGGAAAGAAAACTAAATATTTTGTAGTGAAAGATCCACTTGGTTCAAGCGCTGTGGAGGCCTGCGGAATATTATTCGCAAAATACCCGACCTTAATTCTGGCATCCGTATGGCGTAGATCAAAGGATTTAGCAGCGAATTGGCGAAGAATAGCATAAGGGCTATCATTTCGACTTGAAAAGTTCCTTGAGGGGAAAGGTTGATAGAGGAGGGGTATTTGAATATGTCAAAACTGGACCAAATCGTACTTGGCAGAAACGTTACCCAAGATCCTAGGGTGACAAGAAACAATGTACTAGTCAGTTTTCTTTCCCTCAGACCGGCTGCACCATGGTGTTGAGGATGACGACTGCATCGGACTTTGAGAAAAATGGCAAAATAAGAAACACAGATAGCAAAAAGAAGACTAAAAACAAAAGAAAAATAATAAATAATCAAATCAGGCAGATTTCTGTTTAAATATAGTTTGAAAAATATGCGTCCTCCTTCCACTACTACAGGTGTAAACCAAATTAAGGAAGTTACCACTCCATATACCCATGGACTGATAAAACGATGTCTGAACGGGAAGAATGTTGCATGTGCCCGTTCCAATGAAATAACAGCGAGATTGAGCAGTGAAGAGCAAGGAAAGATAAACTTTAAGGCTCTCTTCATTGTGACCAGCCAAGTATTATTTGTTGTGTCGTACTCCTTCAGACTACAAGAGCTCCCAATCGTTTCAACGCACAGAGGCTCACTGATACCTCCAGCCAAGAGATCGACTATAGCAAGATGGATGATCAAGTATGTACTCTTCCTCTGTAGCTGGCGCTGCTTCACAAATACAATAATGGTGATAATGTTGAGAACGACTATCGCCAAGGATTCAGCGCTGAGCACAACGATCCACGGGTTGCAATGTAATTCGGAATTGATCATCTCAACTTTCTGGCTCGCGTTCTCATAAGTCAGGGTCGTTGATGGCTTTGGCTGTTTACAAGAATCTTCACCATTCTAATGCTCTTAGTATGAATTCGAAAATATGAGTTATAATCGTGGCAAACAATATTAACATATGCACAATTAGAATGAAAGATGACTTTTTTCAGATGCACCAGTTTGATTCCGAGCCTTGGAAGAATAGCTTAGTAAATAATCATTGTCAACGCTGCTGGAGTTCCGAATGTTACCACGAACACCATTTTTTGGTATGAGTAGTTATGGCAAAAGTAATTTGCTTGTCTTCAATGTTATCCAGCGTTTGATTACCACTCCTCATTTGGATGAATGATGCGGATGCTCTTTGACATTTCTATTAAAAGCATAGCGTGAATTGCTTTCAATTTCATTGATTTTAATTTCCGCTCGAATGCGATAGAAACTTTTTAAATTACAAACCCTGTAATTTTGAGAATGAACAATTTTTTTTCCTTTTCTTTCATTTTTTTACTTAATACTGTATAATAAAACTTTTTTTCAGTTCTGGTTTTCATAAAGGGAGCGTAATACTCAAGAAGCCAAACTAATGGAATCTTTTTGAACATATGCAAGACCATATACTGAATAAACATTGCGATTTTATTCGTTATTGATGGGACGTGAAAATTAATGAGGTTTTTTTGAGCGAAATTAGAATGCGGCTCTTTGCTTCTCTAAAATGATTTAGAACCCAGGAAATAATTTCAGTCCTCGCAAGAGCCTTCAGGTTCTGGCAGTTGCAAGGCTCTCAAAAGGTGCTGAACAGCCGATGTCAATTGTTAACATATCTGACCCAAGTAACCAGTCCTTTTCGCGCCACGATGGATTAGCTCGGATGTTATAGGGCAAGTATTATTCTTCTCCTAGCAGCCGTAGAGAAGCACAACCTCCCGCGTCGGGAAAATTTGGGCCAATAGAAAGAAAAGTTAATTCGTGTTAACGGAAGTAAGAGTTAATTAAGTAAATGACTGAAAAACGTTTATTTGGCGAACCCAACACATTATGTAAGTCAAATCCAAACCAGATTTTCAAACACTTCGCCAATGCGGTTACATTATTTGGGAAAAAATTGCCCAATCTTTTTTTAGAGACAGAGCTCAGATTGCATTGAACTGAAATGACTGAAGCAAACGGCCAAATATAATCCATTTACAGAAATTGACGAAATTCGTGTTGGCACCAGGCTTTCACTTAACTGTACTTCGTGATTAATCAAGTTTTCAAAAAAAGAGCAGTCTACTCAGATTTTGCCAAATCAGGGGCGCAATACAGGTTAAAACGGAGTAGCAGCGTAAGAGTTAGCGGTCAGAATAACAAGGGGAAAAAAGCGCTTTACGCGACAAGATTAGCCAATCAGATTCTACCTAAAATGATTACAACAGTTGGAAGGTGTCAAGTAGGGAGTCAAATAGCGCAGAAGAAGTGTACAATGTCGACATTCCCTGTCTTAAGCAGTGATTCCATAATCCCCTCTTCAAATATCACCTACTTTTTGTTTACCTCATGATATGTATTCCGGAGACCACACTTCAACAGATGTTTTTATATCATCAGAGAAGTTCAATTATTTTTTTTATTATTACTTTCTGAATCAATTATACTGTCACTATGGAAATTAATAATGAATGGTCTTAATTACTACTCACAACGTTTTGTGATCTATATGAAATTCAGAAAACTGAAATATAATGATTTTATGCTGTCTCACTGAACTAAGACGAGACCTTTTTGTTTTCGGTGCTTACTCAAAGGAGTGGAAAATTACCACAAATACTATTGGTAACACCTCCAACTGATACATCACTTCAGAACGGAAAAACCTAATGAATAATTGCTGTTGCTCTACTTGCTATCTATAAAACTTACAAAGTAGGGTAGCACAAGCCCTTACTTTTTCTGACTATGACCCTGATACATAACTATTCAAAGTCGAAATTGGACAAAGAATCTTAGTATTTAGAGTCTCATACTTGTGGAGGCAGGGTGGCTGAATGTTAGCAGTCTGGTCAGGGCGCTAGACTTGTAATGTGGTGGTCAAGTCCACCTTGCTCATTGGCTGCGCTTTGTAGATAGCCAATTAGTCTGCCCCCTGCCAGTTGGGATTATCAAACAGTTTATTTAACCATTCATTCATTCGTATATTTATTCAATCATACGTATTGGTCTTGAAAGCCCACTGGGGAGTGGTCAATCATACGTATTGGTCTTGAAAGCCCACTGGGGAGTGGTCAATTAAGTATACATACTTATCTACATAGATACATACTAAAACGGACGAGAGAATTTAAACTCTTTGTATTCTCTCAAAACGGCCCAGTTATTTATGAGTCCCTCAGGAGCTTGTTCCTGAGTAATTCAGGTCTAAATTCATTACTCCGTTGGACACTACCTTCTATAAATGTGCTAACTATCCCATCGCCACCAAATAATTATTTTCGAAAAAGTTGAATAGTAATATAATAGTTTGCCTGAAAATACCAGGAAAGCAGGATCTCTGAACTAATTCAAGAGAGAAAATGACTTTTCTAATAATTAAAGACGAGGCATTTATGGAAACAAAAATCAAATAATCTTAAAACTTATAAGAACAGTTTTTAATTGAGTATTGAAAGTGATCCTGGTTGTTTGGTATTTCTTTACTTCGCTCTGTGATTGGTCCAGAATACTCGCGCCACCCTCACCATCTCAACCAATCAAATGCAAAGCTAAAACTAATCAAAACTTGGTCGCTCGCATTTTCCCGCGCTTCAAGAAGGTTGTCTGTCTTAACTTAGAGTTCTCATTGGTTAATAACGATGCTACCCGTCGCTCTGAATGGTATTTGTAATTATTTTGCTTTTAGTTTTTCGACGTTCAATTAAGAAACTGGTCTATGCGTTAATACCAGCGGAGTTTGTAATGTGTATTTGTCAGTATCTGATTGTATCTTAACGAGATCAAGGAAAGATTTGCAACTTGCTTACTTACTTACTAACCTTACTAACTTACTCACTTACTTATTTGCTTACTTACACACTTATTTGCTTACTTACCTACTAGATAACTAACTTACTTACTTATTTACTTACTTACCTACTTACTTACTTATTTACTTACTTGCATACATGCATATAAGCATGCATGCATACATAATTACTCAATTTCTTAATTACTAACCTACTTACTTATTTATTTACTTACTTAGTACTTTTACCTAACAGACAGCCGGGATTCCTTTTCAACCTCCTAATAGCATCATAACACTCATCTGAGAACCGATCTGTACTAACACTGAAAAGGGAAGATTGTACAACCTTAACTTGTTCTCTTCAGGCATTTTATTTTTGCAAGTTAACTGGGCTTTGGTAAAACAGTTGATAATAACTGATAGTAATGATAACATGATAAATGATAAGAGTACTTAATGTGCAGTACTCCTAAGATTAAAAAAAATCAAAGTTCTCAAAGGGGAAAATCGACTGGGTTTAAGCGGTTTGTAGACTTACGAAATATCATTTGATTTATAGCTGCTCTAAATTCTAGCATCCGTATGGCGTAAATTATAGGATTTATTAGCGAGTTGAATGTCACAATTGTCAGTACTGCCATATAGATGTTAAAAGTTATCTGTTTGGGAAGACTATTAGATAGCTCCGGAAAATTAAACACACCCCAGAAGACCACCTTTGGTAAGTAAGTTAACAATGATCCGAGGGTGACGAGAAATAACGTACTCGTCAATTTTGTCTCCCTCAGGCCGACTGCACCATGGTGTTGAGGATGACGACTACAACGAACTTTGATATAAATTGAAATATAACATACGCACATAAGAGAGAGAAGGATTAAAGTGTATAAACAGCGAATCAAAAATGGAGGGACGCTGTTGTCAGAAAAGGTGACTAATTCTATTTCTAACACGTTCACGGCTAAAGGCAGCAACCAAGTGAGAGCGATAATCACTCCATAAACCCGTTTCTTGATAAAACGATGTTTCAAAGGACGAGCTGCTGCATGTAGTCGTTCTAATGCAATTACAGCGAGGTTAAGGAGAGAGACTTGATAAAATGCATGGCTTGCAATTATTCTTAATTTAAGTAACCAATTGGGGTTAGACCTTAACTTCCATAGATGACAGAACCCATTTCCATTATTGAGAATGAGCAGAGGCCCTACAACCACTCCGACCAAGAGATCGACTGTTGCAAGATGGATGATGAAGTATATGCTTCGGCGCTGTAGCCGGGGCAGCTTCACAAAAATAATAATGGTGATGAGATTAAGGCTGACTATCGCCAGACTTAGAATGCCGAATACAACTAGCCAGGGAATGCAATGACAGGCAGGAACAGGTATCGCGTCCACGTTGCTCGTTTCACTATAGGTAATGTCGTTACTGCTGTTGGTAGCCATCAAGTTAGCGCTGAAATTGGGACCCTACCAGACGACCTGTGAATGGAGAGAAACTGTTAAAGATTTTACAGTCAAAGATACATTGATGCAGAAATTGTCATTTTATTGTATTTTTCAAAGTTTCAGCTGGTAGCAACATATGCTTTTGGATTTTGGCATTCCAAGAATACACGACAGAGGGCCATTTGATCAAAAAATATGGGCTGATTGTCAAGCACTTTTGTTAAATATTTAAGAGAGAGAGCTCTTAGAGTTTGTAATTTATAGTTACATTAGTTTCTCTTTTTTTTTTTTACAAAATCCTGCAATAAACCGATTCTTAATTGCAAGCCTTTTCACGATGACTCCCTGAACCCAGCTGGTTCGATTAGCAAGAAAAATCTGGCTTCTTGTTGATAAGAGTTACGAATAATTTTTGAGCGGTATCGCGATCCTTATAGAGTTGGTCCCAGTTTTGCTTAAGAAAAAAGACTACAAAATCTCATGGCACTGTCGCTTCGCTTTTGCCGCATGTGATCCGCTAAAATTAACAATTAGTTCATGCTTAGTGTTTATACATCGATTAAAGGATGCGCGCCGAAAAATTGGGAGCACAAGAAAAACGCACAAGAGTTGCTCGAGGCTTAATAGTCGCTAGACTGTGAATTTGTCATTTGCGATTACATGCTATTGCTCTCTCTAATCGGTATTAAACTACTTAACACCATTCCAGTTTTGAAATTTTTCTATAATTACATGTATGAAGAAGTTGAGAATTGTGAGGGTGACACTAAAACGTTGCGCAATAAACTGATTTGTGGTTGCCACCAGCAATATCAATCTCTGTTTGGGAAACAAGCGCCCTGCTCCATAGCGACACTCATGACACAAAAGCACCGGGTTTTTTCCGGCTCTCCATTAGGTATGAAAAACTGGCGAGATATCAAAGTTTTTGCTATGCAGAAAGCGTTAAAATCTCCAAATAAAAAATTTCCAGGCCGGTTTTTAGCCTTCTCATAAGAGCAGATTAAAACACCTTAAAAAAGAGAAAGATTGGCGTTAAAAGATTTCAGACAATGTCCCATTTCAGTTGGCAGGGATGAAATTAGGAGGCACTTAGAGCGCATAAAAGCAGGGAAGCAGTTCAAAGGCGGCAACAGGTCCTCGCACTCCTCGCCAATACTTGCATGCGATCAAAATAATGCAGTATAGAAGTGATAGTTGCCACTATAGTAACAACGTGCACTTAGACCATGTTTCGGCCTAACTTAACGACAAATATTGGACAGAGTTGATGCCTACCAAAGATTCGTTCACACCTCATTAGATAATGATCTCCTGTCTCAAGAAATACATCCTGACAAAATTCTAGCAGGCCTATAAGTGACCATTAGCAAGAACACGGTAAAATATGCCTGCTACAGACAAAGTGAAAAAGAAACAAACTATATCTTACAGTAAGTGGGTGAATCCACTGTACTAAGTATGAAGATCCTCTGAGTTAACTTGAATTTAAGGCAGTCTAAAGGAAAATCGCGATGGTGTGCGCTGCTTGAGATCTGGATCAGAACCTGAAAAAATAAGGAATGAAATAAGCAAAGTACACATTGTTGGAAAATGTGACAAATGTTAAAAATTCCCTCCTCTAAGATTGGAATTTGATCTGACGTCGGACATAAGAAAATTTGAGTGGTCAGTTTTCTTAGATTTCGACCATAAAAGCTAGTATTAGCGTGCCTTAAACACAGATTCCCTCAGTAGTTCTGTGGATTGATTTGTTTAACGAATTTGATTTGAACGAGTTTCAGGTCTTCCTTTTTGGTGGCACAAAAAACACAAATCTTTAAAGATTTTAACATGACGAATTTGAATTAGTTTTCTAGAACCAAGGAGAAAACATGAACACGAAAATTTGACTTCAAGTTACCCACAAACGTTTTCAAATCCGACTCACCACTTAATTTTACAAGAGTGATCGCGAACTCGAAAGATCGTCTTATTCTAACTGTGACTTTGCAGTCTTAGTTATGAAAAAGAGAAAATAAAATTTCTTTAAGATACTATTTTCGAGTATGAGCTCCGCCTCCTTTGATTGTACCACCCACAGAGCCTATAGATTCTGCAACAAACACAGATGCCTTAGGGGTCAATCTTCCTGAAGTAAGTTCTGCCCACTTTCCAACTCTAAAACGTTCCACCCTATTCATCTCCTTTCCCTCTGTTTTTTTTATCTTAATCCTGCTACCTAATCCTTCCTCAATAAGTATTACAGCTTAAACTTTCGTTCTTGTAATCTTGTATCGGCTCCTTAGCGCGCGACCGTATGCTTTTATCGAACAAATTATCCCTCGAACCTCTGATTAAAAACTTTGGTAAACTTATGCACCTTTATTTCTGTTTGGTCGGCCAATAAATCGTTTCCTCTTGACTTTGAACGCTCCAGTGGAATACAGATGCGTCACGATTACATACCTATCATTCTAGAAGATGTTAAGTCGATATTTTGTCTCGTTCTCTTGGTATATGGAATGATTGTACATCAAATGATTTTATACCGCAAGAATAACGTGAAGAAAACGCAACAACTGCGTTTTGAAAGAACTTAAGAGAGAATTCTATCATTAAGAGAGAAGTCTATCAAAAAACCCATGGAATTTATGATGCGTGACTCTGCCCGCTACTCTCTATTTCATTAATGTCTTTTCACCATTGTATTCATGTCTCTTGCAATTTTCTTTACTTTTTTCTTGTCTTTTTTTTTTCTTCCAAATTCATATCTGATCTCTAGCTTATTGACTTATTTGATAATGACAAAAATGGAACGTCGAAAGGTCGTGGTACACAACAAAATTTTGGACCCAGATGGTTCTGAATTTTTCATTACAATTATGACGTATTGTGGTTACTTTTCAGACAAATCTCTTCTTGTGCGTTTGTCAAACAAATGTTTCAATTAAATTTGCCCTAAAGGAGAAATCTGCAAAGAAATCTGCCCGCTACAAGTAAACAGTCGTAGCAACTGTGTGTAGTCTAGGTCAGTTTGTTTTTTGCGGCTCAATTTCAGCTTCTATCTCACAATTGGAAGGCATCCGAGATTTTTGCTTCGTTGCTATCATGAAGACTAAGAAAACACATTTTTTCTGTTTCATCTTAGTCCCACTCGCGTTGGTGTTTGAATTCAACGTACACTTTGTAATCTATAGTTTACAATGCCGACTAACTGTGTCTCCGGCCCCGGGCAATATTTCAGACACTATTTCCCTCAATTTATTATCAGGGCGTCCTTTACAACTCATTCAACGCGATTGTTAAGTTTGTCAGAATTCCTATAAGTGGACTTACCCTGAGAAATTTCACACAGGCAGGGGTGTAGTAAACGTTCCCCTTTCCTGAGCGATAGAAAATCATATGAACATCTTAACAAACAGTCATAAAACCGAAGCCAATAAAAACTTGATGGGAAGACTCATCAAACTTCGTGCTTAAATTTAGCTTGCCGGTCATCGATATTCCTAGCCTGGGCTCATTAAAAATATCAAAGTGTTCAAACCTTGAGACAAATATGAAATTTGTCATTCAGGATATTGGTAAACCACACAAGGGCTCTTCCAATTAATTTATTCAAATGTCGTGTCAATATTTACAAAGGTACCTTGGTATTGACGATAATTGAACTATAAAATCTACGAAACATTTCAGAGGATGAATAAGCAATGATCTTTTTAAGGACATCAACAAGTGTTATCTAGCATATACAAAAATATGTCTTTTGTCTGGTGTCGCCACTCAATAAATTGTTAGGGTGCCAGTATATTATTTTTTTTTTTTTTTCGAACACTCTTAAAAAAAATCAGCTTTTTGCCATCATGAAGATTAACACTCAGCCAATAAGATTTGCTTTAATTATCAAGTGCAAGTGTTCTTTCCATTTTGCAATCTTAATTTGTTTTATACTGGAAAAAAAGCCTTATTCCTTTGTCGACTGACTGCCACAATTAGCGACCTTAGATGCTGTTGATGGACTTCCCTTCAGTATTTTTCGAATGGACGACAAAGCAAACAATTTTTTCTCTCGAAGCGATGAAAATCCACTTGACGGACATTTTAAAAGCTCTTCGTATTACAACATATCACAGCGAAATATTGCAGCATCCGCGATGGTAACGCCTAATTCTAACATTAATTTTTTCAACTGACCTTCATTTGATAAATGAGCAATAAAAACACCAGGTGGCAGTTTTCTTTCTCGTCTGTGCTAGCATTTAACCCTAAGGTCAATTTTGTGGTCAATTTCATTCCGATATTGAATACTGTTGAGTAAGTTTATCAAGAAATGACTATTTATAGAAGTTGTTTTTTAAGATGTCTAAGGTTGTCTGTCATAAGTAGGAGTTCATGGTAAATTTTTTAAACACTTTGATTGTGTTCCTATTCTAAGAGGACTCAAGAATGTGTTGGGCTATTAGGCATTGTTAAGGATAATGACGTAGGACAGTAACATCCAGGACAATGGTCAAGTGAAAAACATCTGAATACGAACTTACAGTCATGGTGAAAAATCATAAAACGAAGAAGATTTTATTTTGAAATCGCTAAAACTTTTCAGGCTTTGACGAATAATCATTTTCTAGCTTTGTCTAAAGTTATGAATGTGATGTCTCAGACAATTGTAGACACCTGTTTAAAGTTTGACAAATTTATGAATTGGTCAATGATAAGTGTGCGTCTATCAAGGAGGCACGCGGGAAGTTTGAAGAGCACGAGACAAGGGTTGCTCGAGGCGTAGCCAGGGGCAAGACTTTTAAACATATTTACTTTAATTTTCATTTTAAGTTGCACAAAGTCCATCTTAATTGGGATGGAGCAGTTCTAACTTCTTGAAAGTTTTGAAACTCGCGGCTAAACGATGGTTTAAACTGGGAGAGAACTTTGCAACAAAATTTAGCTGCACGCGTCAAGATGTAATGCGCATGGCTGTATGCACGTCGAGATTTCTACCATAATGGCTAGACACGGATTAGACGGGACGAACGCAAGCGCCGTTTCATGATATCATTTTGAGTATACCGGCTCTGAATTCTGGCAATTATCCAGCAAACTCCCAAGGTAGCCAACTATCTATTTCAGTTTGTTAATAAGTAAAACGAGGAATAATAAAAAAGGAATTAAAACATTGGAGAGTACGAGACAAGGGTTGCTCGAGGCGTAGCCAGGGGCAAGACTGTCGTGGTTTTTAAACATATCCGTTTTGATTTTCATTTTAAGCTGCACGAAGTCCATCTAAATTGGGATGTAGCGATCTAACAATCTTGAAAGTTTTGAAACTCGCGGCTAAACGATGGTCTAAACTCGGCGGGAACTGTGCATCAAAATTTAGCTGCACACACGTCAAGATGTAATACGAATGGCTGTCAGCAGGTCGAGATTTCTACCATAATGGCTAAACAAACACGGACTAGATAGGACGAAAGCAAGCGCCGTTTTATGAAATTACTTTTAGTATACCGGCTCGCAATTCTGGCCATAAAGGAACATTTAGCCGTCAGGACGGCAACGCCAAGGAAGACGTCGATTGAAACATGAATATCTATTTTTAGTTAGAGTTTCGAAAATGGCTGGATGTGTTTACCGTCTTTAATGGCGCTACACCTCAACTTCAGCCTAACGTATATAAGCAGCGTTCAGTTCCATATGGAAATTAAACTAATTTGCCGTCGCGGTTCCCCTACGCAGACGACGCAAATTTTGGCGATTTTACGTTGTTGGTTTGCAGAGGACGGCTAGGAAATGAACAAAAATTTAAAACGCATGTGCTTAGTTAATGTTCTGTCCATTAAATTTTTGTTTTGCCACGTCCTCGTTGCTGTCACCGTCGTGATTTTCTAAAGGTCCCTATTATCAAGCAGACTCCCAAGGTTGCCAACTATCTATTCGAGTAAGTAAATAAGTAAAACGAGGAATATAGAAAAAAGAATTAGATAGATAGATATCGAGTTACAACCGACGTGAGGTTTAACAAACTTTGCGCAACGATTCAAAAGATTTAGAGAAGACAATCTCGCAACCACCTCTTCCTTATGGGAGGTGATGATTTGTAAAACCACCGCACGGTGACATTTGTCATAGTTTTGCACTAAATTCCAATTTGCCATTACTTCAGAGAAAAAGTCTAAGGGTTTTTATGGTTATAAATTGTATCTAACCGCGGACATTCTCTAGAAGGTTCTACTTCATTATTTTCATGTATAATTGCATTTCGGAGTTTTGGTTTGACAGTGGAAGGAAAACTGGGGCACGAGGAGGAAAACCTTTGGAGTAATGAAAAGAACCCAAAAGATGAAAAACAATGTTACCCGCTAGGTTTAGGAGTCAGACCCGGGTCACAGCGATAGGAGGCGTGTGTTTTTCTCTCCTGCTACATCTCTAAGTCCCTTGGTGTTCTATAACTGAAATGTTGTATGTTTACAAACCTTGGCAATACACTCGAGATATTTGTCTTGAAAGACCCCACTTTATAGTAGTCTGTTATAGTCTGCAACACAGCTTCAGAGGAGGCCTAACAGCTAATAAAATCTTGATAAAAGATTCACACATTTAAATATGCTTAACAGTCTTACACTTTTCAAATATCTACGTCATACCCTACCTATAAATTAGCATGCGTGACTAAGTGCACTTCTTTTTAAGCACAATAAGGTGGACATAGGCACATTCTGTGATGCACTAGAACATAGTAAATCCCGCTCGACGTATTCAATCCACAAAGGCCCATGTACTGATTCCGTCTTAAGTTCCGTCCCTCGGCAAGACGTGTAACACTGATTAATTGATGAGCAATACTATCATTCAATACCTCTTCTACATGACTGCGTATCTAACAAGTTTGACAGATAAACAAAGAGGAAAAATGAATTAAAAAGGTTTGGTTTCAGTAAAGAATCCATGTTACGCGTATTTCCTGTATATATTTCCCACAATGCTTCAATATAAAATTACAAAAAAAATTCGTTTCCGTAGTCATAATGGTTTATGGTTTATTCTGGACCAAGTCGAACTGAAAAGGAAACCGTCTAAAGCTTCCGTTGAAGGGAAAGAGGAAACAACCGAAATAGAAAATAGGATGGAAATTTCTTCTCACTTTCATCATGTAGGATCACTTTGGTTAATTCACTTAAATGGATATCAAAAGTCAGTTTAACCTGAAAATTGTTTTATAAACTGGTCCTTGCTCTTTCGATCTTAATGGACTAAACATGATATCTTTGTTAATAGAGCGCTTTCTTTTCAACTCAACCTAATTAAAGCTTAACGTTTATTAATTAATGTTCGATTCCGCTTTTTTTTATTTTGTAGAATGCTTTGGTTCCTACACTGTTGTTTTTATCTAGCAGTTGAATGAAAATTAACGGAAGAGCTGATCGACAAACTTGGTCAATATGAATATTTTAATTCTTTAACTGCAGGCGTTACGGGGAGGCCAACTCGTCTATGCCCAACACAGAAAAGCACACGTTCCCGACTTCTCAGACATGTTATGTTTTCAAAGGACCACGAACGAAAAACAGTTTATACACATAAGAAATACACATAATTTAAAGTGTAACAGATACAACTTATAACCTCCTGGGGAACTCGATTTTATTTTTAGTTGCTGCAAGACTCGATTTGTCGAAGGCTCGAGTTACCAGGAGTCAAGTTTATGACGAAAACGTTTCAGGGTGCCAGGGAAGGGGAGTTAGCTTTCGCCACAGCGCTGGTTATTTTGAGTAAATTAAAATGAGTCTCATGAAGCAACAGTTTTGTTTTTCGTACATGTGCTCAGGAATAAGTATAATAAGAACACGATTAGATTCAGTTGACACATGATCGCAAGGACTGTCAAGGACGAGGTATGTGTTATCCACCTCAGTCATCAACTCTGCCTTTATAATTATTGTTAGCATGTACTAGAACAGTGGATAGCCTTGAAGATGCGCTCTGATTGGCTACTCCAACTCCGAATATCCTTTGCTATTTACCTCCGAGCAACTCGCGCGGGTTTTCGCCCGAAAATATTGTAATCGTTGCAGGAATAATTTAGTTAAAATCATTTTTTTGTTTTGTTTTATCTCACTGCTTAAGTATATACTAACACAGCTTTTCACCTCGTTGTCACTGGCTAGCGGTGGATATTTATCTCATCGCTTCGCAGCTCGTCAGTAAATATCCACTTCTAGCCACCTCCACTTCGGTAAATAATTGTTAACTATCATGCTCAACCTCATGCAATAATTATGAAATAGCGAAAGCCTACGAACGCAGCTTAATTCAAAAAGTCTCCTAACAAAGACAGGCAAAACATGGAGAGGACCATGACAAAATACAATCTGTGACAATAGTAATGTAATTTTTGGATCTATTTTATTGTATTGCATATTATGTTAGTATCTGTTTGTATTTTATCGTAAATGAAATAAGAATGCTTACTAGCTAACTTCATTTTAAAAGGAATACTTAAACTTAAAGACAGGTTTTCCTTTCTTGTGGTAATTTCTTATCATCAACACCCATTTGTAGATACAGTGTTGAGGCTGGACTTACAATCTTCTTTACCAAGCACTCTATTTCATTCTAATTTTACTTTGCATAAAAATTACAGTAAATATAACAATAATTATATTGATAATAATAGTAGTATCAATAGTTATAATCCTGACAAATAACCCTTGTTTTTTTTCTTTAGTGTGAGCTGTACTCTTAAACCTTAAGAGTGACGAGCATCTAACTTATCCTTACAACAATAATGCTGAAACATTAATTTAGGTCACGAGAATATAGGAAATGATTTCCAACCTAGGAAGCTTTGATTGTTAAACCAATTCTCTTTGTTAGTACCAAAGAAAATGTGTAAAGAAGAGTATGAAGAATATGGATGTTGAAGTCAGGATACAAATTGTTGAGATAAAAAAAGAGAATTAACGATTTTGAAGTGCATGGGACATCGATCGGCTGTAAGCGGTTCGGAGACCGTCGAAAATTATTTGCAATATACCGGCTCTAAATTCTGGCATCCGACGGTATGAAAGAAAGAAAAAGAGTCCCAGAACAAAAGCGGGGTCGACTATTCTTTTCCGATATCCGAATACGCGAAGCAGCTGGATTTTCCAGTCAGAGATCGATATTTACAGAAAATAGCGGCAATTGGAATTGATCCAGTTTTAGTCGAAGGGAAGGACTTTAAGCCGGACTGTTTGCCTCCTGTTGAATCCACAGATATTTTGTGGTATCTTGTCTTGGAGACAAGTTTCTACACTCAGAAACAGTTTAAAGCTTTCCGAAGTCTTGAAGCATATAACCAAATGGTTTCTGGTTTTATCGCAAGCGTGCAAGGCCACATAATCGCCGACAAGTTTCTTGTTTTAGCAAAGGTGAGACATTCCCAGCATATGAACGACTCTCTTATTTCATGTTGAGTTATCACGGAAAGAGAAGGAACAATTTTGTTTGCACACTGCTTAGGTTGCAAGGCTGGCCTGGCAGAAACCTGTTCGCATATAACAAGCGTGCTATTTTATCTGGAAGCGTGGACAAAAATAAATGGCAGACTTGCCTGCACGCAAGTGAAGTGCTCGTGGCTTTTACCTACCTACGTCAAACAAGTAGAATATGAAAAGGTGCGAGAAATAAACTTTACATCCGCAAGGAGAATGAAAAACGATTTAGATGCCAAGATTGAGAACCTCTCCAATGTTTCCAGCCCTGATAACTCTGCTAAAGGAAACGTGTCAAAGGAGATCCCTGTTCCCTCAAAACCGGAAATGGATACCTTTTATGCTAAACTTAGTAAGTCTAGTAGCAAGCCCATCGCTCTAAGCTTAATACCCGAGTATGCAGACAGCTATATCCTCAAAAGTCGCTGCGTACCTACAATTAGCGATCTGTTTGATAAGAAGTACCTCGCTCTGAGTTATCCTGAGTTATTAAAAGCTTGTCAAGAGGTAGATATTGAGATTACAAAAGAACAAATCTTACAAGTTGAGAGAGATACTGTCGCACAAGCGAAGGGTAACAGTTTCTTCAGACATAGAGCTGGAAGAATCAGGGCCTCCCAGAGTAAGGCTGCTTGTCAGACAAATCCAGCCATGCCCTCCCAGTCACTCATTCAGTCTATCTGCTATCCTGAATTAAATAAACTGAACACCAAAGCTATAATTCATGGGTGTCAACATGAACAGGAAGCAATTAGTGCTTATGAAGAGATAATGAAGAAGGAACATATCAACTTCAAAATTGAGAAATGTGGCCTTATGATAAACGAAGAATATCCATGGCTGCATGCAACTCCCGATTTCTTATGTTCATGCGACTGTTGGGGAGAAGGGTGTGGCGAGGTGAAATGCCCCCTTTGCATTGAGAATTGTGATTTTGATAACTATGTAATGAAACCATCTTCCTGTCAGGAAAAAATAGGCACTGGAAATTTCAGTTTAAAGACAAACCATCAGTATTATTTTCAAGTACAACAACAGTTGTTTACACGCAAGAGGCTATATTGTGACTTTATAGTGTGTGCATTTGGACATGTGGGAGAGGCAAAGCTAGTAACACAAAGGCATTTCCCTGACAAAGATCATTGGGAAGCCGTTTTACCTAAACTGACCAGGTTTTGGAGGACTTGCATATTACCCGAAGTTTTAGGGAGATGGTACACTAGGAAACATGACTTTGGTGATGTTAAGCCAATGGAAGCCCATTCTGTTCGCTTTTGCCGAACTGTGACAGCTGAAGACACAGTAAGCTGCTGTAATGCTAATTGTCCTATTTTGAAGTTCCATTTGTCATGCTTAGGTATTTGCAGCATACCTAAAACATGGTACTGCCCCAACTGCAGAACACTGCCTGAATTCAAATGCACAAAGAAGTCCACTCAAGCTGGCAAGAAACATGTAGCACCTTCAGATGCCCTTATCTTGGATTCTATTTGTGTTTGCAAAAAGAAGCCAAGTGAAACTGATAAGCTCTTAGAATGTCACAATGAAGGTTGTAAGAATGGCAGATTCTTTCATTTGGCTTGCATAAATCTTAAACGTATGCCAAACACCAGTAAAACAACATGGGTTTGTCGAGCTTGTAAACAGAAGAGTTCCAGTACTGAAGATGGAGTGAAGTTTGTAAAAGAGGTGAAAAGTAAAACCCCCATTGAAAAGTACAAGCAATATGCCAAACTGGGGCAGGCAGAATATGACCTTATCATGTCACCAACAGGATGGTTAGATGGTACAATAATACATGAGGCTCAAACCATCTTACGGCAAGTCAATAGCAGCATACATGGCTTCCAACGACCAACACTCGGGCCTATCAAGCAGTTTGATATAATGACTGGGGACTTTATTCAGATTTTGAACATCAATAACAATCACTGGATGTGTGTCAGTTCAATTGCCTGCCCTCCTGGACATGTAAATTTAATGGACAGTCTTGCTAAGCCAGTAATTTCAAAGGAACTTAAGGAACTGGTAAAGGCTTTGCTTGGTCCAAACTTTCAGGGCATTTCTAACATCCCAGTACAGCAGCAAATGAATGTCAGTGACTGCGGAGTGTTTGCCATAGCCTTTGCAACATGTCTTGTTTATGGACAAAATCCATGTAATGTGATTTTTGACATTCCTAGGATGCGCCAACACTTGCATAGATGTCTGAGAGCTGGCATGATGCAGTTGTTCCCTACCACTTGAATTTCTTACTAAGTACACTTGGTCATCAGCTACAAAACTGTACTAAGTTATGATTTTTAATATGTAACTGACATGTGGCTTTAGAAGGTTAGTTTACATTTGAGCAGGTCTTAACCCTGGCCACCTGACAAAGTTTACAACAACTTTCATTGTCTCATCTTTTTAAAAACTTTCTATTAACAGCTACCTATTGCTTTCAAGTTTTAAAAAACTCTTACAAACTAGGTTGAAAGAAAGAGTAAAGCAGATTTGATAAATCCCATTTTGACTTGAGTTGAATGTAAGAGAGCCAGAAGAAAATTGTCAGAATAATGGGGAAGTCATTTTAGGTGCCCATGGTTGTCACTGTAAGTTTCAGTTACATATATGATTTTACGTATATATTTCAATGACAAGCGCATGCGATGCCTCATTCAATTACATAACACCATGTAAACACCAATACGTATGACAGGTTTCCAATCACCCTAATTACTAGTAATTATAAAATTGCTCATTACTCGGTTGCAACTGTACAACTGTGGTTCATGAAAATGAAGAACAGCTAGAGTCTTTTGTCTCTGTGATCACACTCTATGTCACAAAGAATGTACTGCTAGTTTATCATAATGCTTTAAAGGACCCCAGTCAGCCAATCAGGGAGAGATTACTGAGAAACTACTAAAGGTAGTTAAACAGACTTTCAGTATTTTGCTCCACTATACGATGTCCATTATGTCGAGAGCATTGAAGTGGGGGGGCTGACTAGGCTCCTTTAACTTTTCGCTGCCATTTCAGTCAAGTGGTACAATGCCTGGGCACAAATTAACAAGAGCTGCAGATACATTAATAATCCTGTCAATCACTGGTGTTGCTTCTTCCTGAGAGCCACCAGGGTTGGAAATTAAGAAATCAATTGGCAGAATTCCAGACAATATCGAGTACTTTCGGCGAAGGAGGCCAATAACCTTTTCGACATGAATGCGAACATTTGCGATCCCCCTAGTTTTTTCAACATCCACAGGGTCAAGCTGGTCTTTTCCCTTTGTGAAAGCAGGGATGGCTAGTTGTGCTTGCTGAAACATAACACTCTCTGCGATGGTGAAACCACGGTCAGCCAAGACCAGATCCCCAGGCAACAACTTATTTAAAATTCCACAGTTCTCAGTTAAATATTTGTCTGATGTTCGTCCTCCCCAAGCTTGGGAAACATAGGAGATTGTACCTTGTGGAGTTATCCCAATCAGCACCTTAACAGTGTTATGGTGTTTGTACGATGACCATGTCTGTGCTCTTGCGAGCAGATTTGATAGTCTATTAATAAATACTTCGAAACAATCAATAATCACGGTAGTTTTGTTTCCAAATGAATATTTAAAACACTGTGGCATAGTTCGCCATAAATCCTCACGTTCAGGCCAGTTGATAAGTGGAGCCAGGCGTACATCTAGCGCTACCATCCAGGATGAAAAAATCCTTGAAACTGTTGAAAGGGAGACATTGAAGCGATATGAAAGATCTTGATGTGGTGCGTCAAGTTTAAGTTTTATCAAAGTCATGACAAACTCTTGAAATGTGGTCAGATTCTGGGACTTGTAAGCAACAAACTGAGAAACATGTTCAAAAACATTTTGCAGGATATCGAAGGAAGGCAATCCAGTGTAGAATTTAACTTTTTCTTCGTTTTGTACAAATTCCCACCGATCAAATGGTTTCCGGTCAATGTTTAGAGAGCTGAATAAATATTCAAACTCTTCAGTTTGTGTGCCAGCTTCAACTGTTAATTTTTTCTCTTCGTTCTCATTTCCTTCAAAGCTAAGGTTTGAAACCTGTTCACCGGGCTCATTAAGTTTCTGTCTCTTCGCCGTTCGCTCTAGTTCTAGCTCTCGTTCTCTCTTTTCAAAAGCCGGCTTCTTCACCAGTTCACGTTCCCTCGCTCTCTCGCTTCGTTTTGCCGCCGCTTCTTTATGATCTGCTCGATCAGTAGCTTTCTTGTGTCCCAAAAGCAATGTCGGAACCCAGTCAATATTAAATTTATCCCAGCTCTTAGCTGCCCTTCCTGAAACAAAATACTTTTCGCACACACGATCGTTTTCTAAGATCTCTTCGGTCAGATCGTCACGGCTCATCGCTGAAATCCAGCGCGATCTTCTTTCTTCGGATAGTTTCTGTGCCTCTTCGCCTTGATTTGTGACCACAGAAGGCACCCTTGCAAAGTACAACCCTTTATCTCGTCCACTTTTGCTGCCACAGCCAACGATCAGACACAAAACCATGTTCCGCGCGAAGGACGCTACTAGTTTGTTTACAATTGAGGTACACCAATATGGCGGCGTAGCAACGGTAGTCAAGGAATTGGTCACGTGGGTGAAAACGATCTATAGAAATAATGTACTCGTCAGTCTTCTTTCCTTCAGCCCATCTGCAACATGGTGTTGAGGATGACGACTGCGACGAACTTTGACGTAAATTGAAATATAGCGTACAGATATAACACTGAGAAAGTAGGATAAAAAAGTATAAACAACGAAGTAGAAATGGAGGGACCCGGTTGTCAGAAAAGGCGCTTTAATTTTTGGAAGGCAGGCAAAGTAATCCAGCATCCGTCGTTTGTTTCATTACAGAAGTAAGTAAGTAGCCATTGGTTTTTCTCTGAAATAAGTAGTTTACCAAACGACCAGTTAATTGAGAGAAATTGATGAAGATTTTCAGCAAGTGATACATTGTCACAGCGTTTTCAAACTTTCTGTGTTTTTTCAATGTTTCAGCAGGGAGCGAAAGACTCATGAGTCCGATAAGAAAAGTTTTATCTTGTTACAGAAAATTGATGCGCATCGATATGAGAATACTTCTATATTTTTCGTATAACACCCCAACGTACAGCTTTCCGAAGAATCTTTTAGCTTTGCCTCGATATGAATCTACTACAGTATTAGTCAAGACTTATGCAAGTAGTAGCCATACAAATAGGAGATATTCAGCCTGATTTTAGAGTCACCAAGATACAACTAGTTTTAATCCCACGTCCATACCTCAGGAAGGACGTTGGAGGTAATGAAAGTGAGTATTTGTCCACTTTTCTTACAAAGAAGCTCGTTTCTTTAATCACATTTGCTATATCTGCTCAGAACTTTAGTTTGCTTCGAAAAAGGCGCTGTTAAGTGATTCCTCAATTAGGATTCTATTGAGGAGCATTTCCAAAGCAAGTTTGTTTTAAACTGAGTGTATAAGAACACTTAGTCCTCGAAGAAATGTAATAACTTTATGTGTACTCTTACGAGTAACTAGCGTATTTAATATAAAACGTAGATGACTCAATTTAACGATTCACGCCGTTTTACTAATAGAAGAAATCACTCGGTGTAACTTAGCGAAGAAATGGATAATTTCAACGAGAATCGTTAAACCGTAAAACCCCCCAAAATATTATTTTAAAGATTACATTTCCACTAATTTATCGAATTTATCAGAGCGGGCGTCGATGACATATTGGACTCGATGATCTTATTTGCTGTCATCAATATTATGGGAAAAAGGGTTTAAGAAACATTTTTTTGAGATTACGAAAATCGAGAGAAATAATGGGGCATTATTCTCTCTTTTTAAATAAGAGCTATTTCTAAAGAATGAAATGTTTCAAGCTCCTCATGCAAAAGAAATCTGGAACTAACCATGCAACTTTAGCGCATGAATTAAATGCAGACGAATATTTTGAAGATTACTTAACGATAAGTTTCCAAACGTCGTGCTAATATAAACTATATTTGGAAAAGGAATTGCTTTTGAATCTGTTGGAATTAGCATTTTCAATATGCTTATTGTTGCCATAGAAATGACTGAGAGTTTCATTAACAACAGTACGATGATAAATTAAATGCATCGATATAAAAATCTTTGAATTTAATTGTTTGGAATTCTTTTTGAAAGACTGGAAATATTAAATCTGAAAAAGCCAAAACGACACGGACTTCCCGTAGAGTTTAGCAAGTTTGATTTGTAAAAACGGGAAATGAACAAATCTAGAAAAAGAAAAGACACATATTCAAAAATACCTCCAAGAAGTAAAGAGAAGCGATCATGACAGATGACGAGCAAGGTCACTGAATTACAAGATGAAGATGAAAAGATAAGCTTGAAAGACGGCGAAGATTTTGGGAAAAAAAAAACTTGATAAAGCATTTTAACGCGAACAATGCTATTCACTCAAGCCTGATATGCTTTTGATAGTGAAGGACCCAAAACACAAAAGAAAGACTCACTTTACATTGAAGCAAGTATAGTCGACCATTTCAACACAAACTTCACTGCATTCAACAAATGCCGCTTGCTATGATTAGGGAAGTACTGACGTCACGCTGTAATAAAAGCAAAGAACATTCAAAGTAGCGTCAAAAGTGATTAGGAGAAATGTGGAGTATGAAAAAACACAGGAAATGTGATTTGACTACACCAATCCCTCTTCAGAACAATTCACAATGCAAGTGCTGAATCAACACTCATAGAATCAATAGGGGAGTAAGCTTCCCTTGCATTCGTTCTTTGAGATCTCGCGTAATACCCCCCTCCCCTCCCTTGTTTCTACGTTTCTTTGCGGTGTACTGTAATTATCAGAGTGCAAATGACGTAACGTTTTGCACGTAAATGTGCACGAGGCATGTAGTCTAATACTTATCTATTACTAATCACAACTGCTTGTCTCTTACAAATACAGAAAAGCGATTAAGGGCCGTAAGTTAAGACGACACACGACTTTCGATCTTCTTTCACCTCAACTCATTAAATAAATAAACGTCCAGTTACACTGGGTCCATTAGAGGGAAATTTCAGTGAGATCATATACAACGCAGACATGTTTTGTCCCTGCTTGACGCTTAAGAAGTCATTTATTGAAGCGTAAAATTTGTCTTAAAATCTCTTTCAAAGCTCTAAAAATACTTCTTGTAACAGAGTTGTAAAACTCACTTTTTTTTTCTGGTGCGTCTCAAAAGAAAATTTCGAGGTAAAAAGTGAAATTTTGCTATTTTCTCGTTTGAAGGTGCGAAATGCTGATGAGTCTCTAAAGGTGCTCTAGAGTTACAATTCTAAATATTGATACATTGAATGTACTCCCTCCCTAAACAACTTAATTTCTCAGTAAAGCACATATTGTAAGAGAGCAGATTTTATCGGAAAAGATCTTCGTCTGACATTGTTTTGTCATGGATATCAATGGTTGTGAGAACAACCCTTCCCAAATTCTTCATTTACTTTCTCGTAAGGTAGCCAAAGGTAACGCTACAAATAATTCTTGTGGTAAGAAAGTACTCGCGCAGGAAAATTTCTTGGTCGGAAGCGGCCGTTCTCTTGGATGGAACATTGCCTAACATTCCAAACCACGGCTGCGAAACTCTGACGAAAGAATTGGAGAAATCTCCCATTCGCTTACTGAAAACTCAGAAAAAGGAAAGGAATCAAATTTTACAAAAAAGCAAGAGCGGCAAAGAAATATTCTGAAGCCATCTCGAAAGGCAGAATTCCAGTAAGGCAATTACAACGTTAAATAGCAGGGACGTACATCACAAGCGGCACCTTTGTGCCTACCGTCCTTGGCAATATTTCTATTTCAGAAAAATAATTACATTACACAGCGTACGGAAGAGGAACTGTGGCCACGATTGTAACAATATGCATCATGTGCATGTTAAATTTTAATCTAAAACAATTATTGGTAAGGGATGCAGTAGACATAAGGTGTTGAAAAACCAAAATTCTTTAATTCAATGCCTTAGAGACCACACTCACAACAGGTTTCAATTCATATTCTAAATTAAAACTCTCGCTTTTTCCACGGAATGAGAGAGATAAAACAGGTTAAAATAAAAGCTAAAGGAAATGAATAAATTGCAATAAAAAAGTGAAATAAACCACCAGAAAATGAATTTGTACTCGCCTGTAACTTATAGAGGTATAGTGAGATAAAATTTTGGAAGTAAGTTTACCTAATAACTAAAAATCTGTGTGCAAAAATATATTCAGACAATAAATAATGATCTCCTGTCTAAAAAATATGTACCCTGACACACTTTACATGGTAAATTCTAGAAGGCCTACAACCATTAGCATCACAACGTGTAAAAATATGGCAGCTGCAGTTCCAGTCCCAGAGGCTGATAAGGAAAGAAAAAAATGTTAGAGTTAAATAAACTCATCCCCCAAGGGTAACAACTCTTCCCCCCCTGAGGGTAACAACTCTTCCCCTGAGGGTGAAAACTCCTCCCCCCTGAACATAACAACTCCTCCCCCTGAGGGTAACAACTCTTCTCCCCCTGGCTAACAACTCTTCCCCACTGAAAATAACAACTCTTCCCCCCAAGGGTAACAACTCTTCCCCCATGAAGGTAACGACTCTTCCCCCCTGAAGGTAACAACTCTTCCCCTGTGAAGGTAACAACTCTTCCCACCTGAGAGTAACCAAAGGGGAGTAGTAATACTTCTTGTTGCTTCATGCTATGGAAACCATGATAAGTTCTGGCTGGAAGGGCTACTTGCCCTGAGTACAAACTTAATGCAATAATAATAATAATAATAATAATAATAATAATAATAACAACAACAACAACAACAACAACAACAATAACAACAACAACAACAACAACAATAATAATAATAATAATAATAATAATAGTAATAGAAAAGTCAAGGTTTTCCTAGGTCAAGTCATTAAAACTCACCAACACAAGTATTGAAGCCATTCCCCTTGAATCCCATCTTGCATTTACAGTGGTATGAACCTGGGGAATTGGTGCAGACTGCATCCTTGTTACACTTGCTTCCCTCTGCACATTCATTTATATCTGTATGAAGCAAAAAAACAAGAGCAAATTTTGAGAGATTGTTGAAAGGTTTTCAAATTTACCCTTTACATCCCAAGAGCTTAATGTTGATTCTCGTAACTTCCATTCATTCATCTCTTCATAATTGTAACCAAGTTTATCAGAGAATATGGTGGTCAATCAGAAAACATCCTCTAGTAGGAACTTTTTTGTACTCTCATCCTGTCTGCCAGCCAATACATTGATATGGTAGAGTGTAATTTAATTTTGTTACTAGAGAATGGAATAATGAAGCTGTGTTATACTATGCAACGCACAAAAATGCTGACCACACCACCTGTCTTTGGAGTTTACAGTATGACTTTTTTTTTGCTTGCATTTTTGTCTTTGGACAATTATGTGACCATAGCATGAAGCAACATCAAGACTTAATGCTATGGAAACCTGGAAGAAAGAGGCAAATTGGTTTATGAAAATGTTTATCACACTTTAATTCGGACCTAAAAACTAAGTTACAATAAATGCTACAACTTGCCACATGACTGTCTAACACTGATCATCAACTTGGCGACCTCCACAGCAAAATGTTTCTCTAGTCACCCTAAGATGGGTACTAATCAACCAGCATTTCAGGTACGAACCTTGACAAGAAAAGCCATTTCCAGTGAATCCATCCTTGCACTTGCACTCATAAGACCCAAAGGTATTTTTACAAGTTGCATCTTTGGAACACTCAGCATTCCCTAGAACACATTCATTCACATCTGCAAAGTATGCATAGTAAGATTGACAATGAATTGTAATTCTTTTGAACAAATTTTTCTAGTCACTTATATTTACAATTCATACCTTGATTCTAGCCCCCTGGTATTATCTTCTACACATGACCTTTACTTGCGAGTTTGATTGTATCTCATTTTACATTTGAGCAAAACTTAAAAATAATCTTTGCACAAATTTCCCTTTATAAGTGAATAGTCATTAATTGGCTAACGATACCTCTGTCTGTACAAGCATAATACTTGGTGAGGTTTTTTGCTGCAGTTGCTGTAGAATATGCAAAGCCGAGATTATCGTTGAGTGAAGCTTTTGCTGAGTTGTCACACCAAACAGAAGTCTTACAGGTATACAAAGGGTCTCGTTGATAACAGGTGTCAGTCAAAAGTATAGACTTGATGTTGGCATCCCAAAAACTGGTATTAAAATAAAAGAACTTTTGAATAACAATAGTACTAACATATTTTCATTACTCAAGACAAAGTAAAGCATCATGTTCTGTTATGTTTTGCCAGGTAAAGACTGAACCATTTCTATTTTGGCTTCACAGTGATAGGCTTTTTCAGTTGTACTGACCATGAAAGTTTTAACATGACATTAAAAATAAAATGTAAAATACAACAATGTATCTCAAATGGACATTTTCAGTGAATTTGCCTCAATTCTAGGTTGGATTTAAATGAAATTCTCACATTATGAACTTCCTTGGGCTTTAACCCTTCACTGTCCACATGATGTATTGAGTATGTCACGCAATTTGCAGTTTGTGCGCCTACATGATGTAATCAGTATATGGTAGTTTAGAGAGTAACAGTCAAGTTTCCGCTACAGATGTAAGATAACCTGGCCCCTAAACTTAAAACAAGTCAGAATTCTGAAAAAAGTCAATTTGCAATGAATGAGTTGCCAGTAATCGGATCCTTGCGTTTGCGCAAAGAGTTCTGGGATCGCCACGGGGCAAAAAAAAAAACAAAACAAAAAAAAAATTGTAGCTTGCTGTAAAAGAGCGTATGGCGAAATGTTCTATCGACGTCCAAAAAAACGATTTTTGCGAGCGATTATGGCTTTTTCGCCGCAGTTTTATTACACATGGATAAAGATATGATGATACGAGGGAAGTGTAAGTTTTTGTTGGAATTACCACGAAATATGTCATAAAAAAATACCGAAAAACTTCTCTCCTCGCGTAAGGTCTGTTGTGAAATCGTCATCGCGTAATGGTCTCGAAATATTACAAAGTTAGCCAGGAATCGCTAGGAAATAACTCATTTAAGTCTTTTCAGTTGTATTTATATATGTACAGCCTGTTTTTATGCTTTTTAACGTATTTAATGTACAAATTGCGACGTTTGAAAATATACCTCCGTTGAGCAAAGAAGTCGTTGTCCACGGAGATGGGAATTATTTTTACCGAGCTGTTGCTCTCTGAAAGGATGAAATAAGCGATGAAAAACATGAGGAAATCCCTCGTTCAAGTGATAGTTTGTCTGAGAAAAATCCAAAGGCCTCTGAGCTGCAACTTTTCTTCTCGAACTCCTCGAAGGATCTCGACAGGAAAAGCATGATCACGGTAATTCCGGCAGAAACTGTGGACATATCATCGGTTGTGCAATTTGTATCACTCATCGTCACAGAAGAAAGGGTTCAGTTTTGAGCCGATTATTAACGCTGATTCGTTCGCATTCATCACAACAAAGAAGCAGTGTAGGTGATTCGGCACTTTGATGTATTGCAATATTTAATGAACAAGCACGCCATTTCAATCTCTTGCTGCCTCAAGTTAGCTCTTCTAGCGCTCTTTTGTGTTACCAAATCACGAAAAACGCTAGAAGTAGACTTAACACACGTACTAAAACCTGGAACGGCTTAGTTGAGTTATTCCTTGGCGATTTGAAGTTATGTTTTCAAAATGTCGAGACCATTACGCGACGTCAAATTCATAATAAACCTTGCGCATGGAGACTAGTTAATCGGTAGATTTTACTACATATTACATGGTTTTTCAAACAAAAACTTACGCCTCCCTAGTCTCAGCATTAGTCAAATCCATTTCTGATAAAAGAGCGGCGAAAAAGCGAAAATCTCTCGCTAAAATCATTTTTTTGGACGTCGGAACAACCGATCGCCAAACATTTCCTTCTAGTGAGTTGCGATGTTTGCCCCGTGGCGATCCCAAAAATCTGTGCGAAAACACAAGGATCCGATTACTGGCAACTCGTTCATTGGCACAGGACTTCACAGTGGGGTTGGCACCAACAAGGTTAATCCCAGCCACAAATCAGTCTCCCACTGAGGGGAGATCGCAGTGATCCTTGTTGCTTCTTTCTGTTAAAACCTAGATAATAACCATTGGGAGGGTAGATTTTTGGCCTTTAAGCTGACTTTGACCAAGTGGTAACTATTTCTCACCTCAAAGTGTCTGACTTTGCAAATGCTGTCTCTACATTTGTCAAATTTAGGCCAGTGGGTTTTCCCTTGAAGTTCCACATGAACTCAACAGGTACGTACTGTGAATATGTCTTAACCTCTTCAAACATTTTAACATAATTGCTCATGGCATCTTGTTCATCCTCTCTTCCAATCACTGCCAGATAATTTCCTTTGTTTTCATAAATCAACCCCTGCATTTCAACAAATGTACTAAAATAATCCTTTACTGGTTGCCTGTATTCTCTTTGGGAGTCCTTCTGAAGGTTGAAGTTTGATATACAATCCATAATGATTGCAATCTTGACTGTGCCACCCTGAAGAACCTTGGAGATACCATCGATGAATGCCTTACTTCCACAGCTTTTGTTGCATACTGCATTGCCCTGTTGCACATCAAATGTTTCAGAACGATCAAAGGCAACAAATAGAATGCTGTGATTCTGAATACACTTGTCCTTTTCTGCAGAGGAAAAAATTAAGAATCTTGACCCTATCACAACTACAATCTGAATATTAATTCTCTCTAACTAGTGCCTACCCTACATTGCAAACAATTTTGGTGTTACCAGTGAATCAAATGAGAACTCTTGGATATTGTAAATATTTGTCCTCATCAATGCTCTGATTGACGAGAAATCACCTCACCATCACTCCTGGGATTGGAAATGTTGAAAGGGGCTGGTCATACAATGAGTATCTGCACCAGGCTCTTCCAATTTGCCTACCTATGTGCCAAATTGCTACCTTTTTTCCACCATATTTGACAAGATGGAGAGCATGCGGGTAAATGAAGGAATTGTATCATACTTATCATCAATAACATACAATATGAGAAAAATTGTTCCATTATTTAACAGGTTACTTAATTTAAAGAGCATATATGCAAGACATAAACCAACCCCCTTCAAATAAACTGATATGGATTTCTACCCAGTAGAGCAAAGGTTGACTTACATTTTATACCATTGCACTGCAATGAAACAGGTAAAATGGGTCATTTGTTGGACATGGCATTAGACAGGAAATAGAAGAATTCACCTGTGAGATCTTCAGCCAGAGTAAGAAGAGCTGTGAGACCAGAGCCGTCATTGTTAACGCCATACTGCTGAAGACCTTGTGTATCAAGATGAGCTCCAAGGATGATGGCATCATCATTTGCAGTACCAAAGAACTGACCTTTAAGAATGCCTATCACATTTGTGCCACTAGCAGTCTGAAACAAAATTCATGCAAGTCAACAGATTTACTCAGTATCATCCGAGATAAAAGTCTGAGTGACATTTATTAACAACGGTTCTGTACATCAAGTTTGTCAAAAAGTTTCTTAGTCGTGTAAAATTATCATGAGTTTGACAAATTGCCCCCTTAACTTGCATGTCACCCTAATATAAACATAAAAGCTAGTACACTTTACTATCAAGGCCATAGCTAGATTTTGTCAGAGGAAGCAATGATGTGAGTGCCAGAGGGAACCCTCTGGAGCCCCCTTTAGAGTGTACCTTCTGGATTAAAAAGGTGTCAAAATTGACAATGACATGATAAACAGAGAGAGTTGTCCTTGAATTTGCTTTCCTTTTGTTTGCTTTTTCATCAAGGTAAATAAATTCATTGTTAAAAGTTTCAAAGGAAGATCAGTTAAGTTCAAACTATCTGCATAACACAAGTACTCAAAAAAGAGTTGAAGTTTGTTTGCATATTATTTTGGGCCAACTGCAAAGATTTAGATGTGTGCCAGTTTAATCAGTATAACATAACAGCTTACCTGTCCTGTTGTTGTGTCACTTGTGGTAAAATTTTGCAACTCTACATCTAATCCTACACTTTCAAACTTCTCCTTCATGAAAATAGTTGCATTCTGTAAATTTTCTTTTCCATCTGGTCGGTAGTGGGTACGACTGGTCTCAAACTTTTCCAAATACATCTCATATTTTCTTTTATCTGCTACAGGAATTCTATCAGCAGCTGAAACTGACAACATGGACATCTGCTAAATATTTATAGGTAGTTTGATGTAATTTTAGACAATGTTTAAAAAAAAGAAAACAAACACACAAACCAACAAAAAAATCCACGCACAATTTTGCCACAGAGGGTTGCCAGAAAATGCATCAGGGCCATTCCATTTTAGAACTGCTTAAATGGTGAAATTTATTTAACATTTCATATCTAGCCCAATCATGGATTTTTGGAAAGAGGAGACCCTAAATTATTTGAAAAACAGTAATCTGAAAGTCGACTGTGTGGGAAATGGCACAGAGAGGCTGTGTATTTTTGTCCAGTGAAAAGTGTGTGAAAATAGCTGGCATGCTGTAAGATTTAAGATGATTTTAGTAAGACACATTTATTCCAAAAAAACTCACCAGGGGAACAAATCTAATTGAACTCAACACAAAGGTGAATTTGCTAATAAGATTTTTTCCAAAATGGATGTACTTTGTAAATGAGAGCAAGTAGCAATTTTGTTACAGACATTATGTAATGTCCCTGACAAAAACAGTCTTTTTTTTGTTTTGTTTTCTCTGAAAATAAAAAAATTTTTTTTGTAAGCTCAGCTCCTTTTGTGTTTTTAGGGGCCCAAACTTAAGGGCTGTAAATTATCAAAATCCTGGAAAAACACCAGAAATAATAAAGCCTACTTTAAGTTACAGACATTACATTACAAACATTACGTTATGGACATAACATTATGGAAATTACATTATAGACATTATGACTAGGTAACTTTTATTATAGTAATTATTTTGGAAGAAATAAATGCTACATGCAAACCAACTTTGTTCAAATTTATCACATCCAAGTTTACAATGCTTTTAACTAAACACTAATAACAAAAACCATAACAACAACTGTACATTAACAGTTGCAACACCATGGTGACACGAGTATAAATTTTCAAAAAGTTTTAAGTCCAACTGTGAAATAAGTTTACTGAAAGACATATTGTGTTAAGAGTCAGTACCTTCTTTTAAAATATCTGAAGATAACAAATAAAAAAAAATACAATGTTTTAGAAATGCAGCTTAAAACTAGCAATACTTCAACTTTCAAACGCCATTGCACTGATAATGTCTGTTCTCATACTACAGAGAAAACTGACAATACATACAGTTCAGTGCAATGCAACTTTCCAAAATAGTGTCAACTGGCTTATTAAATTCAATGAATGGTACTCTGATGAGAAGTTCAGTACAATCCAAGTTCAGTAATTAAAGCAATGTTTAACAACTGCAATCCGCAGTTAGTTTGACTAGCTATTTGAAAACATTTCTTTTTGAAGATATTTAATTAGCCTCTTGATATATGAAAGACTTGGAACATTGAAAGGTCCAGTGCCTTTCAGCTCTATGGAGCCACAGAAGACTCTTCTCTTGTGGACAATATCAGTATTGCTAATCAGAGGCCAGTTAAATGTTTCCACAACTTGGAAAAGAAATTTGATTTCAACATCATTATCAGTAACCCTAAGGGCTCTTCCAATGTAAAACTTGGTCTCATACTAGAAATCTAATCTGCACTGTATCTCAGAAAGCAAGAACCAAAAGACAGCAGAAACACTAGTTAGAGCTTGTGCAATAAATTGTTAGGAGCATGCTCTATGTGGGATACTCCACAGACTACAGTCACATGTACATACAAACTGTAGTATTATTGTTATGGTTATCAGCACAACCAGAAAAAGAGAATTAACTAGTAATTGAGCCTGATTAAGAACACATTCATCAGTTCTGACAAAGTCAATTATCAAAAGTTCATAAATAAACAAACACATTCCCTTATTCTTGCCGGTATAAAAAAGTTTCATAGTGTAGTGTCAGCAACAAAAATTGTGTAATGTCCATACCAGCAAGTTTTTACCTCAAGCTCAAAATCTAACTAGAGAATAAGGGAAACAACTAGATTTTTAAGAGCTATGAAGTATCTTTATTATTATTATTAGTAAATGATTTTCATCTGAATAGTCAATTCACAGGAAAATAAGTGTCAATTGAACACATTAAATTGTAGGTTGATTTTTTTTGTAATGTCCATAACAAAGTTTCAAACAAAAATATTTGCAGCCTCTGTTAAAGAAAGGAAAGTTTCTTCTCTGCTGATAGTAAATTACCCTGTGAGGAATGTTTGAACAAATTATAAATTCAAAACTGTGCAAAATAAGTTGGTTGAGGAAATTAGTTTCCAAAAAATTGGTCTCTGAATGTAGTGTCTGGAACATGGAATTTCCCATCACAATATCATTGTTCTGCCAAACAGGACTTAAAATTTTTCATGTAATAAAGAAGTTGATATGATTGCATTTCATAGATATGCCAAGATTGGGCAAAACAGCCAGCCTAGATAACTGGAACAGTTGAAAAAAGTTATTACTCATAGCTTGAGAAACAAACTCATTTAATGTAAACCATATTTCTTAATTACAGGCACGAACGTTTGGGAACATTGAAAGATAAAAAGATAACTCTATGCCTATGTATTGCATGATGCATAAACGTATTAATTCAATTTCAATAACCGTCCCTTTGGCAAAGAGCTTTAGTTAAGAACCTTGAGAAAATACGTCATTGATCAATTCTCAAGTAAGGACCATAAATATCTTCAATTATTGATCAATGTTCGTAAAAGAAACATCTCTCTTAGGAAGGGGAGATAATTTCTCCAAAATCACAATTACAATAACCTTAACTGTAAAATGCAAATGAAACACAGTCTGCATTAACAGCTGGCATCTCGCTATCAATATCGATTCTGACTGGGGCAAAGGTTAAAAGTGAACAAGGCCCTCAGTTCCCGCATGAATAAAAATGACCACACTCTGTACAACATTTGCTTCCATATCAAAGATGGAAACTCAGCAACAGAGAAGAATATCCGACAAAATCATAGGCATACAGAATAATCACTTTTCACCTTTTGTTAGACTATCGTACCTCACTGCAGCTTCAATAATCTACACAGTTACTTGCAATATTATGTCTACACAGGTTACTTGTAACATTGCAACATACTAGAGAATAATGAAACACTCACCAACGAAAACTTCAAAGGCAATCATAAATAGAAGAAGTAACATTTTCGAAGTTGCTTCCATGTTCGATCGACTAATTGCAAATGATGCACACACGCAAGGTTTTTGACCTTTTCTTACTGGTTTAGGTTCAGTTTGAAAAATGGCGTTGGTTGAGTCCGTACATCGTCAGCAAAATAAAAGATCAGGAAATGATACGGGCCATTCTTATCGAGAATGATTTTATGAAAAGTTACTGCAGCAAGGACTCGCCCTCAACGGAGTATACATACTACCGGCGTGACAATTGTAACGGGAAGACTAGGACCGAGTCGTTTTGAAAAGAGCTAGTGCCAGATGTTAAATTGAGATGCTGAATGTAAACTGTTGGAGCATTTAAAATTTATTTAAATTTTGTATTCAAGAATACCTGACAGAGAACGAGCAAGATTCCCAAACAAAACCAAAATTAATTGAGCATACAGCTCCTGGGTAAAGAAGACAATGGCGAAGACAATAGACTGGCTTTGGGACTACGGAATATTCACATACAATCTTCAACGATCTCACTCTTGTCTGGGTAGGTCTCTCCTCTAACTTTATCCACACGCACGTCAGGAGATATTCACGAATGACCGAAACCTTTAAGTAATCACGACCTTTTATGGGCGATTTTATACCCTCAATTTTAAGCGGGTAAAAAAATGCATCGACAAGAAGAACCGACGGCGAATCAGATGTTTTGTATTGCCAATGGGACTGTTTGATAGACCTCTTTCATAATGGCGGGCATGTTTACCGTCCTTTAATGTGCATGCAGGTCAGAGAAATAAGACTCTTCGCCTCACTTTTGTGAGAAAATGTAATGAAAATGAAAGGAAAGTAATCACGACCGTCATTTAAGAAGGAGGTCTATGCAAAAAAGGTGTGGTGAAAGTAAGTGATGTTCGAGAATATCCTTCCATTTCTGTCAAATTTTAACACTCACTGGTTTCATGGGTTTCTTTTTTTCTTTTCCAAATAGACAATAGAATATTTCTGAATCCCTAGGAGACACGAGAGACATCAAACTTAAGTTATAGAATGGTTTCAAAAGCGTAATAGCGATGTATTCTGGCAGAGGCGACTTTATTCAGGAACTTTAAGTAATCTATCTATCAATGCTGGCAACAGTGCGAAGTCGTCCGCTTGAAAAGTGCTTTTCAATTCGGTTTAAGGAACTGTATTCAACATAATAAGTGATGACATTTTTGACAAAAATAAATAAAGTGTACCAATAAATATACTTAATTTTTTTTATCTCAACGACAAAGATGACAACGGCCCCTAACAATTTTACGATATCTTTACACATGATTTAAATTACAAAATAAGAAGCGTTCTTACGACTCTCGTGGTTAAATAAATATGATCAGTATAGACGCCCGAACATTGCTTTAAACAACTTCAAGAAAAAAACTAACAATGCCAAATATAGCGTCCTAAATGCTTAAAATTGTATATACAACATTCTTCATCTAGTCCTTGCTGGTGTTCCTTTGATTACAACCAAGTTCAATGTGTTCATAATAATACTATAATTGAGATGAAAAAAGATAACAACTTTCAGTGCCGAACAGTTGATTCAAACATTAGGTGCGTTTTATGCTCACAAGTTAAGCTTTGGCTAGTCCACTCATAATCATTTGCCAAAGTTCTTTCTTTTTGGGTTGCCCCCGCCGGATACTTTGCAAGAGCTCGTTAAACTGCGTCATTCCACCCGGTGCCATGCAGAACGCTCCACGAGCGTGTCTAAGCAGCTCAACGAACTCATCGTACTCGCTCTGGGAAATTTTTAACAAGTTGTAATGGACACACTGGGCATACATAGTCAAGCTCTTCTGTACTAAAGGACTAATGGTCGGAGAGCGTAGATTTGCCGTCAGTTGCGCTGGGTTAGAGCGCGCCATGTGTCTCGCTGCTTCCAAGGCAAGGTCGTGTAGCACAAACGGGCTAGCCACTGCGTTCAAAGCAGCAACACAGAATCGCTGAAGATGCGAATTGCCGAGCCTAGCGGACAGTGAACACAGCCACCTGATGTCATCGCTGCAATTCGGATTACGCGAAAATTTTACGTTAGGTCGGTCATCTGAGGTGCGTCTGGACAAGAACTCCAGCGCTAACATGCCCACCCGGTATGCACTGTTTAGATGATACGAAACGTGTGTCCCTTGCTGTCCGGCTGATACGCGATTTAAATGCTGACTTAAACTTGAATTAAAATTGGTGGCTTGATATGGTGGAGGAGTAGGCCCTGAGTAACCTCCTGATAATGAGTATTGAGGCCCAGTCAAGGATCGCGATTGAGAATATGAACGGTATCCTGAGGATGCCCCCGGTAAATAGGGGGGATAATGCCCCATCATCTGATGGACTTGCTGGTGCATCTGCTGCTGTACGTATTGTTCGGGCGTTGTGTACAGAGGAGGAGGTATGGACGGATAACAAGGAGGCATTGTAAATTGTGGTACCTGGGGTACAAACGGGCTCACTGGAGGAGAATGGCCAGACGAGGCTACAGACTGAGAAGATCTATTCAAAGAACTTCGACTTCTTGATTCGCTATTTCCTGGTCCGGAAGCTGAGCTATTGTTGGTTTGGTTCTTCTCGTGAAGGTGGTACCAGTGCTTAGCGACTTCAAACAGAACTTCAGGATACACTCCGCCGCCCCGAGCTGCACTTTCAACAGCTTGACACGCTTGTTCCAATAATTGGGTATCCTCCTCACGACACTGAGACAAGGCCCGCTGAATCTCCCCGGGATTGAGAGTAGTTGCCATGTGAAGACACGACAGTCCAAGTTCGGCCGCAGCACGTACCATAGCGCGATCATTATACCTGGATGCTCGATCAGCAATAGACACAACCTCAGAGGGGGTCAAGTTACCCTCCCAACGTTTTAGGAGAAGCGTTATCGCTTGATGGCCAATTTCCATGGCTTGACCAGAGATCCAAGAGACATGTGATGAGTACGTTCGCGACAACCAATTTGCCGAAGTTCGATTGTGCAGTCCAAGTGCAAAAAGTCCAATTTCAAAGGCACACAGCTGCAGTACTCTATGGGCACCAGCTTGAGTATCGCTGCTTGTTGCTTGTGTGAACACAGAGGTGCCATTGCCTCCTCCGGCCTTAGAAAGGACAGCCTTAGCCAGTTCAAACATGAAATGAGCTTCAGCCTCAGTTGCTTGATACAGAGCTGATTTGCCTCCCCTCCTCCTCCTTCGTCCACGACGACGACGGCTTCTATTAGTATCCTCTGCACCGGCGCTAACGCTTCCTCTGGAGCCAGATTCACTGGATTGTTCTTCTAATACTTCTGATGGAGCTATCACAACGGCATCTCCTCCACTGCAAGATTCGCCTTCAGCAACTGAACAACTAGATGCCTTATTTCCAACTTGAAAGAATACATTAGATGTCTCTGAGAGTTCGTTATCGACGGCACCACTTGAAGGCGAAGCTCCAACTTCTCCCGTTTCACCCTCATTTACCAAATTGTGACTTGATTCAATTTCGTGAAACAATTCTTGCTGAACACGGATATGACATTCATCAAAATCTGCTTCAATGTCCGACACATCACCTTCAGACGAGAGGCCATGATTGGCCAGGATTACCCTCTGGCTAAGCTCTGGGTTGTCGCTAGAACAGGAATTAAAAGCTTCTGTGTCATTTGAATTACAATAGAAATGAACACTTTCTAAGCGCTGTGATGGTGCATTTCCTTCGCAAGGACGTGGAACATCGACACTCGGAGCAAAGAGGTTAGGATCGCCGCTATTTTGAGTGTTTTGGTTTGGTGGAATAGTATCCGAGTCCTCCACAAGAGGCACTTGATTATGTAGGTGGTCCACATCTATGAGGTCTTCTCTACTCTGGGGAACAGCATCTGGTCGAAGAACGGAAGACGGGTTACTGGCAGCGTCATAGTGTTGACTGCTGTTGATAAACGGATCACACTGCGTTGGTTCACAATTAGGTGAAGCCTTGCTTAAAGTTTCGTGTGAATGGAGGATTCCTTTATCATTCTGCTTACTTCCCTGAAGATCAGCCTTGTATGCTGCCAGCCCAAGGTGAGGGACTGGAACAGAATCTGTATCAACTCCACTTGAATTTCCGCTTTCTTCATCCAATGACAACGAAGCATTACTTGCTAAGAGTCTTTGCTGATGAGATCTTTCATTTCCTCCTCGGAGTTTGTATCTGTCTATTCCTGAACTATCTTTACAGCTGCTGTCTGTACCACTGTCACTGGTGCTGGAGGACTGGTGACTATTGTTAGTAAAGAAAAAGGGAGAAAAAGAAGCTACACAATATGCAGTGGATTAGATGCAAATAATACAGTTGAATCCCATCCCAAAGTAATTGGGAGTTAAGATCAAATGAACGGAAATCGGAATATAAAACAACAACGAAAAAACCACCTGTGTTTAGTAAATCATGATTCACACCAAATCCTGCTGTAAAGTTAAGTAAAGAGGAGTAGAGAACTGATTCGAAAAATGGAGTATTTTAAAGGACTTAGGCTGCAAAGTTGTCTTTTGTAGTAAGATGCACCAATAAAGAAGTAACCAGAACTGGACTGCACCATTTTGTGAAAAACCTCTCCAATAATAATTTATATTAATAAGTATAGCATGTGGCAAAGGTCTCGAGGATACCAACCTAAAACGCAATTTAATTTCCTACCTAGCTTTACGGTTAGGAAGCACTATAGTAGCTTTGCCCTTGACAACATTGGTGCCAGATGCTTCGCTTTCCTTTCCCTCGTCCTTATTATCCTGAGAATCAGATCGCTCCACTCTCTTCTTGTCTTGAGGCGTACCAGCAGCACTCGGTAGGTCATACCGATTCTGGTCTAAAATGACGTCCATTATTTGGCGAATCTTCGTCGGATCGTCCCTTGAGTAAACAAGTAACGCTAGTGCCAGGTCGCCTCTTTGTTGCCTTGTGCCTTCACATAACATGGGGTAGTGGTGCTCAAACGCATTTCCTTTCATTCCTAATAAGAGTATTCGAGAAGTAAGAAATTGATAATTAAAAGAAAGACTGGGTCGGGGTACTCGCAGAGGGCAAACGATCCCCTCTACCGAAAAGGGGGAGGGGAGGGGGGTTGTCGAAGGTAAGTTTGTTAAAGTTTGGATGGAATATGGGCTGAAATTATTATCGGTCATTGTCTTTCCTCCAAGCTTTTTCTTTTCTTCTTTTCACAAAATCCCCAAACTCCGATTCCATTCAGAAAGATAGGGCGGTGAGTCAATGAGTCACAGCAAAGTCAAATTTATTTTGTTCTTCATTTTGAGAATATTTGATTTGAGTGTATGATAACGTTGAGGGATATTCAAATTAACCAACATAACTTAAGATAGAAATCACAGTGAATTAACCTTTCTAGACCATTTACAATTGGTGCTTGTTTGTTAACCCTTTTGAAAAGATCAAGGGGAAAATGTGCAATGAGACAATTTTTGCATTAGTCAGAACAGGTATGCAGTGAATAGATGATTTTATCGCGCAACCTTTTTTGCTATGCGAATAGCATGATTGCATAGAGCTCCATGCAAGAGATATTGGCAACAAAATAAAGCTAGTTTGTTTAGTAGCGAGGTAATTTCTCCCAGCAATAGATAGAAGTTTTCTAACCTCAGGAGTTAATACTATGACCTTCAATTTACTCTTGTTCACCTACCTATAGCATACAGAGCAGCTTTAAATCCCAGCTCTTCGTCTTCTTTAGTTGTTTCGCATAGTTTCCTTGCAGCTTGCCGCTTAGCTTTTGATTCAGTATCGCTTGACCTCAAGACATCAAAGATGAATGAGGCCAACATGATGGGCAGAACAGCCTCTCCTCTTCTCAGTTCACCCTGATGAAGAAGCCCGGCCTTTTCCTTAACAATAGCGAGTTCAGCTGGTCCAAGAGGAAGTTTCTTTAGCGAGCTGACCAACTCTGATTCTTGATGTAACAGTTTGACCTGTAATTAATTCATATAAAGCTGTTTTTAATTGAGTGTCGAAAGAAATCAGGGATTGCTTTGGTTTTGCTTTACTTCGTTCCATGGTTGGTGCACACAACAAGTGCCACTCTCTGAACCAATCAAATGCAAAATTACACCCAATCACGACCTGCTCAGCCTCGTTTTCATGCGCTTAAGGCACTTGACATTTTTTTTTAAACTTTGAGTTGTCATCGGCTCTTTGGGGTATTTTATTTTCCTCTGATTTGTCATTGTGATTACTTTGGTAGAGAAGGTGTTGACGAATCCCATGATCATTCGTGATGATTGCAATAACTTTCAGCCTTACAAAAGTTTCGACCTTGAGAAGCTAAATTACCATCCTCTCTACGAAGGGAGTAAGATATCGAGTGGTGACTGGCATTACGACTGTTGCCGTTCAAAAAGGGTAAACAAGTACCACTATGAGAGAGAGAATAGTGAGATTCGACTCACACAATTTGTTAGAAAACGACACTCGCGTGTTCTAACCTGCGATGAAGAATAACTTTGTCATTACCTCTAATGCTTTACTCTTAGCTGGCTGCCTTGGCATTTCCAATCCTAACATACAGACTTTGAAAGCTAAATGATGACAGTGCAGGTCTTCTGCCAGCACATTGCACAGAAAACCAGCTTTCAGCAGAATAGTATTTGTAAACGATGTCATGCGAACACCCAGTCTCTTGCTCCTGGCACTAAAATGGGACGCGACGTTCCTATCATCGCTCAGAATATTCTCTGCAAGTTTCATGGCTAGTTTTCCGGCCAGGGAACTGTAGCCATGGACATGAAGAGCCTCCATTCGTGCACATAAGACTTGTAAATCTTCACCGGCATCGAAAATTGGGTTGTGCTCATCTGCTGATGAACTGCTGATGCTTTCTTCAGTTGTACCCGGGCTGACGCTAACAATGGGGCTAAAATTAATCACAACTGTCAGTGTACAGATATTCAAGTCTATTCTCGCGCCTACTGGCCCATACCGCTAGCCCAAACCGCTGGTGCGGAGCTTGTAAGCTTCTTTGTGAGCAAGAAGCTACAAGGAGTGTTGTAACTCCCGTCCGCCCGAGAAGACCCAAGAGCAACAGAGGTCACTCCCCTAATTTCTCAAGTTTTCCGGCCAGTTTCTAGTTCTCAGGACTTACTGATTCACTTGGGTGAAGACAGGCCCTGTGAAAATTAAGTATTTTGCACAAGAAAACAACACCATTTTGCGGTCTCAGCCAGGATCAGGGCCTCTCGATCCCCAAGTCCTGCTCACCACCATTTCCACAACTGAAATATTGTATTCCTCTCAATGCATCTCACTTCAATCTCAAATCCCTCCCTTTCTTGCAATTTATTGATATATCCCAAAAAATTCTGTGTGTCTCCTTGAAAAATGAACTCATGTCTAGTGCCAGAGAAATTCTGGTTTTTACGTGAAAAATAAAGTTAAAACGGTAGAAACTTAAAGAAAAAAAACACATATGGTTGTGTAGCTTGGGAGCCAATATTTCGATAGTTTGAGGCAGCTCTGAAACTACACCAAAGAGGATTTGATTCTTATAATGCTACACATACCTTTCAATAGAAGATAAGACATTTTCATGAAGTCCAGTCTCTGTGCTCCCACAGGATTGTGCTGTCCCTGTATCACTCTTCAGCGCTGAAGAAAGCTGGGGTTCATGATTTCTCTCTTTGGGAACTAAACCTATATCCACATTTTTCCAGTTGAGAGAACAAGCTTCTATTGCAGCAAGAAAACCAGGAAAGCATGAAATTGCTGCAGGTGGAATCGAAACACTGGCACCTCGCCCTGAAGAAATCGCGATATTCAGGGTTATTCTCTAATATTCAATTCAATCAACCTCGTATCTTCCTCATGTCTGTTGGTAAAATTAATTCATTACTTTCAATAAAAATAAGTGCACTTGTTTAGGCCATGTTATAGGGCGCTAGACTGCCGTGCAGGAGTAGGAGAGGTCAAGCCCCAGACTGGATCAAACACTCAGGGTCGTAAGACTACTAAGGAGATTAAGCTAATACTGAGGCATTCTAGTCTTCTCGGACAAGGATGATAAACCGTAGGTTCGGTCTCCTGAATCCTCTCTGTAATGGATAGAAGGGGACATAAAACAATCCATACACTTCTCACAGAGAGTATGGATTGTAGCTCCTGATGTTGGGGTCTGACGTTGTTATTTTTGATACGTTTTTAAGATCCCCATAAGTATTTTCTAAATAAAACGAGGTAAGGAAATAAAGGAAGACAAAGAACTTGTTGACCACCAGATTTCCTCCAAAATGGAATGATAAAAGAATTATGGAACTTGGCTATCACTAAATATCAATATTTGCCTTTGTCTCCCTGAGCAATTGTTTACCTTAACCTGCAGCTTTCTCAAACTAATTAATCTTCACATTTTGCTTAACTCTTTCCACTAATTGTCAAATGTTTAGAGTAACTGACCATTACCTGTTTGTCCTTTATCTGCAGTCTTTTGATGCCACTCTTGCAATTGCATCTTCATCTCTTCCCTCTCATCATTTGACAACTTGGGATTCAAAGCCGCCAGTCTCCACAATGCCACAAGTTCATCACAAAATCCAGCACAAGCATGTTTAGTTGCTTCTGTGCTTGCAGTATTGGTGTTCCCCCTGTAATTATTTCCATAACTATGAGAAGGGGAATTCCCTGAAGCTTGACTCCGACTGTCATACCACCAAATTAGCACCTGATCATTGGCTAGACATTCTTCTGTGAGAATAACCAGAAGATTCACTGCATTCATGTCACCCCTACTGAAGAGTTCACGAACAATGGACAGAAGGTTCCACATCCCCTCAGGCTCTCGTCCTTTTAAAGGTCTGAGTATATTTGACCTGCACATGAAATGCATGGAAAAAAAAAAGAAAGAAATGGTGCAGTGAGGTACAAAATAACTGATGGAGGGTTTTGTTTTATTTTGATGTAAAGGTTGTAAGTGATTAAGTTAGGCACCTCATTAGTGGATCTGGTTGATTATCCTTGAGCAAAAAAAAATACTCCCCCCAAAAAAAAAAAAAAACACTCAAGCTGAAGCATACACATGTACACACAGCAACTCAACTGCATTCAGTTCAGTAGAAAAAATCTGGATGCAAACCATGTGTCACTAAATATTCTTCATATGTGAACTTACAGGAAATATTTAAGTCATTGTATACTGAGTATTTCCCCTCTGGGCAGATCAACAACAAACTGGAAAAAAACTACTTTTCTTTTCATATTAGTCTTGTTTCAGCTCTGCTTTTTAATATTAAAATTGCAAATGTTAGTTCCCCACAGAAATTGAAACTAAGAACAGGAGCAAGAGCTGCAACAATATGTTCTACGAAAAAATTGCCAATCCGCAAGATAAATCAACCACAAAATTTTCATGCTATTCAGTAAATTAACCCATACCTAATTAAAAGTAAATTTAAAAACTAAGCCAATGTGTATCTCACCATTCAGCAGCTGTGGGTGGAGCAGTATTTGCTAAAAAGAGTGCATTCACATCACTAAATACCAAAGGACTTGGGCCACAAAATCTCACAAGCATCTTCTTAATGTTATCATGGAGAGAACTTTCATCCAAACACCATTTTGAATGATCTGTAGCTGATGGCCCTGCTGTGGGATCTAACAAATACCATAAAGATGATTTCAAACACTGAATGATGTCATTGATTCTTAAAAGTGTGCTTGTCTGTCTAATAACAAATTGTGGCTGGATACACTGCATAAATGAGGATCCTTTCCAGGCAAAGCATTCTCTAGAGCTGTTTAATTGTCAAGAATGTCATAGTTTTGATGTCTATTTGATAATGAATGACATTTTAGTACTGTTGTATAGCTAATTTGCCATGCACTGCATTAAATAAACTTTTAATTGGTTATCTTGGCAAACACAGTGAATAAATCTTGTAAACAAATATTACATGGTCTGCTTTGTCGATCAGTTTGACAGCTGACTGTAGTGTCTATAAAAATAACATTTCCCAAAAATGGGGATACAGTGGTTTAATAGTTGTCATAGTGCAATCCAAATAGAAAGGTCTTGTGCTGAGTTCTAAGAAAACACACTTCACTCCCACTTGCAATGCCACTTTCCAACCAGGAGTGCAAATGGGTTATGGATTACCTGATGCAAAAATTGAGGGGAGCGGTTAGTCTTGCAGTGAACTTGTATCCCACAAAAGGAGTAGCTGTAACAATACTAGTTCAAACAATAAATAAAAAACAGCCACTGACTCTTACCTGGAGCACCTGGTACAGAGTTGATGGTGGATTCTTGTGAAGACAGTAGCTCATCAAGAAGCCTTTGAGCAGTTGGGAGAAGCTTGTGTAAAACCAAAACAAACAAAATCAAGTTGTGAACCAAATGGGCTGCCAAATTCAAAAGCCATAATCAACATTGATGACAGTTTGACAGTTAAACATTTTATTTCTCATGTCTGCACTTGCAAAGATCTGGTCTCTGTAACAGTGTCAAAACATTTAAATCATTAGTGAAAATTCAATAGTATTATTACCTGTTGTGGCAGTTCTGTGATGAGATACTGAGCAAACTTCTGGAGCTGATCCCGTCTCAAACGAGATAAATATTCTGATACTGGAGCTCTTAGGCAAACCATCTTTGGGAAGTGTATTCGAAAAAGACACAAGGCAATTACATGAGAACACCAGGTTGCAGTTTGATCGCAAGTACAATTACAAGAGGTTATGTGCCCTCTGTCAAATGTGACGGCTACATTAAATATTCCTTTGCTTTGGCAAACACTGTGAGGTTGGTGAACTGTGCCACTTAAATGAAAACCTGCATAGAGAAGATCATGCTAAAGTAAGAGGAAAAGGAACTTATTCCTAAATTCTGTCATATATGAAAGGCATTATTGTTATTGGTTTTTTTTTAACATGTGTGCATATTAGTCTTCCAAGCTCTCGGTCACAATACCATTTCCACTCAAAAACAAGGTTAAGAAACTTATTTGCATATTTGTAAAGGGAAAATAATCATGCCACCTATTTTAAAAGAGGCTTATGAAGAAAAATAGTCTGAGCTGCATATGTGGATAACTGTAACTCCACATTGTCTGTCAAGACATCAATGAATAAGGTGAAGAAGTGAGGTATGGTAAAATACATGTAGTGAAGTATGGAAAGGTAGTGACAGAGGAATGTTACTTGCATGGTAAAATGACATTGCATTTTTATGTCCTTTGTTTGAGTGATCATCAACACATTCATTTTATTTTTCAACATAGTTTTCCTCTGCATGAACATGTTAACAGTTTTACATCTGCTACATGTATCGATTGCCAGCTTGTCCAGGACTTGATTTATCATTTCACAACTTGGCCAACACTCAATTGATATGTACATGTCGGCTAATTAACAAAGGGTTCACAATCACTTAACAAACTGTTGACATAGGTTGATAGTCAGTTAACCCTTGCTCCAGCAAAAGTGACCAAAAATAAATTTCTCCTCACATTACCCACACATCCTCATGGAGAAAGAAGATGCTGAAACATATGCACTAATTGAGTGGGAGGGACAAGACAATATTTGGCTCAAGGTCAAGGACTGGTCATTTAAATTTGCACTATCATCAGTGAGGAGGAATAAGTATTCAGATCTCAGAATTATAAAGAGTTGTTGTTCAAAGGGATTTTATTGGAAGCGTTTCACACCGACACGATACAACAAATGAAGTTCGCTGTGGGTTTGATTACTAACAAAAAAAAACCAAATAAAATCACTGAACAAACTTGAAATTGAAATACACCCTAAAGAGCTGACTGTTTACAAATGGCCAACATCAATTATATTGATTCATTTTCGGTGCCAAACTATTTCAGTACATGGTTTACAGCGTAGCACATATGGAAAGCCTTCTTGCGACAGTTCGACTTAAACAGGTGAAACAGGCTACCGGCGAAGTCTTAATTCACTTACCAATCTGCAGTACATCTTTAACGGCCTGCACTTTGAGAAGCTGTTCCCCTTCCAAATATTTATCCGGAGAGCCATTTGCTAAACACGAATAGAGTCGAATGTCTTCTTCAAAGAGCGGAAACGACCAAAAAGCGATTCGTTGCTGGAGCTGCTCAGGAATCTGAGGAAATTTGCATTCAACAGTTTCGAAAGGAAAATGTTCTGCTACTGTCCTAGCGCAAATTTCAATAAGAGTTTCGACTGTCCCTTCACCCAAGTCTGAACCAAACTGGACGCCATTTTGAGAATTTCTCTTCCAGCCTCGCCAATTTCCACAGAGACTTTCTGGCTCTGAAACCCAGGAACAAAGTGAATCTTCTTCAAAGCGATCGCTGTCGTCAAAGGACAAATGTTCTTCGTTATTTTCTTCCCATTCAAACCATAGCTCCATGTTAGCTTGTTGTTTACATTCTGCTCTCTTTTAATCCTCGCTGTCCTCACTCAACCCCCAGACCTCCAAAAGACTCACGTCTCGTCCCCAGACCTTACGGATACATCCAAATAATAATTATTTTAATAGAAGTTTAATAGATTGAATGTACGTCCAGAGACTACCAATCTTCGGCATTTCTTGAGGTGCTTAGAGACTGAAGAAAGCGGAAGCTTGAATTTGTGCATATTTTAATTTTAATGTAAATATGGCCAAATAAAATTCAATCATTTCAAAAAATGCTAGTAAGGGAGTAGCTTATAAGAGCTATGGAAGACGGGCGAAAGGTAGATTGTCTCACCCCCCCTCCCCCCACTTTCCCCACCTACCCCCTCCCCATTAGACGCCAGTCACAGGAAAGGACACTAGGATGAGGAAATATATTCCTTCAGGGGTGGGGGAAGCGTTTGATAACATCACAACTTAACAAATAAGTGGAGGGGGGGGGTGTGTGTGTGTGTGTGTGGAGGTTTTAAGGGAAGGGTACGGAGGGCCTCCCAATCTCTTTGGTTACCCGAACGAGCAATAACTTGACACTTCTGCTAACCGAAGGCAATTTTGTTTTCGCTTCCCTTTAGATCTGAAAAGCGATACTGGGCTAAGGACATGTTAAGAATTTTAAATGACCTGAAGTTAAATACATAGGCCAGGGCTTTCATGTTAGGTCTGTTCTTGACTAAACTGACAGGCGCATTGCTACAATCTGCAACCTACGAACTTCCAGTCGCATATCATGTAATGCATAAGAAAATTTTTTCCTTTGTAGCCATAGCCTTAAGAACCATGATTCCCAAAAAGAGACAATTCGTATACTGTGGTATACTAAAATCTTCTCGTTCGGGCGGAGCCATTCAAACCAGTCTCGCATCGCTTTGGCAAATGCAATTCTGATCAATAGCGAGTCTGCGCATGACATCTATGGCGGAAAAAATAAATTTAGCTTCTATTCATTTTCGTTGAAATACCATTCCTCACATCGTTTCAGTCAACAGGAAAATGACGAAAATCTTTTAATCACATTATAATTATATCCCTTTGCACAAAAATACTAAAAGCAGACGGAAAATGGTAGAACCTTCGTTGTTCTGTAATGCTTCAGTTCTCACTCCACAATAATCATCCATGCAAATACTTCACGATTAAACTTTCAGTTGCTAAGTTCCCAGAACAAACTGATTGATCAATATTGTTCATAATTTAAATATGTATCAGAATTTCGTAACTTTTTTCAGATATCTCATCTACCTGCAATAGCAACATCATTGCTCTTACTTCAATCAAAAATACAGTTAACCAATACCTTAACGGCTTTCACACATTTTATGCGTCGGCAATTCCTCAAGTGCTCAATAAATTATCATCACAAATTATCACTCACGCGCAAGGAAAACAAATTGCTAAGTGCTTCAAAGACTTTTCAACCATAACACCCAAGAAGTTACTTCAAGAAGCATTTCTTGATATTTTGCTTCGGTCACCTTTAAACACTAGCCCACCGTGGTTCTGTAAGTGTCTGAAGTTATGATTTCGGCCTATAAAAATGATTATCTTAAATCTTAAATGGTTATCTACCAGACGATTGGGGAGATTATGTGGAAACACAGTATGGACTACTACTGACCCGTGGGACCATCGGGAAAATACTCGTCTCGATAGAACTCTTTACCTCTATCCGACCATCATGATCGTTCGGGTCGTAGTGCTAGTACTGTTGTGTTTTCAAATACTTCAGATCGCCTTGAATTTTTTGTTTTGAAATGGTTGGGAAATCTTATGAAACCACGCCTGAGAACTCACACAATCATGAAATGGCTTGATTTTAAAGTGGCCGCCTAGTGGCCGCTGATCAATTTGACTCAATTAACGGAGGAAATAGGAGCAAACGTCGTAGGCTGTCGGATGATTTAGCGACAATTTTGAAAACAATCTCAGCCTTCTCTACTTTTCTTGGGCGCCGGTTCTTCTATTTTTTCTTCTTCATCTGCTGTGAGGTAAATTTCATCTGCAGCAGAAAATTCTTTGCCTTTAACTTTATTCTCTAACCCCTAGAAAAAAGGAAAACATAAAAAAAGATAAGCAGCGTGAAAAACTTTTACTTTGGAACGGAACACAGGCCTACACTTTCCAAGAAAAAAAAACTTAGGACACTAGATTATCTCCATACAATCAAACCTGTATTAAGCGGTCACCCTAGGAGACCGCTAAATACAGGTTGACCGTTTAATACAGGTTCCACAGAAGAGGGGTAAAGTAGAAATGACCACTAATGTACAAAAACTTGCTGAAAAATACTTCCAACATTGATTTTGGGAGAGAAACATGGATTTAATTTTACTTCAAAGATTATTTGTGGTTTTATTTGAGTGGTTGCTCTTAAATACAAGTGGAGGACAATACAAACAGGCCTTTGGGACTCATTCAAAGGTGACCACGACTAATCAATAGAGGTGTAAATGACTGATAAAGGGGACACAAATTCAGGACTTTGACAACCGACTGCTTAATACAGGGTGACCACTTAATACAGTGCTGCTTAATACAGGTTCGACTGTAGTTTCTAAGCAATAACTGATACGAGGCATTCATATCCGCTTGTGACGCAGAATTTTAAATATGGTCGAGTTTACTTCGTTTTATGCAAGCAAACTATAAGCGCCATTTTTCTTTTTTTTGACGGCCAGATGTGTGGGAGTTGGAAACATACACATTTTTAAAATCTTTTCGGAGAATCTTCAAAACTGTGAAATTCCATTTAAGTTGGCTTTGACTCCTTTCAAAAAAGGGAGAAAAGGAGAAAAGATTAAGGGCTCGGTACTTTTAGTAGCAGACTGATACATAGGTGGAATTTCCACCTTCAGTCTCTCAAGTATTCAGTAACAAGTACTGCTCTCCATACATTTCCCAAGGCACTGATAAGGAGAATTTGTTTCATAATCAAGAGTGTCTTTAAGCTGGTGATCATTTCCTTGGTTCTCCTGACCTTAATATGTGATTCAGAGGTGATATTGTAAGGAGAAATTAGATGCTAGTCACTCTTGGGGGTAAAAGGGTCAACACAAATAGCTGAATAAACTCACCTCCCCAGCATAGGAAAGAAGAGGAGAAATTTCACAGACTATAGATGTGGCCCTAGAACCAGAAAAAAAGGCAAACTTATCAAATCTGGATGAAAAAAACAATGACAATTATTGCTCTATTGTGTTCTCACAAAAATTCCTTCTGTTCATTTTTTTTGGTAAGCATATCTGATATCAATCTGGAATTTTAACAATCTGCTTGGGGCACTCGGTCTTTAGGGGAAAAATAAAAAAGCATGCAATGCAAGTCCCCCCCACCCACCCAATTTTCTTCCATCCTTCAATACTCCTGGGTGGAGAGCGGCATTATGAGAGTTGTGTATCATGTCCAAAAATACAACACAATGAGCCAATCAGGGCTCCAATCTGAAATTCTCAACTTCTAGTCCAGCAAGCTTACCATTAAGCCACTGTATAACTAAGAGCCTGGTACAGGCTGAACATTTTACAACTGTTTACAAAAGAGCTCTCAGGGACTTACCCATTGGTGTCTTTGAACTTGGCACCAGCTTTGGTTAGATATCTATGATGCAAATTTGACAAGTCCCTAAGTGCTGTTTCTGGACTCTCCTTTGGTGAGCCCTTGGCATTTTTTAGAGGCGAAAATTCATCTTCTCTAGCAACTTCCAGAAGAGCAAGTTTCCTATAATTGTAATAAATCAAAAGATGAAAATGCCATGAATAAGACAATTGCACATCAGTTAATAACTACTATTGGTTCAACAATGATATTTAATAGCCATCTAAAAACAAATTATGACCCCATTCACTTCCAAGATCTTCAAGGTATTAGTATTAATCTACTGGACAAGAGCTCTATCAAAAATGTTGCAATTCTTGTAGTTTGACTGTGCATCTGAAATGAATTACCATCAATGATGATTGTTCCACAAGGAATCTACACACAGCAGTTCAACAAAAATTAAAACATGATTTATAAATTTTTTTTCCTTTACCAATTTACGATGGTAATAATATTGTAATTTGAAGGAAATCTTACTCTGTGAACTCAAAGACATCAAAGACAAACTTCTCCAGTTTAATTCCATTTGGTTCCACTGGTTTATTCCTGAAAATGACAATACAGAATTTAATAAAATGAAGCTCATCTTAAAATAACCCATTTTGTCTTCAAGCTACTCATGTATGTGCTCATATCTCAAGCTGAAATTCAAAAATTAATCTCGATACTTCTGATAATTTACTTCAAAATATTCTCTTCTTTCAAAGGACAGATATCAACATTCACTTTTATTTAGTTGCAACATTCTATTAATGAACTCAACAGAACACCACGAAATTTGTTCTGTATTTGGAAAAATGGCATAATTGTTGGTAACAAAACTGACCAGGTAAGTGAAAAATCTTTAAGTGAAAAATCTTTCTAACCTTTTTCCACTTTCATCAACAAATGAGATCTTCTTCTTAGCAATGTGAAACTTGAGTGATGGTTCATGCTCCCTGAGGTAAAAATGTGAAAAACCAAAAAAGGGACTTCACATCATGTGCAAAGTTATCAACCATAGGAAGGTTGGACTGTTAATATTTGGCTCTATGTTGCAGCACTGTGTTATGACTAAGAGTAACAAAATTTTCCCATCCCATTCACCCCTTGGTATGCAGCCCTCATAAACTGATTTTTTTTTTATGTTTTTCATTTGAAGTCCACGTGGGGCTTTACATATCATGAGATAATAGCCTTCTTTCTACTGCCTTTTTCAGAATTTCATGATCTGCATCATTAACTCAGTCTAAAGTAATAATTCATTATTTGACTCAATGATTACAAGAAATGATGATGCGACAACCCTAGTAACAAAATTTCTTAAATTGGGTTGAACATTTAGAACAAATGGAAACATTGACCAGATAACGTTCACCTCATTCTACAGAAGTGGAAAAAAAAAATGACAACAACAACATCATGAGACACTTCTAAATTACAAAGTGCACAAGCAGGCAAATAAATTGTTATTGCTGATTACAAACTCACTCAAATGAAGATTCAATTTTCAATTACAAATCTCTTAAAGGATTTATGCATTTATGCATCTATTAGAGGGCATAGTACATTTTTGTAAGTGTAGCACCTTCAGTTGAACTCCACTCATACTACCACTTACGTTACAATTTTCTCCAAGAAGTCCACAGTGAAGAAATGATTGCAAATGTTTCCATCTCGAAATAAGAGCCTATCATTGTTGACTGGGTCTTTCATCTCTGCAATTTCTTTTGATATCTCACTGTATTCAGCAACCTGATCAAAAATTCTTATTCAATACTAAAAAAATCTCAATAACAGGCATTACTCTGTTGCCTGTTTTGATTTATAGATCAGGCTTTGAGAAATTAAAGCCATGACAAGGAATCAAACAACCTTCAGAAATTTGTGTCTTCCCAAGGCAAATTATACATAATTCATTTCAATTTGTAAAATAACATAATTTTTGACCTAAAAATTCTTTCTTCTTCTTCTTCTTTCGTTTTTTTTTTTTAAACAGTAATCTCTCAATCTGCCTGCCTCACATTTCAGGGCCTCTGCCATTGGAACATGTATATATGTATGTATGACTGCACATGGCTGGCCTCAAATGGCATCTGATCACACCACTAGTCAAAAGGAAATCATGACTTCTCAAAAAAATCACAGTTTGTGTGAAAAGAAAACTATGAATTATGACTTCAGGGTTCATACCCTTTTTCACAAAGACTTTTCCATGGTCCTCTTTGAGGACAAGATCATTGAAAAACCTTATGGTGTTTTCATTTACACTTCATATGGTTGTTCAACATCATGCTGTCTATGAAATACAATGTGATTTTCCTTGTGTGAAACCTGGAGACAGAGAGAATTTGCTCTGAAAAAATTCCATTCTCATGAAATATTTGCAGAGGAAAACATAAGCATCAATGTTTGGTTTGTGTGTCAATACTCTCTACCAAAGGCCTGTTATTGAAAAATTCAGAATCTTTTATCAACCCTGAGATATACACTTGCAATATCCTTCCAAGTTTGGTTTAGTTTGGTTTGGTAGATAAAATTATAGTTGGAAAATTGATGATGACAAAAATTCTTGACAAACAGTTTGGAAATTTGAAAAATATCTGATTTATTCCAAAACAATTTGGGATGAAAATTAGATTCCCATGTCAAGTTGACATGAAAAACAACTAACCTGATATTTGCCCTCACATTTCACAACAACTCCAACTCTCTCATCTGGAAGTGTTTTCTCGACAACCTGCAATAAATAAATAACAATCTGTCAAGGAAATCAACTCAGACAAAAACCCATTATTTAATAATTAATTTGACAATTCATTGCCTATTTTTATTACATATTAAGAAAAGAAGAGGACTGAAATGCATTTTTCAAATATGTATTTTGTTTACCAAAACTTTATCAAGTTATTTGACATATCTGTTAGCTTTTTAACAGGAACACTGACAGTCTGACTATAGGTAAGCATAATTTAAAAGGTATAAATAGTCTGCTTTAACAGGGAGGCTGTAATTGAAACTAAATGTATATCTCCATGTACTCAGGCACTTGTAAGGGTGTATCATAGGTGGAGCCCTCAAGAGGAAAATTTTAGGAGTAAAATTGTATAACTCATAAAAATGAAAAATACCATATGTACTGTATGTGAAAAGCATTTGAACAGTATACATGTACGTGAAAAATATCATTCCTTCCAAAGCTTTTTTCCACATGCTCTTCTATTAGTTCCATGGACCCTTTAAGGAATCTTTGTGTCTTAAAAATAATCCTAAATTTTTAAACTTGAACTTTTTGAGGTATCTCTGCAAGCTTTTGGAAAGTGTTTAGAAATCTTTGGATTTCTTCAGTGACAATCAAGTCCTACAAGCCTTTGGCCCAAAGCAAGTTGGCAAGTACATGAATAATTTCTTTACCAAGGTAATAAGAGCACCAACCTTAGCACCACATTCTGCTGACTTGTCAACACAAAATCCAACAAAAACAGGATCTGCCATCTTAACAAGGATGTTGTCAACACAGTATACATGAAGATACTCTATTCCTCGCTTTCTCATTGTACCAATGGTAACATGGTCATCTATACCATCATCAATAAGGGCAGCATACAAACCACCGTTTCCTCCAGGGGCTCTGGCAACTTTACCACATTGATCAAGAATAATTTTTCCATCCATTGTTAGACAAGGAATGGTGTGCTGCTCAAAGAATAGCACATCATTTCTTTGCAGCCCAAAGTAATTGCGTTTTTCAAAAAACTTTTTTGTTTCTTCCATGGTGTGTTCACTTGTCATGATGTACCTATAGTGGTGTGACAATAAGCTGTCAATAAATTTCAAAGTTCTTTCAAAATAAAATCTTTAACATCTCCTTAGAGGGTGGCAAAGGGTTTGAATGTGAATTGGATATAGTTTAAAATTAATGTGACACATGAATATTAAAGAAAGGCACATGTGCTGCATAAATTTTTTTCTCAGTTCGTGGAAACCTAAAGATCACTCTAAACGTTGTAGGAAGAGAGAATAGAGATGTTTAGTTTTCCTTTTCATAAATGTGATGCATTCATTTTTCTGAAATCTGTGTGAAACAGGATCAGGACCTCTGCTTTGCTACTCTCTCTTATTCTGATAATGGATGGTCCAAACTATTCCTCTGATTTCAATTTTTCAGTTTAACTACAACTAAATTTAAAGGCAAATAATAAACAATCAGGATTCTTCATAATCAACAAAATGGTTGTACACATCCAAAGACTTCCATCAGTATCTGCATAGAAATTTAATCATAATTTGCCAATGAAATACTTAACTCACAATCAGCAGCTTCTGCTCATGGCAAAACTTTAGCTGAGTAAGCAAGTTTGGAATTTCTGATAATAACAACTCGTAAGATTTCATTCCCTTGTCAGTGCACGCCCCCTGCCAAATCCCCCACCCCTTTCCCCCATAGTAATACTGAGGGCTTCCGTTCTAGTACTCTGGTTACAATACTCAAACACAGTGCTTAATGATTGATAGTCCCTACTTCAGAAACTGCCGACAGGATGGACCACAGTTTCCCTATTTTCGAAGGTTGTTCTCACATGACTCTCACAAGGTTATTACATGCCTTACAATACCAACTTACTGATAACAACAACAAAATTATGACGCCTTGAGCGCTTTGTGAATTACCCAACAACTTCATTCATATTGATCTCGATATTTGTGTACCCACAATCGCATTTCTAGAAATTTTGAACGTTATTTGATTGTTGCAAATAAATTGCCCGTTTTAATGGCGAAGGGGTGGTATTCACCTAACATTGGGCTGACAGGAAATTAGTTTCAAAAATTAGCGAAAACGATTAACAGACAATGAACTATGCAATCATACAAAGGAATTAAAGTTGTGACTTACCAAGGAACTGTCGATTTCTTTCCGGTGAGTTCATAAGCCAGTTCTTGCACTTTTAAGATTCTCTGGGCCTGAAGTTGATACAATGTCTTCTGTGATGGTAACCCGACATTGTACATTCCCTTGGGATAAGAGACTCCCAGCCGCGTTCCTTGCCCTCCGGCGAGAAGCAGTACAGCGACTTTTCCTTCGCTTATCAACTGTAGACCTTTCTCTCTCCAACTGGCGACTTTGTTTTCATTTTTCGCTCCGATTACACTACCAACTATCTGTGGTGGAACTGGCTCCAATTTCTCATCTTTCTTGTCACTTGCTTCGGCTTCGCGCATGGTCTTCTCGAACCAGTGGTTAATTTTGGCGAAATCGATGTGCTTGAGATCTTGGTAAAAATTAGATTTCTCCTCATCGTTAAGTGAATCCCAATGCAAGAGCAAATGGTCTTGATTGTTCTCTTTAAGTTCACTTCTTAAGTTATCGATGTCCATTTCAGCGGAGATGATGCCCGTTTGGGAAAATTATTGATGAAACCGGCTAGATACCCGCTAAACAATCAATCGGGATTACGTGATGTCGGTAGAAGTGGCGTGATACATTTGTAGACAATAGACTGGGAACTAGGCGGATGGAAACCGCCCCTGGGGACCCAAGAGTAAAAATGCACGTAGCCTGGTTTGAAGCTTAAATTATTTCATTTAATGACATCAAAAGTCGATTTCAAAAGTCCATCTAACTTTAAAAAAATAACATTTCGATGTGCATTTTATGGATTAGCAACATATTCATAGAATACTGAAACAAGTCCCAAAGTTAGATTTCTTCTATCTGAAGGTTTAGCATGCGAAAGAATGTTCTTGTTGTGTTCCTCTTTGGCCCTGATACCATCATAATTGAACTCTTTTCAATTGAGTGTCGTAAAATCAAAACCAAAGTTATCTTAACAGCCAATCAGAAGGAAGGAAAAGATCCTCAAGAGCCTATGAAAACTCAAGGAAAAAGAAAACCAACGAAACTAACTAGGGCGCGATAACACGTCGTGGTTGGTCTTAGTGTTGCGTCTGATTGGTTGAGAGAATGGTAAGAGTCCAATCACAGGGCAAATTAGAACAAAATCAATGCAATCCCAATTAACTTCCGACATTCCAATGAAACCGCTCTTTCAATGACACTTATCTGACAGACACTATAATTCATTTTCAGAACTGCAAATTTTGGATCAGTTCTATCCGCTTTGCAAAAAAGTTATATGAGAAATACAGCGCTTGTAAAAATCTGGCGCCAAAGTTAGATTTTCATCCATCTTAAGGTCAAGTATATTTAGGCAAATTTTTGCAGTCCATATTTGTGAAGAAATTTGGAATCTTTGAATATTTCTTTTAACTTAAAGAATATAGGATTAAAAATTTCCGTTTTTTTTAATAGCATTCCCAAACGTTTCCTACAATCAAGAAAGAAACTTTTCATACAACACCATACGTTAGTTAAAGTCAAGGCTATGCTCTTGAATTTGATTGGTTGACTTAGCGCTTCAAAAGTGTGAGTGCATTTTCACTCAACTTCTGGTGTGATAAAATATTCCAAAACACCCACCTCCAACCCTTCCCCCCAACCCTTTTTAAAAGGTGTGTTTCATATTTTCTATCTTAGATATAACAATAATGATGAAAATAACATAACTAATAGTGATAATAAAAATGACGATGACAATGCCTGATGATGATAATGACAATAACAATGATTATGATAATGATAATGAAAATAACTACTGGTAATACCAGTAATGATAATGAAAATGATGATGACAACAAAACTGACAATGAGTGATACTGATAACAATAATACCGATAATCATAATAAAAATGATTTGAATTACAGTACTGCTTCCTCCAAAATTGAATGTGCAGCATATTATATTATAACATACCATCATTTTCCTAACTACAATAAAACCGTAGTATTATATATTATTAGAGTTCACTGGTTAGGAAAGCTGAGAAAAATTAGACATACCAACAAACAAGTTACTGTTGCTTATGTTGAAACCCACAGTGTACAACAATTAAATCTGTAAGGTTTCCTAACCAGTCAATTCTTACTAATAACCATTTTGAAATCTAATTAGAATTCCACAAAATTTTTTGACAATTGAAATATTCCTATGACCAGCATTAATAATTTTTTTAACCCTCCTTGACTTTCTTTCGGGGCAGCTCTCCATCTTTTACTTCTTTATTCTCTGGTGTCAGATGAATAGTCTTTGTTGCTGAGAACTCCTTGTCTTTAACTACATCTTCCAATCCCTAAAAAAAAAAAGAAAACAAAATGAGACTGTCTTTCTGTCATCAACAGTTACACCCAGTACACCAAGACTGGTTTATGCTGATATTATGTAGTCTGAAACTAAGACCAGTGTTCAACCCTAACTTTCTGGCTAAATTTGCCTTTTGGGCAAACAGTTTGTTTTTTTATGCTCATTGTTTATTTGGTTGCCCACTGACTAAAGATTAGTTGCCCATAAAAACTAAAAGGAGGCTTGTTAAATAAAACAATGTCAATTTTATAATGTAATACAGTTGATATGAAGTTTTGTCCACCAATGATGATAAAGTAAAAGCTATGACAAACTGTTATCTGATGATTTGGTGTTCACTAATCACTTATTAAGTAGTAAATTAGTAAATGGTTTGCAAATATTTAGGCCTATTTGGCCATGTGGAAACTAGGTTCCATTGTAGGAGTATTCCTTTCACACGCAGAAACATGGCATCTTTGGACATAGTATCTTCTATGGCTTTGGATATGTTTTGAGGTTTGTAGCTACATATACATATATCATATATCATATATATATAATATATATATACATATGTTAAATGACAAAAAAGTAAGACAGCAATGAGATGTAAGGTTGGTTATATCTTTATCATGTTTATGGCCATTACATCATTTTACTAGTCACTTTTTCATTGCAAATTAGATTGTTCTGCAAAATATTAGTCCACCAGGCCAAGAAATGGGGCAAGCATTAGTGTCAAACACTGCAGACAATGCAAAAAATTTATCATACTCATATTACTTAGAAAGGAAAATTTACTAAATGACTGTAAATATATGAAAATCATAAATGTGAACTACAGTAACTAATATGGAAGTGATCCTCACAGTTATGAACACTACTTAAGTAGTAGTGAAAATAAGGCCTAGAAAAAATTCAGGCCCATATGGGATTTGAAGCCATTACCTCTGTGATAGAGCACTGCACCACTATCACAGAGGTCATGGGTTCAAATCCCATATGGACCTAAATTTTTTTCAAGCCTTCTTTTCACTACTACTAAAGGTAGTGTTTATAGCTGCAAGGATGGCTTTCATATTTGAAAATTAACTACTTTCCAATTAGCCTTTACAATCAGTGGTTGTTTAATTTTACTACATATTGAAGTATAAATGGTGTTTACAGTAATAAGTATATACCACACAGGTCAATAACACTTTTTTGTGCATGCTGATTGGCTGGTTAAGAAGTGATAAGCAAGCACTATTCACCTTCATTAAGCTGATTAGACAAATGTGTGCATTGAGAGTTCAATTCCTGAAAATATTTAGTATAGTGAAAGAAATAAACTCAATTTTTGGTTTCTGTGTGGTACATACTGAGAAAATAATTCACCCCAGTGCTGGTGAAAATGGCGGATATCAACCTTGCTACTTTACCCCTTGATAAATATCCATCACTATTCACCTCTACTTTGGTGAATTAATGTCAGTTATTGTGAGCATCAAAATTTTCATGTTAAGTGATACTGTCTTTCTGTAACTTTTGTTAGCAATATGTATTTAGAAGGCATTGTGAAGGTTTTTGTCCTTGAAAAACCTATCCTCTTAGAAAAAGAAAAACAATTTGAACTGCAACATGAAGGAATATTATTTCCAGAAATGTAGAGGATTTCTTCTGTCCTATGACTGTAAGGTGTCATTAGAATGTATTAGTTACCTCTCCAGCATAAGAGAGAAGGGGAGATATTTCACACAACGAAGGGCTGTCCCTGAAATGAAAAAAAAAGGAATTATTACACTAAAATCATACAATGAATAACATAAAGGGAAAACATACCCCTAAAATTTCCATTCATGCAATCACTTGTAAAAAATAGTAGAATTTTGAGCAATTTTTAATACAGTATCTTCCATACAGCAATTCTACTTGGAAATATGATCCACTGATCTTGCTGATTAGATTGAAATCTCTTACTTCCTGGTGGTACAGTGTACAGAAAAGATACTTAAAAACTGATTCACCTGCTGTTCAAACTTATCATAACTTCTGTAGCAAGGAGCATTTAACACTTGGTCTCCTTTGCAGCAAGTGTTTACCTCATCACTAAACAGGTTAAGACTTTCCACCAGGTTACACAAAAAGAAAAATTGATAGTAGCAACCAAGCCTTCACAGGACTGTAATGCTTCACAATTCATTGATACAACTATCAATTCAAGTTCCTTAAAACTCTGCTTGTCATTTGGGCCAAGGACTTTATCAATAGCCAGCCACAGTCCTGATTTAGATAAGAAATGAGTACTGTAGTTCTACTAACTTGGTGCTGTCAACAAATGTTCCCCCTGCTTTGATTATGTAGTTATGATGTAAATTCAGCAAGTCTCTGCAAGCTGTTTCTGGGCTGTCTGTTGCTGAACCTTTCCGATTTTTCAGAGGAGAGAATTCATCTTCCCTGGCAACCTCTAAGACTGCAAATTTTCTGCAAGAGAAATTTAATGGTCAAATTATCTAACTTTGAAATTCTTCACCCAGATAAAAATAGTACTTCATTTGAATTTAGCATAAATATTGACCAAACAAAAAATGAGACAATTATTGTTATTGGACATTTTCTGGGTGCTCCTAGTTTATTGGCAGATGCAACTGTACATAAGCAAACCAAAATAGATTGATTGGCTGACTTCATTGGAAAACTCTGATGCAATAGTTTAAAAACAGGAGAAATTAAAAAACCTTTCCTAATACTTAGAATCCTAGTCCTGACACAAGGAGAAAAGGGGTCATAGTTGACTGCACAATCATGTACATGTATTTTGAGTTAAATTCAAACAAAAGTCCTGTGAGACTCATAATGTCACTGATTTACCAAAAATACATGTAACCAATGTTACACATAAAGACCCTTCCAAGACTGTCCACTGCTTTTCTTGATAAGCCCGCCCACAGTTCATTTTACAATAAATCTATAAAGTCAGTGAAGATGTGCAGCAAGCGAAGTGTTAAGTCAACTAGAGTCTTATTAGAGAAAGCTTTCCTCTGTCCCTTTTAGTTCTGAACAGACATATTAAACTTAAGTTTCCACTGTGGAGAACTATCAGATGTAACAACTTGTATCATTTGAATATTTCATTAATAGTTAATAATTGAAGGGTGAAAATTGTCCTCAAAGAAGGTAACTACATGTAGAAACCTTGATATTAGCCAAGTCAGCTTACTCAGTAAATTCAAAGACATCAAAAACAAACTTCTCCAGTTTTATTCCATTAGGTGCATCAGGCACAATCCTGAAATGAAAATTAAAGAACACATTAACGAGTTACATAATTATTAGTCTAGTACTGATCAATACTGAAAACACAGGCGCAAATTTGAAATGAAAAAATTCCCTGGACTAGAAGTCTGCAAGCAGCAAGGAAAAAAAAAGAAAAACTAAGTTATTTATCAAAAGTAAAACTTTGTGACTTGTCCATTAATTCCAGAGTGTGGCTTATACAGGACACTGTTTTATGTATAGCAATTTTAAGTGGCAGATCCACAGTTCTGCCTCTTGCTTTCACTGTTTTGTGGCCTTTATTATTTTATATGGGCAAAAAAAAAACAAAATTCTCTATATGAGGATGCTGTCCAGACTTGAGTCTGTTTTGAAGGCTTAACATCCTTTGCCAACACACTTGCAAAACATTTGAAGGTTTTGATAAAGAGAATGCAGAGACCTTTATATGATCCTTAAAGTAACCAAGAGTGTACTCACCAATTACTAGTTCAAGTTTATAATTATCATGGTCAGCAACATGCATGTACATACCGATTCCCACTGTCATCAACATAAGGAATTTTCTTCTTGGCAATGTGGTATTTTAGCGATGGCTCAAGCTCTCTAAATTTACAAAAATAAATCAAATTAATATAGAGAGAGATAAATGCCAGGGGTAAGATACATTTTCCTTAAAAATTACTCCTGACCCAAGAATTACTAATCAACGCTCAGTTTGTAAAGCCTTTTTTTCAATAAGTTTAAAACACCATACAGTACATGTCTCAATTGAAAGTAAATCACTTACTTGACAATTTTTTCCAAAAAGTCTATGGTAAAGAAATGGTTGCAAATGTTTCCTTCACGAAAGGTAAGTTTTCCATCAGGGTTTCTTTTGTGCTGCAGTTCTTCAGAGATCTCACTGTACTCTGCAACCTAAAAAGTTTAATTTTAATAAATTAAAGTAGAATTTCCAGTCTGAGATTGCCTTCATCCCTATTGAAACTAAATTTTTCCTAAGATAGGAAATGCGATTGAGTGAAAAAGTATCAAATCATTCAACCCTTTCATTCCTAAGACAGGCTGATGAGCTACATGACTATATTTCTCCATCCCACATTAATAAATTGTCAAGAAGAACAGTTAACATTTTACACCTGACCAACAGTATGCATACTCTTTATACTGTTCTCTACACATTTGCTAAGGCGCTGACAAGGAGAATTTGTTTAACAATCAATAGCTTCTTTAATTGGTGATTACTTCCTTAATTGTATGATTCAGTGATGATATTGTAAGGAGAAGTTAGATGGTGGTCACTCTTAGGGATCAAAGGGTTGGGATAATAAGGGGAAGTATCAACAGTGAGATGTTGCTTAATTTTACAGGAAACTCTCTGATCTAAATTTAAAATCAATGTGTAACAGGAAGAAAGGGGAATTGAAGATGAAAGTTTGAAAGTAAAAAAGGGTTAGATACTTGTACATTATATTGCTATTACACACAATTAGAGTGATGCATAGAGAATACAGCAGAATGATAAAAGAAAAAAGTTTAAAAGCACTAATTATACCTAGTAGGTATGACCTTTTTACTTGAATATCATCAACGGAAGCATGATTTCATGTTGGTGGAGAGTGCTCTAATTAGAATGAGATATGAGAAAATATTGCCCCTTGTCATTTTGTGTGCCTAGGATAAAAGAACTTATCACTATTATTTTGAGTTAAATTGGGACTAAGTTATTTCAAGAAAGACCATTCACTTACCTGATATTTTCCATCGCATTTGACCACCACTCCTACCCTCTCCTCTGGCCTTTTTTTCTCCACAACCTGCCAAAAGTTTTTGTGGAAAACATCACAAATGTATTACAGGAATATATATCCACATAGATGTAATCAAAAGTAATCAAGTTATACTTTTGAAAACTACTTATAAGTTAAAATGTCCCAAATGTTTCACAAAGTTTCCCAAACCTTTGAGCAAATTTTGAATGTGGAATCAATTCACAAATCAAAACAAGTTACAAGAAAATTATACATTCAGTCCCATCCAAAACTGGAAAATGGCTGCTGTACAAATTTCTTTCATGGTGTTTCAACAACAATGTATTTCTCATCCTTGTAAACCAAATTTTCTCACAATTATAACACCTTTCTGGTGTTATATTTGATTAACACAATTAGAACTTATAGTATAAAAACTCTGGAATGAGTGGAAAGTTTCGTAAATTTACCACAGGACACCAACCTTAGCACCACATTCTGCTGACTTGGCCATACAAAATCCAATAAAGACAGGATCGGCCATCTTGACCAGGATGTTGTCAACACAATACACATGCACATACTCTATACCACGTTCTTGCATCTCGTCAATAAGTTCCTTCTCATGAAGAGCTTCATACAAGCCACCATTTCCTCCAGGGGCTCTGGAAACTTTACCAGGCTGGTCAAGAATGATTTTACCTTCAAGGGTCAAACATGGAAGGGTGTGCTGCTCAAAGAGAATCACATCATCTTTTTGGAGTCCAAAATAATTGTGTTCCTGGAAGTACTCTTTTGTTTCATCCATTGTATGTTCACTGGTCATGATGTACCTGAAGTGTAGTGAACAAAACACAGAACTGAGTTAACTCTATTACTCCGACGACCTCATTAGTAGTACTTCTTACTGTCTGCTATACAAGTCTTATTATGTTGATTCAGGGAATTTTGTATTGAATCAACAGGTAATCACCTTGTTGATAGTTTTCTTCATTCTCCTCACTTGTCTGCTTGATACTGGCTATTAATATTGTAAGGAGAAATTCTGTCTTAATAGTTACAAGGGTTAACAGGAAACTCTGGGAAGATGTGTTGCAACACTCAGACAAGAACAAAAAATATATATGTTTCAACTGGAGTCCTCTTGATTGATTCATTACAATTAACCATCAAAGGATATTCTTAGCCAAATTTTCAGAAAAAATTATTTTCAAATTCAGCATATGGTTTTATAATTACCATTACTTCTTCAGGAACAAATAAATTTGGTGTATAACATTTTGTTTTCAAGTCTTGAACGATAAAATTTTTTAATGTGCATAACTGTTGTGCTTAAACATTGATTTCAAAAAGTCAACATGTTTTTAATCTAGGCACATTAATTTTTTCTTTTAATCAAGGTGCAAAACCAGTCAAGAGGTTTATTTATTTTATGACCTTCCCATTACTTTTCATTCCATGCATTGATAGCCTATTTTGTTGACTTTTTTCCTAATTTCCCTGATAGCATCACAGAACCCTTCAACACAAGTTTGCTTTCCTTCTGTGTTTTTTCATGGCTTTTTCCTGCTGGCTTTGTTTCACATTGACAGAAGTAGTTGGAGGACAAATATCGATGCAGATGGGGGATATTGCATGACAACTGTCCCCTGATTGATGAAAGTAGCCAATAAAATCAGGTGAAAATTGATGGGTGTGTTGTCAATTCTGTATAACCCCATACTTCATATTGAACAGAGTGTGATGTACTTGTATAAAAGAAAACATTGCAAACCTGTTCACAATACATTACCTTCGGGACTGAGGATTTGTTTTAGAATAGAAAGAGGTTATCAAATCTGAACAAGTGTCGCAATTATTTTGGAACAAGAACAAATGAAAGTACCAATTAAAATTGACAAAGCTGTTTGATTAGCTGATGTAAAAGTTACATTTCCGTAGAATTATAAATCGATTTATTATTCATAGTAAAACCTTGATTTATTATTCATAATAAAACCTTGCAAATTCATGGTTGGAACACTACATACGGAATTACGCTTAACGTAGCAGCGAGTGAGCTCATTTATGAAGACAGTCCCTCCCCCTTACCTCCCACAATAGGGTCCAAAGGTTCTAAACACTTCTGGTTTTTCACAGAAATGACTTGTCTGAACAAGTGTCACAATTATTTTGGAACAAGAACAAATGAAAGTACCAATTAAAATCAACAAAGCTGTTTGATTAGCTGATGTAAAATTTAAATTTCCGTAGAATTCTAAATTGATTTATTATTCATAATAAAACCTTGCAAATTCATGGTTGGAACGCTACATATGGAATTACGCTTAACGTATCAGCAAGTGAGCTCATTTATGAAGACAGTCCCTCCCCCTTACCTCCCACAATAGGGTCCAAAGGTTCTAAACACTTCTGGTTTTTTGCAGAAACGACTTGTCTGAACAAGTATCGTAATTATTTTGGAACAAGAACAAATGAAAGTACCAATTAAAATCAACAAAGCTGTTTGATTAGCTGATGTAAAATTTAAATTTCCGTAGAATTCTAAATCGATTTATTATGCATAGTAAAACCTTGATTTATTATTCATAAATTCATCGAATAGAGTGCAATGTACTGGTATAAGAGAAAACATTGCAAACCTGTTCACAATACATTACCTTTGGGACTGAGGATTTGTTTTAGAATAGAAAGAGGTTATAAAGAAATCTTTCCCAAAAGAGAAAAAATTAAAGAACCGAAATGGTCAGAAAACTTCACCCTGTAACATACATCCTGCGTCTTACATGAAGACAGTCCCTCCCCCTTACCTCCCACAATAGGGTCCAAAGGTTTAAAACACTTCTGGTTTTTCGCGGAAACGACTTGTCTGAACAAGTATCGCAATTATTTTGGAACAAGAACAAATGAAAGTACCAATTAAAATCGACAAAGCTGTTTGATTAGCTGATGTAAAATTTACATTTCCGTAGAATTCTAAATCGATTTATTATTCATAGTAAAACCTTGATTTATTATTCATAATAAAACCTTGAAAATTCATGGTTGGAACGCTACATACGGAATTACGCTTAACGTATCAGCGGGTGAGCTCATTTTTCATTCCAAGAAAGGAAGAGGTTGGACGATCACACTGTTCTTTCCTTACTTTGGGAAGTTTTATCGAAGAGACTTTTTCGTTGCAATTGTTGTTCGCAAAAGAAAGTACGGAAATTTACATTCTCAACTTGTTGTTATGGTCACGCACAGTTGCATCGAAACGTCGTTAGCGATGCTAACGGAAAGGGAAAATTAGCTTCCTGCTTGAGAATTTTGTATGCATCGAAATATACACTTGTGAAAAGCTAAATTCTACGATGATTAAATTTTATGAGCAGTAGAAAGAAATAAAAATGTGCGAGAGAAGTCAGCGCTTGTCTACCAAACTAAACGATTGAGGGCACAACTGAGGTTTACTTACCATGGAATCGTAGCTTTCTTTCCAGTGTGCTTATACGCCAGCTCCTGCAATTTCAAGATCCTCTCAGCTTGCAGTTGATAAAGGGTGCTCCCTGATGGTAAACCAACGTCGTACTTTCCTTTCGGATAATCAACTCCCAATCGAGTACCTTGACCACCAGCAAGAAGTAGTACAGCGACTTTACCTTCGCCTATTGCTTGCAGTCCTTTATTTCTCCAGTCGGTGACGTTGGCTTGGTTTTCTACTCCAATGACGCTGCCAACCTGCTCTGGAGGAACTGGCTGCAATTCTTTGTCCTTCTTTTGCATAGTGTTTGCCTCGGCCATCGCCTTCGCGAACGCGAGATTAATCTTCGCGTAATTGATATTTAGAAGATCGTTGATTAACAACTGCTGTTGATGCTTCGGTAGCGTGTCTTTAAATTTCATCAAATGATCCTGACCATTTTTTTCCAAGTCTTTTTGTAACTTATCATATTCTTCCTCCATCTTAAGGACAATAAAAACTTCGCGATTGCACACAAACCTGCTTACGTTACCGCGCTCTCCACGGCTTCCTTTAAGTGAGGTCCTAAGTAAAGTTTAGAACAGTTGCGCCTCGACTGCAAGCTGTCTACGTGGAACTGAGCGCCCCTGGCTGAAATATGTCTAGGGAGGGGTGAGGAAGAATCGGCTTTTTCTTTCACTTCCGGGGCCTCTACTGCCTTAAAAAATAGAGAAGTATAAGATCAAGGCTAAACGCAAACTGCGTTAATGATGAACGCAACCTTCTGGCTCAAAATGGTTCTGCTGCACCGCGACCACAAGCTGTCTACGTGGAACTGAGCACCCCTGGCTGAAATATGTCTAGGGAGGGGTGAGGAAGAATCAGCTTTTTTTCACTTCCGGGGGCTCTTCTGCCTTAAAAGAAAGAGAGAATTACAAGACCAAGGCTAAGCGCAAACTGTCAATAATGAACGCAACCTTGTGGCTCAAAATGGTTTTGTTATATCTTAACACCAATTTAACATGTCAAATAGATTCAATGTTGTTGTTGCATCTGTTCAGTAATACATGTAGATCACATGGCGTCAAAATGTGGTAAGAACAGAGAAGTGGCAAAAGAGGTGCACCCAAGTGTGTCAGTAATGTGCTTATCTTATTTCCACGTCTTCCCCAATTTTCTTCTAAGCTCTCCTGTCTAGTTATAAGTTCTCTGTGAATGCAACACTATCGAAGGCGAAAGTTTAAACTATTTATTTCAAAATAAAAAATATTGAATACCTGATGCCAAGACAGTGAGCTGTTGTCGAATATTGATAAATAAACAATTCGTTCAAGTTTCATGTCTGTACGGATTTACGTTGATGAGTTACTCACCAAAATGTCTGACATAGAGTTATAGAAATTTATTGAAAGTTCATGAATTTACATTTCAACACATCAGTTTAGATTAAACAAGTGTGGTTTATCTAGTTAATTAAAGGCTACTTGAGCATTTAGAGAGCATTTTCAGCACCAAAAGTGATCTTTCAAAAGATATCTGTCCTCTTTACTGATCTTTACCGCAAGTAATGCGTGCTGTCTGACTCTTTCACGTATCGTGACCCCCTCGTCAGACTTAATAACTTTATTATTTATTTTACCCATCCGCTTAATTATTGAAAACATTGTTTCCTGCAATTTGTTAACCGAGCGATTTTCAGCTAATGAAAATTGGCGTACATTGGTGACTAACTGCACGTTTGACAATACGGTGGGGCTAAAAGGCGCTCTATTACCGCCGATTCTCAAAAGGAGTGGGCTGATGGTTAATACTTGCTTTCTTTTCCGTGATAAGTTCGCCACTACCGATATTTACATAGGCTAAGAGGGCAATTCTAGCGAAATCTGAACGGTAGTTTAAATACATTACCGCTCAGGGATACGTTGACTACGCAGACGCATTCCATACGCTCAGACGCAGGGTAGTCAGACGCGCATAATCTATTTTTCTGCGCGCACGGTCGAAAAAAATGCGCGACTCGTGTGTGTTTGGTTTCCTTTGTGTTACATTGTTGGGTAAAAGAAAGAACTTTTCGGTTTAGAAAAGCGACGAGTCGACACCGGAAAATTTACGTAGGGAAAAATGCTATCATGTTACAGTTTTCTTTTCGGTTTGGAAAAGCTACGAGTCGACACCGGAAAATTTACGTAGTGAAAAATGCTATCATGTCACACACTCACACGTCGCATCGCTTCGCGGATTTATCCGATCACGAGTGGTTGCAGCAGATTTGTTTGATCTGAGCTGTTGATGAATCAGAAAGAAAAGAAAATTTTCTCTCATACGAGGCATTGAAACACATGTATCATCAAGCGAATAACGCATTGGAATGAAAACAATTCGGTGTTCGCATCATGATTTATTAGAAACTTCAAACTTCCCTCGATCACCTTCGATGAATGATTACTAAATGGCGAGGAAGGAAAATTTGCTATTTTAGATAGTGAATGATGTTTTCCTTTATTCACTGCAATGGCCGCTCGTTTTAGTGTTTTATACGCACCCGGATGTAAATAGTTCGGAGCGCATCATATTCATTAAAACGATGACATGCCCAATTAAATTAAGTGATAAACATCAATCGATGGTTTGACAAATATCAAAACAAGACGCAAATCCAGTTTCGCATGAAGATTTGCATACGAGTTGGAAGAACAGCAGCTTTATAAACGATTCGTGAAACTCTTTGTTGAAGAATAAAAACAAAGTAGGATTCATTGCCGAATTTGTGGAGGGCAACACGAAACACCCTCCAAAGCCTCCAAACACTTTTTGCCGCAAATCGATCATCGAGGTTCAACTTAGTAGAATTAGCGGCATTCAGAAAAACAAAATAGTGGACTTAACAATAGCGATAGTCTTAGCCGCCTTTGCGTTTTTTGAAATGCGTTCCTCCGATGTCATGGCACCTGAGTCGTAAGTATTTGAGATTTTTCGATCCGACTTCGGTAATGACGGTATCGAATATTCAATATCGGTATCGACCCACCTCACTGCAGACAATGTAAACGTAGTTGATAATTGAGTATATGTTACATTAATTTGCGGCAGTGGAAAATGTATAGATGTTGGAATAACAAGTTTGCACGAAATCTGTATTAGAAAAAGGTCAACTAGTCGTCAGAAGCCCAAGTGATGGGCCCAAGTGGTGGGCTCCTGACTAGTCGAAAATACTGAGAAGATAAATTTCTCCACTTTTGAACTCAAGAAGAATATTATGGTCACAGGTACACGAAAAACCCCAAATTATGATCTAGCGTGCTGTTTCAAATGCAATATATATGATGTACTGCAATTTTTTTCTCTTGACATGATCGAGGAGAGGTAGGCTGTGTGACTGAAGGCGCTGATCGCAGGATTTGCATGGTACCGCCTGCTCGCGCAATGAGCAAAAAAATATTAAACTCGCACTCGGAAATGGAATCTAACTTGCCGCAATTGAGCATTCAATAACCTTTTCGTCTGTAGTCTAAGCTGGTCTCCTTAATATAGCACGCGTGCGCATGGTCCAATTTGATGTGTAAATATACATGTTTTTTTACACTAAAAATTAACGTGAAAAAGCAACGACGTTTCGACCGCTCAATGGTCATTTTCAAGTTGAAGGAAAAAATGTGAGAGTAAACTGGACTGTTTGATCTTTGAAATGCTTTTCATTCGCGAACTTAAACCAAAACTGAACAAACAGAGTGATTCGATCCGTGCATAAGTATTTATCTAATCGATTCACTTTTAATATTTTTTCTTTCGCCTTGGCGTTTTTTATCCTTCTTGCCTCAATTTCTCGTATTGTTTCTATGTAAATATTTTAGATTTTTAGTCATTATCTCATTAGCACTTTTTTAATTAATTATGACCGTTGAGCGATCGAAACGTCGTTGCTTCTCAGCAACGTTAATTTTTATAGTAAAATCCGTTTCTAAAAATTTGTTGATTCGAATCATACATGTGACTAACAAATCGAACATCAGCTTCACGGTGGTCCGATTTTGTTAAAAAGTCTAAAGATACAGATCAGATTTCTCTCCACTGTGACCTACAATAAATATGAGTCGTACATCACTCAAAACCATTTGCTTTCCTCTATATGGGGCATATAATTTTGTGTCTCCACCATTTCATGCATAAGCATGTACGCGGAACACTTTTTGATAGCGTAGCTTTATCCAAGTAACCAAGGAACTTGCCAGTCGAGCCTCAAGAAATATTGGCCTTCAGCCAATAGTCAGCCAATCAATGTGAATATTGTTTGTGCCAGTTTAAGCTTCAGTTCCCTAGGAAAGATAAAAATACATTCCACCTATAACATAGTTCAGCAACTTTAACAACTTTCTATTTGGTTGAGAAAAAATCGCGCTGTTGTCTTATGAATTAGTTTTTTCGCCACAGGGAAATCTCGTAATATCAACTTCCCCTAATATTAACTTCCCGTATCAGGCGTGGCCAATTTTGATTGGCTTCCAACTTACTCTTTACCGACGGTCGAGCATAATAAATTTCATTTGTATAGTTTTTGAATAGCATTGAAGCTTCTGGTACAAAAACGTCAACAGGATTGTTAAAGTTGTATCTTTCCGTCCCTTATAATAGATATCGATTGAACTATGACGAAGAATCATACATCCATTGCCACTGTCTTTTTCTGTGGGATTGTTTTGATCTTTGTGCAAGTTGGTGAGTATTCTGCGCGTCAATTTACGTTTTAGATTAGCTTAATAGTTTGGTCCTCGAAATTAATGATATATTTTTTTTGTGGTTGCATTTCTTGCCACAAAAGAGCCATATGTCTTTCGGTGTATCTATGTATTAAGGATTTGACGTGTTACTTCTCGCAGTTTCACACGACTGCCGAACCAGCGAACAAGAGACAAGTGAATAATTAATGATAGTTCATTCACTGAACAAAACAAATAACTGTTTTCTCAAGTTAAGGTAATTTAAGAACCAACCTGAAAAAAGTTTCAATAGTTATTGCAATATAACTGCTTTATAAACTGCTTTATAAAATTTTCAGGAGGGTCTGTAAAATGCCCCAAATGTAACGTGTAAGGTCACGTTAAGGTTTCGATCGGATCAAGCAGTCTCTCTTTCAAAATTTTTAATTAGTTGCCCTCTAGTTTTCGTGGAAAAAAAAACAAACAAAACAAACAAAAACACGACGCGAAGGTGTGTCACCTAAGGACGCCCTTGTCATCCTTCCTTTAGATCAGAAATTTATTTTAAACAAGTTTTCGTTGCCTCGGTTACCCACCTCGACCTGACTTGCGTTGCGAACGGTTAAATTTGAGGAATACGCGGACGTTAAGCGCTATCAACAGCCTCTACAGGCATGTTTTAGCTATTTATTTTCTATTTCCCGTTTCACTTACCCGATGCTGGCTTTTCGAAGCTCCTTGATTCTTTTAAACAATTTTTTCATTCCAACCGAACAACTCAAAGGTGGAAAACTCACTCAACGTGAGAAGAAGGAAAAAGAGCTTCGGGCTAGCCTGAATTAGAAAAAAAAGGGTTCAAACGAGAAAACATAATTAGACATCTGATATCCGTATTTCCATCCCACCCGCCGGCCTCTTAAAGCAAAGTAGCCTCGTGAGAGACTTGGCGTGCAAAATTCCATGTCACTCTATAACGCTTGTTCAATTTTCCCAGCATTGTCAAATAATTACTGGTCAATTGGCTGTTACCAAGATCGTGGTGCCCGTGCTATACCAACGCTTGAGGGACAAGATCTCATCCTTGATGGTAACTACCAAACAAGGCAGAACGCCATCAAGAAATGCTATTACGCGGCTAAAAAGAGAGGATTTAAGGTGTTTGCAGTTCAAAATGGTGGGTGGTGTGCATCTAGTCTCCTGGCTGCTAAGACTTTCAACAAATATGGCATATCGTCTGCTTGTAGGCAAGACGGAGAAGGTGGACCTTGGGCTAATCAAGTTTATTACATCAAAGGTTAGCTATTATTTACAATATTAAATATAAATTGCATAATTATTTGGATACGACGATAGAACGACCTCAAAATAGGGAGGCTGAAAACAAAGAACATTCAAACAGTATTTATCCATAAAAGGTCACTGAGATATTTCTTGATGTATCTGTTTTGATTTTGTGTCTGTTTGTTTCTTTGTTACCTTATTTGTTTACAAAAACAAGTACACATGACGTGGCGAAACCTTTGATTTAATAATTAACCTAAGGTAGAAGTCATCCTTCACAAAAATGATTTATCTCCTGGCTCAAACCCTGATTGTTATTAACTTCACCGAAACCTGTTTCGCGCTCATCTGATTTCAGATTACGAAAGTTTTGGTTGCTATAAAGACACCCACGTTCGTGCAATCGATACGTTAGAAGGAAAAGATCCTATTCTTGATGGTAGTTACGGGCAACGAAAAGACCCTATCACAAAATGCGCCGTGGCTGCTATGAGAGCGGGTTACAGCATGTTTGCAGTTCAGAATGGTGGATGGTGTGCGTCAAGCAGATTGGCCGAGGAGACGTTCAACAAGTATGGCAGATCGTCTGCTTGTTGGTCGGATGGTGAAGGCGGACCTTGGGCAAATCAGGTTTATGAATTGAAAGGTAAATTACTAAACTTGTAGTTCGAAAATGAGAAGAGTTGTTTTCTTTAAGATGGAGAAAATATAAGGCTGAAACAAGAGTGTTTCCATGCATATATTTTATACTTTTTTTTGAATCTGGGATATTCAGCCTTGATCCATGCATTAAGATCAATTAAAAAAGGTACCATAACATTTGGTCTCAATATGAGGAAATATATTTTGCGGTAATGTTAAATTTTTTTCCCCTATGTCTGTGGAAATTAAATTATTTAGTAAGATTAGTCACCACTGGAGATTACTGTAAAACAAGAGAATATATACTGATAGCAGTTAATACTCTCTTGGTGTTAGGATGCTACTTAAGATAAATATGCTCTTTCTAGACTTTGAGAATAATGTCCAATTTGTGGCTAATTTATTTTATAGGTCCTCAATTTGAAACAGTCGGGTGTTATCAAGATCGTGGTAGCCGTGCCATACCAACACTCGAGAATAAAGAACCCATCCTTGATGGTAACTACCGAACAAGGCAGAAAGCCATCAAGAAATGCTATTACGCGGCTAAAAAGAGAGGATTTAAGGTGTTTGCAGTTCAAGATGGTGGGTGGTGTGCATCTAGTCTCTCGGCGGCTAAGACTTTCAACAAATATGGCAGATCGTCTGCCTGTAGGCAAGATGGAGAAGGTGGACCTTGGGCTAATCAAGTTTATTACATCAAAGGTTAGCTATTATTTACAATATTAACTAAAAATTGCATAGTTATTTGGATACCACTATAGAACGACCTCAAAATACGGAGGCTGAAAACAAAGAACATTCAAACAGTATGTCTCCATAAAAGGTCACTGAGATATGTCTTGATGTATCTGTTTTGATTTTGTGTCTGTTTGTTTCTTTGTTACCTTATTTTTTTACAAAAACAAGTACGCCTGACCTGGCAAACCCTTTGATTTAATAAGTAACCTAAGGTAGAAATCATCCTTCACAAAAATGATTTATCTCTTGGCTCAAACCCTGATTGTTATTAACTTCACCGAAACCTGTTTCGCGCTCGTCTGATTTCAGATTACGAAAGTTTTGGTTGCTATAAAGACACCCACGTTCGTGCAATCGATACGTTAGAAGGAAAAGATCCTATTCTTGATGGCAGTTACGGGCAACGAAAAGACCCTATCGCAAAATGTGCCGTGGCTGCTATGAGGGCGGGTTACAGCATGTTTGCAGTTCAGAATGGCGGATGGTGTGCGTCGAGCAGATTGGCCGAGGAGACGTTCAACAAGTATGGCAGATCGTCTGCTTGTCGGTCGGATGGTGAAGGCGGACCTTGGGCCAATCAGGTTTATGAATTGAAAGGTAAATTACTAAACTTGTAGTCCGCAAATGAGAAGAGTTGTTTTCTTTAAGATGGAGAAAATATAAGGCTGAAACAAGAGCTTTTCCATGCATATATTTTATATGTTTTGTTGAATCTGGGATATTCAGCCTTGGTCAAAGCATTAAGATCAATTAAAAAAAGTACCATAGCATTTGGTCTTATTATGAGCAAATATATTTTGCAGTAAAGTTAAATATTTTCCCTTATGTCTGTGGAAAATGAATTATTGAGGAAGATTAGTCACCACTGGAGTTTAGTGTAAAACAAGAGAATATAAACTGATAGCAGTTAATACTCTTTTGGTGGTAGGATGCTACTTGAGATAAATATGCTCTTTCTAGACTTTGAGAATAATGTCTAATTCATGAATAATTTATTTTATAGGTCCTCAATTTGAAACAGTCGGGTGTTATCAAGATCGTGGTAGCCGCGCCATACCAACACTCGAGAATAAAGAACCCATCCTTGATGGTAACTACCAAACAAGGCAGAACGCCATCAAGAAATGCTATTACGCGGCTAAAAAGAGAGGATTTAAGGTGTTTGCAGTTCAAAATGGTGGGTGGTGTGCATCTAGTCTCCTGGCTGCTAAGACTTTCAACAAATATGGCAGATCGTCGGCTTGTAGGCAAGATGGAGAAGGTGGACCTTGGGCTAATCAAGTTTATTACATCAAAGGTTAGCTATTATTTACAATATTTTACTATGAATTGCATAGTTCTTTGGATACCACTATAGAACGACCTCAAAATAGGGAGGCTGAAAACAAAGAACATTCAAACATTATTTTTTCATATGAGGTCACTGAGATATGTCTTAATGTATCTGTTTTGATTTTGTGTTTTTTTATTGGTTTCTTACCTTTTTTTTTTTTTACCAAAACAAGTACGCCTGACCTGGCGAGACCTTTGATTTATTAGGTAACATGAGGTAGTAGTCATCCTTCACAAAAATGATTTATCTCTTGGCTCAAACCCTGATTGTTATTAACTTCACCGAAACCTGTTTTACGCTCGTCTGATTTCAGATTACGAAAGTTTTGGTTGCTATAAAGACACCCACGTTCGTGCAATCGATACGTTAGAAGGAAAAGATCCTATTCTTGATGGCAGTTACGGGCAACGAAAAGACCCTATCGCAAAATGTGCCGTGGCTGCTATGAGAGCGGGTTACAGCATGTTTGCAGTTCAGAATGGTGGATGGTGTGCGTCGAGCAGATTGGCCGAGGAGACGTTCAACAAGTATGGCAGATCGTCTGCTTGTCGGTCGGATGGTGAAGGCGGACCTTGGGCCAATCAGGTTTATGAATTGAAAGGTAAATTACTAAACTTGTAGTCTGCAAATGAGTAGAGTTATTTTCTTTAAGATGGAGAAAATATAACGCTGAAACAAGAGTTTTTCCATGCATATATTTTATACGTTTTGTTGAATCTGGGATATTCAGCCTTGATCCATGCATTAAGATCAATTAAAAAAAGTACCATAATATTTGGTCACATTATGAGCAAATATATTTTGCAGTAAAGTTAAATATTTGACCTTATGTCTGTGAAAAATAAATTATTGAGGAAGATTAGTCACCACTGGAGTTTAGTGTAAAACAAGAGAATATAAACTGATAGCAGTTAATACTCTTTTGGTAGGATGCTACTTAAGATAAATATGCTCTTTCTAGACTTTGAGAATAATGTCTTGTTCGTAATTAATTTAATTTATAGGTCCTCAATTTGAAACAATCGGGTGTTATCAAGATCGTGGTAGCCGCGCCATACCAACACTCGAGAATAAAGAACCCATCCTTGATGGTAACTACCAAACAAGGCAGAACGCCATCAAGAAATGCTATTACGCGGCTAAAAAGAGAGGATTTAAGGTGTTTGCAGTTCAAAATGGTGGGTGGTGTGCATCTAGTCTCCTGGCTGCTAAGACTTTCAACAAATATGGCAGATCGTCTGCTTGTAGGCAAGATGGAGAAGGTGGACCTTGGGCTAATCAAGTTTATTACATCAAAGGTTAGCTATTATTTACAATATTTACTATGAATTGCATAGTTATTTGGATACCACTATAGAACGACCTCAAAATAGGGAGGCTGAAAACAAAGAACATTCAAACATTATTTTTTCATATGAGGTCACTGAGATATGTCTTGATGTATCTGTTTTGATTTTGTGTTTTTTTATTGGTTTCTTACCTTTTTTTTTTACCAAAACAAGTACGCCTGACCTGGCGAGACCTTTGATTTATTAAATAACTTGAGGTAGTAGTCATCCTTCACAAAAATGATTTATCTCTTGGCTCAAACCCTGATTGTTATTAACTTCACCGAAACCTGTTTTACGCTCGTCTGATTTCAGATTACGAAAGTTTTGGTTGCTATAAAGACACCCACGTTCGTGCAATCGATACGTTAGAAGGAAAAGATCCTATTCTTGATGGTAGTTACGGGCAACGAAAAGACCCTATCACAAAATGTGCCGTGGCTGCTATGAGAGCGGGTTACAGCATGTTTGCAGTTCAGAATGGTGGATGGTGTGCGTCGAGCAGATTGGCCGAGGAGACGTTCAACAAGTATGGCAGATCGTCTGCTTGTCGGTCGGATGGTGAAGGCGGACCTTGGGCCAATCAGGTTTATGAATTGAAAGGTAAATTACTAAACTTATAGTCCGCAAATGAGAAGAGTTGTTTTCTTTAAGATGGAGAAAATATAAGGCTGAAACATGAGTTTTTCCATGCATATATTTTATATGTTTTGTTGAATCTGGTATATTCAGCCTTGGTCAAAGCATTAAGATCAATTAAAAAAAGTACCATAACATTTGGTCACATTATGAGCAAATATATTTCGCAGTAAAGTTAAATATTTTCCCTTATGTCTGTGAAAAATAAATTATTGAGGAAGATTAGTCACCACTGGAGTTTAGTGTAAAACAAGAGAATATAAACTGATAGCAGTTAATACTCTTTTGGTGGTAGGATGCTACTTAAGATAAATATGCTCTTTCTAGACTTTGAGAATAACGTCTTATTCGTAATTAATTTAATTTATAGGTCCTCAATTTGAAACAGTCGGGTGTTATCAAGATCGTGGTAGCCGCGCCATACCAACACTCGAGAATAAAGAACCCATCCTTGATGGTAACTACCAAACAAGGCAGAACGCCATCAAGAAATGCTATTACGCGGCTAAAAAGAGAGGATTTAAGGTGTTTGCAGTTCAAAATGGTGGGTGGTGTGCATCTAGTCTCCTGGCTGCTAAGACTTTCAACAAATATGGCAGATCGTCTGCTTGTAGGCAAGATGGAGAAGGTGGACCTTGGGCTAATCAAGTTTATTACATCAAAGGTTAGCTATTATTTACAATATTTACTATAAATTGCATAGTTATTTGGCTACCACTATAGAACGACCTTTAAATAGGGAGACTGAAAACAAAGAACATTCAAACATTATTTTTTCATATGAGGTCACTGAGATATGTCTTGATGTATCTGTTTTGATTTTGTGTTTTTTTATTGGTTTCTTACCTTTTTTTTACCAAAATAAGTACGCCTGTCCTGGCGAGACTTTTGATTTAATAAGTAACTTGAGGTAGAAGTCATCCTTCACAAAAATGATTTATCTCTTGGCTCAAACCCTGATTGTTGTTATCTTCACCGAAACCTGTTTAACGCTCGTCTGATTTCAGATTACGAAAGTTTTGGTTGCTATAAAGACACCCACGTTCGTGCAATCGATACGTTAGAAGGAAAAGATCCTATTCTTGATGGCAGTTACGGGCAACGAAAAGACCCTATCGCAAAATGTGCCGTGGCTGCTATGAGGGCGGGTTACAGCATGTTTGCAGTTCAGAATGGTGGATGGTGTGCGTCGAGCAGATTGGCCGAGGAGACGTTCAACAAGTATGGCAGATCGTCTGCTTGTCGGTCGGATGGTGAAGGCGGACCTTGGGCCAATCAGGTTTATGAATTGAAAGGTAAATTACTAAACTTATAGTCCGCAAATGAGAAGAGTTGTTTTCTTTAAGATGGAGAAAATATAAGGCTGAAACAAGAGCTTTTCCATGCATATATTTTATATGTTTTGTTGAATCTGGTATATTCAACCTTGGTCAAAGCATTAAGATCAATTAAAAAAAGTACCCTAACATTTGGTCTTATTATGAGCAAATATATTTTGCAGTAAAGTTAAATATTTTCCCTAATGTCTGTGAAAAATAAATTATTGAGGAAGATTAGTCACCACTGGAGTTTAGTGTAAAACAAGAGAATATAAACTGATAGCAGTTAATACTCTTTTGGTGGTAGGATGCTACTTAAGATAAATATGCTCTTTCTAGACTTTGAGAATAATGTCTTATTCGTAATTAATTTAATTTATAGGTCCTCAATTTGAAACAGTCGGGTGTTATCAAGATCGTGGTAGCCGCGCCATACCAACACTCGAGAATAAAGAACCCATCCTTGATGGTAACTACCAAACAAGGCAGAACGCCATCAAGAAATGCTATTACGCGGCTAAAAAGAGAGGATTTAAGGTGTTTGCAGTTCAAAATGGTGGGTGGTGTGCATCTAGTCTCCTGGCTGCTAAGACTTTCAACAAATATGGCAGATCGTCTGCTTGTAGGCAAGATGGAGAAGGTGGACCTTGGGCTAATCAAGTTTATTACATCAAAGGTTAGCTATTATTTACAATATTTACTATAAATTGCATAGTTATTTGGATACCACTATAGAACGACCTCAAAATAGGGAGGCTGAAAACAAAGAACATTCAAACATTATTTTTTTATATGAGGTCACTGAGATATGTCTTGATGTATCTGTTTTGATTTTGTGTTTTTTTATTTGTTTCTTACCTTTTTTTTTTTATTTTTACCAAAACAAGTACGCCTGACCTGGTGAGACCTTTGATTTAATAAGTAACTTGAGGTAGTAGTCATCCTTCACAAAAATGATTTATCTCTTGGCTCAAACCCTGATTGTTATTAACTTCACCGAAACCTGTTTTACGCTCGTCTGATTTCAGATTACGAAAGTTTTGGTTGCTATAAAGACACCCACGTTCGTGCAATCGATACGTTAGAAGGAAAAGATCCTATTCTTGATGGTAGTTACGGGCAACGAAAAGACCCTATCGCAAAATGTGCCGTGGCTGCTATGAGAGCGGGTTACAGCATGTTTGCAGTTCAGAATGGTGGATGGTGTGCGTCGAGCAGATTGGCCGAGGAGACGTTCAACAAGTATGGCAGATCGTCTGCTTGTCGGTCGGATGGTGAAGGCGGACCTTGGGCCAATCAGGTTTATGAATTGAAAGGTAAATTACTAAACTTGTAGTCCTCAAATGAGAAGAGTTGTTTTCTTTAAGATGGAGAAAATATAAGGCTGAAACAGGAGTTTTTCCATGCATATATTTTATACGTTTAGTTGAATCTGGGATACTCAGCCTTGATCAATGCATTAAGATCAATTAAAAAAGGTACCATAACATTTGGTCTCAATATGAGGAAATATATTTTGCGGTAAAGTTTAATTTTTTTTACCTTATGTCTGTGAAAAATAAATCATTGAGTAAGATTAGTCACCACTGGAGATTACTGTAAAACGAGAGAATATAAACTGATAGCAGTTTTGTTGTTAGGATGCTACTTAGGATATGCTCTTTCTAGACTTTGAGAATAATGTCTAATTCATGAATAATTTATTTTATAGGTCCTCAATTTGAAACAGTCGGGTGTTATCAAGATCGTGGTAGCCGTGCCATACCAACACTCGAGAATAAAGAACCCATCCTTGATGGTAACTACCGAACAAGGCAGAAAGCCATCAAGAAATGCTATTACGCGGCTAAAAAGAGAGGATTTAAGGTGTTTGCAGTTCAAGATGGTGGGTGGTGTGCATCTAGTCTCTCGGCTGCTAAAACTTTCAACAAATATGGCAGATCGTCTGCTTGTAGGCAGGATGGAGAAGGTGGACCTTGGGCTAATCAAGTGTATCACATAAGAGGTTAGGAAACATTTTTTCAATAATGTTGAGTTCTATTTATCCTTTTTTTAATTTTGATTTCGGTTATAAGGGAGGTCTCGTGAAACTTAAGGCAAAACTGATGTTCAGGTTGGACGCAGTTTAATTTGAATAAACGTAATTGCTTTTACATTTCTGCGCTAGAGTCGGTACGACTGGATATAGATAGACCGAAAGGCGACTACGATATTGCCCCCCACTTAACAGAGAAGTTGATTTTTTTTTTGTTCTTTAGGCTACAAATCCAGTGGATGCTATAAAGACACCTCTAAACGTGCAATCCAGACGCTTGAAGGAAAAGATTCTATCCTGGATGGACTTTACTGGAATAGAAAAGATGCTATTGCAAAATGCGCCGTAGCTGCCACGAGAGCGGGTTACAAAATGTTTGCAGTTCAGAATGGTGGCTGGTGTGCATCAAGTGCTACTGCGCCAGTGACCTTCGCCAAATATGGAAAATCCACTTCTTGTAAGCAGGATGGGGAAGGCGGACCATGGGCTAACCAAGTTTATTCCATTATGTAACTTAGTGATGAGAGTGATATTCTGGTAAAGGGCATTTGTGTGAGCATTGATTGTCAAAAGTAAAATGAAATCATTAAAAGCTTTGAGAAGTGATAAAACTTCCTGCGTTGTTTGACTTACTTTTAGGTATGGCATGCTTTGGGCATCTGTTATAAATACATGCATGTTATTCACCAGTTGGGACGTCCGTATTGGAAAAAAAATGTGCCCGTGGTGTGAGATACCGCCAACAGATCGCACGATTCGTATAGTACCGCCAGCTCGCGTCTACATGTCCGAATTATACACATTCTTGCTTTAACTACCTGGATATTCCATTGCGTGATCTTTAGTAGCGTGTTTTCAAAGTAAAGCATTAACTCGACAAGAAAGGTGGGAAGTATCAAATATCCCCTCAGTAATTTCTTTGGTTATTGAAGTGGTGACGTAAGACACAAAAAATATGATGAAAGGCGAGTATTTAAGTAGAATGTCGATTTCACAAAAGTTATTTTTAGCTTGGGTCGGAAAGTATTGTGGTTTCAATAATAATAACCACAATAACTTTGTGGTTTCCTTATGTAGTTTCTTATTACTGAAGTCATTTTGATATATCACAAGAAACAAACTTTCTCTTGATGCATGTAAATGACAATTTGATTTTCTGTTTCAATGAAGAGTAAAAGAATCCTTTTGAATGCATGGTCACATTTCGCTTTAGTTCATTTAAAGTTACTCAAAAATTCTTAGCTTTCTTGAGCTAAAACGTTTCTGCAAACAAAACGATGCAATTTTTGCTTTGAGTATGTTCCAAATTCAAGTTTTCATTTGACTCATATTAAGTGTCGGGTTCGAAAATTAGTTTGAACGACTAGTTGATTGCGTCAATTTTTCTTTGCAAACTCTCACTGACGTTTAACTACGAAAAATATGTGCAATGGCCCATACTGAGGTATGTCAGCAAATATGCAACCAAATTCATCCAAAAAAGGCGCACAAATTAGTAGCTTTTAACTTTTTAAATAGTATCTAGACACAGGTGTGCAGGTCTGTAGAGACGGTTGTGCATAGTTGTGGATCGGGAAAGATTTTTTTCACTCTTTACGGTGGCCAATTTACGTTTTCAACTCAGTTGTTTACACTAAATTATCTACTTTTTCAGTATAGCTTAGTGTCTACCAGCGCAGGCGCATAACTTCAATTTTGGATGAAACATAAACGTATACGTGAAAGTGGATTTAATACTCTCTCGAAAAATTAGTGTGGGTTCTGCAAACAACAAATTTGGTCATATATATGTATGGTCATACATATGTTTACATACACTGGCGGCTTTAAGTTGTCCAAACAGAACGATGCCGGAACCGCTGTCAAAAAATTCAGTCAAACCGGTGTCAATATTAACAGATGACATAAGGTTTTAAAATCAAACTAAATTACTCTCCTTAGATACCAAAATTGACTGGATCGAATGCATACTGTTTCGCTCTCAGTATTGGCAAGGAAATAAAATTTTCAGACCATGGAATAACAGTAGGTGAGTCCACTTCAGATCCAAGAAAAGTGAAAGAAGAGTAAAGCATAGGTAAAATCAGGTTTCATTACACTCAGTGAAAATGCCAAGAAGAGGAAGTCTTGCAATAGTGTTTATTTGTTTTTAATTTTTTTCCATCTTACTGTTTGCTTAACGGCATTATGATGCCCTTTATTTTGCCGGCTACAGTTTGACACGCTTACAATATCATTGCAAATTATTAAATGAATTAAAAATGTAGATTTCCCAACTGTCAAATGGAAAAGCGTTAATAAAAAGAAAATATTTTGATGCGGTCGGTCACAACCTCAAAGTTGAAACAAAGGCTTGTCTAAAAATAACAAATGATTCAAAGAAAATTAGAAATTTTAATTAAAAATTTTAAGTGTTTGCAAAAATACTTAAGAGAAAATAAAGGAAAAAAAAATGAGCGATAAAAAATTAAAACATCCATCGCGTCGAGGGTCGACTCCTCTTAACTAAACTTTTTGTCTTTCCTGCTCACCTGTGTAAGGGTAATTTACTTGTTATTTTTCCCATTTTTTTTAATTAGATAGAGAACTTTATTAAGATATGTTCCACTCGGGGACAAATTCATTTCGTATCACAATCGTTGAGTTAAAGACTGGGGGCTGTCCAAGCTGAAAAGTTGCACCTTACGTATGCATCCATTTATCCGGCTTTAAGTCACCAAATTCAAAGTATGACGATTTTCTATTTCTATCAAACTATTAGATGTTTTGTTATCTTATAAGGGTTAGAGACAATTTTCCACTTCCTTGTTTTAAATATGCTTGCTATTGAAGAAGAAACGTAGAAAACGAAAGCAGCGCCTTTATAGTCACTCCTCATGAATGTTGGCTAAATACAGATCTTTAGACATCATTTCATGGAATCTTAAGATGTCTTAGGTTAAAGTCTATCGCTGTTTATTCTCTGTGGCAAGGCGCTCCAGAAAGAATAATGTTTCTTTTCTGCTATGCGGCTGTATTAACCCCGGAACATTAAAAAAGAAAGAAAAAACACAGCAAACTGTGTAGAAAACTGTATCAATGTTTCATCGATACAAAATCCTCAACAATTTTTCTTTATTAATAGGTCGTTTGGTAAATTGCAAATATCTGAGGAAAGGTAAATGGCTTACAACAAAACCAACGCTACGGACTGGATGCAGATTTCTGCCTCCCACTGCATTTCATGGCTCGCTGTCTTCGGCATTGAATGTCTGGCCGCAGTCATCCTTAATATCATCACCATTATTGTATTTGTGAAGCAGCGCCAGCTACAGAGCAGAAGCACGTACTTGATCATTCATCTTGGGGTAGTGGATCTCTTGGTGGGGGCGATTGTAGGGCCTATGATCATCGAAATGTATGGGAGCGAGTTCTGTCGTCTGTGGGAGTCAAGGTCTTATTCCGATTGGTTACCTTCCCTTCAAATATATGTGGGTCATGGAGTTTATCAGATCTCTCTTAATAACCTCGCGGTCATTGCATTAGAACGAGTACACGCAACATTTCGTCCTTTCAAGCATCGTTTCATAAGGAAATGGGTTTATGGAGTGATGATATCTGTCAATTGGGTAATCCCCTCAGCCATGTATAGTATCGCGTTTTATTTTGGGGTCCATACATTCCTAATCCGTTTCATATATTTGTGTTCTCTTCTTTCTGTTATACTTGTATGTTATGTCTCAATTTACATCAAAATCCGGTGCAGTCGTCATCTTCAACACCACGGTGCGGCCAGCCAAAGGGAAAGAAAACTGACCACAACACTGTTCATTGCTACCCTTGCATCATTGTTAACTTTCATGCCGAGGTTAGTGTATTGGGGAGATATCAATTTTTCGGACCTTATTATAAGCCTTTCACGCCAGTCATTTTTTGATGTTGTTATGGCAACAATGACAATTTTGATTCTCAACTCTATAACAAATCCTATAATTTACATCATACGAATGTCACAATTAAGAGGAGGTACATCAAAGCTTATATTCCGTAGGGCTCCAAATCACGTAAACCCAAACCGCGTCTCACCTCAAATAGCTAATTGTTTATCTTAAGAGCACAACATATGCTGAAGAAAAAAGGCATGGTTTTGTTTCTCCAATTGAAACCAGATTACAAGTAGCGAAGGAATAAATCCGTCCAGTCTTTTGAGCTGGTTACGTGAATTTCTTTGTAAATGGATGCCGATGATTAGAGAGATTCTAGGAGCGTTTACGAAAAACCTGTTTGCTAGGCTAAAACCTGTTTGCTAGGCTAAACTTGAACCTGCTTGTTAGGGTAAAACCTGTTTACTAGGGTAAAACCTTTTTGGTAGGGTAAAACCTGTTTGCTAAGGTAATGTCTGTGAGAATAAAAGAGTAACATTGTATTTATGCACCGAATATATTCTCTTCTAAGCCTTCGGTAAAATAATAATAATGACAGGATGCAGATCGAAAAAAAATTAACCTCGGAAAATGTCCGAAGATCGTGAGTATGCCCAAAAAGGAAAAAATTTCCTTTGTGAGTGAAATAGCATCGTGTTTTATTATCATGTTTTAGTGTTCATGATTGGTCAGAGAGCACAAACCATTATGTAAAGCCATGTAATTGTTTAATATTACGGGGAGGGGGTGGGGGATGTAAATAAGATGTTTGTAACATCAGTGATTTATTAAACCTTGCTTTGCTGAATCATTGTTTTTCTCTGTTTATGTGTAAGTTTGACAAAGAACGCTTAACCATCAATTTATCGCGGCCCTGTTGTTCATATGGCGGATAAAGCTATCAGACGGATAAATCACTATCCAGTAAATAAGTGTTAACACAACATATTGCGCTATTCACCAGATATAAATTTCTCCTGGGCATAGCGTTACACCCTTGGAACAACCGGGGCCTGAAGAACACCATTCGTCTAAAGAAAGCCCATAAGATGGAAGATAAGGCATTCCAATGATAACCCCGCGACGAAAACCGAATAAATTAAAATGCTTGTTGATCAGTTTTCAGTTTATTTCTTCGGACCACGTTGGGGAAGACACAGGAAAACAAAACTGTTTTAATTTCTTAGATCATAAAATAAGTGATCTGCAATAGGGATGATAATAGGAGAAATGTTGCTGTTTTAATTTACTATAGGTATGAGAGGCATTTTATGAACCACATTTACGGCTAACTTGAACGCTTGGCCTCATACATAATACTCTAGGTAAAAACCAAGTCTACATTAAATTGAAAAAAATGTTTTAGGGTCTGAAAATACGAATTTTAACAATGACTTCAGAAATTAGCTATTTTAGGCTATCTGCCAACGAAATGTCGCACAATCAGGGAAAGGTTTAACCGAAAAAATGCACACTTAGAGCAAAAACAGTAGCGCATTTGACTAGGACGGAATTGTGGAATCGCTCTGCATGGTATTCACTACTCATGCTTTAGCATATGTCTTATAACTTATTATCGGTGCATAAAAAGACGAAATATCATATATGTGCCAATATGAAGTCATTTTAACCTCACATTTGCCTGCTACCACAAACTGACAAGCAATGAGATCGACTGTTGTTGTTTTTAATCAGGGCCTGCCAGTTTTTTTCGGGGATACGTTTTTAAGCTGAACAAAAAATTAATTAGCACACAACGTTAACGGTCGGAAGCGGTGCGTCCGTAAATTAATTTATTTTCGCTCCGAAGAGTTTTTTACAATTATTTCAAACTTTCATCCTATCAAATATCTTTTCTCAGACAGTTTCATCACGAAATTATATTTAAGGTGTCACGTTTGACTCCTCGAATCTGCACTCATGTTTTTTTGTCTGCTGTTTTATATAAAGGTTCACTAAACAGTTATGAGTCACTAGCATCGTTCAAGTCACCAAATTTTTATCAGAAGAAAAACATTTTGAATATCCATCCGTTTCAGTTCCAAGAATCCACCATAGCCTGAAGCGGAAATTAAATTGGGCCCTCAGCCTATCAATATGTCTCTGATGTTATGTCATTAGATGAGAATGCGGAAAGAAAAGTGCGTCATCTAGTTATTCCTGACTCAGTGGTTGAGATATGAGCTGATTTGTTAACGAGCAATCATAGGGAAAGTCCCATTGCATCATCACGGCTTCCGTATTTCTAAGAAACTCCACCCATGACCATTTGTAGTGTCGGTCACTCCGGGTAAATCTATTCTAGCCTAGATTCTTGTTAGCGCAATAGCTACGGCTTGAAGCCCAAAATCATAGGAGAGTTTGAAAGTGGCCTGAATCATGAGTAAGGTAGGTATGCAACTAAAAGCGGGCTCACTTTATGCATAACACATTTCTTAATTTAGGGTTGAGCAATTAATCTTGATTTCAGTAGATAATGGACGACTATTGTCGATATAACATAGATTGAATAAATACCGACGCCCATTTGAGATGCTTCAAACGAAACAGTTGCTAATTATCTCAACCATTACAAGCGCTGTACAACAAGTGATAATTCTCATCGACTGATAAGCAACTTGTTGCCTTCAGATTGGAGCATTTATGGTATAGAATTTCTAGACATACCGTTTGTTTACAGTTACAGCGACTTTCACTATCGGTGAAATCTTATCGCTGATCATTTCAAAGTCACACCAAGGCGAGATCATAACGAAATCCCATGGAAATACATAGAGGTACTTATATGTGAAACATGCAGCCTTGGTAGAGGTTTCTAATGTCTTCAGCATCCATCCAGCGTATAGTTTGTTGTTTTTTTTTCTTTAATTTCACTCGTGGAAGGTTAAAGCGAACTTATGTCAACAACTTCGCTATGCAAATCAACCCCGCGTCGTGTAGAGTTATTATTGTTGAAGAACTTGAACCTAATGACCTAGGATTGGTCGTAGGTGCTCTTCAGTTGATATGGCCAATTCAGAAATTCTTGTTCGCCTGTTATGTAGAAAAGCGAGTGAAAAATTTACGTCCGTTATAGTGTTTTCCATTCTCTTTTGAAGCCGAGGACTGCTTCTTAGAAGTTTGTATCAGAAATCCACTAAACCTTGTATAATACGCATCATCTGATTAATATATTTATATCCATATAATGGGCTATAAACTCCAGCTGAGATTATTAGAGCTGCTGTCAAATTATTTTTTATTTGATAAGTTGGTTTTATAAACCGCGTTGATAATGTGAATGAGCCACAGTAAAGAGTTTTTTTAAGTTGACGTTTCGAGCTTCAGCCCTTCGTCAGGGGCCTTCAGCATTCGCTTCGACGCTACCGCTCGAAACGTCAGGTTTAGAAACTCTTTACGGTGGCCAATTTACTCAATCAATTTAGTTAATAAAACCAAATTATATTGTATATATCTCTCACCGACGCAGCACCACAGTTTCTTTAGAAACTTGCCGCCTTGATTTTTATTTGGTAATAAGGATGAGACTGCGATCTCGATTTTCTGTACAAAGGAAAATGTATTTTTTTTAAGCGACAGTTTACAGCGCGCACGTCTGGTGAAACTAACTTTAGCGTCCGTATAAAACTAAAAGGCAAAATTCCTGTAATGGTTTTAACGGTTTAACCCTTTACACTGTAACATCAGTATGTAAATTCTCCTTACTGTTCTCTATCCATGCCAAGGAGCTTCCTTAGTGGGTGATAATTTCCTTTATTCTCGTGAATGTTTGATTCAGGGGTGGTTTTGTAAGGAGCAATTAGACGCTGGGCAATCTAAAGGGGTCATAGGGATAGTTTTCTCTTGCTTAAGGTAAATACGTTTGTTCCACTCATTTAAATCAGGGTCCAGCATCCCGCTACCTGGAAAACATCGCATTGAAAGACGAGGTGGACAAAACCTCGCGTACTGTGGAATCACAAGAGAGACAGATTGAGGCCTTACAGAGTCAGATTGGCGAAGTGGATAATCCAACTCTTTATGGGAAGTCTAAGGTTGGTGCAGCTGTAACTCGCGTGGAAATATGCACGATCATAGATCTTCTTTCATTTGAATGATTGAATTGATTCAATGATTTTCATGCCGGAGGACTCTTAACTCCTTTTAAGAGTCTTTTAAATGTGATCAAGTGTTTTGTGGACTTTAAAAGTTAGCCCCTAGATAGAAAGACTAAAGCCGGCACAACCTGCTCCAAACCTTATTGTCACCTACACGAACGCATTTCCCTCATCAAAATAATGGTTAGCAATAATGATAAAATAATTCATTTTTTTATTATCTTTGTGCTGATGAAGCCCTACCCGGCGAAACGTTAACTACCAAAGTATATAATATTTGTGCCTTTCGAAGTCTATAATGTTTTTCTCATATACATATATCAACCAAGCCATGGTACCATGCTTCAATTCAAATATATATAGATATGTGACTCTACGGTTCTTCCAATGAATTCTCTGAAACCTAGAAACTTATGGTTTGTTCCTTCAACTTTCCAGTATCATCCACCAGGAAAGGTAATAAGACCAAAACAAAGCAACAAATCACAGTTTAGGAAAATCTACCTCCTTGTATTTTCAAGTGCAGGAGCACGGGATTATATAGTAAATTAAATGAATCTCTTCCCACTTTCCGGTTGTTTTCCAGAATCTAGTAAGGAAGAAATGGAAATCAGCAATTTTCGTGATACTGGTTATAGCTGTGGCTGTGCTAATAACATTCGTGTATGCCTCCCAATCTCAAAGGTAGGATGCTTGTAAAACACGTAAAGAACACATGGTACAGATACTCTCTACTCCTTCATCATCATAAATCTCCTAAATAGCTGTGACTGGCGGGAACGGCATGTTAGATATTTCTAAAGCCACTTCAATCAAATAGTGTTGCAAATTTGGCATACTTCCGAGCGAATTATGAAAAGGGAACCATAGACAGTAAACATCGATTTCGATTCACTTCTTAATTCATTACTAGGGAAAAATTTGTTAATGAAAGTCTCCTGAAGTATATATAAACACCTATACTGAGATTAGATGTGCAGCCAAGTAGTCCTTGTTGTGACGCGACTGTAGGTCGTCAGAATTAGGCGATTAAAGCTCTTTTAATTACATGAAAACTCTATTTGCCTCCAGACTGGAGGAGAGAATAGAAACAGGGAAAATAATTTATTGGTCCATTAATTGCGGTCTGGGTGCGGAGGATGGGAATGCCCTAGAACTGTAGCTCCCTGCACGTACTTGGAGTGTCGTGTGCCAAATTTACCGCTTTTGTTGCTGTTGTTCAATTTATAGTAACTCTTCTGGTCTGAGTGAATCATCTCAATCGGCTCAGAGTAAGTCGCTCAATTTACAGATGCCGTTGGCACAAGGAAAAGACGGGAAAGCATCTTTAGACTTCGGTAAGAACGTGAATGGAATAAAAGAAAACTTCGAAAGAGTGAAAACGTTTATTCAACAATTAATCCCCGAAGAGGGCATTATTGTTGAATAATCATTTAAGCATATGAAAAAATGTACATGTAATTCAGTTGCGTGTTTAAAACTCCACGAGATTCTAGGAACCCCTTAAACACATAGTAATGAAGAAGACTAAAATTTGGAAATTTTAATTCTTACAAAAAGCATTACCTTACTTTCATCTACTCAAATCCCATAAAATCTCTGTTGTCACAGAGAATGAATCTAATTAAATGAGCCAAAAATTTAAATTAGCTACTTGACTGGAAAAAGACATTTGCGCTTGTTTTTCTTGCTCCTAAAAATTGTTTACTGACCCCTCGAAGGTCCAAATCTATTCTTGGACAAGGAAAAGATAGAAGCTACGAAATGATTCCCACATAATTACCTTATCATTGCACTTACCACAATTCTTATACCCATATTAGGAGTACGGCTAGACAATCTGCTTCAAGAATGCCAAAATCCTCACTGGAAGCGATCCTTTCCGGATCTTGATTACGCCCTCTTTGGCTATGACGTTTTAAAGGGCTATCCACTGGCAACAGGCCACGATCCCGGCTTCACTCACCCAATATTCATGACAGACTACACTTCTGCAAAGCAGACTTCTGACTGTCGTTACAGCGTCCCGGAAGGCTTGGTTATTGTACCTGACGTGTCCTGTGAAACATCGTTCTCTTCCAAACTTGTGCGGAACAGACTGGAGATGTCCAAGTCTCTTGAGGCATCTGCTAACATTGAAGGTGGGTTTCAAAAATACTATTTTGTCTCTTGATTTGTCCCTGACAAAGCTCGTTGCGAAATGTTTTCAGTGTTTTCAGTTATTCCGGTGCCAACAGACGACTAAAACTAAACCAATGTTCTTCATATCATAGGAGGTGGATGGGGCTTTAAATTTAGCGCAAGCGCAAGCTACAAAGAATCTGTGGCACAAATGTCGTCAGGAGAGTACCTGTACATCATTTCGCAGGCTCAGTGCCGTTATTATTTCAGCAAAATGGACGAAACGGATCCCCCTCCTTTTCATCCAGGGTTTGTAAGCTGGGCAAAGAGACTATCCAACTCAAACGGTAACAGTGATGCAGTCTTTGAGTTCACCAAATATTACGGAACTCATTACCTGTCAGAGGTTACGTTTGGAGCGCGATTCATGAAGAACCATAAAATGAGTCAAACAAAGTACTCAGAGCTCAGGAGCCAGAAAATTAGTGTAGAAGCACAAGCTAGCTATTCAGGGCTTTTCAGTGTTGGAGGGGGATTTTCAATGGACTCAGAGCAAAGATCTGCTGTTCACAACTTTCAGAAGTCTGTGGAGACAAGCACAATCACTGTAGGAGCAGCTCCCCCGAGCAACGGCGATGCTATGACGTGGGCTTCCTCTGTCCAAGAGAATCCAGTTCCAATAAAGTACACTCTAACGCCCATCCATAACCTGTTTACTGAGAGATATTCCAAGCATCTTCCTGACGTCAACTTGGATGTTGTGCGTGAGATGATCAAGAATGCCTCAAAAAATTATTGCCAAGCTCTAAAAAAAGAGGGACGGGTAGATTCTTGTGACGACGACATTCATTTGGGCATTTCACTGGAAAACATTGGAGTAACGACTTTTGGTAATGTTGCCGAATTTATTTTGATTGTTTGTTTTTGTGTGTCAAACTTTTACATCATCAGAAAGATATAGGAATTTTGATAAAGTTTGAAACCGCAAGATAATTTTGTTATAACGTGGACTTTTTCGCGACATTTTTTACACTTGACTTTGGATAGGGATTGCGGAAATTTCATAAGGGTTTCACAAGATGTCAAAACTCAAGCTCAAAACTCTTCTGAAAATTAATGTCTAAGACTTTCTTTGGAGAAGTTAACATACTTCTTCAAGCTTTTTGGATAGTGCAATAGTCACCTGGAATTTTGTTTTTAAGGGTGCTCTCTCACGAGCCAGATTTATAGTGTGCCGATCAGCTAAAATTTGATTTTTTCCACGCATGCAAGTATATTAATCAATAAAAAAGGTAAAGAAACAAAACAAATTGTGCAAGGATGCCCATCATTACACTTTTTAATAATACTCTTCAGTAGGACATGTGATAACTTTCCGAGGGTTTTAGAACTGTTAACACAACTCTGAGTGAAAAACTTTCATTTTCTGCTTTCTTTTAGGCTATAGATATTTGACAAACGTGGATGAGACAGATTGTAGAGCTATTTGTCTCTTAGATGAGAAGTGCGTGGCAGTCCAGCATTCTGCGCGGAGGGGGTGCAAGCTTCTCGACACGACAAAGGATCTTACAGCGCTTAAAACGAATTCCAAACTGGTGGTGTTCCTGTCGAGACTGCAACGATTAAAGGAAAATTTTGTTCTGAAAGATCTCAAAGTCAAAGAAACTCAGCCACGCCGTGGCGAGAAGCAGGTCTCCAATATTTCTGAGTGTATTTCCTTTTGTGGTGAAGATGCATTTTGTCAGGCGTTTGTGATGTGCGACAAGAAAATCGGTAGTTGGTGTGCTAACGCTAAAGGTAACTGCTTGCTGTACTCAAAGCAGAAAATCACGGCTGTTGAAATAAATCAATATTCCGAGATGCATTACGTTTGGAAAAATTACACTTTGGCTGAAGAGCCAATAATAAAGAATCCGGTATAATTCTTTATCAACTCATAAATGTAGTTGGCGCAATAGGCTCTTCCACCGTTTCTTTTGCTGTTTTTTCTTGTTTCTGATCTTTATTCAACTTTTGAATCAGGCTCGATAGCGACACTATGGAACAGAGCTTCCTCAATTTGTAAAGTAAACAATTTCGAGAGTAATACCGAACTTAAGTAAATAAACCCCTTCAGGCGGCTAGCGTGTTTGAAAAAAGAATATTTGGTCGAGAAGCGAAACTTTCAGCGTAAATGTGATATTTTAAGACAATCTCTCAGGCCAGGTACATTATTAGCCGACAAGCAAACCAGAAAGGGGATTTATTTGTTTTATAACCCTCGCATTAATTTTCATACTGCGCAAAATCGCTCATAAAAAACAAACAAACAAACAAACAAAAACCATTGTTGATCTTTTTGTGCTTTCTGGAACAGCATTTACGACCAGCGTTTAATGTCACACATCACTGGAATCTAAAAAACGAGATTATCTTTCCTCCACGTAACAGATGACTAGTAAAATTCTTGAGGTGGCTTTTTCCGCTGAATTTGTTTCTTCAGGACAAATATCGACGCAAACGGGAGTTATTGCGTGATACCTGTCCGGTAACACACCACGAGACATAAAGTAGCCAATGAAATCGCGCAAAAATTAATGGGCGGGTTATAAATAGATACATAAACATATGAAGATATAGCGCAGCGGCCGAAGTCAGGGAATAAGTTGTAAGTTAGCTGTTAGAACATTTTGGTCTCGGAATCGCAACTGATATAGACTGATTTTAAGACACATCGTTAAATTTAGGGTTTTAAGAATAACCTACATCAGGGTTAGTTTAGCACTTGCAAATAGCTAAAACTGACGTTCATGTCTAGCAAAAGTAAGAGAATCTTGGGTAAACATCAAATGGCGCAGAAGTAGTTTTTAGCGCGATTTAAACCTCCTTTCTCATTTCCATGTAAGCCATGAAAGTGTGTACTACCTCAAGGGGTCTTGAAGCCGTCGTGTTCTGAAATTGGGTATAAATTGCAAGAATCAGGCGGTCCACCCTTGCCAAGAATGAGAGGTTTACCCATTCTCCCATACGAGGATCAATTACCGTGTTGTTGATCGTAATAGCTGTACTACTTTGTAAACCAGTTACGGTATTTTCATTATATCATTGTATTTCTAAAGAAATGTTATGCAGTTTTGCACTGGAAGTATTACGTTAGTAGTGTAAATGATATCGGGCAGAATACGTAGACATAATTAATTATTCAAAACCGATAAAGCGGCAAATTTGATCGCAAATTCGCTTTGAAGAGCCTTTGATTGAATGATGGACCATAATTGGCCCACTAGGCTTTATAAGGGCCTGTTTACATGGAGGTGTAAGGACCCTAGGTATGTGAGGTAACCAGCCTAGCCGTGGTCGAAAAAAAAACGCGTTTACATGCAATCTTACAACCCCGGGGTGCTGGGGTAAAGTTTCTTGAGGTTGTTGTTACACTTGCAGTTAAGGAGTTTGAGCAGAGTCGTCCTAAGCTAACATCTCGAAAAAGACGGAAGATTAATTCTCGGACACATATTTTTTTATTCATGGAAGCGGCACGCGTTGTGTTACGCGGTGTTTAGTTTCGCGAGGAACCGTTGACCCTATGCGGAATAGTTTTTTGGAAACCAAATATGGTCGATTTACAACGCTAAAATATTCCGAAATGTGAACATTTTACACTCCTTGTGTGTTTCTGGTGATTTCTGCCATGAGACGGCTAGGAAATGTGCAAAGTTTTAAAACACACGTTTTGCTTTTGAGCTTTTTGCCATGAACGCGACCTCGGCTAGGCGGGTTACCCCACCTTGACACGTTTACATGGCAAATTGTCACCCCGGCTGACAGGGTTACCCTACCTGGCAGACCGGGAAACCCACCTAGGCGGGTCACCCCACCTATCATGTAAACGTGATCAAAATAAAATAAGAAATTATATGGACAGGCGGGTTACCTCAACTACCTGGGGTCCCCCACCTCCATGTAAACAGGCCCTAAAACTCTCTATTCTGATTTTAAGAAGTGCTTGCTTCTAAATCAACGCAGGGTTTTTGGAACATTAAAGATGTATCTACAATTTGCACTTAAAATGAACGATTTTTACTCCATAGAGGCATCATCCTTTTGCACTTGAAAATACTCCAAATTCGGTCACTTTTAGAACGATTTTCTGAAAACCTTATAACCCACGACAAATCATGCACGGCAAACGGCAGATCTATCTTTCCTCTCAGAGAATCCATTTTAATTTGGAAAATTGGCCGACGTGAACCTTTATCCTTTCCAGTCGAGTATTTTAAGCGTTGTTTGCAGTTTCTGGTGTCAATTTCGGCGGGCACATCTTTGAGAAACAGGTTTTTTCGTTGGAAATTTAAACGGATTTAAATTTTGTATGGGCACTCAATGATTTTAGAATTACAAGTGTGAATGCAAGCAGTGTTTATTAGTAGTGTTAGAACTGTGATGTCTGCATAGAAAGCTGTCTCAGGTTTTATCACTCGTTTGTTTTTCAATACGAATTATGCCATAATTCCAAAGTTATTTTTAGAGGGAAGAATGTGTGAGAAAGGAGAGAGTCATACTTTTCTAGAATGTCTTCTTGTCTTCCTAGGTCCCATTCCATTAAATGAACAGAGTTTACTGTTTCTGCAGAAACATGACCTTGGGGATCATTTAGGGCACCAGTGATGTTACTCTCAGCACGTATTTTATACGCAAGCTCTCCAAGAACAGTTTTCTCTTTGTTTCATGATGCACTGATCACACCTATTACGATATTTCTGCAAAGAAAAGTTTTGTTTTAATAGCTAAAAACTACTTCTGCGCCATTTAATGTCTTTCGTAGTGTCACGGCAAGAACTGAAAACATAATACGCCAGTGTCTTTTAACCAGAGTTCACAAAATGAGGGAACTCAACAGTGTATCGAGTACGAATGTCAAACTATTTAAAGATTCTCCGACCAAACAATAAGTAGCAGTAGGAAACAACGGGTCAAAATTGGGTAAACATCGGAATTCTAATGTCATTCACTCACTCACTCACTCACTCATTTCGACCACATATGTGGCTTCGCCTCTTAGAGGAGGCAGTAGCCACTCAAAACGGAAAACCGCAATGAGCTCTAATCCGAAAAACCGAAGCTTTTTTGGCACAAAAACCGAAATACCGATCTATAAGATAGCCGACAAACCGCTAAACTGAAAATCACACAGCCCTCCTTCTGCTTATTTATCCTTATATTCTTTGAATTTCTCACATCTGGTCCGTGATCCTGTCAGTAGTCCTATCCGTAATCTAATCCTAATTTTCCCTTACCGCGTGTTTGTCTTCTTTGTGAGTGACATGTCACTATGATCCGAATGACATTAACATTTCATATCTGGAGAAGCTTGGTTTGATGAACCTTAGTGTCAGTTTGTTACGAAACCATAACTTATCCTTGTATGCTTCAGGCTGAAGGGTAGAAGTGGAAGAGAACTATTCAAATGTTCGCGATTTGTCGAACCACAAGCATTTGAATCTCGAAGGACAAAGAAGACATGACTTTCCGTGTGGTGACTACAATTTGCTTCATTCTCGGACTTTCCGTCACCCGAGTGGTTTATGGCGAGAAATGCGGAGGTATTAGATCATATTTACTTGCTAGTTTTATTGCATCTCGTGAGTTTTTACGAAATGTGACCATATTATTGGGCAATCTCTGGGTTTTTTACGAAAGCATGTCTAGACAGGTATCAAAACTAACGAGAGCGATCTGAGTTTTAACTCAATTCAACATGTCTGGTTAAAGTGTGCTTCCCCATTCATGACACATTGCTCTGTATTTTAACATCAGAAGGGAGAAGATATATCATGCAGGATTTTTTCGATTATACAAACAAAATAAGGTTTTCATTTACCATTGAAAAAGCGTGCTCAGTTTGAGGATGGATCAAACGCTCGACCGCGTGAAACTTGAGCATACTTCAGAGAGAAACTAATTGCTGTGAATGATATACCTTCCTTTAAGATAATTTTCATTTTCCAAATGAAACATAGCCTTAAGCTTAATTTTCTTTTCGAGAGCGATGAAGTGGGAAATGGGGCCGGCGAGCTCGCGAAGAAGGCTATCGGTGGTTAGGTACCTAACCTTTTAATTGAAAATTCTCTGTTTATGCATGAGACCGCAATTACTAGCTCGAGCGTGTGCTTAAATTAAAATTTAAGTCAATAGGATCGCTAAATACCCTCTTTAATTCATCCGCCATAGTATTTCTTCAACTTTCCTTCGAATGATTTATTGAGATCGAAATGGATTACCCCGAAAAGGCGAGATGAAGAGCCAGATTTCGAGGTAAGAGAGGCGTCGTGACCAGTGAGTTGTTGGATGCACGTGTTATTAGCAATCGACCTTCCCGTTCGATTGAAGAGTAAGCCAGCAGTTTTTATCTATGAAATATTTATTCATTCCATATCCATAACACTGGATTAAAGTAATGAATCTATTATTATTTTAACAGTAATAATGAGATTCTCTCTCGTTTATTCGCGTTATAATTTGCGGTTTTAAACGAATTTGCCAGATAAAGAAAGGCTCTACTCTAGTGAGCTCGGCTCACTTCAAACCAGAAGATATGTATATGACTATGACTGGGCTTTACACGTCTAAAACATCGCAGTTTGCATAGACCAAGAAGGATAAAGAGCGCCGACAAAACAAATTGTAGGAATTAAAAAAATTTTGCGGACCAGCAAGCAGAAGAGAAGCGACGTCAATTCTTTGTCAATTCAATCCGGTTCAATAGTCGTAAAAAACTGCTGGCTGTTGCGTGCAAAAAATTCGATCCAAACCGCAAACCGCGTACACAAAAATTCGATCCAAACCGAAAACCGCTCGCAAAACCGTGAAAACCGGTAAATATTCAAATCCCAGTTATCAAAACCCAAATCGATCCGATACAGTTGTGACAAGCGGAGCATGCAGAGGTTTCGCAGCTATTCGAGATCAGTGGAGGCGCATAATTGCCGCTCATATCGAAGATAAACCGCAACCCAAATAGGAAAAACAGAAAACCTTATCGGATTCAAATCCGAAAACATATCTGTATTTTTTTACGAAAACCGAAAACCAGCTGCTGCAAAACGGAAAATCCGCAAACCGAAATAAACACCGAAACAAAAAGAGTGTTTCAAGTTATTTAGCATAAGAACCGAAAAACCAGTCTCATAAATAACCACGAGATATGCAAATTAAAATAATCTGTCAATTTATTTCGGTTAGGAAAGGAAGCTGCGGCGTCTCTGTTGGACTCTCTCGTCTGTGTAAAGGCTTCTTAGTGTTTCATCGTTTCTTTTTCCAACCTTTTTACCGTGTGGGAAAATAGGCCGCTGGAAGAGCTAGAGTGACGCGAATGACATTAAGAGGGTACAGCTGCCGTTTTTTGTTTGTCACGCAACATCTCTTTACTCACAAATTCTGTCAGTGCAGATTAGACGAGCATTAATAAGCGCGCGTGGCTTCTTATATTGCCCAAAGTGTTTTCCCGTTTCAACGGAATAAAAACGTAGAGGAGTATTAAGTGAAGAAGAAAATTGTATGGTTAAATGTAGGAGGTTAACACGGTGCAAAGAAGAACGAAAAGTTGGGCTTCACTTTAGACATACAAATTTTTATCAACTGCAAGTCAAAAGTAACATTCAGTCAAAATTGTTTGTTAAATCTTTGTGTGCAGATGTTTTTGACGATTTACCCGCATCTTGCTGTCCCGCAAAGTACGTGGATGTCTGTTGTCCGTTTGCAAAACCGTGTAACGCCTTAGCAGTGACACCTACTCCTAGTATGATGACATCAAGTCCAACGCAGAGAAGCGGGGGAAAACCGTTTTGTATGAAACCTCAAAATTCGTCAGCCTGTGAGGCTGGATTTTTCTTCAACAAAAATTTGAAGAGACTCGAACCCTGTCCTGATGGTAAGTTTGTAGTTTCCTGATGACATTTGATCATTTTGCCATCCCGGAAGTGGGAAGTCGCAACAACTTACGGTTGTTTGTTATAATGAAATATAGTCAGCAGCTTCATAGCAATGTCCAAACGCGGGAAATTCATTAAAATAGTGATTTTTTTTCGCGGTTTGTGGAGAAGATCTATTTACTATCAATATCCTAAGTGCGGTCATGGAATGGTTGGTACAGTGGGAAGGGGGAGGGTGGGGGGTGCGGGGGAAAACTACTTCCCATTCATTCTCTTCAATGAAATCAAAACAATGTTATCACAACTTGCAAAGCAATCCCATTGGAATCTATCAGCGGATAGCTCCATTGCAGACAAGAACTACGTGTTATCAAGGAAAAAAATGGCGGTTAACTAAGAAAATAACTCAACCAGGCTGGATATTCTGTTTAAGCATCCCAAGATGCTTTCCGTTTTGTAACGAACTTCAGGTTGGGATCAAAACTTGTTTAGTTTATTACTGTCGTCTCTGCTGATTTCTGCTGACAGATTTAGGTGGGCCTTTGCATTGTGACACTCGCAGAACCAAATTGGTTATTAAGGATTTTCAACGATTTATGTTTGCGTAGTTACAAGTTACATATTATTTCATACGTTTAGAGAGAAAACAGTATTTTTTCCTCGTAACCCGCTATTACAGATTCTCGCTATTGCGCACACTAAATCTACCCCACCTCCCCCCGGGTGTCCGCAATAAAGGGAGTCGACTCTACACAGTTTTACTACGATTGAAGTTTCAGACCGATGTAGAAAAACAAAGGTAGGAGTTATTCACGACTAATTTCGCACGTAAAGGATTTGAGCGAGACTACGGACAAGCCTGTGAATTGACCGCTTTGCAAGTCATGCCGTTTCTCGGTCTCAGACTTCGTCGCTCCCCACCCCCACCCCTCCTCCTCTTGGGTTGATGAATTAGATATAGAAGAGGCAGCGCAATGATGAAAACCAAATGTTCTCATGATCTCATAAAAGGGATGAATTCAACTCTCAGAAAAAACACAATTAAGGCGAAAAGTCATCTGTCGGCTTGAAGTAAGAATCTACCGTAAAGTTGATGAAATATTGACTTTATGAATGTTTTCAGGCTTCTATTGTCCCCAGGACCAACTCTGTATCATACCATGTCCAAAGGGAGCATACTGTGTCAGGGATAAAATAGTTAACGCCACGGTAAGTTTTACATGATCTTATTCAACACAGAGTGGGAGAAGCGGTGGACTAAAAGTTAGTGTGTTGGACTCTGGGTCGAGAAGTTTGAAACTGGCTGGGTCTTTGGGGCAAAACAGTTTAATTTTATGGTGTCCTTACAACCCAGAGATGTGAGTGGGTACCGCGGCGAATTGTCTTGAGCTAAAATCAGTTTCCAGATAAAGGCCAAAACAATTTCGACTTCTTCTCACTCGTGGGTGGTGGCTGGATTTAACTGGAAGGGGGGGAGGGGGGGGAGGGGGTTGCCAAAGTGATATTTCATAAAGTATTCATGCAAGAACTACAATGCTAATGAGGTTTGAGTCTGATAACACACTTTTGCCAACGTTTATGAAACCAGTGTCACTTGAGGTTTTTTCAATTGTAGATTTACGCTACTAAATGCTCTGGTCTGAGCCCGTAGTGTGTTCGGTTCATGATGAAAAAAGTCATCTTATTTTCTAGAAAAAATCACCCCAACTGTGCCGCGAGAGTGGAAAATGCTGCAGCCCTTCTCAGTCCATCCCTATCTTTGATTCTTCTAAGTATATTTGCCCTGGAGCCCAGCTTCCAGTTCCCTGTCCTCCAGGTAACTATTGCCCAAACGTCACCATTCAAAAGACGTGTCCAAGTGGATATTTCTGTCGGAATGGAAGCGTGGAACCTCAAGACTGTCCGGTAAGAGTAACTAATCTTGTTACATGTAGTCGGTAAAAATCACAGTATTATTCGATAGTGTACATCCGTAGGTATCTCCTAAGTGGTAACAGCCGTTAAAGACAAATGCGAGATGAACGGGATTTTTTAAGGCTATTTGTCCATGTGAAATCCAAGTCCAAAACTATGGACATTGTATATGTTTATGGATATACTACAATCTCAGAATTAGTTCGGCTAATTGTTACTCCGTACTTCTAATATGAATATCGATAGCAAATGCTAAGACTGTAAGGCAAACTAGGTAATGCTCTCAAGATGCATCCTTGTCATGAATGCTATGCATTATATGGATTTAGTTCGTTAACTAGGAAGGAATCGTCGCAACTAGATTTAAGGAGGAACAAATTTGTGCCTTCTGTGGCTTTACAGGTAAACTATTTCACGGCGCCAAACACCTTTCTAAGTGAAACTGTCTTTGGTAAGATTGGTTCGGGGCAGTGAGTGTCAGATTTTGCTGTCCACGTCGAAGCTGCAATACTTATCCCAGTTGTTTTTGCATCTGCGTGAAGCAAAAATTACCATAGGGAATATCAATTCATCTTATATCGTTCATTTGCATTTTATGGCAGAAACATGTGGAAGATGCCTTCCCTGTCTTATTTTGGTCTATTTTCAGATTCTCTCCATATGCAAGAAAGGGTCTTCAGCTCCTGTCAGCGCTCCTGGTGGTGTTTTACTCATCTTTGCAATATTGCTGGTGATGCTGTTGCTTTTGCTTTGTTTCAACCACGAAGAAAATTTTATAGAATGGTGTGAACGTTATGTAACAAAGAGACTCTTCGCAAAGCGACGGTCAAGAATGGAAGAGGATATCGGGAGGAACACTTTGGATAAATACCGAGAGGAGGCGGAGCCCAAGACACAAACCATCACCATTCGTTTTCAAAACCTTAGCCTCTCTCTTAAAAAGGTAACTACCTGGTTGTGAGATGGGAGAGGGGAGGGAAGGAGGTATTTTGTTATCAATCTCAAAGGAACGGTCAATCTCATGTACGAATGTTCGCCAAAGGTTATTTTTCTCACTTCCGAGTCCGGAACGCTATTAAGTCAAGTACTATCGGCAGAAAAAATGCTACTGTGGTTAGTGCTACTGCTACTGCTACTGCTATTATAATAGATATGATAATAGTAATGATAGCATTGGTAATGAAAATAATAATAATATAAAAATGATATCATCATCATCTTGTTATTCGTATTATTCATTAATTTATTTTGTTTAGTTTTGGCGCCAAAGTACTGCAGGGGAACTTGTTAACACTTAAAAAAAATTCGGCGCGAAGGCGCGCCACGAAAAATAAAAACCATGCAATTAATGGGATATATTTCGAAGGACTGTACGTTAAAGTAAGATTTTCTGCATGCGTTGGAGAGTAAAGGAAGAATTTATGCTTGGAACATATTTCAATTGGAGCGTAATCTTTAGTAAAAGGAGAATACTAAAAAATGAGTCAGAGCTTACTCCTAAAAATATTTGACACCACGAACATTGTAGGTAATAGGATTTTTATGTACTTATGCGTTGTGTGTTGTTTTCTTCATTTTAACAGACAAAAGTAGCCATTCTTCAAGGCGTGTCCGGACAACTCCTACCTGGGGAAGTAACTGCGGTAATGGGTCCCTCAGGATCCGGCAAAACAACGTTCCTCAATACCCTTAGTGGAAAAGCCTATTATGGGGTTGGTCTTCCATGTGAAATAAGTGTAACAAAAATACTCTCGTTGAAGCTTAAAATTCGAGTGAATTGTGCCAATTATTGACTTCAGCACTCTTGAGCTCAAGGGTGTGATCAGTCTCTGGATGCTGTAGAAATTGACGCATTCTTAGGTACTATCAGGGCTTTACTTTCCCTTGGTGTCCGGAACTGAAGATGGTCTGATAGTATTAAAGTTATTGGAATCATCCTTAAAAACGGCCATTAGCAGTATAAGGGACGGCTGGATGGTTAGTTCTTTGCAGGAGCCTTTAGCTGATAGAATCCGATCGAGGAAAACTAAATATTTCCTTCATTTAAAGGGAAAGCATGTCATTGCTAGCCTGCGGAAAATACTATTTTAGGCCTTTTTGTTGTTATTATTTTGCAGTTGAGACTAATATTTACAATACCACAACTAGAAAATTTACTGTTGCGACAATGCAATCACTAGTTATGGCATGCGTGTTTAAATTGCGGTGTAAACCTATTGTGACTTCAGGAGCGTGAAAGTAATCGACTTGATGAACAGAACTAAGATTTAAGAGAGATCTGGGAAAACGATACAACATACTCTTAGAAAGCATTGGGGTTCACTTAGTTAAACAAATTCAAGGCCGCTTACTGCAGTTTTTTATTTCTGTTTTCAGAAACGCGCGGGTAGTCTCTTCATCAACGACAACTTTGTACAGGACTTGGGTGTTTTCAGAAACATCACGGGATTTGTTCCGCAGGTTAGTTTTGCGTCAGAAACAAGGAAGCAACTGCTTAGTTTTTTCTATCGGTGTGCTATCGTTCAAGAGGGCCACCACCGTACCCAACAAATTGATCGACAGTCAGCGCTACAAACGGCACAAACGGAAAAATACCGGTCGCATTCCCTTCGCTCGAACATTTCACCGTTACAACCACGCAATTAGATCTTTCTCCTCAAAAACTTTAAATTACTTCAAAACGATTCAGAGACTCGCACTATCTTCTTGCAACCTCTAACAATTTCATTCAAACACGACAAAAACATTTTGGTCAGAAGTTCATTTCAAACCAATGACCAACATGGAACTTTTAAATACAGTAGCTCACGATGCAAAACCTGTCCTTTCATTCATAACGTAGAGAAAATGTCGCGACCCAAGAGATCTATTAAGATCACTGATCACTTCACGTGCACCTCCGCCAATGTCAACTATTGTATAACTTACATTCACTACAAGTAGTTATACGTGGGTGAAACAGGAAGGCGATTAGGTGACCGATTCCAAGAACACCTTCGCGACGTAGATAGAAATGACAAGGACGCACCCAAACCAGTCGAAGCTAATCTCCCCTGATCATTGTTAGCAAATTGACAGTTTGTGGCCTTTCCTTACATCTAGGTAGAACAAAAATTTATTTCTCAAATTAGCACTCCTAATTTCCACTGAATCAACGAGCGCTTTTCATTCAGTTATTTTATTCTTATTTTCTCGTCATCACGTTCCCACCAATAGCTTAGCTCCATTTTCTTCCTATAAACACACGCATCCACAATTCCTCCATTCGCTCCGATGAAGGGCTAACGCTCGTAACGTCAGCTTTGAAACTTTTTACCGGGGCCAATTTACGTTATAAATTCATTTGGTAATACCAAAATTACCCTTTTACACTTTCCCACCGACGAAGAAGCACGTAAGGAACCTGCCCTATTTATTGATGTAGATCTCAGATTTTGAATTATGTTTCCGTTAGCGTTCACTTACACTTGGTTACAATAAATTGAATTTCGTTCGATTACTCTCTGACTTTCCTTGAACGAATTATTTTATGTTTTAATCCCCAAAGAGCAAAGTTGTTTCTTTGAAGGAATACTTAAAGCTGCTTCCTTTATTAAAATTGGTATCAGATTGGCCCTATAGTTTTGCAGACATGTTAACGATGACGAAAATTTTGACTGTTCTGATAACTTTGCGATTGTAGCTCAATGCTATGATGGTACCTGAAAAAAAAAGAGTCCTACCCTTCATACAGATTTCTAGGTTAAAAAATTTGTAATTTTGGAAAAAAAACGCGTAAGGATTGGCCATAGTTGATTAGAACAATTGTTGCTTACTAATGAATCATTGTACTCTCTCCTTAAGTTCGCACATAACACGCGGGTGGTACGTGGACAAGAAAACATCAACAACTGTACAGTTTTAATTGCTAAAGTTGAACTTATAAACTCAAAACAGTTCATTGCGTTTTGTTTTAAACTCACTAATGTGAGTGATAAAGAACCTTTTAAGATAACACAAATAGCTCGGTTAAGGTAGCATTCAACTTTTTCAAATAAACAATTCTGAAAGGTTAAGTTCGCGCGTGCTATGCCGAAAAACAAGCTTGACTTAACATAAGTTCACACATGAGGCAAGGATTGAACGCTCGCACATTAACACGTGGTTTTCACTCTAATCGTAGTAAGCATATATACGCTTAACACAGAATTATGTCATGGAGCGAAGTCACTTCTGTATGGAGCGAGGTAACTTTTATTGTGGAGAGATCAACTTTGGTTGGAGTAAAGTGACTTGAAGTGATCTAGCCATGGAGAGAAGTGATCAGATACCGTTAACGAGTTAGCATTTGTGAGAATTTTCAAGTCTTAGCCACAGAAAGAAGCCAAACGTAATATATAATTTAGTCCAGAGATGGGTTAAGTTGTATATAATAAAATGCTTGGGACAATTCGAGTTATTGCTGCAGTGTTTGAAATTAGACTGAAACAGAATATGATTCAAAGCAAGGATATAAAGGAAACTTCTGTGTCAGGCAGCGTAAGGAATTAATCCTGTGCTCATCCACAATATATGCTTCTATTAAACTTGTACTCTTTTTCCTTCAGGAAGATATCATGCACAGATCACTGACAGTAAAGGAGATTTTGATTTATCAAGCAAATCTCAGGTTGCCATCCTCGATTTCCCAAGAAGAAAAGAAAAGAAAAGTCAACGAGGTATGTCGCCGATTAAACTCTTGTATAGTACTGAAACTGAATAATGCTAATAAGAGACCTGTATAGGTAAGCTCGTTCTACATAACACACTTTACCGTTAAATCAAATAATAAAATTGAAACAGTAAAATCGACCCTTTTGATTTGGCAGGTCCTGGCTCTTCTTGATTTGGCGCACGTCAAGAATACAAAGATTGGAGACGAGGTATGGGCTTTCTAAAGAGAAAAACGCTTGCCAGTGTGAGGACCAACTCTTGATTATTCAGTATATTATCATGACACCATTACAACGAATTACTGTGGCCGCAACTCGCTGTTGAAAACAGCATCTCGCCTTTACAGCTTCGAATTTGTATGGCTTCTATCTATTGCCGGTTCGAGTTTTACGTGTAGATGTGTGTCATTTTCGTTGGATTAATTTAGTCTAGTTTTGTTTATTTGCTTGTCTAATTGTTCTGTTTTATTTATTTATTTATTTTTACTGTCTTACTAGGAATCAAGAGGCATTTCTGGAGGGCAAAGGAAACGCGTCAACATAGGAATGGAATTGGTGACTGACCCGACGTTGCTTTTTCTTGATGAGCCGACGAGGTAGGACATTTCTTTAGCGAGTTGTTGCATTTGATACTGATATTCCTTTTAGGTTTCTCTTAAGGTGATGAAACAGTTGATGGTATTTCGAATCCTCAGCCGCTGAAGGCACATCAAGGCAAAATATCATGAGTCGTTACCATAGGTCTCCAGTGTCCCTTTTTTACCTTCATAGTCGTCTGATTATGCATTCTAAGGCTTTGATATTAAGGTGCTTCCATTTTGGATTCATTGAACTCTGCACTTCCTTTGTTGTTTCTTTTGCAGTGGTCTGGACAGTACTTCAAGTTTGATGGTTGTGAATACGTTGAAGGCCGTAGCTGAAGAAAAGAAACTGACAATTGTTTGCGTCATTCATCAGCCAAGATACGAAATATTCAGTAAGTCTGAATTGCAAATTGAAACAAGTTTAATTTTTCTCCTCTAATCTGTTTGCCGCCTCAAAACGTAGACAGAAATACCTTTGTGATTCCAATATTTGATGAGGGTAGAAACAGAATCAGCGAAACGATTCTTTGGGTATAAATTGTTTCTCTATTGGAAATATTCTTACAACCTAAAATGTATAATTCAACCCCTTTTTCTGGTTGTCGTGTTCCAGTTTTCGTTTTTTTGTAGGTAAATTCCACAAAGTTCTCTTTCTTGCGCCCGGTGGACAAACCGTCTTCCTAGGAAGTGTACGAGAGGCAGAAAACTACTTTGATACGCTTGGATTTCAAATACCTGAGAAGGTGAACCCAGCAGATTTTTACATGGATGTCATCGGCGGATTGTGTAAGGGCTCTGAGGAATCAACTGGTACTTTATCCGAGCGTTGGGAGGAGTTTACTGCTGAAAATGACACGGGCGCTGAAAACACCGACTCTGCTGATGGGAGTCGGGCAGTTCCAGATGACGGGATAGAGCAACTGCCTTTTACATCTTTTCTGGGAATGTTTAGGAGAAACCCAAATAAAGGTACTCAGCGATTTCCAAAGGTATTACAAGTCTGTTCCCCGCGATCAATGATAATTAATTGTGGCCTAAATCAATCGATATTAACCCTTTAACTTCCAGAGGTGATTAACATAAAACTTCTCCCGACAACATCCATACATTCTTCAGCAAACAGGTAATGAGGATATTCAAACTTATCAGGTAGAAGCTGCTATCTTGATCTAGCACCGAGTTCTCGTAACTAATTTACAAGGAAATGTGTAGCAGCTACAGGGGAGAATTAACAATCAGATCTTGGGAGTAAAAGGTTCAATCGATGTTTTTCAGTCAGTTTGTATGCATGTATCTGCCGATTGATTAGGAATCGTCCGTGGCAATTAGAAATCTCTCATTCAAAGCTATTTATACTGTCAGCGATTCTTCGCATTCGCAACGATATCTCGCGATCTATGCTTCTACTTCTTAGCGGAGAGTTTACTTCAGAGTTGAGTTGACTTCAGTTGTTGATTGCTGGTATTAAGGAAGGATCCAAACAGAAAGGAACGAATACATGAAGTGACTACTAAGTTACCATGGGAAATAGAAATCGCTTACAGTCGACATGTTGAAACGGGTTCCAATTCCGTTGAAGCCTAACTTTTTTCAGGCTTCTTTAGGGCAATCTCTTTAATTGCAGCACAACTGCGAGGATCATTTCTTTACTTCTGACTCGACATGTTGAAAGTTGATGAAGCCTTACATCGATACGATCTGTTAATTAATATCATGGTGGATTAGTCTGACTGGGCGCGCAGCTGCAACTTTGGGAACTCGTCTTACAGTCTGTGCCTGAAAAGGAAATAGCCTGATGATGGTCGTCAGCAGTTCGTTGAACGTTGCGGACCATTCAAATTCCAATGTCTCACGTTTTTGTAATGTTCAACTTCATATTATATTTGACCTTCCCTCTCTTCAACGAGACTTACTTGCTTTAGTAGAAGGTGATCGCCCTTTCAATTTTCATTTTCAGATCAAGACAGGCAGATGCCCAACTTCTTGATTCAGTTCATCACGTTTCTTCGTCGTGAGATTCGACTGCAGTTTCGTCTGTCACGATCACTTCTTCTGGATCAGTTCTTGGTGTTACTTGCAGGGGGTACCCTTGGGGCCCTTAGGAAGGAGGTTAGTTGGCATTTATGTAGACAGTATTTAACATTTTGCAAATAAGGATCACTACTGCTGGTGTGATACATTGCGCGCAAAATGGTTTTGACTAAGAGCGCCGTTTTTAAAATTTTTCATATATCTTAGTCTCAGAGAGATTTGTTGCTAAAGGTTAAAGTGCAACGCAAATTAACATTTCTTGGAAAGAAGCAAGGGTCCCAAAAGTCAAGATATTTTAAATAACTGTGATAGCCAAGTTGTCGTCAGTAACTGAATATTATCACAGCACCGATGCTTAGCTTCTCGCACTAGGCGAGATTTGTAAAACTTCCCGCGCTAAACATTGAATCCCAGAGTACCTTTTCTACATTCTTTGTATTCTTTCTATCTTAGGTGATGACTCGTCCAACTTGAAAATACCTTTTTTCTTTCTATCACCAGGCTCCCCTTGACGAATTCTTCACTCTCGTCACCCTGAGCTCCTTAGCAATTGGTCTGACCGCTATGTTATCTGCGTTGAGATGTTTTGGTAGCACCAGGACTACTTTCTGGCGGTAAGGGGTAGAGAATTGTGTTTCTTGATCTGTGTGAATAACGATTCGAAAAAGACGATCGACGATGACAGTAGAGACGAAAATGTAGAGGACGACGGCGACAATGAAAATGACGAGAAAAACGGACATTTAAACGACACGTTTTTGGCGATAACGGCTAGGGCGACGACGAAACAATTCGGAAGACGACAACGACGGTGACGATTAAAATGGCAACAAAAACGAGATGGCATCGAAGACGAAGTGCAGCGACGAAAACGTAAACGACAACGAAGACAGGTAAGAAGACGGTGGATATGGATCCTTTCTTTTTCGATATGTGAACAACAAAGAGAAAATTTTTTAACTTTTTGGGAAAAAAAATTGGACTTCCACGTTCCAGAGACATAATTAGGAGAAGAATCTGACTGGAACGTATCGATTTTCTTGGAAATATTTGGAAATCGCATCTTTCATTAAGCTGTTGGAATGTGAGTGGTTTACTAATTACTTTTATTCCTATTTGATCTTCATTATCAACTTTACATTGCAGTGAAGCCGCAGCTGGTGTCAACAGGATAAGTTACTTTGTGGCTGTCAATGTCGCTCAGATTCCCATAATCGTCATCACTCCTGTTGTTTATTTGAGCCTGCTGTACCCACTGATTGCACCGAGAGGTAGAAATCGATGTGGTTTTATCTCATAGGCATGGGTTTTCATGACTATTAGAATAGTGCGGGCCTCTGTTTTTCTCTTTCCTGTCAACCTGATAATTTTTGAAGGTTCTCTTTGTACTTTCTTTCAATTTTTTCCCCTTGCGGCGTCTACAAACGTCCGTAGTCGACCAAAGTAGTAGTGTCCGTTAGTGCGATATTTGACGTAAGGCCAGAAAGTCAGAGAATGTTAGGTTTGAGGCCGGGAACTCGCACAGCATGAGATAATAGGGACCTTAAGCAGTCAGAACAGCAACGCCAAGGAAGACTTCGATTAAAAAATGAATTTCTGCCCTAAATTAGAATTTAAAAAATGGCTGCATTTGTTTACCGTCTCAAACAGCGCCACACCTAAAAATAATTTGCCGTCGCGGTTTCGTTTCGCAGACGACGCAGATTGTGGAGATTTCACGATGTTGTTTTGCATAGGACGGCTAAGAAATGTAGAAAGTTTTAAAACGCACGTGCTGAGCTATTGTTCTGCCAATTAGTTCTTTTGTTTTTCCATGTCCTTGTTGTCGTCGCCGTCGTGGTTTGCTTAAGGTCCCTAATAAACAGTTCATGACCTCTTGCGCACAATTATACCTCCCTCCACCCCTCTTTACCTTTCAAACTTAGATCTACGTGTCTGTTCTAATTTTTCTAAAAATTGTTTTCTTAGCTTACTTCCGATTTCATTATGCCGCCACTCTTGGAGTTCAGTTCGCCTGCACCGGAGCGGGATACTGCATATCCGCTATCTTCAGCCCCAAAAACTCACAGATGGCATCTGTTACTTTTGCACTCATTTCTTCTCTTGTGGCAGGTAAACAAAGGAAAGGTTATCATGACAAATAGTAATACGAGGGGGAGGTAGAAGAGGGATAGACAATAGAGAATGGAACTTAAGAAAATTTGTATTGATGCGTCACGTTAATCAATTTGACTTCGCTGCTTTGAGTTATTGTATTGGTTTGCTACCTTTGGGTTACTGGACATTACTTATCGCCTGAGGAAGAGGGTGGAGAATTTTGGGGAGATCGTATGTTTAAGGGGGAGGCGGAGGGCAGAGGGAAGAATCAGTCCTCGCCAATAAGGTGGGGGGGGGGGATTAAGAAAATTGACCTCAAATGAGGGGAGGGGGGTCATGAGAATAAAACGGAGCCTTAAAGGATCAAGTAAATTTCATCGTGGCAAAACCATAATCCTCCCACCCCTTCCCCCCTCTCCCGGCGGTGAATAATCACCGGCCTTACTGAAACAGAGGAAACTTCTCGTCAACTCTGTCTCGAATATGACGAAATTATGAGGAAAGTCCTAGTTGCTGATAATTACTTGCGCTAAAAGTTCAAATCTAGGACATTATATTGTTTCGGATTCGGTGTCTGGGCAAACAAAGTTTAGAGCGATACCGAAGGCAACCCATCGTAAACCAAGCCAAACGCAACCGAGCTTTTAAAAATTTACCAGAATGTCTGTTGCGTACGCTTTTGACATAGGCAAAAACTCTTTAAAATCTTAACAATTTGTCCACGTGATCGACTTGCGATTATGCATGAGTTGGCACTCCTACAATGTAATATTTGCCAGGCGCGATCGTGGAACAATTTATTTAAATGTCGTTACTAATTATTTTGCAATACCAATTTCATGCTGCTGAGTGTTTCTTGCCCTCACCCTGCTCTGCTGCCGGTTTTCTTCGTAAATTGACATAATTCTATTTCTATCTCGCACTGAATATGCAGGCAGTTCTCCTTCACTGTGTAAAATGGCAGAGAGCGCGCTGGGTCCAGTGATCTACAGCCTGTCTTACTGCCGCTGGTACCTGGAGGCGCTGTTTGAAAAGGAAGCTATTCGTTACCCAGAAGTCATGGCGGGCTATGTGCATAGGCTATCGACAAGGAATGGTTATACACTGGATAACTACAGCTCTTGTGTAGCAGTCTTGTTTGCCATGGGATTTGCTTACCGATTGCTGGCTTTGTTGTTCATGTTGTTTACAAATAGGGGGAAGCAACATTAGCTGCATCTTGTTGTTCGAGAAATCTGGAGGAAAGCGTGTTATTGTTAAACTTAAGGGTGGCTTTAAATTAGATAATTAGATTGAATTTTTTTGCGTATGTCCTGTGATATTGAACGCAAGAAAAGGAATTAGACGAAAGAGCCAGCTTGTGCAAACATTATTTTGTTGTCAGTTGAGAGTATTCATTTCTGTTTTGTTGATGTTTTTTTTTCGCTAGCGTGCTCGAAGGTGCCATATTTGTTTAAATTGTTAGGTGTCCTGCCAAGTGTCTGTTGTGATGTACACACAAGGCTTAAAATGACTATGCTAAGAGATTTAGAGGTCACCTCTGTTAGCTCGAAAGTCAGAATCACTATTGTCTAATTTTAATCACAAGAACGCCTAAACCTGTGAAAATTTAGGCACAGTGAAAAATGCCAGGTTTCATAGAAGCGTATAGGAACTTTATACTATTAAACGTTCCTCAGTAGCTGATTTATAAAAGTATACTCTCCAACTCAAAGTAATGGTCTCAGTTAACCTATGTTGTGTTGGCACATAATTTTAGATTGGTGTAAGGAGCTTTTTTAAGCATCTGATTTTAACTTTTCATGTTATGTTTATTGTTCTCCGTGCAGTAGGTTTGAGTTGAGTGAACTGCAAGTTGTCTCGGTGTAATAAGTATAGTGATTATAAAACCGATAGCTAAAGACTTCAAGAGTCTATAGATACTTTGTGCACCGCTCACTAACGGAAGGACCTTTAATAATCATTGAATGAGTCCGTGTTAAATAAAATTGTGTTGTTGATTGTCTTCGTTACGTGATGCAGTTGGGTCTTTCTGGGGAAAGGGGGCTAACATAGTCGTAAAGATCCCCTCGCTCAGTTACGCCTTCGAAGTATTTCTTCTCGTTTGTAAATAAGACTCTTGCAATTCTTTACGCATCGTTTAAGTGATCGCAGTGAAAGACAACCAACATTGAAATAATCTTGTAATAGCAAATTAAAGCAGAGTAAGGTTGTTGTTGCTGTTGTTTTTTTTTAATGAATTTCAATTTTCTTTTTACGGTACACGCAATCGGGCATGGGAACGGATATTTCTGATTCCAAGATCTCGGAGACCTTTTAATTCTTTAAAGTCTACTCAAGAGTCCACAGTATTTTAAGAAATTTTGAGGTCAATTGATACCTTTTGCACTGCAAGTAAACACAGAGTGTTGATTAATGGGTGAATCAGTCTGTCAGATAAAATTGTGTAGTTTTTGTCGTTGTTTCCTGATGCACTAGCGTCTTTCCAGGAATTTGGCAGGGGAGGGGATCCTCCCTGTGAGAATAAGACGGAGAATTACGCCTTTGACGCATTCTTTCTCGTCTGTAAGGACGACTCTTATAATCCAGCTTCACGCCTCCGCTAAGCGCTCTAATTGTGAGATCTCAGAGACTTTAGACGGCTACTGGGTATAATATTGATAAAGTCTCGCTTCTTAACCTCGTTTTTATTTCATTAGAACGAACACACGCGACATTTTTTCCTGTCAAGCATCGTTCTGTTCTGGAGTGGTTATAACTGTTACTTGATTAGTCCCTGTAGTCTTGATGTCTTTGGTGTTTGGACTAATAAACTTCAATCACGTCAGCTTTAAAATTACTTCGGTCCTTTTCTTATATATTTATATTCTTCTTTAGTTATATTTGCATGCCATGTTTCTATTTATATCAAAGCTCGTGGTGGTCGTTTTGCTCAACCCCATGGTGCAGCCGGCCTGAGGGAAAGAAAACTGACAAGTACAATGTTTCTTGTCACATTCGGATCGTTCTTAACTTTCCTGCCGCTTGTGATATTCTGGGGTGAAGCAGCTTTTGATTTTAAACTACTATACAGCCTTCCCACCAATTATGCTTTTCACATTCTAATGGCGGTGTTTTCATTTTATGTGCTCAACTCGCTAATAAATCCTATAATTTAAGCCATACGGATGCCAGAATTTAGAGCAGGTATGTTACAAGTAATATTTCGTAAGACTCTACGCCGCTTGAACCCGGTCATTTCCACAGAATCAGCAACAACAGGAAAATTTAACAACCGTTAAGTGACTCTCATTTACTCTTGTTCCCAGTCTTTGAAAGAATTTTTTTGATATACCTAGGTCTGGAAAAAGATATAAGTGTTCCATGAGATCACATTGGTATCCAAACTTTTTAACTGTACCTTACCTTGGCAGAAGAGAGGACCAATTAATGAATTCCTCTCCTATTGAAACCATGTAAGATGTTTTGAGGCTGAAACTTTGTGGCAGTCACAAAATTACCATTAAGTGATCTTGTCAAAAGTTTAGGATAACGAGAGAAACGTAAATTCCTCGTCTCCCATGGCTTCCTTACAATCATACGAACAGGCAGGCACTCATTTAGTTGACATCCAAATGCTTTGTTAGGGTGGACCGTAAGCGAAAATCAACAAACCTTCACTATTCCGGTGCCAATAGACGACTAAAACTAAACTAATGTTCTTCATACCATAGGAGGTGGATGGGGCTTAAAATTTAGCGCAAGCGCAAGCTACAAAGAATCTGTGGCACAAATGTCGTCAGGAGAGTACCTGTACATCATTTCGCAGGCTCAGTGCCGTTATTATTTCAGCAAAATGGACGACACAGATCCCCCTCCTTTTCATCCAGGGTTTGTAAGCTGGGCGAAGAGACTATCCAACTGAAACGGTAGCAATGATGCAGTCTTTGAGTTCATCAAATATTAAGGAACTCGTTAGCTGTCAGAGGTTACGTTTGGAGCGCGATTCATGAAGAACCATAAAATGAGTCAAACAAAGTACTCAGGGCTCAGGAGCTAGAAAATTAGTGTAGAAGTACAAGCCAGCTATTCAGGGACCTTCAGTATTGGAGGGGATTTTCAATGGACTCAGAGCAAAGATCTGCTTTTCACAACATTCAGAAGTCTGTGGGAATAAGCACAATCACTGTAGGAGCAGCTCCCCCGAGCAACGGTGATGCTATAACGTGGGCTTCCTCTGTCCAAGAGAATCCAGTTCCAATAAAGTACACTCTAACGCCCATCCATAACCTGTTTACTGAGAGATATTCCAAGCGTCTTCCTGATGTTAACTTGGATGTTGTGCGTGAGATGATCAAGAATGCCTCACAATATTATTGCCAAACTCTAAAAAACGAGGGACGGGCAGATTCGTGTGACGACGACATTCATTTGGGCATTTCACTGGAAAACATTGGAGTAACGACTTTTGGTAATGTTGCCGAATTTATTTTGATTGTTTGTTTTTGCACCATGAGACATAAAGTAGCCAATGAAATCGCGGAAAAATTAATGGGCGGGTTATAGCGGCCGAAGTCAGGGAATAAGTTGTAGGTTAGCTGTTAGTTAGAACATTTTGGTCTCAGACTTGCAACTGATATGTTAAATTTAGGATTTTAAGAATAAGCTACATCGGGGTTATTTGGGTTGAGCACTTGCAAATAGCTGAAACTGACGTTCATGTTTAGCAAAAGTAAGAGAATCTTGGGAAAACATCAAATGGCGCAGAAGTAGTTTTTAGCGCGATTTAACCCCCCTGTCTCATTTCCATGTAAGCCATAAAAGTGTGTACTACCTCAAGGGGTCTTGAAGCCGTTGTGTTCTGAAATTGGGTATAAATTGCAAGAATCAGGCGGTCCACCCTTGCCAAGAATGAGAGGTTTACCCACTCTCCCATACGAGGATAAATTACCGTGTTGTGGATCGTAATAGCTGTACTACTTTGTAAACCAGTTACGGTATTTTCATTAAATCATTGTATTTTTAAAGAAATGTTATGCAGTTTTGCACTGGAAGTATTACATTAGTAGAGTAAATGATATCAGGCAGAATACGTAGACATAATTAATTATTCAAAACCGATAAAGCGGCAAATTTGATCGCAAATTCGCTTTGAAGAGCCTTTGATTGAATGAAGGACCATAATTGGCCCACTAGGCTTCTTAAAAATCTCTATTCTGATTTTAAAAAGTACTTGCTTCTAAATCAACGGGGGGCTTTTTGAACATTAAAGATGTACCTACAATTTGCACCTAAAATGAACGATTTTTACGAAGTAGAAGCATCATCCTTTTGCACTGGAAAATACTCCAAATTCGGTCACTTCGGTCGAGCGATTTCCTGAAAACCCTTATAACTCACGAGAAATCAATGCACGGCAAATGGCAGATGTATCTTTCCTCTAACAGAATCCGTTTTAATTTGAAAAATTGGCCGACGTAAACCTTTATCCTTTTCAGTCGAGTATTTCAAGCGTTGCTTGCAGTTTCAGGTGTCAATTTCGGTGAGCACATCTTTGAAAAACAGGGTTTTTTCGTTGGAAATTTAAACGGATTTAAATTTTGTATGGGCAATCAATGATTTTAGAATTACAAGTCTGAATGCAAGTAGTGTTTATTAGTACTGTTAGAACTGTGATGTCTGCACAGAAAGCTGTTTCAGGTTTTATCACTCGTTTGTTTTTTATTACGAGTTATGCCATAATTCCAAAGTTATTTTTAGAGGGGAATGTGTGAGAGAGGAGAGAGTCATAATTTTTCTGGAATGTCTTCTTGTCTTCCTAGGCCCCATTCCCTTAAATAAACAGAGTTTATTGTTTTTGCAGAGACATGACCTTGGGGACCATTTAGGTGTCAATGATGTTACTCTCAGCACGTATTTTATACGCAAGCTCTCCATGAACAGTTTTCTATTTGTCTCATGGTGCACCGATCACACTTATTAAGATATTTCTGCAAAGAAAAGTTTTGTTGTAATAGCGCCCAATCATGAAATGATTGTGAGATGTTTATCGTATTCTGATGTCTTTCGTAGTGTCACGGCAAGAACTGAAAACATAATGCGCCAGTGTCTTTTAACCAGAACTCACAAAAGGAGGGAACTTAACAGTGTATCGAGTGCGAAGATTCTCCAACCAAACAATAAGTAGCAGTGGGAAACAGCGGGTCAAAATTGGGTAAACATCGGAATTCTGTCATTCACTCACTCACTCACTCACTCACTCATTTCGACCACATATGTGGCTTCGCCTCTTAAAGGATGCAGTAGCCACTCAAAACGGAAAACCGCAGAGTACTAATCCGAAAAACCGAAGCTTTTTTGGCACAAAAACCGAAATACCGATATATAAAATAGTTAAAAAATCGCTAAACTGAAAATCACACTTTTATCCCTATATTCTCACATCTGGTCCGTGATCCCGTCAGTGGTCCTATCCGTAATCTAATCCTAATTTTCCCTTACCACGTGTTTGTCTTCTTTGTGAGTGACATCTCACTATGCTCCGAATGACATTGGCATTTCATATCTGGAGAAGCTTGGTCTGATGAACGTTAGTTTCGGTTTGTCACGAAACCATAACCTATCCTTGTATTTTTGCTTCAGGCTGAAGAGTAGAAGTGGAAGAGAACTATCCAAATCTTCGCGATTTGTCGAACCACAAGCATTTGGATCTCGGAGGACGGAGAAGACATGACTTTCCGCATGGTGACTACAATTTGCTTCATTCTCGGACTTTCCGTCACCCGAGTGGTTTATGGCGAGAAATGCGGAGGTATTAGATCATATTTACTTGCTTGCTTTATTGCATCTCGTGAGTTTTTACGGAATGTAACCATATTATTGGGCAATCTTTGGGTTTTTTTATGAAAGTATGTCTAGAAAGGTAGCAAAACTAACGAGAGCGATCAGAGTTGTAATTCAATTCAACATGTCTGGTTACACGGTATGCTTCTCCGAGTGTCATGACACATCGCTTTATATACTAACATAAGAAGAGCGGAAATACATCAAGCAGGATGTTTTCCATTATAAAAACAAAATAAGGTTTTAATTTACCATTGAACCAGCGTGCATAGTTGGAGGATGGATCAAACGCTCGACCACGTGAAACTTGAGCATACTTTAGAGAGAAACTAATTGCTGTGAATGATCTTCTTTCCTTTAAGATAATTTTCATATTCCAAATGAAATATAGCCTTAAGCTTAATTTTCTTTTCGAGGGCGATGAAGTGGGAAAGGAGGCTGGCGAGCTCGCGAAGAAGGTCATCGGTAGTTAGGAAGAAAGACCTTTATATTGTAAATTCTCTGTTTATGCATGAGACCGCAATTACTTGCCTGAGGGCATGCTTAGATTAAAATTTAAGTTAACAGGATCACTAAATCTCCTCTTTAATTCATCCGCCATAGTAAGTCCCCCTTCCTTTAAATTGTTTTGCGGCCTTAAATGAAATCACGAGTTATGCAAATTCAACGTATCAAGGAAAGTGACTCAACATTGATAACAATCGGCTTTGTCATAATGACCCGACACGGCCATTTTTGAACAATGGCGCAACAGCTTCAGAACAAAATATATTAAAGTTCACGCGGCAACCAGGTGGACAATCAGACATAGTTTGAAGCTACTCTGGTTTGTTTTTTAACTTTGTGGCTATTCAAGAGAATCATCAAGAAAATTTTGAATAGCCACAACGTTAAAGTTGCTCAAAAACCTTTTCAGACTTTGGGGCATATTTTCGCCAAACCTAAGGATCCTGTCACGAAAGAACAACGAACTGACGCCATTTATTCTATTCCTTGCAATGACTGTGACAACGAATACATCGGACAGACCAAACGTCAGTTTGGTACACGGTTAAAAGAGTACCAAAAAGCGGTTTTCCTTTGCAAAAAGGAAAATTCAGCTTTATGGGAGCATATATGCCTAACTAACCATACAATTGGGTGGGATAATTCTAAAATTATCACCACTAATCGGCGTTACCGCCAGCGCCTTTGTTCGGAGGCTTGGCATATTAACTCCGCCCACGCTCCTTTCAATCGTGACGATGGCGGTTTGCTTCCTGACGCCTATTTACACCTCGTCAGAAAAAAAGGCCGCTAAAAGGACCTCTTGTTGCAGCGTTTAGATCACCGCTGATGAAGGCACTAGACAGAAGTGTCGAAACGTTGGGTTTATGAATTGTAACTTCTTCGGTCACATTCATTAAATCTGCAAAGCAGAGTAGCTTCAAACTATGCCAGCTTCAGAACACATGAGGGATTTGATGAAGTTTCCGATTAGCATACGAGAGGGAAATTTAAACGCTCGGAAAGGCTGAAGGAGAGACAGCGAAAAGAACATTTGAGGGGAGAAAATAGCAGCGAGAAAGTTGGAGGGGGATACTTTCACTTTCTCGCTCTACGGACTATCGAATCACGACTTCGCCGCTCTCAGATTTATCTTTCATAGTGTGAGAGCAGTTCAAATCTCGCACGCGCTACGCAAGTCAGACTCAAATCTTTGTGTGCATAATAAGTAATGGTAATAGGACTGAGTGGATTCCAATTCGGTCTGTAATCATACAAGCGATAACAAAATTGAACGACCACGCAGCGGAAGTCCGATTTGTTTATCACGAGCATGATAAGGAACTGTCCGATAAAAAAAGATTAGTCACGAACTCTTTTGCGTCGCTTCGGCCAAAGTTCCTCAGCGCTACAAATAACTAAAAGACTATTGTTTAATACTTAATGTGAGAAGTTGAGCCGGAACCGCTGTCAGTTTAGTTCGGTTAAGTGCGTGAAAGGAAGCAGCGGCCTCTCTGTTTATCTCTCTAGTTTGTGTAAAGGCTTCTTAGTAATTCATCGGGAAAATCGGCCGCTGGAATAGCTAGATTGACTTGAATGACATAACGAGGATGAGGGTACTTCTGCCGTTTTATGTTTGTCACGCAACATCCCTTTACACACAAATTCTGTCGGTGAAAATTAGACGAGCATTCATAAGCGCTCGTGGCTCATTATATTGCCCAAAATGTTTCTTATTTTCCCTTTTCAACGGAATAAAAAACGCAGAGCAGTATTAAGTCAAAAAGAAAATTGTATGATTAAACGTAGGAGGTTAACACAGTGTAAAGAAGAACGAAAAGTTGGGCTAAGAAAAGTCCCTTTAGACATATACAGTTTGATATTTCTATCAACTACAAGTTAAAAGTAATATTCAGTCGAAATTGTTTGTTTAATCTTTGTGTGCAGATGTTTTTGACGATTTACCCGCATCTTGCTGTCCCACAAAGTACATTGATGTCTGTTGTCCGTTTGCAAAACTGTGTGACGCTACAGCAGCGACACCCACTCCTAGTATGATGACTTCAAGTCCAACGCAGAGAAGCAGGGGAAAACCATTTTGTATGAAACCTCAAAATTCGTCAGCTTGTGAGGCGGGATTTTTCTTCAACAAAAGTTTGAAGAGACTCGAACCCTGTCCTGATGGTAAGTTTGTAGTTGACAGCAAAGTAGAGATGGTAAGTTTTGAGCTCGGTGAAGAATTAAGAAAGATGTTTTTTCGTCTTGTCACGTTCCAAATCCGAAGGTCTGAGTTTCGATTCCTCATGGGGACTCAGAATTTTTTCTTTGTCCCACGCTCGTGACAAGACGAAAAAACATCTTTCTTAAGTTTGTAGTTCCCTGATGATATTTGATCATTTTGCCATCCCGGAAGTGGGAAGTTGCAACAACTTACGGTTGTTTGTTATAATGAAATATAGTTAGCAGCTTTCATATTAATGTCTAAACGCGGAAAATTCATTAAAATAGTGGTTTATTTCGCGGTTTGTGGATAAGATCTATTTACTATCAATTTCCGAAGTGCGGTCATGGAATGGGTGCGGGGGAAAACTACTTCTCATTCATTCTCCTAAAATAAATCAAAACCATGTTGTCACAACTTGCAAAACAATCCCATTGGAATCTATTAGCGGATAGCTCCATTGCAGACAAGAACTACGTGTTATCAAGGAAAAAAATGGAGGTTAACTAAGAAAATAACTCAACCAGGCTGGATATTTTGTTAAAGGATCCTAAGACGCTTTCCGTTTTGTAACGAACTTCAGGTCGGGATCGAAACTTGGTTAGTTTATTACTGTCGTCTCTACTGATTTCTGTAGACAGATTTAAGTAGGCCTTTGCATTGTGACAGAGCCAAATTGGTAAATAAAGGATTTTCAATGATTCATGATTGCGTAGTTACATATTATTTCGTAAGTTTAGAGAGAAAACAATTTTTTTCTCTCGTAACCCGCTATTACAGATTCTCGCTACTGCGGACACTAAATATATTCCCCCCCCCTCGAGGGTGTCCGCAATAAAGGGGGTCGACTCTACACAGTTTTACTACGATTGAAGTTTCAGACCGATGTAGAAAAACAAAGGTAGGAGTTATTCAAGACCAATTCAATTTCGCACGTAAAGGATTTGAGCGAGACTACTGACAAGCCCTTGAATTGACCGCTTTGCAAGTCGTGTCGTTTCTCGGTCTCAGACTTCGTCGTTCCCCCCCGCCCCTCCCCCAAACCCACCCCTCCTCCTCTTGGGTTGATGAATTAGATATAGAAGAGGCAGCGCAATGATGAAAACCAAATTGTTCTCATGATCTCATGAAAGGGATGAATTTAACTCTCACCAAAAACGCAATTAAGGCGAAAAGTCATCTGTCTGCTTGAAGTAAGAATCTACCGTAAAATTAAGGAAATATTGACTTTATGAATGTTTTCAGGCTTCTATTGTCCTCAAGACCAACTCTGTATCATACCATGTCCAAAGGGAGCATACTGTGTCAGGGATAAAATAGTTAACGCTACGGTAAGTTTTTCATGATTTTATTTAACACAAAGTGGTAGAAGCGGTGGACTAAAAGTTAGTGTGTTGACTCTGGGTCGAGAAGTTTGACACTGGCTGGGTCTCTGGGGCAAAGTAGTCTAATTTTATAGTGTCCTTACAACCCAGAGGTGTGAATGGGTACCGCGGCGAATTGTCTTGAGCTAAAATCAGTTTCCAGATAAAGGCAAAAACAGTTTCGACTTCTCCTCACTCGTGGGTGGTGCCTAGAGTTAACTGGGAGGGAGGGGGGTTGCCAAGGTGATCTTCCATAAAGTATTCATGCAAGCATGCAAGAACTACAATGCTAATAAGGTTTAAGTCAACGTTTAATGAAACCAGTGTCACTTGAGGTTTTTTTAATGGTAGATTTACGCTACTAAATGCTCTGTTCTAAGTGACGATCTTTATGATTTCATATCCTTAATGGCAGAGCCCGTAGTATGCTCAGTTCATGATGAAAAAAATCATCTTATTTTCTAGAAAAAATCACCCCAATTGTGCCGCGAGAGTGGAAAATGCTGCAGTCCTTCTCAGTCCATCCCTATCTTTGATTCTTCAAAGTATATTTGCCCTGGAGCCCAGCTTCCAGTTCCCTGTCCTCCAGGCAACTATTGCCCAAACGTCACCATTCAAAAGACGTGTCCAAGTGGATATTTCTGTCGAAATGGAAGCGTGAAACCTCAAGAATGTCCGGTAAGAGTAACTAATCTTGTTGCATTGTCGGTAAAAATCACAGTGTTATTCGATAGTGTACATCCGAAGCATTTCCTGAGTGGTAACAGCCGTTACAGACAGATGCGAGATGAACGAGATTTTTAAGGCTATTTGTCCGTGTGAAATCCAAGTTCAAAACTATGAACATTGTGTATGTCTATGGAAATACTATAATCTCAGAATTATTTCACCTAATTTTTACTCCTTACTTCAAATATGAATATCGATAGCAAATGCTAAAACTGCAAAGAATATTAGATAATGTTCATAAAATGAATCCTTTTCATGAATGCTGTACATTATATGGATTTAGTTCATTAACGAGGAAGAAATCGTTGCAACTAGATTTAAGGAGGAACAAATTTGTGCCTTCTGTGGCTTTACAGCTAGACTATTTCAAGGCGCCAAACCCCTTTCTAAGTGAAGCTGACTTTGGCGAGATTGGTTCGGGGCAGTGAGTTGCAAATTTGCTGTCCACGTCGAAGTTGCAATACTTATCCCACTTGCTTTGGCATCTGCGTGAAGCAAAAAGGGAATAGAGAATATCAATTCATCTTCTATCGTTTATTTACATTTTATGGCAGAAACATGTGGTAGATGCCATCCCTGTTGTTGCATGTACAACTCCTTGTTGGGCGCGGTCTTATTTTGGTCTATTTTCAGATTCTCTCTATATGCAAAAAAGGGTCTTCAGCTCCTGTCAGCGCTCCTGGTGGTGTTTTACTCATCTTTGCAATATTGCTGGTGATGCTGTTGCTTTTGCTTTGTTTCAACCACGAAGAAAAACTTATAGAATGGTGTGAACGTTATGTAACAAAGAGACTCTTCGCAAAGCGACGGTTAAGAATGGAAGAGGGTATCAGGAAGAACACGTTGGATAAATACCGAGAGGAGGCGGAGCCCAAGACACAAACCATCACCATTCGTTTTCAAAACCTTAGCCTCTCTCTTAAAAAGGTAACTACCTGGTTGTGAGATGGGAGAGGGGAAGGAAGGAGGTCTTTTGTTATCAATCTCAAAGTAACGGTCAATCTCATGAACGAATGTTCGCCAAAGGTTATTTTTCTAACTTCCGAGTCCGGAACGTTATTTAGTCACGTACTATCGGCAGCCAAAATGCTACTATGGTTAGTGCTACTGCTATTGCTACTGCTACTGCCACTGCTATTATGATAATAAATACGATAATAATAATGATAGTATTGATGGTGAAAATAATAATAATATAGAAATGATATCATCATCATCTTGTTATTCGTATTATTCATTAATTTGTTTTGTTAATTTTTGGCGCCGAAGTACTGCAAGGGAGCATGTTAACACTTAGAAAAATTCGGCGCGAAAGTGCGCCACGAAAAAATAAAAACCAATTTATGGGATATATTTCGAAGGACTCTACGTTAAAGTAAGAGTTTCTGCATGCGTTGGAGAGTAAAGGAAGAATTTATGCTTTGAATATATGTCAATTGGAGCGTAATCTTTAGTGGAAGGAGAATACTGAAGAATGAGTCAGAGCTTACTTCTACAAATATTTGACACCACACACATTGTCGGTAATAGGATTTTTATGTAGTTATGCGTTGTGTGTTGTTTTCTTCATTTTAACAGACTAAGGTAGCCATTCTTCAAGGCGTGTCCGGTCAACTCCTACCTGGGGAAGTAACTGCGGTAATGGGTCCCTCGGGATCCGGCAAAACAACGTTTCTCAACACCCTTAGTGGAAAAGCGTATTATGGGGTTGGTCTTCTATGTGAAATAAGTGTAACTAAAATAATCTCACTGGAGCCAATTATTGACTTCAGCACTCTTGAGCTCAAGGGTGTGATCAGTCCCTGGATGCTGTAAAAATAGGTGCTATCAGGATTTTACTTTCCCTTGGTGTCCGGAACTGAAGATGGTCCGATAGTATTGAAGCTAATGGAATCATCCTTAAAAATGGCCATTAACAATATAGGGGATGGCTGGATGGTTAGTCCTTTGCAGGGGGCTTAAGCTAATAGAATCCGATCGAGGAAAACTAAATATTTCCATCATTTAAAGGGAAAGCATGTCATTGATAACCTGCGGAAATACTATTTTAGGACTTTTTCTTGTTATTTTTTTTTGCAGTTGAGACTAATATTTACAATACCACGACTAGAAAATTTACTGTTGCGACAATGCAATCACTACTTATGACATGCATGTTCAACTCGCGGTGTAAACCTATTTTGACTTCAGGAGCGTGAAAGTAATTGACATGATGAACAGGACTAAGATTGAAGAGAGATCTGGGAATACGATGCAACATACTCTTAGAAAGCATTAGGGTTCACTTAATTAAACAAATTCAAGGCCGCTTACTGCAGTTTTTTATTTCTGTTTTCAGAAACGCGCGGGTAGTCTCTTCATCAACGACAACTTTGTACAAGACTTGGGTGTTTTCAGAAACATCACAGGATTTGTTCCGCAGGTTAGTTTTGCTTCAGAAACTAGGAAGCAACAGCTTAGTTTTTTCTATCGATGTCGTTTTAGAGGGCCACTACCGCGCTCAACAAATTGATCGACGATCAGCGCTACAAACGGCACAGAAGGAAAATACCGATCGCATTCCATTCACTCGTACATTTCAGCGTTACAGCCACGCAATTAGATCTTTCTTCTCAAAAACTTTAAATTACTTCTAAATGATTCAGAGACTGGTACTATCTTTTTGCAACCTCCAATAATTTCATTCAAACACGACAAAAACATTTTGGTCAGAAGTTCATTTCAAACCAATGACCAACATGGAACTTTCAAATGCGGTAGCTCACGATGCAGAACCTGTTCTTCCATTCATAACGTTATTTGTTAAGATCACTGATCACTGATCACTTCACGTGCACCTCCGCCAATGTCAACTATTGTATAACTTACACTCACTGCAAGTAGTCATACATTGGTGAAACAGGAAGGCGATTAGGTGACCGATTCCAAGAACACCTTCGCAACACAGATAGAAATGACAAGGACGCTTCCAAACCAGTCCAGGCTTATCTCCCTGATCATTGTTAGCATATTGACAGTTTGTGGCCTTTTCTTACATCTAGGCAGTCCGTAAAGCCGCAAAACTCTGGAACAAAAACTTATTTCTCAAACCGGCACTCCTAATCTCCACTGAATCAACAATCGCTTTTCATTGAACTATTTTATTCCTATTTTCACGTCACCATGTTCCCACCAATAGTTTAGCTCCATTTTCTTCATAGAAACACACACACAACCCACAATTACTCCATTCGCTCGGACGAACAGCTAACGCTCGTAACGTCAGCTTTGAAACTTTTTACCGTGGCCAATTTACGTTATCAATTCAGTTGGTAATACCAAAATTACACTTTTACACTCTCCCACCGACGAAGAAGCACATCAGGAACTTACCCTATTTATTCATGTGGATCTTAGATTTTGAATTATGTTTCTGTTAGCGTTCGCTTGCACTTGGTAACAATAAATATAATTTTTTTCGATTACTCTTTGACTTTCCTAAAACGGATTATTTTATGTTTTATTCCCCAAAGAGCCTAGTTATTTCATGGAAGGAATACTTAAGGCTGCTTCCCTAAATCAATTGGTATCGCGATCGGCCTTATAGTTTTGCAGACATGTTAACGATGACGAAAATTTGGACTTTTCTGATAACTTTGCGATTGTCGCTCAATGCTGCATGATACCCGGAAAAAAAGAGTCCCACCCTTCATACAGATTTCTAGGATCAAAAATTTGTAATTTTGGAAAAAACGCGCAAGGATTGGCCATAGTTAATTTGAACAATTGTCGCTTACTAATAAATCATTGAACTCTCTCCTTAAGTTCGCACATAACACGTGGGTGTTACGTGGACAAGAAAACATCAACAACAGTACAGTTTTAATTGCTAAAGTTGAACTTGAAATCTCAAAACAGTTCATTGCGTTACGTCTTAAGCTCACTAATGTTAGAGTGAAAAAGAAACTTTTAAGGTAACACAAATAGCTCGGTTAAGGTAGCATTCAACTTTCTCAAATAAACAAGTCTGAAAGGTTGAGTTCGCGCGTCCTGTGCCGAAAAACAAGCTTGACTTAACATAAGTGTGCACATGAGGCGTGGGTTGAACGCTCGCACATTAATTCGTGGTTTTCATTCTAATCGTAGTAGCTCGATATACTCTTAACACAGAATTATGTCATGGAGCAAGGTCACTTCTGTATGGAGAGAGCTAACTTTTACTGTGGATCGATCAACTTTGGTTGGAGCAAAGTGACTTGAAGTGATCTAGCTATGGAGCGAAGTGACCAAAAACCGCTGACAAGTTAGCATTTGTGAGAATTTTTAAGTCTTAGCCACAGAAAGAAGCCAACCGTAATGCATAATTTAGTCAAGAGATGGTTTAAGTCGTATATAATAAAATGCTTAGGACAATTCGACTATTGCTGCAGTGTTTGAAATTAGACTGAAACAGAATATGATTGAAAGCAAGGATAAAAAGGAAACTTCTGTGTCAGGCAGCGTAAGGAGTTAATCCTGTGCCCACCCACAATATATGCCTCTATTCAACTTGTACTCTTTTTCCTTCAGGAAGATATCATGCACAGAACACTGACAGTAAAGGAGGTTTTGATTTATCAAGCAAATCTCAGGTTGCCATCTTCGATTTCCCAAGAAGAAAAGAAAAGAAAAGTCAACGAGGTATGTCACCGATTAAAATATTGTATAATACTGGAACTGAATAATGCTAATAAGAGACCTGTGTAGATAAGCTCGTTTTACATAACTCGCTTTACCATTGAATTAAATAATAAAATTGAAACAGTGAAATTGACCCTTTTGGTTTGGCAGGTCTTGGATCTTCTTGATTTGGCGCACGTCAAGAATACAAAGATTGGAGACGAGGTATGGGCTTTCTAAAGAGGAAAACGTTTGTCAGTGTGAGGACCAACTCTGAAGTATTCAGTATATTATCATGACACCATTACAAAGAATTAGTGTGCTCGCAACTGGCCGTTGAAAACAGCGTTTCGGCTTCACAGCTTCGAATTCGTATAGCTTCTATCTATTGCTCTTTCGAGTCTTGTAGATAGTGTCATTTTCGTAGGATTATCTGTTTCAGTCTAGTTTTGTTTATTTGCTTGTCTAATTGTTCTGTTTGTTTGTTTTTTTTTTTAAACTATCTTACTAGGAATCAAGAGGCATTTCTGGAGGGCAAAGGAAACGCGTCAACATAGGAATGGAATTGGTGACTGACCCGACGTTGCTTTTTCTTGATGAACCGACGAGGTAGGACAGGAAATTCAGCTTCTTTAGCGAGTTGTTGCATGTGATACGGATATTCCTTTTTGATGTCCTTTAATGTGATTAAATGGTTGATGATATTCCGAATCCATAGCCACTGAAGGCACAACAAGGCAAAATATCAGAAGTCCTTGCCATCCCATTTTACCACCATAGTTGCCTGACTATGCAATCTAAGGCTTTGACATTAAGGTGCTTCCATTCTGGATTTATTGAACTCTACATTGCCTGGTTGCTTCTCTTGTAGCGGTCTAGACAGTACTTCAAGTTTGATGGTTGTGGATGCGTTAAAGGCCGTAGCCGAAGAAAAGAAACTGACAATTGTTTGCGTCATTCATCAGCCAAGATTCGAAATATTCAGTAAGTCTGAATTGCAAATTGCAACAAGTTTAATTTTTGCACTCTGATTTGTTTGCCGTCTCAAAACGTAGACAGAAATAACTTTGTGATTCTAATATTTAATAAGAGTAGAGACAGAATCAGCGAAACGATTCTTTGGGTATAATTTGTTTCTCTATTGGCAAAATTCATGTAACCTAAAATTTATAATTCAAACCCTTTTTCTGATTGTCGTGTTCCATTTTTCGTTTTTTTTGTAGGTAAATTCCATAAAGTTCTCTTTCTTGCGCCCGGCGGACGAACCGTCTTCCTAGGAAGTATACCAGAGGCAGAAAACTACTTTGATATGATTGGATTTCAAACACCCGAGAGAGTGAACCCAGCAGATTTTTACATGGATGTCATTGGCGGATTGTGTAAGGGCTCTGAGGAACCAACTGGTACTTTACCCGAGCGTTGGGAGGAGTATGCTGCTGAAAATAACGCGGGCGCTGAAAACACTGACTGTGCTGATGGCAGTCAGGCAGTTCTAGTCGACGGGATAGAGCAATTGTCTCTTAGATCTATTCTGGGACTGTTTAGGAGAAACCAAAACAAAGGTACTCAGCGATTTCCAAAGGTATTATAAGTCTGTTCCCCGCGATCTATGATAATTAATTGTCGCCTAAATCAATCGGTATTAATCGATGTTTGTCAGTCAGTTTCTATGTATATATCTGCCGATCGATTAGGAATCGTTAGTCGCAATTAGAAATCTCTCATTTTAAGCTGTTTCTACTGTAAACGATTCTTCGCATTCGCAACGATATCTCGCGATCTATGCTTCTACTTCTTAGTGGAGAGTTTACTTCAGAGTTGAGCTTACTTCAGTTGTTGATTGCTGGTATTAAGGAAGGATCCAAACAGAAAATAACGAATACATGGAATGACAACTAAATTACAGTGGAAATAAAAATCGCTTACAGTCCACATGTTGAAATGGGTTCCAATCCCGTTGAAGCCTAACTTTTTTCAGGCTTCTTTAGTGCAATCTCCTTAATTGCAGCACAACTGCGAGGATCATTTCTTTACTACTGACTCGACATGTTGAAAGTTGATGAAGCTTTGCATCGATAAGATCTGCCAATTAAAATCATCGTGGATTGGTCTGACTGGGCGCGCAGCTGCACCTTTGAGAGCTCGCCTTACATTCTGTGGCCGAATAGAAAAGAGCCTGATGATGGACGTCAGCAGTTCGTTTAACGTTACAGACCATTCAAATTCCTATGTCTCGCGTTTTCTAATGTTCAACTTCATCTTCTTCTATATGTCCTTCCTTCTCTTCAAGGAGACCCAACTGCTTTGGCACAAGGTGATCGCCCTTTCAATTTCCATTTTCAGATCAAGACAGGCAGATGCCCAACTTCTTGATTCAGTTCATCACGTTTCTTCGTCGTGAGATTCGACTGCAGTTTCGTTTGTCACGATCCCTTCTTCTGGATCAGTTCTTGGTGTTACTTGCAGGGGGTACCCTTGGGGCCCTCAGAAAGGAGGTTAGTTGGCATTTATGTAGTCAGTATTTAACATTTTTCAAATAGAGATCACTACTGCTGGTGATAAATAGCGCGCGAAATGGTATTGACTTATAGCGCCGTTTTTGAAATCTTTCATGTATCTTAGTCTCAGAGAGATTTGTTGCTAAAGACTACAGTGCCATGCAGTCAAGTGTTTTAAGGAAAGAAGCAAGGGTCCCAAAAGTCAGGATATTGTAATAACTGTGATAGCCAAGTTGTCGTCAATAACTAAAAATTATCATCGCATCGGTGCTTAGCTTTTCGCACTGGGCGAGATTTGTAAAAACTTCCCGCGCTAAAAATTGACTTCTAGAGTACCTTTTCTACATTCTTTGTATTCTTTCTATCTTTGGTGATGACTCGTCCCAGTTGAAAATACCTTTTTTCTTTCTATCACCAGGCTCCCCTTGACGAATTCTTCACTCTCGTCACCCTCAGCTCCTTAGCAATTGGTCTGACCGCTATGTTATCTGCGTTGAGATGTTTTGGTAGCACCAGGACTACTTTCTGGCGGTAAGGGGTGGGGAATTGTATTTCTTGATCTGTGTGAATAACGACCCGAAAAAGACGATCGACAGTAACACTAGAGACAAAAATGCAGAGGTCGACGGCGACAATGAAAACGACGTGGAAAACGGACATTTAAACGACACGTTTTTTTATGGTAACAGCTACAAGGACGAGTACGAGAACGAGGGCGACGGCGAAAATTACTATCACAACGACGACGAAACAATTCGGAAGACGACAACGACGGTGACGATTAAAACGGCAACAAAAACGAGATTGCATCGAGGACGAAGTGCTGTGACGAAGACGTAGACGACAACGAAGACAGGCAAGAAGACGGCGGATATGGATTCTTCCTTTTCGATATTTGAGAGATATTTTGCCAAATTTTTGAAAAAAATTAGAATTTCACGTTCCAAAGACATAATGAGGAGAGACGAATCTGACTGGAACGTATGGATTTTCTTAGAAATGTTTCGGCTGAATCACTCAGCCTTCATCCGACTGTTGGAATGTGAGTGGTTTCATACTTACTTTTACACTTACTTTTATTCCTATTTGATATTCATTATCAATGTCACTTTGCAGTGAAGCCGCAGCTGGTGTCAACAGGATAAGTTACTTTGTGGCTGTCAATGTCGCTCAGATTCCCATAATCGTCATCACTCCTGTTGTTTATTTGAGCCTGCTGTACCCACTGATTGCACCGAGAGGTAGAAATCGTATCGTTTTATCTGATGAGCATGGCTTTTCATTACTTTTGAAATTGCGCGCGCCTCTGTTTGTCTCTTTGTTTGTCCGTTAGTATGATATTTGACGTAAGGCCAGAAAGTCAGCGAATGTTAAGGTTGAGGCCGAACAGTCGCACAGAATGAGATAGTAAACAATTTTTGATCTCTTGCGCACAGTTATACCTCCCTACACCCCCTTTCAAACTTAGATCTAAGTGTCTGTTGTAATTTTTTTGAAAATTCTTTTCTTAGCTTATTTCCGATTTCATTATGTTGCCACTCTTGGAGTTCAGTTCGCCTGCACTGGAGCGGGATACTGCATATCCGCTATTTTCAGCCCAAAAAACTCACAGATGGCATCTGTCACTTTTGCACTCATTTCTTCTCTTGTGGCAGGTAAACAAAGGAAAGGTTATCGTGACAAATAGTAATACGAGGGGGAGGTAGAAGAGGGATGGGACGATAGAGAATGGAACTTAAGAAAATTTGTATTGATGCGTCACGTTAATCAATTTGACTTCGCTGCTTTGAGTAATTGTATTGGTTTGCTATCTTTGGGTTACTGGACATTACTTATCGCCTGGGGAAGAGGGTGGAGAATTTTTGTAGGATCGCATGGTTAAGGAGGAGGGGGAAGGAATCAGTCGTCGCCAATAAGAGGGCGAAGTTAAGACAATTGAATGCAAATGGTGAGATGGGGGGGTGGGTCATAAGGATACAACGGAGCCTTAAAGAATCAAGTAAATTTTATCGTGACAAAACCATAATCCTCCCTCCCTTCCCCCTCTCCCGGCGGTGAATAATGACCGGCCCTTACTGAAACAGAGGAAACTCCTCGTCAATTCCTTTCTCGAATATGACGACATTATGAAAAAAAACCATTTATTGATAATTACTCGCGCTAAAAGTTCAAATCTGGGACATTGAATATTTTGGGATCCGGTGTCTAAGCAAACAAAGTTTAGAGCGATAACGAAGGCATCCAATCGTAAACCAAGTCAAACGCGACCGCGCTTTTAAGAATTTACCAGAATGTCTGTTGCGTAAGTTTTTGGCACAGGCAAAAATCCTTAAAATCTTAACAATTTGTCCCCGTGATCGATTTGCAATTATGCATGAGTTGGCACTCTTACAATACAATATTTGTCAGGTGCGATCCTGGAACGATTTATTTAAATGTCAAGTTACTAAATATTTTGCAATAGCAATTTTATGCTGCTGGGGGTTTCTTGCCCTCCCCCTGCTCTGCTGCCGGTTCTCTTCGTAAATTGACACAATTCTATTTCTGTCTCGCACTGAATTCCCAGGCAGTTCTCCTACACTGTGTAAAATGGCAGAGAGCGCGCTCGGTCCAGTGATCTACAGTCTGTCTTACTGCCGCTGGTACCTGGAGGCGCTGTTTGAAAAGGAGGCTATTCGTTACCCAGAAGTCATGGCGCGCTATGTGCATGGGCTATCGACAAGGAATGGATACACACTGAATAACTACAGCTCTTGTGTAGTAGTCTTATTTGCGATGGGGTTTGCTTACCGATTGCTGGCTTTGTTGTTTATGTTGTTTACAAATAGGGGGAAGCAACATTAGCTGCATCTTGTTGTTAGAGAAATCTGGAGGAAAGCGTATTATTGTTAAACTTAAGCGTGGCTTTAAATTAGATTATTAGATTTCATTTTTTTTGCGTGTGTCCTGTGACAGTGAACGCAAGAAGAGGAATTAGACGAGGGAGCCAACTTGTGCAAACATTATTTTGTTGTCAGTTGAGAGCATTTATTTCTGTTTTGTTGATTTTTTTTCTTTTTCGTTAGCGTGCTCGAAGGTGCTATATATGTTTAACTTAGACATAGTTTGATGCTACTCTGGTTTGCAGATTTAATGAATGTAACCGAAGAAGTTAACTTGTTAAGTGTCCCGCCAAGTGTGTTGTGATGTACACAAAAGGCTTAAAATGACTATGCTAAGAGACTTAGAGGTCACCTCTGTTAGTTCGAAAGTCAGAATCACTATCGTCTAATTTTATGCGCAAGAATGCCTAAACCGGTGATCTTTGACGGTTGCTGATAAATCACAATTGATGATTAAAAATGCAAGTGAAGGTTTCATATTTGTTAGGAGATTCGTGGGCTCGAGTAACGGTCACTTTGGAAATGAGCCCGCAAACTTACAAGGCCATAAAATAAGTTTGATGATTGGATATCTGTTAATTATTAAACTGAATCTGACATTTGACCTCCAAACTATTAAAATTATTTTCTGAAAAGAATATTATTCTCGGTTGTCGGTTATATTTTTGTCCGCCCTAATCGGTAATTCCCTTTATCGCTGGTCAATTATATTTTTCCCTTTGTCGCCAGTCAATTAACCCGATCCAGATCCTCTTCACACATCATCAAAGCGATCGGTAACAAGTGATCGCTAACGTTTTAAAAGAATCTTATTTTTCAAATAATTTTTTCAACAACAACTTAGATGCGCAGGTGGCCATGGGTTGTTGTTTTGAGACGCAGCTTAACGGATAGAAATATTTCTGATTAAAAGATCTCAGAAACTGTGGTTCTAGTGGTTAATTTTTTGCGATTCCTCGTTGTGAAAAACGTTTTCTAGGACGCGGTTTTCCCTTTTTATCGGGAAAAAGGAGAGGACTTATTCACTGAAAAATGTATGATACGTTGGACCCAAATTAACACCTGTGCTGGAAAAGCTGAAATATTCTCTTCACGTTTCTTCCACGCCCTCGAGCAATAACCACTCACTTTGTGTACAATGCGGAACATTTAGGCCAATTGCATCGTTCCTGTTTTGTGGACATCAACAGAAATCAATCTTTAAGTAAACATCTTACCACACAATCTATTTACATTTAATTAGGGTTGGCTCAGCGGTTGTCAGTATAACGAATGTCCGTCCAGAATGGGCTGACATCGAGATATCCTTTTAGGAGAATTGATCCATTTATTTGCTTACAGCGCAGGTAAAATAAGTAATATGTCCTATCATATTTCGCCTATTGATTATTTGCCCTTCTTATTCAGCTGCTCTCGTATCGGCTTTCATCTTTGTGTTCACGGAAGACTTATTAACAGTTTTTTTTGGTCAATTATGAATTTGCCTCACATAATCATCGTTTCGCCGAAGACTGCCAAGCTTTCCATACTCGAGCATTCAAGTCTTGCGGCAACTCAAACCAAAGTTGATTTCCTATGAATTTTCTGTTTTCATTTAGAGTAGTTTTTTTTACAATTTTCCGTTTCGATGCCCTAACCCCATTGCACTGGATTATACGAGTTGATGGGAGTCAACTGCAGCAAGACGTTGTCATAGGAGTAAGAATCAAGAACCATGAGACTGTATCCAAGGTTTCTCGAAAGTCGGGAGAGTATTTCTTTCGTCGGCACTAGTAGATAACACCTCAATAACAAACCTATGAAAGGAATAATTAATTATGTTTCAGAAAGGAATAAGACTTCCTTCATCTGTCGTAAAGCATTTCAAATGTTTGACGTTTGTTCGTCCCACTCAATAAAATAAAATCACCTTCTTGTTGGTTTCGTTTGATCATGTGTTACCTTAACAAAAGCGTAAGTAGATGTTCAAAACCCATTCCTATAGTTCATGGAAGAATCTAAGAGGGAGGTTTTAATCTTTTATCCATATTATCTGATAATATTTGGAGGTAAATTTTAGTTTAGGCTTGTCGCCAAAGACAAAGCCAATTAAACAAACAGGTTTATCCCATTCTGAAGCTTAGCCGCCTACCTTTCCTGTACACCTGTGATATGATAATTAACTAATTTTCCTAACACACTGGTGTTCGAATGAAGAGCTATTTAAAAAAATTAACTGGTTAATTCCCGTCACATATAATCATCTTGCTACCGACAATGACCTCCACACTTTTTTCATGTATTTAAAGACAGTGGATTAAGTGGCTCTGAATACGACAGCTATTTCCGTTTTCGAGGTATGTTTATTCATTTTTATGATTTTTTTTTTCTTTGGCCTTTTGAAATTCATATTTCAGTAAAAGCCACTTCAAACTGTGGTATAGTGGTGTAAATGAAGAACGTTATTGAAGATACAACCTTCGACAGTTTATAAATCAGCAACTAAGCTCATTGTTAGCAGACTGTTTTTGTGATATTACAGTATGTGGTTAGGTACGTTTCAATGCTAATCAAGAAATTTCACAGAAGTAATAAGGCTGTGACGATATGAAAACAATATTGCAACTGAGTAAGTACAATGATATCTATGCAGTGTCTTTTTTTTAAAGTTTTTGACCCAAGACTCTGAAATTGGAATTTTGACTGAGGCATTGCGCAAGCACTTTTCCTTTAACAGACTTTCAAGAAGCCATATACACGTAAATGCAACTACTTCTGATAACAAAACCAAAATCGAACAAATAACCTCATGCTTGTGTACTGTGTCTGAAACAGTCCTGAAAAGTCTTCGAATACAGTTTATTCAGATATGTTCACGTTATCCCTTGCAGTCATACGTTAGTGACGTGTATGGTTGAGAAATATCAATGCCTCAATCGTTAATCTGCATATGGTTTAATAAAAAAAAAAAAAAAATTCCCCGCATCGCAAGAAATTGCCAAGTAAGGAAACATCGTATAGTTCACTGAAAAATTTGGCAACTTGTTTCCATTTACATAGGTCGTTTGGTAAAGTAATATTTCAGGGGAAACTCAATGGCTTCCAACACAAGCAACATTACTCATTACCTGAAAAGTGAAGATTGGATGTTTGTTCCTGCCTCCCACTGCATTCCATGGCTTGCTGTGCTCGGCACTGTATGTCTGGCCATAGTCATCCTTAATAGCATCTCCATTATTATCTTTGCGAAGCAGCGCCGGCTACAGAGGAAGAGTACATACTTGGTCATCCATCTGGCCATAGTCGATCTCTTGGTCGGGGCGGTTACCGGAACTCTTCGTATTAAATTAAATGGGAGCTTGGCATGCCATCTGTGGGGGAACGATATGCCTAATAGAATTTGGTTATTTTTAGTAGCAAATGGCTACTGTATCATATTGATAAAGTCTCGCTTCTTAAACTCGCTTTTATTTCATTAGAACGAACACACGCAACATTCTGTCCTTTCAAGCATCGTTTTGTTAAGAAATGGGTTTATGGAGTGGTTATAGTTGTCACTTGGTTAGTCCCTGTAATCATGATCTCTATGGTGTCTGGACTATCAATCCTCAATCGCGACATCATAACAATGTTTTGGGTTTACCTTTTGTATACTTCCATCCTTCTTTTGGTTATATTTGTATGCTATGTTTCTATTTATATCAAAGTTCGTTGTGGTCGTTTTGCTCAACTCCATGGTGCAGCCGGCCTGAGGGAAAGAAAACTGACAAGTACAATGTTTCTTGTCACATTTGGATCGTTCCTAACTTTCCTGCCATCGATAGTATGCTACGGCGTGCTTGTTTTTGATTTGAAGCTACTTTTAAGCCTTTCCATTACTTCCCGTTTTCACTATGAAATGGCAATGACTACATTTTTTTTGTTCAACTCGCTAATAAATCCTATAATTTACGCCATACGAATGCCAGAATTTAGAGCGGGTATGTTACAAATAATATTTCGTAGAACTCCACGCCGTCTACACCCGGTTAACATTCCACTTCAGGACCGTTAATTCGTAATGTTTGGAGAAATATAAAATTGAAAGAAAAAAATTTAAGCTTGAAATAAACGAGGAAAATTCGTGCACGCCTTTCTACATTGCTAACACGGGTCCATGACGGAAAACTAACGTCAATGATGATGCTCAAAGAAAATACTGTTTGTCAGGTTAAGCATTAAAATGGGAAAAAAATGTTGACTTACCGATTGGGCTGTTATGATGAAATGACTGTGTAGCCAGTAATTTCAATAATCTTAGATAAGGAGTCCATAGTCATTTTTTGACACATAACGGCACAAAAGAATGAAAAGCCTTTGCCTAGATCAGTAAAACGACATTGAAGTGTTTATTTCAGTACCGTTGTTTCCATGTAGAGCACAAACCACCTTTGTCGCTGAAACTGAACAAATTGTTGTAATATTACATTATAACGGAGAGAAATGTTAAACATTTTTTTGATGAAGCGTTTTTTTTCGTTTATATTTTTTAAAAATTTTTTTTGCTGTTTAGCTGCACGTTTTAAACAGAATGCAGTCATTCACATCGAATAGGAATAAAAGTTGGGAAAGAAACAAATGAATGATAAAATACCATTTCCCTTTGTTGAGCAGTTGCTTTTAGTTTGGTTTGGTTTGGTTTTGTTTTGCTCTGCGAATTATCAGCCAGAATGTCAGAGGAAACAGTCAACATTAATGGGAAGTCAAGGACACAAAAACTCCTTTTAACAACCATGGGTGATAATCCCGCTAATAAATCAGTCAATATCCTTTTAAGGGCCCTCTCGTTATTGCGCTACGCAGTAGCCATGCAAAAGCGATTTTATCTCTGGATGTTATATTTTTGCATTTTTAATGCTCAAGCACTAATTTCACTTTGTCAATTTCACTTTAACCTTTGCGCATGGAGAAAAGTTAATGGCTAGATTTCACTACATATTTCTCACTAGTTCAAGCAAATCCTTGCGCTACCCTTCTATCAATATTGCTTACACCCCACTTCTGATAAATCAGTGGCAAAAAGCGATGACCTCTCGTTTTTTAGGACTTCGAAACGTTTCGCTATACATTCCTTTCTTGCGAGTTGCAATGTTTGCCCCGTGGCGATCCCAGAAATCCTTGCGCAAACATAAGGATCCAATTACTGGCAACTCATTCATTACTGCTTGGTGGATGTAAGATTACGCTGTGAGGTGATCATCCCGCGTAATAAGCGCCGTGGCGAAAATTTAAGAGTCAAATTATCCATAAAGTCAAATTCTCAATAAAAATACCTCGTTATTTCTTTTATTTTTAGGAAACTAGCAGTTATTGGGCGGACACCAGCACCAGTGAGGACTTGAAGCTGTACGCTGTTTTCCATCCATCGTTTGTGCCTTACTCTCGCGCAATAAAAACCCGCTTTGTGTACTGATGCGGAAGATGTCCTGTTTATTATAATTGGTGCAAGTTTAATTTCTTTATCAAAAAGACAAAGGCGAAAGACACAAAGACTTAATAACAATTTTTTTGTCAATTATGAGTTTACTTCACATAATCATAGTCTGGCTGAAGACTGCCGCGCTTTCCATACTGGGGCCCTCGTTTACTCAATTCTTGCGGCAACTCAAACCAAGTTGATATCCTTTCAACTTACTGTTTACATTTCGGGTATTTTTATTTCAATACTTCAAGCTGTAGGCATCTCAAAAATTCTGCACTCTGAATAGGAATATTTTTTCCTTTTATATATATATTTATATATACATTTTTTTAAAAACAATTTTCCGTTCCATTGCTCTAACCTCTTTGCACTGACAGTTCATCAGTGAGAAACGGTAGACAAAGAGAGCTAGCGGAGTGTCGCGGTAACATTCACTTTGCGTGGTCAGGTAAATTATTGTGCTCTTCAAGACATTTCACCGAAATGATTAAGCTATGATGGCATGAAAATAAGATTGCAACCGAAAAGTAACTCGTGAGCTTCAAAGTACGATCAAAGTTTTTTTTACTGAAGACTCTTAAATTGGATTATTTAACCGTGCCATTGTCCAAGAATTTTATGCTATCACGGAATTTTAAGAAGCAATATATTTCTAACCGCAAATAGCTTTTATATTGATAACGAAATCGGATTAAATACCGGGATCTCTGTCGTCTGGATAACGACAAAAGGAAGATAGATGAATTTAGTGATGATAAACTGTTCACACAAAGGGAAAAGTGAAGCAACTGGTGGATGATTCTTGCTAACCAGTAAGTATCTGCATCTTAATCCATCCAAGGCATTAGGACCAGATCAAATCTCACCTAAAGATCTTAAACTGGCACAGAGATCTCTTATCCAAGGCTTGTTTGAAGTCTTTAAAAAGAGCAAGGATTGTTGTAAGTTCCCCCAGCCGTGGAAAGAATCTTCGGTTATACCTATCTTTGAAAAGGGAATAGACTGGACCCTAACAATTTTGGACCAATATCTTTGCTTAGTGTTCCAGGAAAACTACTCGAGAGGGTGGTACTCAAGTCTATAGATGATCATATTATTTCTAATGGTATTTTAAATAATAGACAATGGGGTTTTAGGAAAGGACACTCTATTGAAAGCCTTCTCCCCTATCTTAAGAGTCTTAGAGGAGAGCTTTGGATACAGGTCACAAGGTTGGAGTCTTATTCATCGATTTCCGCAAAGCTTTTGATTGCGTGGACCACATAATTCCTGCAGAAAAACGTACTCGGCGTATCGGGTGATATGTGGAGCTGGATCAATGATTATCTCACCAACCGTATGCAAAGAACTCAAGTTAACAATGTTAGATCAGGTCTAAGACCTGTTAGAGTTGGAGTTCCTTAAGGATCTTTGCTTGGCCCTAGACTGTTTGCTACTTATGTTAATGACCTACTGGATCACGTGACCATCGGGGAATTATATATGTATGTAGACGATACTACAATTTATGTTATAGGGAATTCTGTTGAGGATATTGTCATAATTTTACAAGAAGTCTTAGACCAGGTTAATTCCTGGACTCTTGAGAACAGACTGGTTGTCCACGAAGGTAAATCCGAAGCGATGACTTTGAGCATTAAGCCCTTCATAGGTCCTATGAAACCTCTGAAGTGGGGCGACAACGTCATTCGGTATGTATCCTCCTCTGTGTGCCTCAGAATTACAATCGATGACAAATTATCTTGGTCTCAGCATATCAAACTAACTCGTTGTTCATTTCACTTGAAAGTTAAAATGCTGAGACGTATAAGTTTTCTACTCAAATCTGTTTTAGAAACTATTTAATTTAAGACAGTAATCCCAAGTGTCTTATATGGAATTGTGATATGGGGGTCTGGCACCAAGCTTAAAGAACTAGAAATGATACATATTAGAACGGTTAGACTGATATATAAGTTACCAAAATGCATGAAGGATGATGATATATTAGCAAGAGTTGGGTGGATGCCTCTTGAGTATTTCTATAAGTTTCGTATTGTAACTATTACTCACGTGGCATTTTATTGGTTTGCCTTAAATGAAGTAAATTCCTTGGTTGTAGCGTGCTCTAATAGTTAAGATCTTAGAAAATCGCTAAATATTTTAATTGATAGACCTAATGCTGAACTTGGCCGTAGTCCTTTTGCACATAGGGCAGCAATTGCATGGAATTCATTACCGGATAATTTAAGACACTTTTTCAATCCAATTGCTTTTAAAAACAGGCTTAAGAAGGCAAAAAATGATGTTGTTAATATAAATTTTGGAAAGGGGGGTGGCTCTGTTGTTTATAGCAAGGATTCAAATTTCTACTATTTCTGATCTATTATGACACATTTATATTTATATTCATTCTGTTTCTTATTTAAGACTTAACTCTAGGTTTATTAATTTTTTTATTTTATAATATAGTAGGGTCCGCATCAGATGTAAAGTTAGAGTGCCAGTGGTTTAATACTTACTCTTATACTTACTTTTATTCCTATTTGGTCAACTTTACTTTGCAGTGAAGCCGTAGCTGGTGTCAACAGGATAAGTTACTTTGTAGCTGTCAATGTCGCTCAGATTCCCATAATCGTCATCACTCCAGTTGTTTATTTGAGCCTGCTGTACCCACTGATTGCACCGAGAGGTAGAAATCGTATCGTTTTATCTGATGTGCATGGGTTTTCATTACTTTTGAAATTGCGCGTGCCTCTGTTTATCTCTCCTATCAACATGATAATTTTAAAGGCCCCCTTTGTTTTTTTTTTTCAATTTTCCCCCTTGCGGCGTCTACAAATGTCCATAGTAGACCAAAGTAATAGTGTCCTTTAGGGTGATACTTGACATTAGGCCAGAAAGTCAGCGAATGTTAGGGTTGAGGCCGAACAGTCGCACACTATGAGATAATAAACGATTTTTGATCTCTTGCGCACAGTTATACCTCCCTCCACCCCCTCTTTACCTTTCAAACTTAGATATACGTGTCTGTTCTAATTTTTCTAAAAATTGTTTTCTTAGCTTACTTCCGATTTCATTATGCCGCTTCTCTTGGAGTTCAGTTCGCCTGCACTGGAGCGGGATACTGCATATCCGCTATCTTCAGCCCCAAAAACTCACAGATGGCATCTGTTACTTTTGCACTCATTTCTTCTCTTGTGGCAGGTAAACAAAGGAAAGGTTATCGTGACAAACAGTAATACGAGGGGGAGGTAGAAGAGGGATGGGACAATAGAGAATGGAACTTAAGAAAATTTGTATTGATGTGTCACGTTAATGAATTTGACTTCGCTACTTTGAGTTATTGTATTGGTTTGCTACCTTTGGGCTACAGGACATTACTTATCGCCTGAGGAAAAGGGTGGAGAATTTTGGGGGAATCGATGGTTAAGAGGGAGGGCGGAGGGCAGAGGGCGGAGGGCGGAGGGAAGAATCAGTTGTCACCAATAAGGGGGAGGGGGGGATTAAGAAAGTTGACTGCAAGTGAGGGGAAAGGGGGTCATAAGGATACAATAGAGCTTTAAAGGATCAAGTAAATTTTATCGTGACAAAACCATAATCCTCCCTCCCTT